GCAGCCTCATGCCATTGTGCAGCGTGAGGCGACCTCATTGCCTGAGCATAAGTCTCTGGCTCTACTAGCTTGCACACAGGACCAGCCTCCAAAGCTTCTTCTTCAGACTGCGAATCATCATCATCTAAAGCAGGAGTTGGATCTCGCATTTCCCAGACGTCCGGAGTTGCCTCCCTGGCCTTTGGAGGTGCAGCAGGAACCTTCCACCATTCCCCTGGAGGTCTGATGTCGCGTTTTGGTCTTCTAACAGCCACAGGTCTATCATCGACTTCAGCTTCATCATCACTATCATCCACACGAGGTGCAGCTCTTCTGCGACGAGGACGAGGTGGGGGAGTCTCCTCTGGCTCTGGTGTCTCCTGTTGCGCTTCACCCTCCACCTGTTCTTCTTCTTTCACATTATCATCAGTGTCATCCTCACTGCTATTGTCCTCATCGTCATTATCAGCTGCAGGCAAGTCTATAACCCTTTGCTGAGCATCATTGTTATCCTTGGATGGTGCCTCTGGTGCGCTCTGCTGACTGGTTTTCGGAGGAGCTGGTTCTGAGACGTCGTGCTCATCAATGCCCTTCAGAAGTTGGCCACTGTATGTGTAGCGCTCATCAAAGTCTGCGCGTTCACAGATGATGACCTTCTTCGTCTTTGGATTGTAAAACTTCCAACCCTTGTACCCATCAGGATACCCAATGAATATGCACTTCTCCATATGCGAACCCAAATGCTCCCTCTTGTCCTTCTGGACATGCACATAAGCAACACATCCCCATAAGTCCAGTGTCAGTCCAACCACCATTTCATCCTTAATCATCTGCTTAATTCCGTCATGGTGTTGGTGGCCAAGCCGTCTATGCCATAGAGTCAGATCCAAAGGCAGAGTGGACGCAACGTGAACAAATTCATTTGTATCTATTGTACTACCATCTAAATAGCCTATACCAGCATCATTGATTGTAGCACAGAACAAAAGAACATCATTACGAACAAACTCCATTTTATCCTTTGTGATATGAACATTAAAGCCTTTATTTCGAGTCAAATACAAAACAGCAAGCAGATTATTGCACAATGCAGGAACATAGAGTACTCTAGTGATCTCCACATCTCTAACTTGTCTACCATTAACTACAGGTCTGAAGAGCACATTTCCGACGCCCTCACTATATACAATGGTGTGATCCGCTAGCCTGATTGGCACTCTATATGTGGTATAATTGCGAATCCATTCTTTGTGAGGTGTCATATGAGAAGTGGCCCCTGTATCTGTATTCCAATGGGTCTCATTAGAAAATGCAGCGCAAGCTTCATCCATAGAACGAGCACTTGCCTGACCAGCAAACTCCGTCGCAGCATCTGCCTTTGCCACTGTTAAACTTTAGGCTATTATAGTCTGATTAGAAGCTTGTAGAAGCGTCCTAATGCACTCTAATTGCCTTGGTAACAATCACTAATGATGTTGATGCAATCAATCAATAATATGTAATGATTTGCGCTCTATTGACTCTTTGTGTCTATTACTCTAGACATGTAAGGAAAATGACCATCCTAGGTTCCCACGGGTACTGTTCTGCGCGAGGCGTGAAGATTGGTGTCCACTAAATCGCGTCCGAATTTGATTAGCTCCGGAGCAGCTTGGGAACATGCCAGACATCATTCTAATGATGGCTCCATGTTTCATTTTCGCTCCTTTTGCTTCCCTGCTGAGACCGAGGCGTTCCGGTGCCTGTTCCGGCGGTCACAATAGAGGTCAACAGACCTACTAATGGGGCGCTGAACGTGGGAACGTTGCATTGACCGTGGGAGTCGTGCGCTTGTAATATATGTACAGATTGCTAAACAGTGCTTGCGCACTTTTAGCAATCCTGTCAACACCAGTCATCCCATGATGACCTGGGTCGTTCCCATGGGTGTTGGCAGTGTCTATGGGTGGTCCCCAATGCGTGGGAACCGGGCGCTTAGTATAGCGCAACTTTGTTATACATTTGTACAACAAGTGTGCACATCACTTCAACAGCCACTGCCACTTTGGCATTGCTCCCCCCTGATCCACTGTCTTTGTTGCTAGCAATGACCTTCTTCAATGCTTCGCAATCCTTCTTCCAATGACCCTTGCCCTTGCAGAATGAGCAGGTGTCTGCATCAACTGTGGGGTGACCTCTGCCCTTTCCATTGTATGCCCCACCCTTCTTTCCATAACCCTTGTGACTGGCTCTATTCGCTTGCTCAGTCTGGCGCTGACGATTAAGCTCTTCGCTTCGGAATGCTTGGAGTATGGTGTCTTTGTCCAGCTTTTCCATTAGCAACAAAGAAGCTGACAAGTGCTTGTATTCATCAGGCAAAGCCCGAATCAATGCCATGCACTGTAGCTCTTCGTCTAACTGCTCAATGGTAAAGCCTGTTGGACGCAGATTTTGGATATTAGCCATTGCCTTGCTAATCCTGACTCCCAAATCGATGAGACCTTCGTTGTCCTCCTTGTGGATTGAGAACAGGTCGTCATAAGCATTGAAGCGTGCGCCGGGCTTCTTGGATAGGTGTGCCTTCTCTATGGCAGCCCACATTCCCACTGGATCATCCTCTAGACCTCGGAAATGAATCCTTTGGTCTGCTTCCACCAACAGGTAAATCTCCCCAGCAGCCTTTTCAGCTTGTGCCTCCCATTTGGTCAGCTCAGCCTTGTCTGAAGGTTTAGATTCCCTCCCAGACACTAGTCTCCACAGCCCCAGTCGCATCAGATAGGCTTTGGCTTCACCACACCACTCCTGATAGTTGGAGTTGGTCAGTGGCTTCACCTTGACCCCATTATCTGAGCTAGAACTAGTAGACATAGTGCAACAATACAATTTATAGTCCTGTGATGACTATGAATGACAGCTTAGAGTCCTGTGATGACTATCAATAACAGCTTAGAGTCCTGTAGTGACTATCAATAACAATGTTATAGTCTTGTTGTGACTTTCAATAAGCTCCAATAGGCCAAAATGCGAGATCAGTACTCAATGAGTCACTAGATCAATCACAATAAACCCCCAGTATAACAATAGGCAGCAATTCAATAATGCAGGAACAATCAATCAGTGTTGTCAAGTTAGAGCTCAGGGCCCATAACCTGTTAGCATGATCCACTGGAAGGCTGTAAAGCACCTGCTACGCTATGTGAAGGGCACGATGGATATGAAATTGGTATATGGACGTGATCCTGCCATAGGAGATGAAATCTTCGTCACGTACAGTGATGCAGACTATGGTGGTGATAAAGGGACAGGGCGGTCTACAAGTGGTTATTTGGTTAAGATTGGGCTGGGAGCGGTCTGCTGAAGCAGTGAAGCGCAACAGATGGTTGTTCTATCGACCACTGAAGCCGAGTATGTTGCTGGGGTTGCTGCTGGTAAAGAGATATGCTGGATGAAGAATCTCCTCTCCGAAATTGGTTACAAGCCAACTTCACCATCCACGCTGTACATGGACAACCAGTCAGCGATTAGAGTGTCAAAGAACCCCAAACACCATGGCAGAATGAAGCAACTGGACTTGAGCTTCTTTTGGTTACGCGATCAGGGTGATTGCAAGCGCATCCAGCCAGTCTATCTTCAAACAGAAGAAATGCCCGCGGACCTGCTCACCAAAGCACTGGCCAAGCCACAAGTGGAAAAGTTGAGGGAGATGATGGGATTGGTGGGATAGGAGGACGTATTGGGCCAGGGTGTTGTTTGTGGGTGCCCCAATACGTGGGTTCACCAAGTGTTGCATTAGGGGGTTGTGTTGAAATGATGTGCACACTTGTTGTACAAATGTATAACAAAGTTGCGCTATACTAAGCGCCCGGTTCCCACGCATTGGGGACCACCCATAGACACTGCCAACACCCATTGGGACGACCCAGGTCATCATGGGATGACTGGTGTTGACAGAATTGCTAAAAGTGCGCAAGCACTGTTTAGCAATCTGTACATACATTACAAGCGCACGACTCCCACGGTCAAGGCAACGTTCCCACCTTCAGCGCCCCATTAGTACGTCTATTGACCTCTATTGTGACGGCCGGAACAGGCACCGGAACGCCTCGGTCTCAGCAGGGAAGCAAAAGGAGCAAAAATGAAACATGGAGCCATCATTAGAATGATGTCTGGCATGTTCCCAAGCTGCTCCGGAGCTAATCAAATTCCGACGCGATTTAGTGGACACCTATATTCACGCCTCGCGCAGAACAGTACCCGTGGGAACCTAGGATGGTCATTTTCCTTACATGTCTAGAGTAATAGACACAAAGAGTCAATAGAGCGCAAATCATTACATATTATTGATTGATTGCATCAACATCATTAGTGATTGTTACCAAGGCAATTAGAGTGCATTAGGACGCTTCTACAAGCTTCTGATCAAACTATAATAGCCTATAGTTTAACACTTACTTGTCTATAGCCGCGAGTGCCATTCAAGCAACTCGGATCGAATTCCTCACATCACCCTCCGGGAATACCGACGAAAACGTGGTGTGGTGACAGTACACATCTATGTAACCGAACAATATGTTCGTGAAGGCACCGGTCTCTACTACCACGGCGCCCCAATCAAAGCGAAAATGACTTGCGTTTTATTGTGAGTTGACCCTTATTTCATTCGTGACATCCGTTACTCACTCTGCCTAGCAATATTTACATGTAGTTTTACATTTTGTTGTACATACTTGTTACTAGTAACGTAGATATCACCTTGCACATACGCGAAACGGCCAGCAAACAGGAGGACGTCAGTCGTCCATGAAACGTGGCATCCTCCCCGCCCCGCTCTCAAGTCGCCAACTCAACGTTCTTGCACAGCCTACCCGCTACGAATAACCCCAAGGGCGAGGAAAATTGGGAAGGAGACTCAGTAAGTAACCCGTCGCACGCATTAACGAAAACTGACGCACATTCAAGCGCGACTCACACGCAAACCCGGCCCCAAAGGTTAATCGACCAATACGAATGAACCAGCAAGCCACCCGAGCTCTCGTGTACCCATGACCGGCGAACAACAGCACGCCTCGTCTACCACAACTCCCGCATCTGAAGGACATGTCAGTGTAGTCATCTCCGTGCTTGCTTCAAAGAAGGGCCATCTACTCTACATCCATTAGATCGCCAACCTCACCGCCCTAAATGTTCCTGTGTCGTCCAGCGTCAAACGGCAAAGTTGGAGGCGCAATAGTGAGGGAGCCCTACTGCTTCCCCCACCGCATCCAGCAGCCACGCTGTGGCAACGAAACCAACATACAATGAAAGGCAAGCACAAGAGTGGATGACTTCTCCACTTACTGTGCAGGAAGGGCGGACAACGCCAGTGGGTGTCTGCGGCTGCGGCCTGTCAAAGACGATGGATGAGTTGGTTGGTTAGCGAGGCAACACAAAGGTTGGATACTACAAGGGCAATGGGAATGGGCCAAGTAACAAGAGCGGACATCATTATGGAAATGCCAAACAACGACGATGGAGCAACTTACGTCCATCCCACTTCCAAGTAATCAAGACCTGCACCGGCTTCTGTATTGCAAATGCTGCAATCTCCCTCTACGTGCCGCGAGCTTGTAAAATCAGCATCATTCCTTCGAGGCAACTTGGTGACACTCGCTCTGACGGTGTTGTATCCCCGGCCGTAGAAGCCGAGCACCCACACATCATCGGAAGCGGACCAGTGGACTTGAGGAAGTTGCTCATTATCAAGGATGCCCAGCAGACCAGCTGGTCACACAAAGACAGCGAGAGAAGACTGGATGACATGTGGTTAATACGGATCCGCTAGATTGGGGGCTATCTAGGTCCGCCTTGTCGTTTCAATCCTTCGAGTCCATTTACATTTCTTCTATGTAAAGATAACATTCAGTGTTCACCACAATAGTGAGGTCCCAATTTCTCTCGTTTTTGCGGCATCAATGAGCCCCGATTCAAGGGTAAGTCTGGTGCCTGCAGCCATGACATACCCAACCAACCCCTTACCTTGTTGTTGGGCGCTTAAGCAGGGTGAAATCACCCTGCTTAAGCACTGGGAACCCAATCCGAAGCGTGTGACATGACATAAGCATACCATAATAGGCAAATACGACAAAAGATTAGTTGTAACAAAGCTCGCCAGTCTATGGCTCCAGTCGACTCAGATGGTCTCAAGACAGTGTCCAAGCAAAAGATGTCTCAACACTGTATCGGTTTCCGTCGAGTACGACACCACATCTGCTCCAGTGGTGTCCACTGGATGGCACGGACGTCGGAACAGTTTATGGAAAGACGAGTGTATACAAATACAACATGTCTTCGTCAACTCTGAGAGATACACAACCTCGTGATGCCAATGATAAAGCTAGATACAAGGAAGTATTTCGCTATTCGGCACCTTTGGTGAATGGTCAGTTATTTAGCCTGTATATATACTCTATGTCTGCATCTATCAACCACGCTAAAGTTTCTCCACATAGAGTACTATCTGACATTGACGTACGGAGGCTGTCCGTAGCTATACCGGACTAACCTTACTGTGGTTGCTAGCAATATCATATGGATCTACATTCGGGAGCCTGTTCCCTACTTGCCACATTCAATCAACTCCAAAACACTACATATACTATGAGTCACTTTCGAATAGTTACAAATGCACCCATCAATAGAGCTCGCTGTTGAAGTGATGTGCACACTTGTTGTACAAATGTATAACAAAATTGAGCTATACTAAGCGCCCGGTTCCCATGCATTGGGGACCACCCATAGACACTGCCAACACCCATTGGGACGACCCAGGTCATCATGGGATGACTGGTGTTGACAGCATTGCTAAAAGTGCGCAAGCACTGTTTAGCAATCTGTACATATATTACAAGCGCACGACTCCCACGGTCAATGCAACGTTCCCACCTTCAGCGCCCCATTAGTACGTCTATTGACCTCTATTGTGACGGCCGGAACAGGCACCGGAACGCCTCGGTCTCAGCAGGGAAGCAAAAGCAGCAAAAATAAAACATGGAGCCATCATTAGAATGATGTCTGGCATGTTCCCAAGCTGCTCCGGAGCTAATCAAATTCGGATGCGATTTAGTGGACACCTATATTCACGCCTCGCGCAGAACAGTACCTGTGGGAACCTGGGATGGTCATTTTCCATACATGTCTAGAGTAATAGACACAAAGAGTCAATAGAGCGTAAATCATTACATATTATTGATTGATTGCATCAACACATCATTAGTGATTGTTACCAAGGCAATTAGAGTGCATTAGTCAGATCGTCCAGTTCATGCAGGTATCCACTTCTGAGGCGGTTCCACTGCCTTACTCCCGCCACTGATATGTTCCTCAAGCCCAGCTTGGGTTTCAGTACTTCTCCTGCCTCCTCCACGTCTTCCTCTGACTCGTCCTCTCCCGGATACGGCTCTGCTCGCATTGTAAGCATTGGCTTACCACCTACTCTCCTAGCCCCTTTTCCCCTGTTCACTCTCGTGCATAATGTGACTTGCCATATATATAGCTGCGACCCTGCACATACATACTCACTTCCTGCTTGTCTCACTACTTATACGTTCACCCTCGCAATCCCACCGCTTTTGTCCATTCATATCGTCCTCTGAGTGTTCTTCCCTTCGGGGTTGTTCCACGCATATTCTGTCCTAGCTTGTCCTGGTAGTTTAGACACTGCCTCGGGCATCGCAACATGACTACCTCTCCTGTCTTCCAGTAAATCTCCAGGTTGTGCTTCTTCAGCCAGGTTAACCCTAAGATTACATTGATGTTTCCTAGGCTGGTCACGTAGAACACCATGACTTCCAGGTGTCCTCTGAACAGCATTTGTATCTCTACCTTCTCTGTCACTTTCCCTGTGTTGTTGGATGTGCCATCCGCATTCCTGATGACTGCCAGGTTTGCTAGTTTTTTTGTTTTTATGTTGTTTTTCTTGACGAACCCCTGGTCTATGAATGAATCCGATGCTCCACAGTCTAGCATTGATTCCAGGTTCAGTGGTGCCAGGGTATTGTGCATTCTAAGGGAAATGGAGATGGGCACATAGTGTAAGGGGACACTCCTATTTTCTCTCCTTTCCTTCATCCCATGGACTCTTACCTACATTCCCTTTGTTCCCCTTTGTTCCCTTTTTTTCCCTTTTGTTCCCTTTCCTTCCCATTTCCTTTCCGCCCACCCCTTACGCATCCGAGCCATGTCCAATGACTCCGGAGTCTTCCCACACTTTGGACACTTTGGACTTGCTTGGACTTGTCTATACACTTTGGGGCTCATCTGGGTTACCTCTGTCCTCCTTCCCCGCTTCATTACTCTTCGCCCTTACTTCCCCAGGTCGCTGGCACGACTCCTGTACATTCCCCTTCCACTTCATTATCACATGTTTCCTCGTACCTTGTGATATTTGTTCGTACCTGTGGCTGGTGTACTGTACAGTTACCCTTCATTCCTCCCACGCTACTACAGTATATACTTCGCTTCCTAGCGTGGAGAATCCTTATCCTGTTCTCTTTGGATTCTCCCTCTGCTAGGTGAGCAGTTCTCTCATGTATTGTAGTTAGTCTTATTCATTACCTTTGGATTCTCCCTCTGCTAGGCTTGCGCTGTGCGGCCATCTTGAGGTTGCCCTTACAGCAGCGGCAAGGCACTGACTGAGACTATTAGTAAGATGGCCCGGGTGATGTAAGTAGAGTATCGTAAGTGGACATGCTTGTATAATACATCACGTGCCTGATAAGATAAGGAAAGATCGTTGTATGAAAAGAAAGGAAAACGTCAGACTATAACAGAAGTACGACCATACTTACAATTGAACAATATTGCATGACAGCTATGAAGGCGCATACCATGCCAAATCGGTATATATACATTGAACAACAGCTAGAAAGGCGCAGGCAGCGTGACGAGGATCTATATACTGTACAGTAGCGAATGTATAAAGTTTTTTTGGACAGAAACGAACTGAGAACCTCAACACGTCTGCGGACGAAGCGGAGTAGTGTGACACGCTTCCAGATGGCACAGATGAGACTGAAAGACCTAAACTGATGCGGGCAGCACCGCCGAACGCTCAAACTAGACCGTAGGAGCTGAATAGCACGTGCGTAGCCAAACAGACACAAGTAATCTGCCATTTGTTCCAAATATGGGTCGGTTCCAACACAGGGGACCTAGCTTTTCAAGCAAGGTAACTGTGTGACCTGGTTCTGTGTGACTACCCCTTTGGCACATCCACTGAGAAAATATTTGTAGCAAGCTTCGTGAGTCCATTGAAAATAAAAGATGTCTACTAGGCTCATTGTAGAGTGCTATTCAATGAGTACAATGACTTTGATGGCAAATTATTCATCAATGAGATGTCAGTGTGCTCAATTGTATTTACTGACCCCTTTCTCCTGAAACCAGTTGCATGTAAGTGATTATTGCTGTGGATAATCAACTGGGGCCCTGACATTTAGGCTAGCAGATATATGATATTTGGCATACCTTACAATAGCATGCCTATATGGGCCTACCGATGAACCGGGCGGAAGCAAACCAGTGATTGCGGTTCATGGAATTGCGATGGAAAGCGAGAGATGAAGATTTCCAAAAGGGGTCGGCGGGGGAAAGAGATCGACCAATGGGAGGACGATGGAATGTGGTAGAATGATGGGCGTGTCTAGAAGGATGACGTCAGAGGGAAGGAAATAGTATGGCAAAGAATAATCCGCGTTTTTGTGCAGCTGGACCACCATGAGCAACGTCGACGATTTCTTTTCGGCAGTGAATCAACCGTCCGCGAACCAGCAGCGCGGCGGAGACAATGTTCGCACGTTCGCAGACGCCATCAACCACCGATTCAACAACCCCGCCCCATCGTCCGCATCGCTTCCTCCCTCCCTCCTTACCGCCCGACTCCTGCCTTCCTCGTCGTCCGCCACATCCCCCATGCCCCCGTCCTCGTCGCCACACACAGCCCCCTCGGCGCATACATTTACCCCAGTGAGTCCCTCATCCCTTTCTCAGTGGCTCGACAATCCCACCACCCTCGTCGTCGACATCCGTCCCCATGCTGCATACGCAAATGCCAGGTTGCCACGAGCCTTGTCGCTGTCGGTCCCGTCCACCCTGCTCAAGCGCCCCATGTTCTCCCTCGACAAGCTCGCGGCCATGCTGCCTGCATCGACCGCCAGATCCCGCTTCACTCGCTGGCACACCGCTGCCCGTATCATCGTCTACGACACAGATTCCGCCGCCATCCCAGACCATTCAAACATCCACGGCTTGCTCAGGAAATTCCGCAACGACCCCGTGCATTTCACTGGTGAACTCGCATGGGTCCAGGGCGGGTTTCAGGCAGTATGGCGCGAACAGCCTCACCTAATCGATAACAACCCGCCTCCGCCAGAAACCGACGCCGAAGAGGACGATCAGCAGCAGCCACTGTTACGCGCCAGACTCCCAGCTTCCGCCTTCTCTGCGGCATCGACAACAGCCGCAATGTCGCCCCAGCGTCCTCAGCCTCGATCGACTCTCTCTGCTCGTCTTCGGGCCTCGGGTATTCCATCTCTGTCTCTGTCGCAACCACAGCCAGCTCGGGCACACCCTAATTCTTCGCTCTCCCTTTCATTCCCCTTCAACAACCCTACGCCGCAGCCGTCAGCTACGATCTCAAATCCACCGACAACCCTTCCAGCGCAGCCGGCGTATAACCCCTTCTTTGACACCATTCGTCAGAACGTTGAACTATCGCACGGAATCACAGAGCGCATTCCTCTTCGTCTACCACGTCGCATCCGCCAACGCATCCATGAGCTGCCTTTTCGGTGGCTCCAAGATATTGCTCGCAAGGCAGAAGCCCGCACGCCACCAGGACTCTCCGCGAGATCTGCTCGTACAGTCACTGACGTCTTCCCATCCAGTGGCTCGGACTCGGACGTCGAATTTCCTTCGCCCCGTCTACCTCTACTCTCTCCAGCAGCAGATCCCGACCCTGCAGATGTAGATGAAGGCACAGAAGCCCTCGCGATGCAATTTTATCGCATCGAACTAGCTGAACAGCGTCGCTTAATGGGAGTGATGGAACATCATTCCAAGGAAAGCGAAACGACTGTCGGCGAACACGCGGACAAAGGAAAACGCTCGGAAATCCACCACGAAGTCGAAGTCGACGAAAACCTCAGAGAACGAGCTGTAACTCTCGGCCATGATTCTCTCTCCTCGATTCATGAACCTAAACTAGACGGAGATTTTCCGTTCAGTATCACCGCAGGCGTCGAAAAGGGCGCGAAGAATAGGTACGTACCACTTCCTTGTTTTCTTTTGCCACGCGGTCCATCTTCCCCCACATTCCATCGTTCTCCTTCTCTCGAATAGACATTTGTTCCATCCCCTTCTATCTTCTCACACCTTGTTATCTCTCGCTCATCACCACCCCAGATATCGCCACATATGGCCTTTCGAACACGCTCGCGTTCGCTTGCACCAACGATACCGCCGCAAGCGGGCCATTTCTTCTCCCCCGTACGTCGGCACTCCAGGCGGAAGATACCCTCCTTTCTTCCAATCCACCAGTGGCCTTTCTCAGGATGGACCTCCCGTTTCTCTTCCTCTTCACACCACGAATAATCTCCTCATCGCACCCCGCCCCCTGCATCCGCCAAGCGGTAATAACGCCAGCAACACATTAGCCGGCGCAGTCTCCAGCGTAATACCGCCGCGTTCCCCTCGCCCCCCTTCACAAATCGCCTCGTTCGTCTCATCCCTCCATTTCCCTTCCTCTTCGAACTCCACGCTTCCACAAACCCCTTACGCATACGGTGGTTTCACAGGTTTCCCTTCACAATTTTCTTTCCCCATCAACAATATTACCCCAGGCATCCCATTCACCCCAAATATTCCTGTCGTCTCTCCCGCTCCCTCATCAGACGCAGACGCCGAATCCGAGTACGACGACTATGTCAATGCCTCGTACGTCCAGCCTCTCGGCACTACCAAGCAATACATAGCAACGCAAGGCCCGCTTCCTGCAACGTACAAGGACTTCTGGACGTAAGTTCCATATTTCCCCGGTTGTCGATGTGTTCAATGACCCCCGCCTACAGGCTTGTATGGGAGCAAAATGTGCACGTTATAGTCATGCTTACGAGGCGCATCGAGGGCGGGATGATAAAGTGTGGGGCGTATTGGGCAGAGGAGCGCTTTGGTCCATTGCGACTAAAGCTAATATCCGAATCGGGGAAAGAAGGAGGTGAAGTAGACCCTTCTTCTACGCCAAGCAATCCTTTCGATGCAGCGGCTGCCTCCGTTGCAGGACCTTCGTCCTCTCCCATAGGCACGAATCGTCCAAAGTCTCCCAAACAGTCCACCATTCGCAGAGAATTCGAGCTACGACACACCAAATATCCGCGTGCTGGCACTCGGCGCATCATCCAGCTGCAATTTCTGGAATGGCCTGACATGAATGTGCCGGACGACCCCCGAGACGTCCTGAGTTTGATCTGGGAAGTTGAGAACGCAGTGGAAGAGACGAAGCGTGATCGACTCCAACGCGAAGAAGAGCTCCTCGAGAAGAAGCGACACGAAAAGAAGGCCACTCGTGCGGAAGTCATCGCTAAGTTGAAGAGTGGAGGCGGAGCTTCGAAGTCCATTAGCAGCGACCAGCAGAGTCTAGGAACCCTATCTTCGTCTTCGTCTGACGACGATGTGGACGAATGGACCGGGATAGTCAAGCATGCTAAGGGAGAACGCGTCCCGGTGCTACTGCACTGCTCCGCTGGCGTTGGTCGCACGGGTGGGTTTATCGCTGTGGACGCGATTCTCGACGGGATTCGGCGGGAGATGCGAAAGCGGGTCTATGGATCATTGAGTAGTGGGGTTATTGGAAATGTGATGGGTACTAGTAGCGGGGATGCCAGTGCGAGTGCTTTGAGCGGTAGTGCGAGCGGGAGTAGGAGGACCCGTGGAACACCCGAATCAGAAAGCGCTGGCGGGGAGCGAGGGGCTAGCACAGGTGCGAGCGCTGGAGGAAGCGGGAGTAGGAGTGGCAGAAGTGGTAGCGGAAGCGGTAACGTTGCGGACGGAAGTGCCGGATATGAGGATAAGATGGATGTTGACGGAAGTCCTAGCGAGGCCACTGGAATCCACAACAATAGCAGCGAGGCGATTGTTGATGTCGACGCATCTGGGATGAAGATGGGTGGGACAGTTCCCATAACCATGACTGCTGGAGACGACGACGAAATTTCTGGAGAAACCAGTTACGGCCACGATGCTCCGGGCGCCAGGGAACTGAAGAAGGCGAAGAAGGTCCGGGGGAAGGGCAATCTAGTCGAAGCTGGTAGAGGGTTGGTGGTGCATGTTCCGTACGTTGTTGGAGGAGACAGAGATTTACTGAAGACGCCCATGCAGATGTCCATGGAGGTGGACGAGGATGACGTTGACGACGACGATTTGATGGTGGGTATGTCCGGACATGATCGATCTTCCTCGCATGATCCCTCCCGTGGAGAAGAGCAAAAAGCCAGTACGAGAAAGTGGGCAGAGACCGTATTGGACGAGACCAGTGCCGCTATGGACGCCGGCGATGCAATGGTCCTGGATGACGGCTCGAACTCGTTATCGCAAAGCGCCTCGCCGCCAAATATCGCCGCCGCCGACGTAAGGTTGCTTAAGGTTGGAGGTGAAAGTCCTGAAGGGGCCGTAGCTAGAAGTTTCGGTGCTGGCGTCTTCACTTCTGGATCGTCAAGTTCAGAGGACTCGTTCGGATTCGGCCATCGAGGACATCGTCATCAGAGCAGTTCTCGCAGCCATCGTTACGGATCGGAGGTGGGCAGTGGCACCTCAACGTCACTTGCTACCTCTGTTAGTACTGGTTCTGGCCCCGCGTCAGCAGGAACTGGATCTTTGCAGCATTCGTCCTCCCCTGGAAAAGACCATGGCGCCGACAAGAGGAGCACTAGAATTGGCGGAAGCAGCAGTCCAGGCAGCGGCGAACTTGCAGCGAGCAAGTTGGCACCGTCTGCATCACCAAGTTCACCGGGGAGCGATCGTGAGGCATTTTTTCTTTTCTCATTCAATTCGCACTGACCGATCGTTTCTTTAATCGTGACCACACACATTTAGAATTCGCAGGTGTAGGGGGGCGTGTTGCTGATACCACCGATCCGATTCCGAAGAAGGAGATTGCGAACACGGCATCCGGAGCGAACACGGCGAAGTTGATGGGCCAGGCCTCGAACTCACATACGATGGGTGCTATTGGTGGAGCTTGGGCGAGTGGTGTGAAACCAGCAGGCAACAGTGCGGCGGGGATTGGACCTTCTCCGCTTGGGGCGCCTGCCGCCATCGCTGTTGCAATCCCCCACAGTAGCAAAGGCAAAGGTACCCTCGAAGGCGAGAGCGGCAGGAACGTTCCTGGCAGCAGGATTAGAGGAGGCCTTTTAGCTGCGGATGGGCCAAAATCAGTTCCATGGCCTAGCGAGGAAAGTCGGTCAGCGCCAGCGATGACCCTGCCACCCAAGTTCGGACATCCTATCCGTAGTGGTGGGATTGATGCGGGCTTCTCTGGTGGTAACCCGGCATTGATGACAGTCCGTGGTGTACGCGCGACGTCAGTTCTATCGTCAGAGGAAGAACGACCACCTTCTCGTTCCCTATCTCTATCCCCATCTGCCTCAGGGACGAGCGATGCGCAATACGGGAGCGTCGCGAGCAGGCTGGGGAGAGTCTTGGATGTGGATGGCTCGAGTGTATACAGCATGTACGGAGGAATGGGTGCGAGTGTGGCTAGCGGGGACAACGTGTGGGTGGGTGATGAACGGAGGGGTAGGATTGGTGAAAGAGGTGCAGATATGAAGGCCATTCAGCCTTTTAGGCTGAAGGATGACAGCGTTTCGGATTCGCGTCCCGAGTCGACTTCTCCGCCTGGATCTCGTTCAAGATCGACACCTCCGTCATTGAGTGCAAGCGCTGGGAAGGCATCCGCGCGTGCGACTACGGTGGACTACAAAGAGCCACGCCCGCTGCATGGCAAGTTTTCGCCCGCGGCGTTGAGCTCGTTCGAGGATCCTATCTGCGAAGTTGTGCAAGATATGAGGGAGCAGAGGATGAGTCTGTGTCAGAGTTTGAGACAGTATGTGTTCGTGCACGCCGCAATCATTGAAGGCGCGTTGATGATAGTGGATGAGGAGAGGGAGCGGGCGAAAGGAATTATGGCTGAACGAAGCAGCAGGAGTGGCAGCGGAAGCGGCACAGGCAGTGGTAGTATCAGCCCGAATGAGGAAAGTGGAAACGGCAAGGCGATGAGCGTACTCCCTCCTGTCCCGGTGACACCAGTGCGACAAACGACGGCCCATCTCCCGAGCATGATATCTTCGCCATCGACAGGGAAGCGCGGTGCCAGCCCCACGGAGTTGCTCAAGGAAGATAAGAAAGGCGGAATATCGTTGTCAAAGCGGCCCAGCATCAAGCGCAAGCAGACAGGCTCCGATGGGAATACGAGGTGAGTACGTCCATAGCTTGATCCAAGATATTGATAGAATGCCCTACTTAGTTGAACGCAACAGAAATAGCTAGCGAGAAGACGTCAAGTCGAAAACACCAGAAAAGTCAATCAATAGACATGGAGTGCCGGCGGAAACGACGAGTCGCTGCCTCCATCGCCTCGTATGTGATCCCTTGGTTAGAACCTTCTTCCGTTTCCCCTATTTTTGGATGCTTGATATAAACCCACTTAAATCGCATATTTCAATTAGCTGTACCACTTAATTTTTCTGTTCTGTCCTATTCATTTGGGCCATTGGTCGTCACTGTTGTTTTCTAACCCGGGACACTTGTTTTTTTGCCTTGTCATACCTGCCTGTATCATTCCCCGCAACATGCATTTTCTATGTCTGTAGACCATGTAAAATCATCATGTACTTGTTGTTCTTCCTCTCCGTCTCTCTCTCTGCTGCATGTTACATTTCCCCCCTCGTACACCCCTCTCTCGCCACGTGTTGTCATCATAAGTGATTGCTAACAACCCAAGTCTTGTAGAGCACCATCGCACTAGACCGTGCCCGGTCACATATGTGAGCACCTCACCACCTACCTACTTTAGTTGATTTGTGTCTATAGAAATTCATGGGAAAGTTCAAGGTACGTCGTGGATTCACATATTGTCCGGACTCTGCGTGTGTATTCGGCGCCTGTTGTTGTTTTTGGTCCTGTGTTCTGCGCGATCCTTGCCTGATAAGATGTGTTCATGCTCCGGATTGTCATTCATCTTACTCTCCATTGAAAAGCCTCGCGTCTGCGATAAGTATAAGGTTTGCAACTTGTTTTATGTCACCAGTCTGATTTCTGAGAAACCCTGGTGCTCGGTGCTTCTTTACCTTTTTTGCACACGCACACTCTGGTATGCATCAGCTGCGACCCATGCAGTACTCCCGCGTATTTCCCGCACCCTCTCGTTAACTTGCTAGCCTTCTTCAGCCAATGACCACCTGGCGAAGTGAGATCATGGGCGAGGCACATGGGAAAATGCTGTTGCAGGATTCCCACGTTTATTCGACAAATGTTGCCTCAGGGTTGTCTTCATATTCTCTCCTCCAACTCGAATTCTGGCTGCACAAGTCCCATTGAGCATCGTGAGCATCGTGGTCGTTGCTGATGGTGCGTTGTTACCTTCTCTCCATGGTATTCACTGAACTCAGTATTGACAGGTCTTCGTCAATAACAAGAAGTTTGCCTGGTAACAATTCTTCCGAGGTTTGTAGTCTCTGCGGAGTGCTTACTCCTTCGTTTCCTCCATGAAGCGAATCCTGCATTAAAGGCCACCGGTCTTCATCATGCACCCATCCAGATCGCCCATTATTTGAGGTCAAGAAGAAGGGCAGGCCCGTTTCCCAGTGCGAGAAATGCCGTGAGCTTCGCCAGTCTCGCCGGGTTCACTCCAAGTGCACCTGCAACGACAAGGCTACTCCGTCACGAGCGCCTGCCCAAGCCTCTTCATCAGGAACCAAATGTATGTCTAAACCATAACCAGATCGATCCCCCAGCTGATCAGATGTGAATAGCAAAGCCTCGTTTTGTTCCTATTGAACCAGCTCTTCCCAATGGACTGAAAGATATCTTTCAAGCGTCGAGCGCAATACCCCCCTCCGATATACGCCAGAAAGGTACACAAAAGCTCCATGACTGGGAAGGTGCTTCGCTGACTCAGAATGAACAGTCGAGGATCTCCTAAACCCCTGTAAATGCTCGGCGAAGAGTACTCGTGGGTGCCAATGCGGAAGGGAACGGACGCACGATACTACTGACACTACTGAACCCCTCGAACCCAACCTCCTCACGCTTGCTCGCGTCGCTGCTATGCGTAGACCCGGCGATACTGCGGATGGCGGTTCATCGTCAACATCAGGGAAGCGTCAAGGGATACCCAAACGGATTGCGTCTCGGCCATCTACGCCGCCAGCTTTAGGCCACAAACGAGTCAAGAACGTCGTGTCTGATATACAACCCAGACTTGAACTTCCTCCTATCTTCTCGCCGCTCCCTTCGACCCCCTTCCCAACTTCTCTACCTTCGTTCCCTACCATGCCTCCACTGAGTGCGGTAGCCTCATTGGCTGGCTCTGGCTGCACGTGTGGCCTAACTTGTGCCTGCCCCGACTGTGAAGAACACCCTGGCCCGCAAGCTTCCGGTGATTGTTGTGGCAAAAGCTGCAACCACTGCGTCGACCCCACTCTGATTGCTCTCCCCGGCAGCAGCAGTCCTTCCGGCAAGAGCATCATTGATCAATTCTTCGCCCGTGCAGCATCATTACCTCAACCTCCGTCTAGTCGCAGGTTCGGAAATAGTGCCATGCTGGACACCATGAATACTACCGTATATCCATCAACGGCTCATGGGGCTGACGAACGTGGTGTCGCTTTTGGCTTAGTCAATCTTCCCAAGCTCGAGTGTTGCGGAGGTAATTGTGGGTGCCCTAACGGCCTATGCGGCTGTGGCCAAGCCTGCAACGGAAGCTGTAGGGAACATCAGAGTAGCCTAGCTGCTGACAATACGCAACCCATACCTCGGGACGAGGTTGCTTCTTCCAACGCTCCGGCGAAGACTCCCGAACCAGCCAAGCCCATACGTAGCTGCTGCGCCGGCCGCTGAGACTCTTTACACATGTGTCGTCCTACTTTTCCCAATGATTGTACAGTAGATAATTTTGACTGGAATACCGGCTGCTATCGACGGTTTTCACTATGTCTCTCATTATACTCATAGGATGTACATTTGACTATTTGTAATAACAATCATTTGCATTTCTCGCGCACAGGTTGGTATTCGTGCAATCATCACCCCAAAATCCGCCATCAAACCTGATGAAATGTAGCCTACGTTATAAAGGCTTTCCGCCTGGCCTTTACGATGTCGAGCATGACGCCAAGGGCTATCAGACCGAAGGAAGATGGACCAAAGGCAAAATGATCATCGTCTAGCGCTTCTTGGGAGACGATGAATGCTGCGTGCGCTCTGGTGAACGTCTGGCTATGCCATTCTTGATCGTAGAAGAAACCGTCATGATCGTCGAAGTTTTCATGGAATGTCCAGTCCTCGTAATCTTCTTCATCGGAATCGTCTTCAGCCACGGTGTTTCCGTCAGTAGGGCGCGGGGGTGGTGGCCCTCGGAGCTCACGACGGATAGCTGTGGTAAGGTCTTGCGTCTTCGAGATGAAATCATTTGAGTCACTTTCTATTGCTATTCGCAGCTCGACTTACTTGTAGATTCATAGCTGCCACAGCCTCGCGTCGTCGGCGATGATCCGCCCATTTAGCCTGAATCGTTCCACTGACCAGCTCGGCTTCTGAAAGGCTATCGGAAGGCCGTTTAGACGTACAATGGGCCTTGGCGATTGTATGAAGCTGCGTTGAGTATTCCTCCAGAATGTCTTGCATTTCACCGATAACGTCCTCGTTCGGAAGGACATCTATAGGTTGTAAACCGAGCCCCACAAGACTCAAACCCCTGATGGCATTCACAATTCTTTCACCGTCTGTAACATGCATCTTATCCTTATTAGGATGGTACTGTTCCTTTGGTACGTTCCTGTATAGCCGGCCTAGCAACTTGGAGCTAAGGTAGTAATTTCTGGCCTCGGGATTGACACCCTCTCCAGAGAGAAAGTCGGGCTTGAGACCATCAGGAGGTCGAGGCAGTGATTTTAAATCAACCGGAGTCCCAGTCTTCGGAAAGTCTACGGCGTGGGATGCTTTCTCCGCCAGAAGGAGACATTTTTCGCAGTCGATGCCGTCAATATCAGCAATGCGAAGGTGAAGAATGGATATTTGGCCCAACACATCCGCCTTGATCTGTGGTCATCCCGTCAATAATTATCTCAACTCAAGATCACTTTTAACACTCACGAAATCGATAATGAAATCAGCGACATCGCTTACTGTACATGGGTGGTCAGTTTCTTTCTTGTCCAATCCAATATAAGCCCCGGCCGTGGCAGTCCGCCCACTTGGGGGGTGTAGGTTCGGCTGCGAGATGGGTTCATCAAGATACTGTGTTGCCGACACAAGGATTGACCTACGTCTACTATCAAATTATAAATGTCACCATCAAGGTCGCCCCCTCCAAGCATAGATGGGAGGCTTCGGTTGCCTCTGATTACGTCTGCGGTCAATAACCATCACGATAGGTTGTGACTAGACCACATACTTGCATGAGAAGACGACGACATTCCTCAGATGTGCTAATCGTGATCGCCTTACTGCCGTCACCATTTGTAGATCACCAGGGTGGATCTGGGGGCTCCTGGTAATGAGAACATTCCCAACGATTGGCAGGTCCTCTATGCCGCGACGCTCATCGTAAATGGTAGCGTAGATCTCCCCTTCCTCCAAGCAATCCCATTCATCAGACACTCCTATGAGGGTGTACGACCCCGGCACGAGAATGTGAGCTCGATGCTTGATATCCCGAAGAAGATGAACGATAGCATAATGAAGGCAAGTTATGATGAGCTGATGGTTGAGGCCGTGGTCATGATGGATATCCAGATTGAGGATATTGTAGATATTGCTGAAAAGAGAGGGTAATTTGAAGGACGCTCCCAAACCATGTTGATTGAAAAGGGCGGATGCGAAGGAGAGGGAATCCTTGATAGATTGAACTTCTTCAACGGCCGTCTGCTGTAGCTCGAAGATATAATCCACATCAACTTTGTGGTGCTCCAATAAGGCGATCATGGCTCTATTCAGATAAACGGCTATCGGACGCGCGGATGTCGTTGATATATCCAAAGAACGCATCGAACCCTCGAACTTAATTTGCGAAGGGCGCAGGCAAACAACTCTACCAGTCAGCCTGGGGTCTTGTACGAGAATCCCCTTGGCCCCACCGAGTCGAAATTGGAGGGCAGAGGGAATATTTCGCAGTTTTGACGAACGCCGTCTGCCCTTCTGCGACTCCCTCCAAGCGGCGCGACAGAGCGCAGGAGATATGGTGCCGCAACCATCCGTAAACAAAGAGTCAGTCGCCGACTTACGATCGGGAATGCGTTGAATTTCTTCAGGCTCCAGAACAACCGATGGATCGGAGGAAGAGAACGCCTGGGCCCAGCGAGCACCCAGAAGTGCAGGACGATGCAGAATATGTGAGAAGTCACCCTTAATAATAAGGCTCTAAGTTCACATGTTATAGCAATGAATATTCTACTACTCACCAGTTCCTCTCTGATCTCCTGGGCATCCATGGGCGCTCCTTGAAACTCGAATTTACGGACGAACGAAAATCCGTATTCTTTGAGCCCACTCATAGAGTAACCTAGGAATTCATAGTGTTGGCCAGCGACCTCGATTCCCTCTACTAGGAATGGTTTGTAATGAAGCTCTAGCAGATCATCGACTAGCGAAGGCACAGATTAGAAGAGCTGGACGGAAGATAGCATTCTTCACGTACTCAATAGACTGGGATCTCGCCTGGGCTTCGCACGAATCTCATCCTGAAAAGACACTCGTAGAAAGCACTCGTGGTTTCCAAACCGGCGAAGCACGCTATTCGATTGATCGGGTAGAGGGCCTTCAAGGACCTTGCTAGTGGGAGTGATGATAACGTGGTAGCATTGATAGATTCCTGCAGACACAGGAGTGACCGACAAGCGTCCACGAGGTTGGTATTGTCTGGCAATGTACGCCTCGGTCTCTGCCGCTAATCTTTGGGCAAGTGTTTCTTTTACTGCTTCTTGGTCTCCGGCAACTTGCTTCTTTTTTCCCCGTTGCCGTCGGTTTCTGCGAGGGCGACGCGCAATGGGTACCATTTCTATTCCGGGGTTCCCTAAAGACATGACGAAGGAATTAAAAATTGGACCAGCGTCGGTATTGTGCTCGCCATTCAGCACCAGGATCCCATCCCCCAAACCTTCAATAACTTCCGTTGGGTCTAAGGCCCCATTGTAGATCGCCTTTTCTATTTCGAAAGCGAGGGGGAATGAGATCTGGCCGAGTAATGTGTTAAGGGCCGTCCTTTTCTGCCTTTCATAGAGATTGCGGGGTTCAATCGGGATGTATCGAGGGATGGGCCTAGTTATATGAAGCATGACACATCGACCTTTAAACGTTTGCAATTCGTAATTAGACCGAAATAATAGATGGATGGCTCTAGCGACCGGCGGCATTTCTTGGAGCCCATTCACGGAGGAGAGTCGTTGCGGCCGCTCCTCTTCCGACAATGCTTGACGACTGAAGATGGGAGGGTTTTCCGCTTCAATGAACACACCTAGAGTCCCTGGGGGATTGGCCAACGCAGCGACGGACGAAGCGTTGTAGTGCACAATGCATGTAAACCCAGGATGGCGGACTGTCAACTGCAGTTGACGTGTATCAAAATCACATATGACCTGAGATACACGCCCTTGCATATCGACCTCTGGGGAAAACACGCCATCTCTGCAAAATCGACCGAACGAGAAGGCGGATAAGGTGATCGGGGCAGAATTATCGCGGGTCAGCTGCCTTTGCCGCTGTAACTGAATGGGATCTTCCCATTCAGAGGTCGCTACCTTGATGATGAGCGGTTGATTAGGTGTTCTTGTGCTCTTGCAGAAATGGATTTGCCTCCCCTGGAGGGAAAGTGGGAGGCGATGCATCGTAGCCAAAAAATGCTCGCCGATGTCTGCACTGGGAAGCGTCAACAGCCCTATGCCTCGGTGAATGTTGCTCCTTGGCTGTCGAAATAACTCGACATGGAAATTGGTCTTCGTCTCGAGGGGGAATGGTGGACGGTGGATGATGTTGGCCAGTGCGAGTTTGAGATCGTCTTCTTTCACTTTGAAAGCGACATTTCTCATGAATATCTGCATGACGAGAGTAGGCTGTAGAGCTTGGGCTGCGGTGCCCACCCTCAAAAGAGAGATAGAGATAGAAGCTCTTCTGTGGGCGCCGATCACTATTACCCCTGAGTCATGTGACTTTCTCCCGATATTCTGAGAGAATGTTCAAAGAGCAGTAAACGACGTCCCCAAAGAAGCCTATACGGATTCAACGATCGAAGTTGCGCCCAGTCGGTGCGGTTGTGAGGAGGATGCCAGTACGCGACTTCGGCCTTGGGCGATGGAGAACGCATCGACCTATTCCCCATGTTGCGCTCTGTTCCGTTTCTGATATGCTGCTCGTCCTGTGCAGCCCTCTGGGCATGACTGTTTGCTATGCTAGCCTTTTAAATAGCTCACTGCAAAATCCATCAGCAAGCGACTGCTTGGAGCCAGGCTGAGGAGAACTGGATCACCTTCTCACGTGCTCGAGTGTCCCATCATATGTCCCTTGTATGTTCCTCTGGGAGCCGCAAGCTCGCCATTTAGGGTATCCTCACCGCTCGCCGCAGCGACTTTCGTGGACGCCACCAATCAATATATACCAGCTGAGAGATGATGGTGCGGAGAACACATTTCGGAGTATTCCCACGCCTTCAGGGTCCTGCACAGTTATCACGCCGAGAGTCGTACGTACAGTCGACTTTACTCTGCTCCTCCATACTCCTGCTCTCCATTTCCCCTCATTTCATGAACAGTTCATAGACCATTACGAAACTTATGCTGATTTCTAGAAAAAGCCTACTCACCCATGGCAGAAAGCCACTGCACGCCGCCACCAAAGTTCTCAGTGCCTCTACAGCGACGGCATCGACACTGGCGCGATGCTGGGTTCATGGAACGAACAAGACCTCAGCTTTGATCAGCACGGTCAGAGGGGATGGCTTCCGGAAGCAAATACGACGTGCATACTCGAGTACGAGGGGCAGCGCTGGGGGTGACCCCGGCAGCATGAATGGTCCTGGCGTTGACACGAGTACCATGGCTAAGGGCGTGCCACTATACCGTACGTCCGCTCACCAGTTGCATTCGTTGGATGGTCGCCCTGAAAGTGCGTCGATCAGGCAAAGTAATGGACGCCTGGACACAGACGCCAACGAAGTGGTATCCATTACCCATCGCCGTCGGTGCATTGCTCTTGGTCGCTTTGCAATACCGGAGGAAGTCAAGGCGATCAAAGGAGGTACAGCTCGACGAAAATGGGATGGAGATCATCAAACTCAAGGGCCCATGGCAGGTCTGTGTCACACGACTCCATGTCGCGCGTGATGGCTAACCCACAGTGCAAAGGTGCACGTCCTCGGTGCCCTCCCCCTCAGAAATATGTCAAGGGTGTGGGGATATGTCAACTCGCTAGAGCTTCCTGTTTGGTTCCGACCCATTGGTTTCCGCCTTTATTCCTTTGCTTTCGGCTGCGACTTGGATGAAATCGAGCATTCTGATGACTTGACGCAATATGTTAGTCTAGGCGACTTCTTCTACAGGAAGCTCAAAGACGGTGCTCGTCCCGTGGATCCAGCTGTCCTCGTCAGCCCGGCTGATGGCCGCATACTGCACCTGGGTGCCATAACAGACCATAAAGTCGAACAAGTGAAAGGCATCACATATTCGCTGGACGCTCTTCTAGGTATCGACAAAGATCATCCCCCAGTATACGTCCCAGCCATGCGTGATCCCGACTTGTCGATAGTAGACGACCAGGAATTCGCTGACATCAATGGCATCGAATATACCCTTGACCAACTCATCGGGACCTCCTCACCATCAACATCGTCGACCCCTTCTTCAAGCCCGGCAAGACGAAACTCCGACTACTCGGGTACGCAAACCCCCAGCTCGGAATCTGATAGCGAGGAGGTTCGCGATCCGCATGCGCCGCCCAAGAAATTTGGGAAGCAAGTTGACGCGTCTGTGGTTGATTCGGACCGCGACCTCAAGGATGCTCTCGCCCACGACGCGTCTGTGGCCCTGGAAATGGGTGTTAAGACGGCGTTGGATCGCAGACGCAGTATGGGAGGCAAACCCGTCAAGCCAGGGAATCAATTGTTCTTCACTGTTATATACCTTGCGCCTGGTGATTATCATCGCTTCCACAGCCCGACGGCTTGGGTAGTCGAGAAACGAAGACACTTTGTTGGTAAGTCGTTCCTCCTCATGCCACATAACCCATTTGAACACAGCTGCTCTTGATAAGGCGAACTCTTCTCTGTATCACCATACATGGCCAAACGTCTCGAGAACCTCTTCGTCCTTAATGAACGGGTAGCTTTACTTGGTCGCTGGAAATATGGGTTCTTCTCCATGGTCCCCGTTGGTGCCACTAACGTTGGCAGCATCAAGGTCAACTTCGATCAGGTATAATTCGCTTCCATTCCATCTACCCATAGGTCTCATTCACTAACACACCATCTCAGGCTCTCCGAACCAACCTTCGTGGCAAACCTCCTCCACCCGGTACCTACGCGGAAGCCGTGTACTCAGCCGCCTCCCCCATCCTCAACGGCCAACCTCTTATCCCCGCGCAGGAGATGGGTGGCTTCTGCCTGGGAAGCACCATCGTCCTCGTCTTCGAAGCCCCCGAGTCGTTCGAATTCTCTGTCCATCCAGGACAAAAAGTCAAAGTTGGCCAGCGACTTGGTGACGTTGTCGATGCCGATAGTTCCAAGGTCAAGACAGAGTGAATCGATGGGGGACACGGAGAGAGAACACCGCCGAATGGCCAGGAACCTCGATGGATATATGTTTGGTAAATAATATCCGGTCATGTCTTTTTTAATATCTGCTGGGCTATCGACTAGAGTTAGAGTCGACTGAGTTTTAGGGTACTATGGCACGCCCTATCTAATAATATCAATCCAGTCACTCGAATATTATCATGCGATCTCTTATATTAACGCTTAATATATTTAAACGCTATGCCCTGCGGGAGATGGACAACTTGTTTTCAGTATTCATTGAATGACAGCAATGTTGAAATGATAGATAGCAAACACTAGTAACACACTTCAGTACAGACATACACAAGCGGGGTATACTATTCCTCGAGCTTGGGATTGATTTATTATTAATTACTACACGCTGCAAATCCGTGAGATCGACAAGTCTACAGAAGAAACAATAGCGAAAGACGTACTCATCATCTAAGAGGGACAATCGGTTCGTCAGTTGCTCAATCACGAGTTGCGGTAGCGGGTAGATAGCGAAGGAAAAGATACGGACCATCGTAATGAAAGCGGGTCTATTAAGATAGTCTGTCAGAAGATATGAAATGGCAGGGACGCCGGAGAAGGCTACAGACCTTCTTAGGGTTATCAGGGGCGTTCTTCACGTATCTATCATTATCCACCGGGCTGCGGGGTATTGTTAGCAGGACCCCGTCCGCATCATCTACAAGCATGGCTTACCGTTCCTTCTTCTATAGAAGCATAACATCCACGAACCCGTCAGGCACGGAGAGAAGCATAAGCATATCGCAGCATACCTTGCAGGAAGCGAGCATGCTTTGAAGCGTGACGCACACAGCGACTACGCTCAAGACGGGCGACCATTCGTTCCCCAGGATAGACGCGCATATCTGGCAATCATTATGGTTCAGCTCAGACAGCACACACACAGTAGCAGGGCATATCTACATGACCGTTGGAGTAAACATGCTGTACGAGCAAATAAGCAATGCGATGAGCCTGGTATTCGCTGTTTACGCCGTATACGAATAGTTAGTTCACGTACTGGATGTATAGGTGCTTCCCTTCCATCCTCCACCACGAATTGTACCGCTGGAGAGGAGATGGGATAGCTAGGATCGAAGCGAAACTGTAGTAGATGCTTCTCCCCCTGCGAGCGCGCAATTGTTCAGTATATATATATGGCCATTCGTCGCAGTAAGTAGTAGGGTCGATTGCGGACCTTGTATAACGATTCGCCCATGACTTCTATACTAAACCTCCAGGTTACAAAGTCATCAGCTTGTTTGAGTTCTATGCCTGAATCGACGCGGGTGTCGTTGAGACGAGCGATCCCAAATCAAAGTTGTCGGCGAGCTACGAACCCACTGGGCATCCCTGTGCGTGAATTTCGTTGAGCTCCTTTGCAAGTCTTCTGGAAGAGATAGAAGCCATGAAGAGATGGTGGTGGTTGAGAGAGAAGGTGGCGAGCGATGCCGGTGATGGGGTCAAGGGTTATCGTTGGTCAAGAGGGACCTACGATACAGCTACTCTCAGTTAAGCGCCTGTGCTCTAAGTGCGAGAAGCCGCAGCCACACATGCGTAAACAGACTGAAAGTATATAAGGACCACGATCACGGATTTTTATTCCCAATGTCATTTCGCCTCTCTGCCTTAGAGTCACTTGTCATCCCGTGTTGATATCTGAAGGGATATGCAGGCGCTCGTGGAGAGGTAGACTAAATTCCCATCCTCGTCGCGTTCTGCTGCTGGTGGCCATTTACCGCCTTTGCATGCGATCTGGTTCGATACATCCCTTCGTGAAAATTTCATGTTTTCCATCACATACATTTGAAGAATGAATTACAGTTATGCTTGACCTTGCATTGCGCTCGCGATTTTCGCAGCCTCGTCAGCCGTTTTCGCCTCTCCCACTCGTCTGTCGCGATCTACGTTGATTTCGTCCAAAATAGCCTTTGCGCCATTCTCCAGAAGAATCCTCGCCAACTTCGACCCAACCCCCTCCGCATCTTCCTTCGACTCGACTTGGCCTTCCAGCGTCTCCTCCACATGAATACTGCCATCCAGAGCCGTAACACACCCAGTAATCGTCAATATCCCGCTTTTACTCGCCCCTTCTGCCTTCAGAGATGTAGCGACTCCAACAGGTACACTGCAACCGCCCTCTAGAACGCGCAAGCAAGCACGCTCAGCGAGGCATGTCCATTCTGTCTCCCAGTGGGTCAGCGCCTCGCATAATCTAACAGCCTCTGCATCGTCCGCCCGGATCTCTACTGCGAGGGCACCTTGACTAACGGCGTGATAGAGTGAGGGGGGTGTAATGTCTGACGAGATGCGATCGCCCATTCCCAGTCGAACGATACCTGCTTTTGCTAGGATAAGGGCCGCATAAGGACCATCAGGCGCATCTAACTTTGCAAATCTCGTATTTCTGTATATCGTTTTAGACAAGCGCAATAGTGGTAGCTCATAAAATGCAACTCACAGGTTTCCCCTCTGAATATAAGAAACGACATAAGTGACTTGGGTATGAGAGACGGTTTGAGGCGTGCTCACCACGTCCAAAAATTTCAGCTTTGGGAAATTTCTCCGTAGTTGCGCTACCCGTCTGACACTGCTCGTACCAACCACACTCCCATCAGGCAGATCTTCCAAAGTCTTCCACGTCTCCCCCTTCTTCACCACTAGACTATCCACCGGATCCTCCCTCTTTAAGATCGCCCCGATCACAAACCCCTCTGGAAGCACAGTGGGCACATCCTTGAAACTATGCACTAGCATATCTACCACCCTTTCCTTCAGCGCCACCTCCAGCTCGCCCGTCCACAACGATTTGCCCCCAATCAGAAACAGGGCCTGGGACTGATTCTTATCGCCGGCGGTGGACATGAATAAGGTGGCGAATTTGGGATTTGCGGCATCGGAGGTGGGGAATTCGGTTTGAAGGGTGTCGAGGACGATGTTGGTCTGGATCTGCGCAAGCTGTGAGGCCCGCGACGCGAGCGTGAAGGTCCTTGGCTCGGGACTCATTACTAATGACGACGGTTCGCTGAAAGAGGTGTTAGGTCGACTCCCGAGGAGAGAAACGATCTATAAGCAAGGGATACGGGCGCACATGCAGCGATCATGTTATGAGAAAGATGAATGTGATACCGGCACATGCCGACCTTCATCCTCAGAGGAAGCCGGACTTCGCACCTCACGTCGGTAACTACTTTAGCTTGTTTTACCGCGGAACCGAGTCCCACACGTTCGATGAAGCGTGAGTGGAGGGAAATTATTTTACATCGCTTGGATACGAAAATAGATGTGTAAGGTAACTCTAATGGAAGAGAGAGGACCACGTATTATCATAGCCATTAGACAGACATATATTGCGCCATACTATGTAGGACACTACTATGAGCACGTTGATATAGCCTTAACTTGACTGTAACTCACCTCGATTCTTTGGTCTTGTGAGACAAGCGCTCCTCTAGCTTACTGAATTCGTTCAGCGCAATTTCCTCTTCCTGATCCAGGACCTGTAAAAAAATCTATGAGCACGAGGAACCACACGCGTAAGAGCCGAAGGGCTCACCTGTTCGACCGCCTTGACCTCGGGTATGTAATGCATGAGCATCCGCTCTATTCCACTCTTCAGCGTTACCGTGCTCGAATCGCACCCTCGGCAACTGCCCTTCAATTTCACCGACACTATTCCCGATTCCTCATCGAACCCCCGATACTCAATATCACCCCCGTCCTCCATGATCGCAGGTCGCACCCTCGTCTCCAACAGCTCCTTGATCATTGCCACCGTCTCCGAATCCGTATCCAATATCTTTGTATCCTGCGGGCCCGCGGCGTCTTTCTCTTCTTCCGACCTGAACAGCGGCTGCCCCGAAGAGAAGAACTCCATGAGAATCGAGTATATCTCTGGTTTGAGCACGGCCCATGGGTTTTCTGAATCCTTGGAGACAGTGACGAAGTCGGGTCCGTAGAATACGGCCTTGACGCCCTCGATGCCCATCAGACGTATAGCTAGTGGGGATTTTAATGCAGACCGAGTGTCCAGGAACTCAGCCGTGCCCTCCCCCATTACGGGTACCCCGGGAATGAATTTTAGTGAATCATCATTTGGTGTCGCCTCGCTCTGAATGAACATGGACCGAGCTAAGGCCGATGATAATCGGTACGAATGCAAGAGGGAGTTGTGGTCGATACGTACCCAATTGTGGTCTCTTCCATGTATCCAGGGAAGTACGGGGCACCCGCGTCGAGGGGAGAAACGAACTCAATGTTATTGGTCGAGAGTTCGCTGGTCTGCATTGCGAGCTTGAGAATGCTCTGCTCGCTTGTCGTTGCGCGACACGACGTGGGGGGAATACCCTTTTGATAGCCTTTCCGACGGTGCTTGATGAAGCTAGCGACGACATGGTCCGGGAGTAAAGAGTATCTGCAACGAATCCTGAGTCAGCGTGCAGGCACTCTATGACGAAACCGTGGGAATATACTTGCCGGCGGTATCCCTATATTCAGCAGCGACGCGCCTGCACCAATCCTCGATCATGGATCCCGCCACGTCGTCCACGGCGCCGACGCCGACACCAGCGCCAACGACTTGGCTGCCGCCGCTGCTCACAACCGCCGTCCTTCTATGGCTATCCTGGAAACTATGGAGATTCCTCAAATATCCTCCACCGCCGTCATTTCGCTACCGGTCGGTCGTCATCCTCGTGCTCGGCGACATTGGCAGGAGTCCTAGAATGATGTACCACGCCGAGAGCTTTGCACGAATCCCATTTGAAACGTATCTCATTGGATATGGAGGTGTGCTTGCTTCCCAAATGCCCGGCACCGTCGAATCTGAGATACCACCAAACCAGGTTCAGAGCCCATACCATCGCTGAGGCGCGTGCCTCACGTACATTTCGTCTACCTTTCCGAACCACCCTCTTTCCTCTCGAAAATTCCTTTTGTCATCTCCGCACCATTCAAAATCGGCCTGCAGATTGCTAGCATTCTGTATGCGCTGTTATTCCAAGTTATCAACCCGCCGGAATTCATACTCGTGCAGGTAAGAAATCATACGAATCGTCATTGGGGGAGCTAGCTGACCTGTTGTGCAAGAACCCACCTAGTATACCCACCTTGGCTATGGTATGGCTCATCAGTCGCATACGAGGCAGCAAGGTAATTATCGACTGGCACAACCTCGGATACACTATCCTCGCGCTCAAGCTCGGCGACAAGCACTTGTTCGTGAGGTTAGCAAAGAAGTGAGGACAACCACATATAAACGAACTGAGTGTTCAGATCTCACTACTGCTTATTATTATTTTTTTACAGATTTGAGGCCGTCTTCGGGAGAGTTGCTTATGCGCATTTGTTTGTCACCCAAGCTATGCATGATTTCCTGGTGAAGGAGTGGGACCTTGTTGGTATCAAGGCAATCCTGCACGACAGACCGCCAAAACACTTTCGCAGGATGTCTGCCCAAAGTGTCCACCGTGTACGTGGTGTTCGAATATACCACTCCCCCACGCGCATCCGTTTACGCTTCTATATATAGCTATTCCGCGAGCTAGCGCCTCATTTCACGCAAGCTCCCCTTGCTGGCTTCGTCCCTCCCTTCTCCCTGCCGTACTCTACACCGTTTACTACGACCCCGTCGGCTCCCCATTCTAAACCACCAACGTCTTCAGCGCAGTCAGACTCGTCGGGAACGTACGACAAAGTATCCCCGCCCGAAATGCGCTCCGATCGCCCTGCATTAATCGTCTCCAGCACATCCTGGACCCCCGACGAAGACTTCAGCATCCTTCTCCGCGCACTAGACTCATATGAAAAGAAAGCACGGAAGGCAAATACCCCATCCAAATCGGGAAAGAAATTACCCAAGTTGGTCGTGATAATAACGGGCAAAGGACCTCAGAAAGCCATGTATATGGAAAAGCTTCACAAGCTCCAAACAGGTAAAGGGGGAGAAGGCTGGAAATGGGTACGGTGCATTAGCATGTGGCTAGAAGCGAAGGACTATCCAATACTATTGGGTACGTCCGACACCCAACTACCGTATCCCGGAATCCGACGCGAAGTATTCTAGGCTCTGCGGATTTAGGTGTATGTCTTCACTCGAGTTCTTCTGCCCTTGATCTTCCTATGAAAGTGGTCGATATGTTTGGCTGCGGGCTTCCTGTATGCGCTTTGGACTTCCCCTGGTAAGCTTTACTCTTCGATTACTCAGACCTCTTTTTGAACGCAGTTCTCCAGCCTTCATGAACTAGTCAAGGAGGGGATCAATGGGGTCACATTCCAAACTGCAGAACAACTCGCCGATCGGTTTGAGGTGCGTCGCGCTTAATGCCCTCGCCCATTGGCTCTAAATATAATGTGATATACGCAGGAGCTTCTATCTTCCTTCCCGAACGCGCCAGCCTTGGCTGCCCTCCGTTTATCACTACACGAATCATCTCACCCACCTCCTGGTACTCCCCCACCCCCACGGCGAAGAGGCAAAGAAGACGTTCATTGGGAATGGGGCACTTGGGATGACAACTGGAACAAGGTCGTACGTCCCATTATCTTGAACGATGTAACAAAAGAGGATGCATGGTGGTGACCACCTCTGATACAAAACCACGGACACTGGACATCGAGTGCGAACTATCACAGCATATAAAGCCATGTGCAAGTCTGTCTGTATTATTATCGCCACCCCTCTATCTATATCTATCATCTAGCTCAGTGCTCAACCAGTGCTCGCTGCTGCTGCGGTTGTAGTAGCCGTGGCCGCGAACGACATTGTCTCGATGCGGCCCTTCCCTTTGCACTCCTTCTGAAGCAGCTCGTTTATTATTCGGAACTGGCTGGGATCGATCAGGAGAATCTAGCAGTGAAACTGATCAATCTATACACCCAGGATAAGAGGCTGCAAGGATGCTTACTGCTTTCCATTCTATGTCCGTCGTCTCGTCTTCTTCTACCTTCTCCGCCCCTTCTAGTATTTTTTCTCGAAGCTTCTGACCCTCCGCCGGAGGCATGGACACACGGATGCGCATGCGCGTACGCTGAATGGGTAGCGTAGATGCTGTCTGTATGAGCTTAATGCACTCAGAAACCTACGTTATCCAACGCTCATCAGTAATCCGCGACTGGCACCCTCAACAGGACTGCGCACCTGGCTCTTTGCCGTCTTATTCTGTTTGACACTGAACCCCGCCTCATTCATCGCCTTCTCTATCATCCCCACAGGGTACGGAGTCTGCGTTTTGGGATCCACACACTTCTCTGAAACAAGTGTCGCAATCTCCTTCCTCAACGACGTCAAATCGTGATCCCGCTCTTTCTCGCCGACCTGCACCTCCCCCTTCTTCAATATTTCTTGGATGATCGTATCGATATCGTTCGTCCCGAAAGCTTTCTTGAGGTCCCCGGCCTTCGCTACCTCGCCCTTGGATACGTTCACGAAGACATTCGTGATTTGCATGACATCATCGAGATTGGTTTCCCTGCAATCATCGTCGTACCGTCTCTGATACCGGGAGTGTGAAGCGAGCAGACGTACACACCGTTCCTAAATTCTTGGACTTTGTTCTTGTAGCACGCAATCTGGTGCCCGTTCAGCGATACTCCAGCCGAAGAATCAATTCGGCTCACCTCGAAGCGCTTACCACCTTTCTTCAACCTCACGATGGAGACATTGGTTAATCTGTAATTCAGGTGAGCCTGTGTCAGCTTGAACTATGCTTGGAGGACCAACTTTATCTGATTCGAGGGTTGTTGAATGGGCATCACAGCAGTGGAAGTGGTAGGTCTAAACAGTATCGATCGAAACGCAGGTCCCTATGTGGAACTGCGTGACTCAGCTCAGGGGCCGGTAGCGCCGAGCGGTACCGCTTCCGTTCGACTTCATTCCGAGCAAGCACTGGGACCGAGGCTCCAGTGGATACCATACTTCAACGCGTTTCCTCCGACGTTGGCCGTCGATCCTTCAAGCGATACTGCTGGTGAACATCCTTCGGCGACCGGTTGCGTTGGCGCTGTTTTTAGGTTAATACGCACTCAAAATGCTCCGAGTTTACCGGAATGTTGAAAGCAACATAAGTGTCATAAAATAACGAATGGCAGTGGGCATCGGTGACAACGAACATAGCACGTTGGAATGAGATACTTTCCGAAGCTTATCTCCATGGGAGGCCAATTGCCACTCGTAGGCAATACTCAACTTGCCCGTCCAGACTTTACGTTGTAGAATCGCTGATCTATCAGATCTATTCTAATAAGTGAGTGATTCATCATCCCCCCGCTGCTCAGTAAGCTTATGCTGATTCATTCGTTGTCTAAGTTGTAAGCAACCTATCCTAGCATTGCTAATATCGCCATGTCGCCCGATGCGACGATCACACGTTGAAGCATAGCGCACGTTATTCGAGGTGGTTAGGTAGCGTTCAAACTTTGAGATAACCCGAGCAAGATGTCTACTCCTCAGATTACGCTATATACCAACACAAAGTAATTAACGGTTTGACACTGAACTTTGCGATATCTTGCTCATTGTGCATTTCTTTTCATGATTATAGGCCAGTCCTTACGGACGCTGCGTTCGTTCATTTTCTTAGTGTACCCTCGTTACCGTTTCATTGATGATTCTCTTTATCAGGTGGAAATCGCCCTCCGCGGAGCCAAAGAGACGAGCCATCGCCAGCTTCCTTCAAGCTGACGGAATCTCTCGTCATCCTCCAATTTATCGCCGATATCTTCCTTGAATCAAACCTTCTGCCCCGGTCGACCGCGCTTCAGCACGCTTCCTCGTCAACTTATTTGCCGAGAAGCTCAGAACCGTGCAATCCGATGTGCTAGTCAAAAGAGGTTCACCCCAGGACGACATTGCCGTGATCGAGGAATTGCAGAAATATATGCCTGTACCAGGGGACAACAAGGGGCCTTATGTCAATGGGAACACATCCACGAGCCTCGACGCCATTTCGACTGCTTTCTTGATACGTTTGGATGGATGTCTCAAGAGGGATGTCGGGTCGTTTCCCGATGGTGAAGGCATCAAGGCGTAAGATGTTCTGCGTACGTCTGAACGATATGAGAGGTATCGGGCATATCTTTCGGCGCTACTTCAAAGGGAGTCAGTCTTGGGAACCTTTCCTGAGGTGTGTTGTGATCGCACAATTAACGATTTTTCATACCGACCATTGGTACTTTGGTGCCTTCATTGTTGCGCTTCGCAACATCTACTACCTCTCCGCGTCCCCGAGGAATGATACAGATATACTTTGTATCAACATATTAGAAATGACTACTAGGCTTGGCTTTTTTACTAGGCTTGGCTTTTTTAACTTCTCAGTGGAGACTCATCCATTCGCAGCCGACTGAAAACTGCATAACTTGCGGTTAGAGAAAGCGAAAAGGACGACGAATCGACCGATGCGTGATGAATTCACAAAATCACTACGCCAAGAGTGGCTGCTATATAAAATTTGAATTTCAGTAAATACGGAGCACCTGGACTTCAGGTGCAGGTGGCTGCAGCCGACAACGACATACTATACAACCTCCTAAATGGACGTCATCACGTGCATAGTAGATACCACCAAGAAAGATGAGCCAAAAGCCAGTTGATTGCACTAAATCCCAAGCACAACTTCACAAGATTGTGGTACTTCCAAACGAGGTACCGAAAATGTGCCATTACCTCAATATTCCGGAGATAGCTAATTTGATATGTTGTCCAGAACGGCTACTAGGTACAGCGTGTCAAGTCAATCGGCTGCGTACTTTGCATCGGTGTCGGTATTGTACCCCGCAAGGGACTTCAAGCTACGGGGCCGGATTACACATTGGAAGTGTTGCCCGTTGAAAACCCCATCGCTCTGCTCTGCTCTGGCCGATTAGATAATCGTCCACCGCCACATTGTCTCTTTCCTGTTTATCGTGATATATAGCCACGGTGCACACCACACACAACCTCAAATTGTCCCAGAAACCAATATACCGTGCATTCCAACAGAAATGAACGTCGGGCACAAAGAACATAGTGTCTAGACGATTTCAGACACTTGCCGAAGCTTCTAGTCTGCGAAGTTAATAACCATTGGCACGCAGCACGCAAATTTGCCCATCTGTAGACGTCGACATTACGTCGTTGAATCGCGAACCTACACACGAAGTGTCAGATCTACTCTACCAAGTGAGTGATTTATCATCTCCTCACTGCTCGGTAAGCCTTTGCTGATTCATTCGTTGTTAAACTCGTAAGCAGCGTATCCAAGCGGTGCTAGAGCAGCCTCGCGCTCAATGCCCACCGAAGATCTCACGCTCACTTCGCGCAATATTTAAGGTGCGCGCCCCATAGTAAAAGGGTCCAGTATCGTAACCTTAGAATACAACCAGCACTAGATGTCGAAGCCTCAAATTACAGTATACAATACTCAGGCGAGTATTGGCACGGCTCTTAGACCTGTTACAATCTGCTCATTTTTTTGATAATTATAGGCTAGTCCGTATGGTCACTATGTATGGTCATTTCTTCCGAGTGCATTTTACTGCTGTACTTACTAGCTTCGCTTTTATTAGGTGGAAATCGCCCTCCGGGAAGCCAAGGTCGAATACACCTTTTACGAAGTGGACCTACAAAACAAACCATCTTGGTTCGTTGATAAGGTTAACCCAGTAGGAAAGGTAAGCATGTGAGTATTATCCCGTACTCAAACACCAGCTTATTGTGAACTTGCAAGGTGCCTGCCATAACGTACGGAGGCCCCGTGGTGCCGCCAAACGAGCCATCTCCAGCGTCTTTTAAACTCGCAGAATCCCTCGTCATTCTAGAGTTTATCATAGACCTCTTCCCAGAAGCAAACCTTCTTCCCCGCGACCCAGTTGAACGCGCCTCAGCACGTTTCCTCGTCAACCTTTTTGCTGAGAAACTTCGAACTGCCTATATCAATGTACTGGTTAACAGAGCCTCTACCCAGGAGTTCATCACCGCGATCGATGAATTACAAAAATACATGCCCGCACCAGGTGACAACAAGGGACCGTACGTCAATGGAAGCACTTTCACGAGCATCGATGCTGTTGCTGCAGGATTCCTACTACGCTTGGATGGATGTTTGAAGAGGGATATAGGTTCGTTCCCCGAGGGTGAAGGTGTCAAGGCATACAATATCTTACATACATCCGAACGTTATGAGAGGTATCGGGCATACCTCTCAGCACTTCTTCAAAGGGAGTCAGTCTCAGGGACCTTCCCGCAGGTATGTTCACATCACTTTCAATGATGATGATCGGAGAACTGGACCTTTGGTACTTGCAGGAGCAAATAGTTGCTGTGCAACGTGCGGTCTACTTGCCTTTCCGTGCTCCCGTTTGAGGAACGATAATGTTGTATCCTGTCGTGTCTACTACTATGAGAGAATTGCATTACTTTTCTGCTCAATATAACTCACCGCCTGAACGATTCGCGGCGGCCAAAGAAAGCAATAAAAATAAGACTGAGCAGTGGATGAAGCATCACTTTGTCTACTTTTAAAGGAGCTGCCGTATAGGTGGTTGATCTCAAAGTTATAAGCCGACCTTCAGCACATGGAGACATTAAGTACTCGTAGCCTGTATATCTCCTGTCTTGGTAGGGTCTATCACGTGTACAGCCGTAGATACCGCTAGGAAAGACCCCTTGCAAAAGACAAATTCCAACACATGTCCGGGTCGAAGCGAAGCTACGAAATCGAAGAACGACCCGGATAGCTCAGATAATGGTACGCTCGAACATGGGGGTACAGCTAACCTACAGTATAATTTCCAGATGTTAAGTGGTACTAGCACTCGTAGTAGCCACAGCCAACTTAAAGCCACAGCGGCGTGCCAGTTGAGTACTCAAACGTGTATGTACTGCATTCCATGTTGTACCCATAAAGATATTTATCATTTTCCGACTTCTCTGGAGCTACTGCTGACTCATTCGCTGCTCACTCAGCGAACCAGTCAGCAACGCATCAAGCCGTTAATATATGGAGCTGAAGATCTTCCAACCGCTGTGTATTTAACGCATCTCGCCAAGACTGATATGCTAGCTTCGCACAGAAGCTTACATCTCGAAATGACTCCACAGATCACGTTGTACACGACGAAGGTGATTAACGGCCCAGCTTGTGCTTTGTAACGTACGCTCACTTCTTTCGAACATAGTCCAGTCCTTTTGGACACTATGTATGTCCATCTCTCTCAAAATATCTAAGGTCATGCTGTTTGATAGAGTTGTTGTTGCCTACCACGACTAGGTTGAAATCGCCCTCCGCGAAGCCCGAGCGGATTACTCCGTCTACGAAGTAGATCTCGTGAACAAACCACCTTGGTACACCGACAAGGTTAATCCGGCGGGAAAGGTGAGCTTCTTTATACCCTCTTCAAATTAATCAGAGCCTATCCTGAGCTTCAAGGTCCCTGCAATCTCGTATGGAGGCTCCCCTGCTCCGGCAGATGCTCCTTCTCCTTCCTCCTTCAAACTCGCGGAATCCCTCGTTATTCTCGATTTCATCATCGACATCTTCCCAGAATCGAACTTGCTCCCTATCGACCCTGTGGCCAGGGCCTCGACACGTTTTTTGCTTAATCTATTTTCTACAACACTGAGAACTGCGTGCATGAGCATAGCAGCTTTCCGAGGGTCTCCTGAGGAGGTCCTCGACGCGATCGATAAACTACAGGTCCACATGCCCGCTCCTGGGTCGGGCCGATTTGTTACTGGGGACACGTTCACGAGCGTGGACGCAGTGGCAGCGGCTTACCTTCTACGCTTTGACAGGTGTTTGGAGAGGGATATAGGGTCGTTCCCCGAGGGTGAAGGCGTCAAAGCGTACCATGTTCTGCGTACATCCGAGCGTTTTACGCGGTACAGAGCTTATCTGGCCACGCTTGCGAAGAGGGAGTCGGTGAAGGCCTCTTTTCCTGAGGTATCAGTACTTTCTTATGTGCACATTCATCGTGGCTATATAGGGTACTGAAATTCCTTTCCCGCATATAGGAAAAGGTGCTTGCACAACTTGGGCACTTCTGGGTGGGCAATCGGGCCTTTGCCTAAGTCCTCGATGAATCGTATCCGTGGATCTGCTCAGTGTCTGGGCACTAATAAGAATATTATTAACCCTCTGTGTGATATATAGCATAAAGCTCACTTTGGACAAACTGAAGGATGCCGTGGACAAGTCCTCCTAGTCACGCGCCTTAATTTCAACCAAAAAGTTAACGATAAAATGATCAAATTATAAGGTAGGATATATGGAAGCACCGGAATTAAAGAATGGACGGATGGCAAAGTGCCTCCTAAGTAACAACAAACAGAAAGGACAGTGGGTAGATGCTGGACTAAAGCCAGATCACAAATATGCGTAACGGAAAGCAGTAGTAGCTTGTAACTTGAAAGAATGAATGCGAAATCATAGGGACAGGAAGTCTATGAGCTCGAGTGAATTAAGTGAGGGTCCATATTGAGGGAATAAAGTAGAAGCCGATTAGCTGTGATTATATGGCGTATATTGCGATGGTGAGGTAGATAATTGAAAGCAGTTGGACACAAGCTGTGAAGCTGCGAAAAGCAAGGCCCGAAAGTCTCAACGAGAAGGACGGTGCCGCGGATTTGGAAAGCAAACATGCGATAACCCGAGGAAGGATGAAAAGCGTTGGCCAGACGCAGACATTCTCTCCCCGATCCTCGATATTGACACGCGCGAACACCAATAGTCACGAGTGGGGCCATCGAGTTGGTCGGCTCTGTGTTGCCGTTCTAACATCCGGAGGTGCGTTCGGCTGAAACAGACAGCGACAATCTAAGAAGTGTGTATGCTGATTATGATATTATACCACGCCAAGGAGCGATGATATATTGATCCGCTTTGGATTCTTCTGGTACTCGTTTCGCCATCCAAAGGAGGAGGGTGGTTCGGACAGGGCTAGGCGAGGAGAGTCATGGTCGTCAACCATGCCTGGAGCGCCCTCGCACGGAGATCGAAGGGTAGTGGGGGCCTGTCAAAGTAGTCGCGTTGCACATCCTCTTTAGTCCCTTTCTGCTGGGGGCAAAAGTAGGTCGCATTTCGGATTACTGTCGACATTGCCCATCTCCGAGCCATCCAAAAACATGCAGTCTCGAAGCAGGGCCAAAATGAAATGCGCTGGCCAGACGCAATCCATCCGGACCCTACTCATCAACTGACATGCTCGAACGAGTTTCGCGATCATCGTGCAATGTGAATCATTGATGGCGGATTGTAGGTGGTCGCCAGAGTAAATGCGGTATGAGATTCTATGTGATAGCGAGATTGAAGATGTTTTTCATGGTGCTTCGAGAGTGATGCGGAAGAATTTGAAGTTATGATTCGTTGGTTTCATGTCGCCCACCCGCTCGCCATCTACGCCCTCCCCAACAGCACGTTCCTCTCCCCGTCCCGCAACTCCGCGCTAATCCTCGAACGCTGATCCCAGCACCTCCTCCTCGCGCGCTGCAGACTCAAAGTACTTAGGCGATTGCCCATATCTTGGTGTATATCCACAAATAACTTCATCCACTCCCCATAGAGGGATCTTACCGGGTGAACCAAGGCTAGACCCGCCGGATGTCTTTCCAGATCCTAAAGACTCCGTCGAGGAGTGTTCAGGTAACTTGCTGCGCGTGTCTTGCTTCTTCAGGTATGCAACCTGCCAGTCACAACGAATCTCTGCGATCCCAGCAGGGAATACAGTAACGGAGGGGTCGTCAGCCTTCTTCCGGCCGACTGGTTCCGCGCTGTACGTCCCAGTGTACATCGGAGATGCGATCTTTGCCCAGTCACTAGAATTGGAATGAGCAAACGAAATTATGGATACATGAGAGGAACGACTTACATGCCGGCAAAGTATCGATGGTCCTTCACGTGTTGGAGGTCGGATATACGGTTGCTTATCATACAGAGAATCAAGTGTTGCAAGGCAGGGCGAACAAGGTCCACGCGTCGGAAAGGGATGAAGTTACCCCGTTTGTCGAATGGCAATCGGCTAGTTGCCATTTGGTACATGCAGACGCCAAGGTTACGGATGTCGCCGACGAAGTTGGGGGAACCTCGCATAGAAATGATCGTTTTCCCCAAGCCACCAAGCACTGGTCGGCCTGTAGGCGTAAGATGTACGTTTGCCAGTGTGACATCGTTGTGAATAGTTTGCAAGTGGTGTAAGAAGATGAGCGCGGAGACCTGCAGCAACTGTCAGCCTCCGATAGTCAAGCATAAGAAGGGGGGACATACGATATGAGCCGCATAAAGTCGAGCTTGTCCTTTGTTGAAAGGTTGCTCGCGCAAAGCGTCCGCAAGTGTATACGGGTAGTAGTCCGTAAGGATATACTTCTCGCCCACCTCCTCCCAGTGGCTGACAATCTTGACGAACTCGTCGCATCCAGAGAGCAGGAGCATCATCATACGCTCATCGCGTAGTCGACTGCGTTGTTCGGCCGTCAGAAGGTGCGTTCGGTAGACACTGAGGGTGAAGTGCTGCTTGGTGTGATTGTGAGCGACGAGCCATACGTCATGTGAAGGTTCAGTGTGAATGCTTTGGACTATGGTAAGGTGCTTGTGTTCAATGGAGGGTGCACCAACGAGGGTGCTGCACGAAGATGCGGGACTCGAGCCTCGAGAAGACGAGCCCACGACGGGGGACTTGCGTAGTATGGGAGGCAGTGGTAGCGTCTACAGTCTACGTGTAAGCTGGGTATTGCTATGCATTAGAAGGATACATACCTGAGCGCGGGACTTCTTAGAGAAGATCTTCTTGAGGTTGAAAGGCATAGCGAAGTCGAGGGGATAAGTGGAGATGATGGGGGTTGAAGGAAGAGATAGAAAATGGGGGAAGAGATATCTAGTGCCAGCTATAAAGCAACGAAGTCCCTCCTCAGAGTGCAAGCCACCGGTCAGCCATCTATCCAGGATGTAACCCCTATGACAACTTGAAGCTCCTAACAGGAGTCCAAAGAAGGCAATTCCCGCCTAAATAGGCGCCGGTCATCGACACTGTTCAGGTTCTAGCACACCTGGTAGCAACTAGTAGCAGCCAAAAAGTCTAAATGCAGGGGAGGGTCGTAAATTGTGGATTAGGATGAGGACTGAGCTAAAGAAACTCACCTCGAGCGCATACATGGCCTCTTGGCCCACGAGACTTTGTCATATCTCGTATGGCCATGAATGGTTTGCGAGCTTCTTCGAGCGCGCGAGGTTGTTCTTGACATTAATGGAACGAGTCCTCTAGGACTTGTTCGGTCAGGAACTATGCACCATGAATGCATCAGTCTATCGTCAAGATTGTCGGAAGAAAGAGAATGAAGACTTGAAGACCTCGAATGGACCAAATGTGAGCCAGCGACGTGAAAGTGTGATGCTGGACATGAACTTTCGAGGACACATGGGAAACGCGTAAACGTTGAACCTCGACGCGTCTGATCCAAAGTGATCGTGGAAGTAAGGAACACAAATGATTGGGCGCTTCGCCCAAGAACATATGATTGATGGGCGTCTAAGCTTTGGCTTGATGGAGTGACTCCTCCGCTCGCGCAGTTCTTGTCCAGAACCACACCCTCAGATTTGAAACCGTGTAACAATTGCAGCCATGAAGGGCCTTGCCAAAGCGGTGAAAAGGTGTCGGCGCACGTCCTCTTCATAATGACCATTATTCATCGTCTAATGTCTCCAGAACACCGTTCATGGTGACCAGCAAGGTCGGCATGTCCAAGAGTTAGTTCGAATTATCGTCCATCGATGAGGGCGTTCAGATCATCTACGTTTCTAATGCTCCCTGTGACTCCCAGAGACCACCGATCCTGAATTCGACGACTATCAACGCCATTTCGCTGATATGGAAAAGGCGGCAGAGCAACTGCTCAAGGATACCAAGGCATTCATGGATGCAGTCACAGGTGCGCAGTATTGACAAATACAGTCACCGCTGCATTCATGGTATCGTATTGCTAGGTTTGTTCACTGCCGGAACGGGGTTTGCCACACATTACGCTACCATCTTCCGTCCTATCGGGGGCGAGTTTGACCTCATCGGAAAGCATCCAGAGGCTGGCCACACCATTAAGAATGTAGACAAGTTCGAAGCCGCCATGGACGATCTTCGAACCGCATGCATCCCGGAATTGGAGTTGATTGAGAGCAGGATAGTTGGGCCGACCAAGGAGCTTCAGGTAATCATGAAACAAATACGGAAGACGATTACGAAAAGGGAACACAAGGTTCGTCAAATCTAGCTTTGCATCCGACTCGACCGTACTCACACTTGGATTTAGCTGGTTGACTACGATCGCTTCAACAACTCGCTTACAAAATTACGCGACAAGAAGGACAAGTCTCTGAGTGACGAGAAGAATTTATTCAAGGTGCGCTTCTTCAATCATGCTAATGCACACGGTAACAGAAACTCCACTTTATCAGCTTGAGCAAGATTTCGAGGTAGCCACGAGTGAATATGATTACATCAATACGGCGTTGAAGCAAGACATGCCCCGTTTCATGCAGCTCGCAACCCAGTTCATCGATCCTCTATTCCATTCCTTCTTCTACATGCAGCTCAATATTTTCTACATCTTGCTGGAGAAGACCAATTCATTTGGGGAGGAGGCTAAGATGGATATTGCAAACAGGCCTGGCAGCCAGATCGCCGAGGAATACGAAGCTCGACGTGGTGACATTATAGCTGCCGTCGAGAACCTCCAAATCATCAAACGAATCATATCTGTCTGTCAGTCGTCTGTCCCTAATCACCTCAGTGTCGAACGTTTCGCTGACTGGATTCCGCCCCGCAGCTCGACTCGTTCAAGCAAATCGTGCGGGTGCTGGCCTCGGTCGCGCACCATCCACGGCCACCACCTCATCTACATCCTCATCATTGCGCGCTCCGCCGCCCATGCGTAGTGTCTCTTCGTCATCTTCATTCAAGAAATCCCCTCCCCCTCCCCCGGGACCTCCCTTAGCGGCGCCCCCGCCATATACTCCATCAATAGGAGGTCAAGCAGCAGCAGCGTCTGCTCTCACAAAGAGACCACCCCCACCGCCTCCCTTGAAGCCCAAGCCCAAGCCGGCATCTCCTCCAAGACAATACGTCGTTGCTCTGTATGATTTCGTCGCTCAGGTAAGAAGATAATCCCAGACTACCATGTATAGATGAAGCACTAATTCCATGTATAGGCCGACGGAGATCTGTCATTTAGGACCGGCGATCGCATCGAATTAGTCCAACGGACTGCGAGCTCAGAGGACTGGTGGACGGGAAAGCTCAATGGGCAACAAGGCGTATTCCCGGGTACGTGCTTCGCTCTCGTATCGGGCAACTTATTTAAGTATCGTAGGCAATTACGTCCAAGATACATAATGATACCCAATGGATCTGCTATTTATCCTGTCTAACAGCAAATGTTGACTATCTTTCGTCAGCGAATCATTTTACTGGTGTTCTGTACACGGCGCGCTGAAAGCTAAGCATATCTTACAATCATTGGTGTCGTGGGTCCATAAACGAACAACGACCTGTCATACTCCATGAGATATTTCGCATTAAGACCTAGCATCCCTCGCGGCCCTCTCCGCCCTCATCTCCTCGATGAGAATGAGATCCGGGTCACGACCTTTCACCTCGGGAAGCAAGAGCGTAAACACTAGAACCATTCATCAGTTCCATGTTCTAGTTGATACGGACAACGTTAACTCACCCGCTCCAGCGATGCAGCATCCGAAGAATACTGAAGAACGAAGTAAGTATGAAACTTCACCACAGATCCGGACTCCAGAGGTCCATTGTCTAGACGGAACGGGACTTACTCCACAATACCGCAGGAGTGCCGATTTCCTTGCTGAGCTTATTGAATGCCAAGGCCGAGATGATGGCCCCAGCTTTCCCCGCTGCCGCTGAGATTCCATGTGCAAACGCACGGAATCGTGTGGGGAAGACTTCTGCAGGGTAACACTGTGTAGTAAGGCTGGGGCGTCAGAGGTTGGCACTCCATACGTTAGGTAGCACTCACGTAGGTGGTGCTAAGGTTGTACGCTCAAGGTTAGCAAGCCAAGTAAACATGAAGAGTGAACGAGAAACTAACGTGTTTGCACCGAAGTTAAAGAAGAACTACAGGTACATACGGCGCGTTAGTTACGGTGTCAGTAGGTAGAACGACAACCACTTACTTGGAGCAAAGCGAAGTTGACGATGAACGCCGCGGTACTGAGTTTGTCAAACATCCCAGCAAGGATAGCCACTACACCAAGCACCGTCAGCAAAATACGTCCCTTATTTCTCGACCTTCCACACTCACAGAACAACGCCGACATCAGGAACCCTTGAATCTGAATCCACTTTCGGCCAAGATACTCGATCGTCAAGATGGACGCATAGTAGCCTGGGACGAAACCAAGGGCGGTGATGATAATATTCCCTGTTGCGATCTTGAACAGTTTCTCCCATGGTGTGCCTTCAGCACCATCGAACCCAATCTGCTGTAGGACGACATTTTGGTTGAGATTGATGCCGTAGAAGCTACATAGAATGTGCATTAGGAGCCAGGGGTGCGATATAGGAGAGATGGACGTACGCGATATCGAGCAAGAACCAACACATGCATGTGCCGACGAGCAGTTTAGCATGCCTCCATTCAGAGAAGTACTTGATGAATTCTTACAAAGGATGCACAAAGGGCGTCAGCCATCACCCACAGAATTACGCGAAGGAGCATACCACTAAAATGCGCTTTCTTAACGGCAACCTCTGTAATATCCTCTTCACTTGAATCGGGCGATAATTTCTCATCGCTCTTCGCTTCTACTTTTACACCGTCTTTAGTCACTTCTCCGACTTTCGGCTTGTCGGCGTCCTGTTGTGCAGCCTTGCTTAAATCGTCAAGGGCGGTTTCCTCTTCGTGAAGTCTTTTCGACGCCTCGTAACGCGTGGCTTCAGGTAGGGTCAATCGTTGATACAGTGTCCCAAATGCAGGAACAAGCGAGATTCCAACAACGATACGCCAAACTATCAAAGCAATCATTTCAGTTACCACTCAAATTACACATAGCAGTGATCGGAAGAACTCACCTCCATCGACCTTGCTGGTCTTGCCCTCAGTATCCATGACCTGCTTGTAGCACGCCAGAACGACCATAGTCGCCAAACCGCCGACGAAGCTTCCCCATCCCTGGTTTGAGAAGATATACGCTAGCAGCGTGCCTCGTTTCCGCAGATTAGCACGGTCTGAGGTGATGGATGCCGACATAGGGTAGTCCCCTCCTACGCCGATCCCGAGGAGGATGCGGAATACACCGAGGTAGATCAGGCAGCCATCCGGAGAGAGTGTGCCAGTTGGAGTGGTCAATGTAAGGATTGTGGCAACGATAATGAGCATGAGCTCCTTCCCATCTACGTATTGAAAGACATGAGAATGGGCATTATTCGAGATGAAATAGAGAAATCACTAACAGACAGCCTTGCGACCAAGGGCATCAGCAGCATAACCTGTTATTGTCTGTCTTAACATTTAACAATATGAAGACTGTCATTGAGACTTACCGAATGCGAATTGACCGATGACACTGCCAATATTTGCGCCAGCCTTGACAAACCCTTCAAGATTTGCTGGCAAGTGATTTCCTCCATAGAGGCGATATTGAAGCATTGTCGCCACAGGCTAGAGAACGACCATCAGCACTAGCGCGTACATTCCCACTACTAGGACTTACGTTGATGATGAATAGATCGTAGGCTACAGTCAGAGACAGTCAACTTGAGCACTTATAGAATAGATCGTTGGTAGTTACCATCAAGGAAGAACCCAATCTACCCAAGCATTTACGTTCAGCATCGCCAACGCCAGTTCAAGGAGGGACAGTCTACTCACCCCTGCAATTCCAAGCAACTTCAGCTCACTGTACGTGAGGAAGAAAACCGGCCGCCCATCGCTCGATCTCTCGTACTCCTCAAGATTCGAGTTATGTCGCCGGGGTGATACAGGGTTATCAGAGGTCGACATCGTAGTTCAGCTGCCCAGCGGAGGGTCTCTGGAACAATTCCAAGCAGGAAGTTAGCCAAGTCGCGCTCGACGTCTCCAACAACTTACTGGGCAAAAGCTAAGAAGCTAAGAGTTGAAGGGGAGGAATCTGGGGGCCGACGGAGATGCGAAAACTGGTCGTGTGCCATGAAATACACGCATTGAACTCCACTTGATTTAGAAGATCTCCGGGTCGGGCTTCGAATCTCAGCGACTTGAATCTCAGCGGCCACCGGAATTCACACTCAGTATCTCCTGGCAGCCGGCCTTGGCTCGACTTGAAATCACGAAAAAGAATGCTTTCAGAAGCGTTTCCTAGTAGGTAGTGAATAAGCTAGACGAACGTTCGTGGATGCCTTGCTGCTCTCTTAATCGCTGTTTCTCGCCGCCATTCAAAGCGTGTGCACCTGAGATATTACTGCTTCGCATGCGATCCAAAGCGTGGCTACGCGAACTTCTTTGAATTCTGGAATTTCAGCCGGACCTTCGAAAGCCTAGTTCCCCAAATCCACTTGGTCTTCTTCCGTACACATGATCGTACATGATACGACAATGCTGGGAATAGCAGTCGATGGATGGTGATAAGGATGGTGGCTTGACACATATTGATGAGGCGTAAAAGGAATGCGGTAGGCAAGTCCGAAGTGATCGATCTGGCGTGAACTTTTCGCCGAATATGAAAGCGGCCTCGAATTCAGATCGTTGAAACAAGATCATATATTGCATGTATGCAGGCCTATGCAGTACATCTAGAATATGCCTATTGTCCATTAGGCCTTTAACTCTAGAAAGGAGGTCGTGTATGAGCCTACGTCAGGCGAATACGCCTAATAACCATCATCGCCTCCGTTGTCCCAACCTCCTTTATCCCTAATCCCCCCGGCGGCCATCTTGAATTTCGTCTTCGACTTGCGGCCTCCAAGGTCCTTGTACATCTCCCGCATTTCGACTTTGCCGGGCTTCACCGACGCTTCCGCTTCCAACTTCCATTTCTCCTCCCTTATCTCGCGTGGGGTCTGATATCCAGACGCAGTACCACTGGGGGAAGTGTATCCTGACCCTCTCATAGCTTTTGTAGTGGCATTCATCGAGGGTTCTTTACTGGCTTGAGATTGAATGTACACGATACGCTAAGATAAGATATAGATTAGGTAGACTGATAAGCAATAGAGTGGACGCACCCAATTCTGTTTGGACTCGCGTTTCGTCCACTTGCCAGGAGGCAAGCTCTCGTCGTGAAAGTTCTCTTTCCTGTAGTGCTGGAACCACACTAGATCTATATCAGCACCAGACCGAGTCATACGTTTGGCCGACTCACCATAATTTATTGATTGGCTCCTGTTCCATTTCTTCGATACCCTGGCGCATCGGGCGAGCTCAGTTATACTCAGGCGTCCAAACACCTTTTGTGATATCTCAGTGGGCAGTGCCCTCAACGGATCCGTTGTCGCGGTGCTCTTCGATCTCAAGTGCAACGGCCCAGGGGCTGGTCTTGAGGAGGCGCTACTGCGCCCCGTAGGCGACGATGGCCGTGTTCGTGCGGGTGTCCCAGGCAATGATATCTGAGATCCCAAGCAAAATAATCCCCCTTCAGCCATCCGATAATCTCTGATGTCGACTGAATACGTACAACATTGACATATGACTCATCGTCAGAGTCGTGCTCTGGTTGATTATTATCAGGATTGTTGTCGAGGACAACGTATGAGTCTATAGACTGCGAGCGCAGAACATCCTGGCGCAGACTCATTGTGGTGGTGATGGTAGTGGTGATCGCAGAGGGCAAGGTTAAACGCAGGCGAACAGCTGGCGAGCTGACTTTATAGGTGGCCCGTTCGCCCAAAAAGGAAGTTTAGTCATGACGTCAAGGCACGTGTGCAGCACCCCTAGCCAATAGCAGAGCGTACCTTTCTCAGCACCAGGGCATCCAGAAGCAAACTGGAACGCGAGTAGACTGCATAAGCCAGATACAATAGAAAACAGCGCCCAGCGCCCAGATAGATACAATCCTACTCGACCCGCCGCCGTTTGTCTCTGTAGTCAGAGTCCGATGGTCTACTCGACGGACGCTCCCGGGCATCGTACTCATCATCCCGACCCCTTCTCCTCGGTGGAGGTGACCGTGATCTCGTCCTCGACCGTGAGCGCGACCGCCTACGTGAATATCGATCTCTCTCATCGTACCGTGAGCGGTCCCTGTCGTTGTATCGGTCGTATTTTCGATCATCATAACGCCCGCTTCGATCACTTTCTCGATCCCGTCGGTTATTATCTCGGTTCTCGGGGGGAGGTCCGCCTCGTGGTGGTTGATCATGTTTATCTCGGTCGCGCCACGACCGGGCCCCTGTGGCTACTGAGTTAGCTCCAGTCCCAGCAGGTATGCGTCCAGGAGGTAAATTCTGATTTTGCGGACAATCTGTAAGAGGGAAATCAGTTTGATGTCTCCAAAGATGGTTGCCGGATAGCTTACCTTTCTTCAGATGAGGACCACCGCACAGAAAGCAACCCCCGCCGTCTTTCAACGAGGTACCACCTGCTTTCACTGGCGCAGCACCGCCAAAGCCCCCATTTCCAGCAGTGGTATCTTGATCAAGCAAATGGGTGTACTTCGTACGCCCACGCTTGCCAAAGTTCTTCACCTGCATGACCTGGGGTAGCACAGATACGTCGACAGTAGATTCAGTAGCCTCCGTGTAATCGTGACGCTTAAGAATATCGGCGTCCTATTGCAAACACAATACTTAGCGAAAGGAGCGGCGTGCAAAGGGGAATCAAACCTCACCTGATGGAAAGCACCCTTGTGCCAGTACTTCTGCAAGAATTTCTGTTGGCCTTTGGGTTTCTCCTCCCTAGTTTTATTCGCCCGTTCTAAATCTTCCTTCAACCTCTGTTCCTCTGGCAATGCGCGCCGCCTCTCAATCTCCTCGCGTTCTTCCTCCCTGCGCACCTCATCTTCCTTCTCCTTCTTAATGCGACCCAACTCGCGCAGCCGCCATGCCTCGAACTCAGCAGCGGGGTCCAGTCCATCCGTGTCATCAACATCGGGAATTTCGTCTTCCTTTTGTTCTTTGAACTGCCGTAAGATACGAGTCCAGCAAACTAGAGACGCACTCACTTTCCGCGAGTTCACGTCTTATACTCTCCGCGACGAGATCGTGGCTCTGTTTCCGACGCTCTTCAGCTTCCAGTTCCTTTCGTTTGCGGGCTTCCTCCGTGTCGTTGATTAGTGTTTCACGTTCGTCAATTGTGACTCTCCCCCGCCTGTAAATATGAGGCTCAGCAATCAAACGATAGTATATGTACTGAGAGTGCGTACTTGGGCACAAATACAGGTCGGAACTGTACTTTTGGTTGTTCTTCTTCGGATTCGCTCTCCTCTTCGCTGGACTACGCGGAATTAGAGTAGTGATCACAATAGTCGCGAAGATGGCACACACATCTTCCTCACTTTCTTCCTGTTTCGCCTCCGCGTCAGACTCCTCCTCCTCTTCCTCCTCTTAAGATTTCGTTCGTCACCTCCAACGAACGGCGCAGCGAACGAAACATGCACTCACCTTCCAGCTGCGTCCGTCCACTCTCTTCCCGACCAGCAACAATAACCTTCCCCTCATTCGATATACTGACATCCTTCAGTGCGACATTCATGATCTTCTGTGGTCTTGCAGCCTTCTTCAGCTGCATCTCTTCCTCCTGTTCTTCATCGTCGCCAACAATATCCTGGTCCCCTCCAATGGGCACATCGCCCTCTTCTAACTCCTGGTTATCGTTGTCTTCCTCCCCTGCATCGGAATCGGACTCGACCTCTAATGCGCCTTTGGGGGCTTTGCCCTGCCAGTAGCGGCCTATAGGTTTGGCAGGTCGGGGAGCCTGTTTACGGACAGCGGAAGACATATGATGGTGGCAAGTGCAGGCCGGAGATACAAATACCCGTAAACAGGCGCCCCATTGGTCGCAAGTCATGCTACAGCAACTTGCACTACACAGTTGCACTCATTTTGAACCGCGTCTCTACATTGCTGGTATGCTTCCATCAAGCTCGCATCTCGACAATGTGGAATTGATGGCCAGTTCTCGACAAGTAAAACTTCATCTCCACACGGCTTTCTATGAGTTCTCATTACTTATTGTCTCAGGACATTCAACGAGGCAAGCGCCATAAAGTAAGGGCCGCTCATCTCGCCGAATCCTCGAGTACGGCGATGAGAATTTGCACGTATACACCACTCATCCTGGCCTGCACCAACGCGCGCTGGCGGTGACTGCGCCGGCGCTTATCGGGCGGAAGTGTCTTCTTTGGTCAAATCTCCACAGGGGCTCGCTTCGCATAGGGGCTACCTCCTGGAATCCATGGCTGACCGCAGTCTGCACATAAATGGTCCAGGAGACTCGTAGTCCCCATTCGCATCTCTCTTCTCAACCACCACCATCTCACCTCCCAATTCGCATATCGAACCCGTTCATCGAACCAGCTATGCCTTTCCAACTCCGTAAGATTTTCTCCAAGAAGGCTCGCGCCATCAAGGTATGTGTCCTCGTCATCCTATAATCACGTCGCGCTCACTCTTGATGCCCAGCCTATGCCTTCGTCGCCGTCGTCTGCATCTCTGGAAGCCCCTGTCATCCACCCTTATCCCCAAGGCTCAAGTCCTACATCGTCGTGCAGCACTCTGGTTGGCACTCCAGCCATCGAGCGCAAGGATTTGATCATAGTCAAGTGCCTGAGCATCAAGCATGCCCACGACGTATGGCTTGTCTCCCACAAGCACACTGGGCAACTCTATACCCTCCACATCTACCAGCTACACCTTATGAGCGACGAACAACGCGATCTCGTACATAACGAACGCGAAATCATGACTCTGCTATCAGCGAGCGGACACTTCCTGAATATCGTGTCTCACTGGAGCGACATGGGAGAAACTTGTATCCTTACCGATTACCACCCGACCACGGTACAAGACAATCTTAGCGAGCAGCCTCTCAGTAAGCGTGAAGCACAACGTTATGCAGCACACATGGTATGTTTCCGGTCCGTCTCATCTTATACTCCAGGTGGCTGACACGTCTCACTATAGACCTCGGCGTTGTTGCTCTTGCACAACATGCGGGCTGCGCACAACGACGTCAAGTTGTCGAATATGTATCTTACTCCCGCAGGTCGACCACTGCTCGGTGGTCTGGCGAAAATCAGTACGGGGTCCCCTATGGAAGGAGCGCTGAAGGATATCCGCGACCTGGGGGTTTGCATGTATCAAATGGCGACCGGTACAATGCCTTTCGATGAAGAGGGAAATTTTATGCCCTCGCAAATTGAAGATCTTGCCCATCCCGATCTTCAGTTGCTCATTATCGAGTTGCTGACGAACCAAATCACCGACCTGGAATGTTTAAAGTATCACCCGTACTTTGATGGAATGTGAGTAGCTTCTACTTCTTCACTGTTTCGTTCGCTTATGCCGTTCCAGTGACTGGGAAGAGATTGTGTCTCCCTCAGGCGACATTCAGAAGTCAGACTCCGCGAGTGTCTTCCCCGCTGGCAAACGCGACTGGGAGCTTGTCGACGTGGAGAAGCCAGAAGCACTCGTTTCCGTCTTCACTGAATCATCATCAATGGATTCGCTATCCTCTATTATGTCGCGTCTTTCTTACCCAGGTTCCCCTATCACGACCCCCCAATGGGAGGTAGAGCAGGTGGTCTGGCGATGTGCGCCTGGGTACAGAAAGTCACCTGAGTTCGTTCATTCTCCAGGACCTCAGGAGGTAGTTGTGCTAGGTTCAGTGTTTGATGCTTGAGCAGACGAACGTGGAACAGGTGGCGGGTGTGATGCAGGAGATGTGGATAGTATTTTGGGGCGAGCGACGGAGAAATCACAACGAATCACACAAAGTCAAACGGATATTCTCAAAAAACACCCTCGAACCACTTCAATCACCCTCAAATGCCCCGCCATTGCAACAGCAGTCCGAGAACGTCGATCGAGGAGGAGGTCCACGGATGAATGCGTCTGGCCAACGCACTTCATTCTGGTCCTGCTTTTAGATTATGTTCTCGGATGGGTCGTTCGACCCACACCCGGCCTCCCGAAAAGAGCCTCGGGGAACGAAGGCTGGGATCCGCAGCATTGAGCACTAGTGCTCACTAAGAAGACACGGAGTGTTGTGGCGAACCACCTTTCCCTTGGATCATTTCGAGGGTACTACATCTGCTGCCCACAAGGACCTATGATCCTTGACGTTCCTTGGACGCCGGATCATTCGCATCCATTCTGCGCAAAGCAACTTGCACCCATGCAGACCCCAAATTCTCGATGGCAGGTTTAGCCGATGCACCACTTACTACTACTGCTCGATCGCTCTCGTATTCTTGCTTCGTGAATTTATCCGCAATCTTCCGTCTTTCATTATTGGCTGGACTCCATGTCTCCGGACTTCATTATTTTTTTCACGGACAACTTCTGCTGCCTATTCTATATCATTAATTAGTTTTTCCTACCACTCTTTGTTCCTTGCTACCTAGGAGGCTTTTGCCATCCGTCCCTTCTTTATATTTATTCGAGATACAATAACACTATTCTTTCTCTCGTTGCCATCCGAAGAGAGTGATCTTCGACACATTAAATAAGGACACGACCAGAAGGAACATTCAAATAGTCAAACTCGCACTCATTCCGGCGCCATAGAACATCTGGTTTAAAACTATGTTAAGCAGTAGAATATATCTATGAGACTGGGGCCCGCTTGGACAAAAAGATCTCATGTTGCTTAGACATGAGTTCCTCCTGATCCACGGATTCGAGCATTAGACTCAATGTGATGATTCTGATTGCAGGAAACACATACCTCGGGGTAAGTCTCTTTGACCGACTCCCTTCCCGCCAACGCAGACAGATATGCCCTGTACAGTGCATACTGTTCGGACGTATGCAGGACATTGTATGCCTTGACACCTTCACCCTCAGGGAAGGAGCCAATGTCCCTCTTCAAACAACCATCAAGACGTATAAAGTATGCTGCAGCTACGGCATCCGCATTACCGAAGGTATTTCCAGCAATGAACGGCCCTTTGCTATCGTTTAGAGATCCCCCAGGCATATATGGCTGTAATTGGTCAATTGCGCTCAGAATATGGTCCGGCGAGCCTCTGTTGATCATCGCGTTGAGATGCGCGGGGTGGAGCTTGGTAAGAACGAGGTTGATGAAGAAGCGCACGGAGGCGCGAAGGAGGGGATCTGACGGGAGGAGACCCGAGTCGGGGAAAATATCTGCGATGAACTCGAGGATAACAAGGGATTCTGCGAGTTTGTGGGAGGCGGGCGACGGGTCATCTGCAGGAGTAGTTGGACCTCCGTATGTTATTGCAGGAACCTTGGTTAAATCAGTGTTCCATTTGAAGACAATGGCAGAGGTAATCTACCTTGCCTGCAGGGTTGACCTTCTCGGTGAACCACGAAGGCTTGTTTGGTATCTGGACTTCGAACCTGCTATATTCTGCCCTGGCTTCCTGTAGGGCGATTTCGACCTGATGCTGGTAAGCAAACATTCGCCGTTTCATGACATGACAGAACGTACATAGTGTCCATACGGACTAGCCTGACCACAAGAATGTTCAGTTAGCGTGACATACATAGACGTACGATAAACACATCAGTGATCACCTTGTTACTGTATAGAGTGAGTTGAGGGGCCATTCCGATCTAGTATGCTTGCAAAAAACCTGCTGGATGTGCTGACCACCTCTTTGCCAACTCTTAAGTACAAGGCAGCGCTGAAACGTGTCTTGTGGAATGAACTCCACGTATGCCGTTAACTCAATGTCCAGCCCTCGAAGAATGAGCGCATTGCTGACGAACAAGGCAACGGACACTCTACGAAAAAGTGTGTTGAGTGAATCAGCAACATGTCGCCGGGGGGTCGGAAGATGATAAATAAATCTCACATGTGTGTAAGCGTTGCGGTGTAGTATGTGTGTGGCCGGTTGGTCTTACTACAGCAGGGACGCCAAAATACATTGATCATGCCGTAATGACTTCAGAGCTTGTTTCGAGCTCTCCAGCAACTTCTGTCCTCAATCTTCAGTTACTGCTACCAAGGAGTGACCGCTAGCACTCATCCACCGATTGGATTGCGAGATGTCTTCGGAAAAAGGCCTCGTCAACTCCTACAGAACTATCAATAGTTCTGCAGTGACGAAGCGTACTTCTCATCTCCATCCTCGCCATCCCAGTGAACTTCCCCAGCAGTGATTGAGCAGCCCACAATCGAGACCCCTTCGACTGGTATGCCAAGGTGCCTACACTCCACAAGGAGATCCTTGAGGGCATCAAACGAGGTATATTTCTAGCCACCTTTGACCACAGTCAAGCCACGCGTAGTGAAGTGAATTGTTTGCGGATGAGGCAATAGAGGTTCGTCGAGTGTCGAGTGATCCCTTCATCAGAGCCGTGATACAGTGGTCGACTGAGATACCGGTGAAGTTGATTTCACATATTTGCGAGCAGCGAAGGAATAGATTTGACCATTCTGGCTGCGTCATCCCTTCAATTTCCAAGATAGAGTAGGGGTCGAATGGCAATGCTGAGCACAGCACTGTACAGAGCATAGGATTGTGGGCCTGTTCTGTTTCTGGCATGAAAGGTATATGTCGTCCTGGCTCCAGACAGTAAATCGTAATAGGAGCCGTCGAGTAAAACCCTGTTGATTGAGAGAGCATATGTTTAGCGAAGTGACCGCATATTTCGACCAGTCCGGACGGATCAGGTTCTTCTTGACGTATCCTCGTATTGCCAAATATGACCCTTGCATTGGGGATATGGTAAGTGCACAAAAATGGCGGCGGCTTCGAGGAAATCGGCTTCAATACATGTTCGCGTGAGCTTGGGAAGCTGGATGAGCGGCCACGAGGGATCCGTAAAGACGTCATTAACAAGACCACGAACTTCGATATCCTTCAAGAACAATGACAGAGCGAAGGTAACAACAGAGATGAACGGATCCCATGACCGGAAGTGAAAATGTGGGGGTACCCGAGATGCGGAAATGGAGGAAGGTTGGAAGTGATGTTGAAGTTGTGGAGCTTAAGGTGACGAAGGGAGGGCATATCCCGACACAGGACATCGGCAGGTAGTGCGAATGGTTCCGCAGAGGAGACAACTAGTCCCAACTGCTCTGGTAGCTCTTGTGTCCGACCAATTTCAACCATGATAGCGTAGGCAGATCTCTAGCGTTTGTATACGGCCAGCTTCTCTCCTGATGCCCTCTAAAACATGTTCGTGTAGTTTGGTAGATGGGGGCGTTGCACAGATGATTTGCAAGGGCGCAGACTTGGACCGCGTGAGTAGTTCCAAAGTGTATTCTGCTCGAGCACCGTCGATAGAGGTCCACATTCGAGGGACGCGAGTGAAACGTCCCGCCATTGTCGACACACCCCGGCAACGCGAGCCGCTTCGTTCTGGGACACAGTTGCCTTCAATGAAAGAAAGATTTTCGTAAGTATTTCTTGGGGTAGCCTCGCGATGCTGCTGTAAGTGTTGCGCCGGTATTTAATTCAGTATTTAATTCACAGATCAGCTTCGTGCGTTGCAATATCTTTGTCGATGACACACCGGGCGTCTGCAGCAGCGTTTCGATTATGAGACCTATATCATGAGGTCAATATTATCGTTGAAAAGAACATTATATACTCAACATGAGAGTTGTCAGTAAGCTTTGAATGGACGTTCAGGCGCTTATGCATTATGGCCCATAGTTCGTTTCTCGATTTTATCGCCTAGTCACAAATTCCTTCTCAAACTGAGTTGTCCACTTTTACATAGATACGTGTTTCATTAACTAGGCAACTCGGGGTACATTATAATGCTACAATTCCGACATGAAAACATATGTAACAGGCAGGGTCCGGGATTATACAATTCCTAGAACCACCGTTGCCCTTAAACTAACCTCTTCTCCTGCGAAACTTGGGCTGGGGATGGTCGGGCCGTCTGCGTGTGAGCCGGCCCCCACTCTCAGTGTAAGCGAACTGCTCTTCCATCCCCAACTCTGGCTAATAGCGAAGTCATCTGGCGAGCTGCTGAAGCGCGTCTGAGCGGTTCCCGTGCCACTGGCACAACATATGGTGAAGTACGCCTTCACCGATGATCGAGGATCGCGGTATGGCTGCGATGGGACGGCGGGCTGTAATGTCGCAGGAAGGGTGAGTCCCGACGTGCTGGGGTAAGAGTGACTAGCAATTTGAGAAGATGACCCTGTAAATCCAAATGACCCGTGGGGAGACGCAGAGAGAACGGGAGAAGAAGGTGCCGAGGGCCCACTTTGGTTGACGGATACGGGGGTGGCACTGCGCGAAGGCGGATGGATGGATGGCGAGTAATGTGAAGTTCGGCTTAATGAAGTTGATAGCGCAGGCATGGATGGACCTCGGACGTGTCTACCTTCTCGCTCTTCCAGAGGCTTGACTACAATGAAGTCAGAGCTTGGTCGACTGCATCCAGGAATGGCCTCGACGCTGCTTTGCCTATGCAGGTACACGCCAACCTGCATCGTCCCATTGGAACTGGCGGAGCCGACAGTCGACCCACCCCCCTTCTTCCATACGACTTGGACATAAACATTGAAGAGGTTTCCACAGTACCATATGGTGTGTGAATGCAGTCTGCTCTTCTCTTTTAGCCAGTCGATGTCCCAGAATTCAACGGAGAACCTATATGGAGGATATGGAGTCCAGCGAAGGTTCCCTGTAGTATCTAACCGCGTAAGTTGGGAAGCATTCAGAGGAAATGGCACAGGGTATGATGAATTTGAAGATGGCTGGAGCGCCTCCTTCTGCGAATATGAGTGCAGCCCAAAGAACGTGGATTCGGACGTGCGTGTGGGGGACAATGGAACGCTGCGATGTCCATTGCCTGAAGGTGATGCAATCATCGTATTCGTCTCTCCCGATGCAAATGCATACAGCTGCTCCATGGTTATTGGTTCATCTTTCCCGGTGTTCGTGTCCTTCGACAGACCACCTGTATCTCCGAGGCGCATGGAGGAATCGGCGTGGACGGGGTAGTATCGAGTGTCAGCGATCAAATCTTCCTGCTGCTCCGCCGCCTTGCTGAGTATCTCGGACGTAGTTGCTGAGACACATAAATCCTTGTCTTTGGAAGTCGTCGATGGTACGGGCGTGCCTGCGTTCAAGGATGTCGAAGCCGGACCGGACGAAGAGAGTATTTTCTGCCTTAGGATGGCCTGATCCCAATGTGCCGCTTGGAGAATGCGAAGAGGTACATAGGGCTTCTTAGTTAACGGTGATATATCTTGCGAAATTTGCGTGATGTCGTCAACACTCTAAGATCGCAGGCTTCAGTGGATTGAATAGACGAGAACTAGACGGTACCAACCATATTCGAATAATATATACCCCTCTCAAATAATCCGCTCCATATAGATTCTTCTTCTGGTAGTATGCCCTGCTGTCTGCGACGCAGTTCGACAATTGCTGCTGCTAAATCGTACCGCTCACGTTCGCCTCTGACGAAAAGCGTGTCAGCACTGAGCAGAGCAGAAACCCATCTGGCGTCTAGACCACCCGATCCCCAAACAGCCGGTACAAGCGGTTCTTCGATCCTTTCTGACCTCCGGGCCGATGGACTAGCAGGAGTGCCCAGCGAGGTTGAAGGTCGGGTATCGGGTATCGACATAGCACGTTGCCTAAGATGGGCCATACTCCGCGTGAAGAGACGATCTGCTGGAGAGAGGACGGCGTGTTTCGAGCTTGAAGGCGAGTCTTTCTTGATCTCATAAGCAAACATATCAAACCCCCAGCGAGCTAGCCAACAAGCGACAGCCTGTCCAATCTTGTCTGAGACTGCGCCGTAGTAAAAAGAGGGCTCTGGCGTAGCGTGCATACCGTGCTTTCCAATCGAACTCCCCAATGACGAGGACGAAGAGGATGGAGAAAGATTCCCCCCTCCTTCCCCGATGCGAGACTCGGCCATCCGATTGGAGAGGTCAGATTCGACGTCAAGTAGATCGGGCTTGGTAGTACTATCGCCCACATTGTCGTCTTGACCTTCCAGAATAGTTGCGACGCGTTCGAGACCAACGGCGGCCTGTTGATCCTCATTATGCCATTCGCCCCATTCACCATTCCATCCAATACCCTTGCCGGTCGCGAATCGTAGATATCCTACTGCCGTCCATGGTCCTACACTGTTGAGTATCATGTTCAATGCGTCTGAAGCGAGGCTGGGGATGGAGAGGAATAGTGAGGTAGCAAGCAGCGAGAGCAAAAATCGAGGGGTGACCGGATGGTTCCCTTCTGGCGTTGAAGCTTGAATTGAGGGTTTCGACGTTACCGGGAACGATGGGCTCAAAGGATTGGTCGCTGTCGGAACCAAAAATGTTGGTAGTTCTAGTCGTGGACCACCGCCGTACAGGTGAGCTATGCATACTCTAAATATCCGTTAATTTTGCCCCCTGTGAGCAAGTTTGAAAGCAACGCACTCGAACGCTGTATCGCGAAATCGAGGTTGTTCAGACTTCGTAACATACTGTCAAGAACTCAACATACCTGCTCGCGTGATGTTGCGATCATCCAGGACTATTTCGAGTTCATCAGGGCCCCTGTGATGCCCATTGAGCCTGGGGGATGACTCTGCGAAGCCTGCGGTGAAAAGGGATTTGAAATAACCCTGTCGAGAAGCCACAAGCCCCGTTAGCAGTGCCCCCTCAATCCCTGCACAAGAGATAACACATACTGATTGGATAAGGACGACGCGGTGCAGCTTGTAGACAGCACGCCAAGTCCCATTCACTTTCAGCGCGATATCTGCAGTTTGGCCATCGAGGAAGGAGAGATACAGGTGGTGCTGGATGTCGACGGGCGACAGCATTCAACGACGGCAGGAAATTAGTGGGGACCAGAAAGAGGCTTGTTGACCCTTTTAGCAGTCCTATATATTGCTTCCTTCAATCCCATTACGTAATACAATGGCCTACACCCAACCCCATCCTCGACTCTCGGTCCTCTCAACTTCGTCCCTGCCGCCGTCTGCAGATTATGCGTCGCCGACGAACAGCTCGACCAGATTCTCGCTGGCGTCGGCGCCATCGCTCTCAAACACTTTAGTGGGCTCGACCAAGGCCACGAGTGCTAGGCCGAGCATCTATGATCGCAATCTCAATAAGACTCGCTTCACCGAAGTATCAGGCTCAGCATTTGCGTTTCTCTTCTCAGAAATGGTGCAGTACACACAGAAGCGTGTTAGTGGCATTGGCGACCTGGAGAGACGGTACGGGGACCTCAGTTTCCTCTATAAATAGTCACTTAACCTGCGCAGGCTGAATACTCTCGGGTATCGTGTGGGGGTCCGGGTGCTGGAGATGATGATGTTTCGCCAAGAATCCTCCTCGAAGAATCCGAAGCGCGAAACTAGGCTCCTCCCTGTGCTGATGCTCATACATTCGCAAGTCTGGAAAGCGGTATTTGGCAAGGCAGCTGATGCCATCGAGAAGAGCGTGGAGAACGCAGACGAATGTGAGCATAAGTTCGCTCTGGTTCGCCCAGTCTATTAACCGAACCTATGTCAGACATGATCATTGATAATGACCCACCTATTGAACGCCACATCTCTGTCCCGAGGGACATGAGTCAGCTCAGTTGCTCATCCTTCACCGCTGGCATAGTAGAAGCGGTCCTAGACGGTCTGGGATTCGTACGTTTCAATCGGCCTCCCTACGAACAGTCCGTGACAAGCCACTCATTTCTAGCCGGCTCGCGTCACGGCACACAATACACCAACAACTCAGTATCCGACAAGGTCAACAATCCTTATAAAGCTAGACAAAATTGTCCTAGAACGTGAAGAACTCATGAAATAGACTGTCCCAACTCAGCTCCTTATGCCATTGCATGCCATGTCCCGAGGTTTAGAAGTTCACAGAATACTATCTTCGCTCTACTCACCGAGCGACTATCCGATGTATGACGGACGTAGAAGCCTAGAGGTAATACCGATCGCCTTGAACAGAAGATATATCACCTTATGCTTGAACTATTAGATCGTGAGACTCACCGATTTGCCCCATTCCAGGTTGCATGATCCAGCATTTTCGCCCAACACCATCAGGATTTCCTTCTCCTTTGTAACCCTCTAACCATCCCTCCCGCATTTCGTCATCCACAGCTGCGCAGACGATCTTGATATCTGGGAAAGCTTTACGGATAACGGAGACACCGCCCCCACGGGCGACGAGGAAGGTAACGAAGATGATGTGGTCTTGACGAACGCCGTGATCGAGGAGGACACGAATGGCCATGAAACCCGCTGCTCCAGTCCCGATCTTCACTGTGGATTAGCAAAAATCACGGACGCTAGGATAGGACGTATACTAACCTGTGCATCAAGTAGGAATACCCAGGCATTTTCTGCACGGTGCCTTTCACGGACACAGACAGGAAGTAGAACCTGGAATAACAAAGGTTCCCCGGTCTTCGCGTCAGACTGGACTAGTAACGATCCCAAGGGGATGTCATTTATCACTCTTCTGACGCCGCGAGTGAGGGCTCCGCCGCTAAAACACGCATAGATATAAGCACGAGCAAGGCGACGTCGCACTAAGCACTCACGAGCGAAGAATCAACACCCCACAAATATCCTATTTGTTCCCATTCAGCTTGGAACATTTATAGTTGATCACCCCTACCCGTGCATCAAGCGTCTTCCCGTGATATGGCGTTTCCGTCGGCGTGATCACCGTCGCTGGCACGTACGGTAAATGCTGGAGAGCAAACTCGGTCACGAGAGTAGACAACCGATCGACGAAGAACACGAAGTCCTGCCTCGACGTGTCTTTGCATCTCAGGATGGTGAATATTCCCTATTCACAAGTTCACGTTGACAGGTAAGCACTCTGAGCAGATGTTCCTTGGAGAGTTCGAACCTTCAGTTGAGGGGTCGACGGTAGCACGTCAATGCGTAGGGCTTCCGGAGATGTATCTCCAGGGGTGCTCATGTGTAGACGAGGAATGGCCATCTTCTGTCTGAAACGAGTGGCACGTTCGACTAGCTGGCGCCGTATGTGCGTACATATCAAGTCGATAGCAACGTTGTTGTTCGAACCTGGTACAATCTGTAAAATATGTAGTCGCGTTAAACTACAGGAAGATTTGTAAACTCACGATATCCGCATGTGAGGCAGAGGGCCTGACGAAATTGTCGTACGATGGCTTGACATATCGGAGATACCTATTGAATCAAGTAATTGGATCAGCAACGTCATTGACACTATGAAAGGCTTACTGGTCTAATATGCCGTCTACATGTCTGCCCCGTTCTTTGGTGTCCCTCTGGATCCGCCGGGCCAACATGAGATCGGAGTCACATTGAACGAAGACCTAGGGAGCCGGCAGAGGTCAGTTTTTGATGGTGTTCGACATAAACTCGGAAGATTCAATACCTTCAGATCATACAGCTGCCGCAAGGCAGGATCGTGCAATGCCAATATGCCCTCCGCTTGAGAAGATCAGCGAGTTGCAAGAATTGTTGTTGTCTAACGAACTCACTTATGATCACTGAAGCGCCATATAGATACTTCGTTTCCTCAAGCCGTTGATGTTCGGCGAACGAGTAAACGGGTATGTTCGTCTGCTTACGCGCCTTTAAATCAGCCAGGCACTGCCAGAAAACAGCGTGCCTTCTGGTAAGAAGCAGACATCGTGGGCAAAGTCTAAGGGCGAACCGAAGCAAACAATGGCATATCTATGGCGTCGGGGTGATCGAAGTCCATGAGGTTCTGGTGAGCGAGTTCAACCTCTTCAGGCGAGTGGCGCCTGTAGAAGCTGTCCTGCGAACGGATGCACATTAGATTAATGGTGAGTGTCTCAGGCAAATTATGGCCATACCTGGGACAGTATGATGACTGCTGGTATAGACCCCAGCGACTGTACAATCCTGCGAGCTACATGGGTCTATGAAAAGCTCTCGTCTAAGACTGTGCAGAAGATCAGGAAGTACTTGAAGGTTGTGTTCATACCTTCCCGCTTGCAGACCCCCCTGATACGAGTCAAGTACTGAGATGAATAGCGAAAAACCTCGGATGCCGCACACGACTTACCTGCCACTGCCACCACGAATGCATCCGTGATGCGATTCCCGTCCTCCTCATACCTCGAGAACTGTCAGCCTGGGGGTTCCACACGTAGTCAACAATCCATGAGACCAACCAAGGAGGTAGGCCATGAGATACAAGCATCGTGTTCTTCTTAGGTTGGATGTTCAGATCATAGTGAAGCGGGGGTGATTCAGTTCGTCGTCGACCTTCTGTGATATTATCGAGTACATCCATTGCGAGTCGCGCCGTTGACGATGGTAGAAGGAAGACAGCAGTGCCCAAGCGGGTCACCTGAATCCGCGTTCACCAAGTCTCGTCCAGCGCCGTCAGTGTGAAAGACAGGGGAGACCCTGAGACTTGCGCATGTGGCATCTACTTCCGCGAGGGCACACTGTGGTCCTCTTGGCTTCGATATCAAATGGTCAAAATACGCTCAATCGAAGTTGAACCAGCAATCATCAACTCGTCTTGCGCGTGGTCGTCCGACAGAGACCAGCTCCAGGCGCTGTATGACTGTACTTACACTGGCGCGGTCACTACGCGCACGGCGACGATAGGGGGCTTCGACGAGAATGATACCCACCAGGTCAGGAAAGACGATGTTAACAGTGCATAATTCAGGAGTTTAACCAGAAACGTTATTAGGTAGCGTTCGTGAATGATGAGGCGCATCTGACCACGATAAACTCGTATGGTTACTCGCCCCACCCTCTATCGACATATCTAGGGGTGATTACGGACATACTCTCCTCTGAGAAGACCTCCTTGGTCCCAGAACGCCTCACATCCAAGCCGTTTATAATCAGTATCACCGCGTCCGATGCGCCGACGCTCCGCGAAATGGTCGCCTCCATCCAAAGCACCCTACGGTACACCCCGGATGACACCGCCTCGCCCTGGGCCCACCGAATCGCCATCGAGCTCAACACCTCGTGTCCAAACATCTCCGGCGCACCCCCTCCAGCGTACACCCCTTCCGCACCCCCGCTCGTCGATCTCCTCGCCGTGCTTAAGGAGGAATTCAAGAAAGATACGAGCCTGACGATCGGGCTGAAGCTGCCGCCGTATGTCTACCAAAGCCAGTTTCACGATATCCTCAAGGTAATCGCGGGATTGAGCTTCGTTGTGGACGGTGCAACTGTCAATCCGATCGCGTTCTTTACTTGCACCAACACGCTTGGCAACACTCTTCTATTTACCTCGCAGACAGCTACTCCTTCTTCGGGTTCGAAATACGCGCTGCCCGTACCGCTGGGTGGCCTAGCAGGGCACCCCCTTCACCCTCTAGCGCTGGGGAACGTGCACACGTTTTCCACACTGCTGCAGTCCGCAGCGTTCTCAGATTTGAAAGACATTGTGATCATCGGTGTGGGGGGCGTAACTGATATCAGCGGGGTTCAGAGAATGAGGGCAACGGGTGCACAGGTCGTAGGCGCGGCATCTCTGTTTGGAAAGTATGGCCCCGAGGCGTTCCAGAGGCTGATTGATGAATCCATTTGATGATTGAATATCTCGTTAAATACATGATGTATAAATGCAATATTGGTACATATCTCGATAGAGAGACAGTAGAGACAAGGTAGATATGTAGGAGTAGGTAAAACAGATTATTAAAAGACAAACCAAACATATAGATATAAGGCAATAGCCGTGGTAGAGCTACAGAGCGAAATGTCCAAGCAAGTATCCGTAGTATTCGTTCGCCTATAGTATTCCATGATACTGCCCTCAGTAGAGCGGCCCCGCGAACAGATCGGGGTACATCCCGACCCAGTCCACGAACGTCCAACCCTCGTGTTCCACGAAAAGGGAGGGGTAGACCTGGATCCATTGCTCGAGGGACCACGATGCGTACCCGCGGTACCCGCGGAAGTTGGAGATGTGCAGGGGTTGAGTCATGAATGCACTGGTACTGGTGTGTACAGGGGAGAGGTGGATATCAGGATACCCTGCGGGCGGGAGGAGGAAGGGGTATGGGAGGGGCGGGAGGGGAGAATAAGAGGGAGGAGAGAGGGAGGAAGATGTGGTGGAGGAGGGTGTGGAAGATGTAGATTGTAGAGGGGATGCTCGCTCGGACGGCGCACCCAGATGGAGAGACGGGAAATTCGAGAGCTCAAGCAAGGAATTGTCTTGTGTTGGGTGTGCCGATTGCATCGACGTGGGGAGGTCGAAGCGGTACACCCCGGTGTCCGTGCCGTAGAAGTCGCTCGGTGCGCTGAATTCGAGCGAGCGTCCGTACGAATCGAAAGAAGAACAGGTCGGGAATGGCTCAATTTGGAATCCATGAGACTGTATCAGTACGGTCAGCTAATGGATGTTGCAATTCAAGGTGGGGCACATACCAAAGGCTCGTCCTGTGAAAGTAGGAGGGGTTTGGGTGGGGAGGGAGGTGACTCCGTGTGCCATACATATGGCGTATTGGCATGTAAAAGAAGAGAGGGAGAAGCAGGTACCTCGGTTTCCTGGCGCTGTTCTGTAGCGGGGGCGTCCTCGCTGGGGGAAGCAGCGATGAGCTCGAGCTGCTTCGCCGCAACGGCCAGCTCGCTGCCCGTCTTCCCAGCCGTTATGAGTTCCGCTAGCTTCGTCGCGCGATACAAGTCCTTCTCCCCGTTCCGCTTCACCTTGCGCTTCACCGGCGCGTCCTTGCCCTTGCGCGACTTGGGGTTGTAGCGGTAGTCGGGGTACTTGAGCGCGTGTGCGGCCTTCTCTGCGCGTGCCTTCGCGATCCACTCGGCTTTCTCTTCTGCGGGCATGGTATTCCAGAGGTTGGCAATGATGCGGGAGATGATGCGATGGTCGTGCTCGACGTCGAGATCGATCTTCTTCTGCGCGAGACAATGCGAGCGGTAGATCATGAAGGAGTTGCGCGGACGGGGGATGTGCCCCGGAGAGCGGCTGCGACCACCTTTGGGCTTGAGAGGGCGGGCCTCTCTTTCAGGGGAACCTAAGCTCGACGCGGTAGACAAGGCGGATGAGGGAGAAGGGGAGTCTGCGATGGACTGGGGACTCAGAGTCCAAAGGTACTGATCCTGGGGAGACCACGGCGAGCCACTGGAGGGCTGGGGGTATGTGTTCTGAGCCGTATGATTGTTGGGAAGCATATCTGACATCACTATTAGTACTGAGATCTATCTGAGATCGCGAAGATCCTCACCGGAGGACAAACTGCGAGGACGGCTGGAGTCGAGGACGGGGGGGGATTTCTGGTGAGACGGAAAGATAGCTGAAGAGCCATGGGGGGCCTGGCTTTATAGTCCTGGCGTATAGGATCCATGTCGCTTTCGCCGGTGCTCGACATTCTCTTCGTCACAATTCAGAGGGCGGGACCCAAATATGGACGAGAAAGTAAACGAGCGCAAATCGTTGCCCCCCTTTAATATCACCTCATGTTTCTGCCTTTTAAGGAAACTTGCAAAATATGGGCAAGAAGCTGGAAATTTGGAGCCCATGAGGCGTGGTGGTGTAAGCCGCAGCCAGAGCCTAGAAATCGCGGCTGTCCGGGGAGGAGATGCGCAGGTAACAAAGGATTACTGGGACGTAGGTGATTACAGCGAAAGTAGCCCTTTCACACATCACACCCCGCGATTTCACATCCTCCTTTGTTGTCACCTCCCACGCTCCCGTTTGGGAGCAGTTCGATCGGGCGTTCGGTTTCTTCCAGTCTGCACACTCCCCTTCAAGTCCAAGTACAAGTCCGGCTGCAGAACATGGCGACCGACCTTGCGTCCTTGCTGACGTCCTCAAAGGCCCTGACAGCCCATTTGTCGAAGCCAGATCTGCCTTCCGTGCAGCTTTCGCTCGACCAGGTCGAGGCACAGTCGCGCAGACTCGTTTCGCGCTACTCGACCGCTGCAAATGACACCGACCGCGCGTATGTTGCATACTCTCTCATACAAATATGTCCTGGTTAACACCGTAGTCTAGGAACTATCTACTTGCACAGGCGCAAGTCGATGCGTCGGCGCTGTCGAATTCGATCGCGCATTTGAACACATCTACAACCTTTACACCTTTGCAGGCGCTGCAGGACACTGATGTCGCAGGTTATCTTCGTCACGCACACGAGCAAAATCTTATATCGACGATTGAGGAAGGGCGTAAGCAGACGCAGGCAGACTTTTACCGGCTGCTTGAGGACAGGAGCCAGAGGGACTGGGAGGCGAAGAAGCGGCGTGTATTTGAGGAGCTGGGGGGCGTGGCGCGGAGCGGGGACTTGAAGAAGAGTGTACTTGGAAAGTCGGTGCGTGTAGCACCATATCGCGTATCGGACGGCTTACTGATGTTGGATGCAGGTCAGCGCGACGACCCCCAGTCTCTCGCTACAGATGCAGAGCAAAATGATGGCATACGATCGTGTCATCACGGAATTGAACGCTGCGAGACTGCGGGGCACCTCTTTCCCCATCATACATTCCCTCATCAACGCTTCGTTGTCGGTATCATCCCAGGTTGGTACATCATTCTCCATGCAAACCTCTAACGAACACTTGCCCAGTCAAAATCAATGCAAATGACACAAAATTTCCATGTACTTGCCAAAATCACCGCTGAACCGCCTGCTCTCCCGCCGATCGAACACGCAGGAGCGCACATCCTCAACCAGTCGCTCTTCGAACGGAAGTATGCGAGGACGTACCTCGGAAATCCAGAATCGCGCGAGGCGTCTGCTCTAAGGAAGCAAATAGCGAAGGGAGCACGAGAGGCGCTGGAAGAGCAGTATTGGGATATCATCGAGCGCACAATCCAAGCGCGGCCTATGGAGGCGAAGTTGGGCGGAGACCCCAGCATTGCGAACAAAGTCCGCGCATTTCTGTTAGTGTTGTATTACAAAAATGGCGAATGGGAAGACAGAATCGAGGTGAGTGTATACCGTGCGCTCCTAATATACTTGGATACAGACTTTACATCAGCTTGTTGCTGGCCAACCGCTCTGGGCTCGCCTGTTCTACCTTGTACGAACCGGACACACCCAAGAAGCCTTGGACCAAGCTACTCAATACCAGCAAGCGATTGATCACCGTGAAGCCAGCTTCGTGAATCAATTCAGAACGTGGATAGAGTCACCCGATAGACGGTGCGTCATACGCAGACTATGCACATCTCAATAATGCTCATTCTGAACCCATCCGCAGATTACCCAAACCACACCGCGACCACCTACAATCTGTGTATAACGCACACATGCTACACTCTTCATCTGCGGATCCTTTCAAACTCGCGCTATACAAGTTGATGGGGCGGCTCGAGCCTTCGAGGCGGAATGTTCCGCAAGTAACGACTACGACGGAGGATTGGCTGTGGTTCCAGCTGTCAATGGTACGTGATTAATGCTTTTCTGCCCATCGACTGGGACTTACGGTGGGCATAGGTGGACGAGGAAGAACACGGCGGCCTCAGAGGACTAGCTGAGGTTCTGCTTGGCTACGGGGAACATCATTTCGAGCCTCTCAGTCAGCAGGGATCAAGGAGAGGAGTGTGGGCCGGTGTCCTTCTGATGTGTGGACAGTTCGAACGGGTCTGTCTTGATATCCTGCTCTTGCTGTGTATGGTTCGGTGTCTCACTGCCATTGTCTAGGCTGTCGCTGCGTTGTGGAGTCATCAGGAGTCGGAGGTCGAAGCCGTCCATTTGGCTATCGCACTAGCATACCATGGCCTTCTACGCGTGCCCTCCCGAGCTGAGACCTCCGATATGACACCTCGTATGTGATCAGACTCCCTCTTTATGTACCTCTCACTAACGTGTTTTTGTGTAGTCTCCCTTTCTCCCGTCTCACCGCCAGCACTCAGCCTCTCGATGATCATCTGGCGATATGTTCGCCAATTTGTCAAGATGGATGCCAAAGAGGCTCTGCAGTATGTTTATTGCGTGTGCTTAGCAGCCGACCAGGGTGATGGTATTGGAAAGGAGCACGTAGAGAGTGCTTGGGAGTTGGTACGGAGAATAATAGTATTGGGCAACAGTGGTCCTGGGTGGGAGGAACTCGTAGGTGGCTTCCGTGCTGATGGATCACGATTCGTACGTCCTTTTGCTAGGTTCTCCCGTCGTGTTCATACCCCTGATAATCCTTTCCCCCCTAAAGAATGGCATTATCGAGCAAGGAGCAGCATTGCTGCAACTGTCTAACACGAAACAGTTCAACGACCAGCTTCTCGTTCGTGCTGCTAAAGAACTCGAAGACAACGACCGCATCTCCGATGCCATCAAACTGTACAACCTAGCTGGGGACTACGCCACCGTGATCTCATGCCTGGCCCAGGCTCTCGGAAACAGCATCTCGCAACCGACACCCGACGATAAGGCGCGCACGGTGGAGAAGACGGCTGGCGACATTCTGAGGCATTATCAGAGGACGAATAGGGCTGCCGGGAAGGATAGGGATGCCGTTGTGCGGTTACTGAGGGTTAGAGATGCTCTGGATGCGAAGGCTGCAGGAAGGCCCGAGCTGGCGTTGGAGGTGAGTGTTAGCTTTGTCGAAAGCACGAATGTGTCCTTTGGTCTGTTGCTGATTCGCGGGTTTGAAGATTATGGAAGGGACTGATTTGATACCGCTTGATGGGGACATCTCGAAGACTACAAGACGAGCAGAAGAGTTCAAAGATCTCCACGAGTCCCTACAGAGAAATCTACAAGTGTACTTACCGCTCACAATGGATGCGTTGGCAGGCGTGCATCAGCGCGTCAAAGCATCCATTATCGCGGATTCTACAAGACAGATGGTACGTTCCCTCTGAGTCCGTGGTCTCATTCAGCTTCCTGAAAGTTCCTTGCTCCTCAGACGCTCGCAGCTTTGAGGAAGAAATCAAGATCACTTATGGTCTTTGCGGGTATATTGAAATACCGCATGTCCCCGGACGTGTATTCGTACCTCGCACGTCTCGATGTAGAGATCGCGCTTTGAGTTTGTTCTTTCTCATTACTATGTACATAACCAAAAGTCATATACATATTGTGAACTACGGCGAAGTAACGCTGTGGGGATGTAATTCTTTTAGGCTGTATTATCGCTGAGCAGAGACGAAGTCCCCTTCTGCCTCTTCTTCCTCCTCTACTGCGACTTCGTCGACCATGCTCTGTTGTGTACTTTGCTGGCGAGAATACTGTTCGTAACCAGCATCAGTTACCCGATGCATGCCGAAGGTACTGACAGTACTTACATGGTATGCCGCCGTCCAATATCCTGCCCAATACATGGCACCCAAAGCCTTTGAGAATGCTTCGTCTGGGCTCACAAGGGGTCCAGACGGAGCAATAATTCCCTGGTTCATTGGGTCATCCATGGACGGCATATTCCCATTTGGAAGACCCAACGACGGATCGTGCGTTGGAATAAACGCGTCGAAATCCATGGGTTTTGAATTTTCAGTATCGATAGCACTAGACGCGTCGGGTTGGGCAGATTTGGCTGCCCCATTGATCACGGATTTCTGTTTAAATTTTTGAGGATCAGGCGGAATATTATACCACCTGAGAGATGGTCAGATTCTTGCAAGAACGATGCAGATAAGACGTGATGACATTGGACGTGAAGTATACGAGATCAACTCACAAAGGAGATTTGTGTACTGGCTCCTTCTTCCAATCTTTCTCGGGACCATGATAAGTCTAGAGAGACATCAGACAAGTGTATGGCAAATGATTCGGTCATGCTTCACAGACCTTGTACTCTTCCGCGGCAGCGTTCCAAGCCTCTATCAAGGCTGAATCATCCCATATTTCGTCGTGTGTGAGGTCGCGGCTCTCCAAATCTCCGTCGTAGACTTCTTGTTCGTCTACTTGAACGGTGGGGTCGGGACGCGGGGCAGCCTGTTGGTCATATACGCCACCGCTGTTGTGGCTATTATTGTTTTTGCGTTTTTTAGGCCGACGAGGAAGCGGTGATGAGTTCGTTGTCGTCTGGGGTCCTTCGTCTGGGGGCTGGTATGGTAAAGAAATATCGTCGTAAGAAACAATTGGACGCATTGTAGCGTTACTTTGAAAGAGGTGATCTGACCGTGGAAATAAACTCAAAGTGATTTCAAGTGGCCGGTTGTTGCGACTCTCATGTCACGGTTAGGCCATTCTTGTATAAATCCCTATGGCTGATACTGACAATTTATGTAGGTTTGCCCACAATATAGACGCGTCCAAGGCTCAATATAGCATCGATGAAGAGATTGCTGTTCATGAAGCCGCGATTATTGAATTAAAACACCAGCGTAATAAACATAGCTGCATCTCAAGGCTACCCTCTGAAGTCATTGCGCAAATATTTCTTCTACTAAAAGAAATGGAATCTCACCTTACCGTCGGCTTCGTCGCCGAGGTATGCCGTCAATGGCGAGAAATCGTACTCGCATCGCCTCGCATGTGGAGCTCTATCTCGTACCTCTCTCAGGCGGATCGAGCTTTAGAGTGGCTCAAACGGTCGAAAGCTGTACCTCTGCAAATTTACTTTCATCCACGCCCTTCAGCGACACTACCAAATCAAGTTGCCGAGGCCGTCATGATGGAAATTGGACGTATACAAGAGTTCAACATCTGCTTGTCTCCGCATAACATACTCCCTTTCCTACGCCTGAACGAAGCTGCAAGTGCGCCATTACTAGAGCAAATTACACTGATCTCTGACTCGCCGGACTTCTCGATCTCTCCTGAAACACTTTGTTGAGATATGCCCTCCCTTCGGCGCCTCGAGCTTGTCAATATCAGAATTTCCTCGGAACTCTCCCCATTTCCCAACCTGGAGTCACTGAAAATTATCCCCCTCACATCTGGGATCGAGGCTACCTCGCTACTGTCTTTGCTCCATTCTTCTCCAAAACTGGAGGAGATTGAAGTCCACGGTGTTTTTCAAGATAGCACCATAGATGTCTCCAAGTTGCCCCAGATTCAGCTTCCCAACCTCTCAAATATATATATCGGTGCCAATGCCCTGGGAGTCTCTGCCATTCTAGCCCACATAGAATGTCCACTTGATGCAAAGGTCACGTTCGAAAATACAGACCCTCACCACGGGGAGCCTGACCTTTCAGGTTTGGTCACAATATGTGGTCGCCTCGCCAAAACCGGCTCTCCCCCACTTGACTTCGTTCTACTCGACGGCTCGCTTGACGGCGGATTCCAATTGAACGTTCGGGGTGGCGACAGAACATATATTCTCCTCAGATTACGCGTAGAAGAACGCTATTACCCTATGCTCGGCTTAGCGGTGTGCTCAGCCTTGCCAATCAAACATAACTCCACCTTGATGATGGAAGGGTTTGGAGAGATGACACAGACGGAATGGGCAAACGCGTTCCGCAGCTGGGAACGAGTGCATACTCTCCATCTGGTTGACATCAATATAGGTGCCCTCATGGCTCTGATGAAACCATCATCCGAGGACCCCCCATTGTCTAAACTGCACACCCTTTATCTCTCTTTCTGCCATTTGTCAAGCGGGCGTGGTAGCAACGATAGATCAGAGTTTCACGTTGTCAAGAATCTCCTTGAGGAACGCAAACACCTCGACATTCCGATAACGAAGGTCTCAATCAAAGACTGCACCATTCTCAAAGAAGACGTTGATGACCTCATGGAGTTAGCGGATATTGATTGGGACTACGACGATGGAGGCTCGCCTGAGGAAGCGTACTGGACCGACTCTAGCTATGGATCAGACATGTAAACTGATTCTTCCGATGAAATTATTGCCATACCTAAGGTGACCATAAGTCACGATGTCGGTCTTTGATTGTGTTTACCATGGACTTTACAGAATCAAGCCATGATGCATGAAAGTTCGTCGAAACCCTCGAAAGTTGTCTTGTCGTACATTTCAAAGTCCCACACTTGTACTACCTTGTGCGGTCATCATTGCAGCGATCGTCTCTTGGGCTCAATACATTGCACTATTGAGGGACGGACCGCCCGGACCGCTCAGCCCGAGTCCCTGATATCCGCACTGTGAATTCACTGAAAATCAAATGTGTCTTCTATCGTAGTTGGGATTGTTGAGTTTCTCGACTCGATGGTCCAAAATAAGTCGTAGTGTAGAAGAGAACCATCAGGGATCATGAACGTGCGCAAAGGAAATATTTGGGATTGGACGCCTAATCCAATACCCCTATGCTCGAAAGTCCCGGTCCGCTTGATTCCAATTGACACCAAGGTTGAGTTCAATGCATTCCACAGATTTATCCGACTCCTCCTTTGATTACAACCGCCACCTCGACGGCTGGAACTAATACAACGGCCTTGAAATGGCCGTCTTTCGAGCCCTCTTCTCCAGGCGCACATTCTACGCGGTGACTGGCAGTACCCTCCTTGGCGCGGGAGGGGGCTATTACTATCTGAATTCTGGGCCAGCCTACCCCAGTTCGAGCAAGGAGACACGTCGGCCACCTCCGCCATGGACGCCGCCTTCCAGGGAGGAAATGCTGAATCGTCTAAAAGCAACGGCGCCGAAGCAGGCTCGGAGTGATCCCGAAGAGGAGGAATTCGACCTCCTTATTGTCGGAGGGGGAGCCACGGGCGCGGGATGTGCGGTCGATGCTGCTAGCAGAGGCTTGAAGGTAGCACTCGTTGAGAGGGACGATTTCGGCGCTGGTAAGTGGTGTCCGTCCCCCACGAACGCTTCGGAGGCTCCATATAATGGCCGCTGATCTTCAGTCGTGTAGGAACCTCTTCAAAGTCGACAAAGCTTGTTCATGGAGGTGTTCGGTACCTTCAGAAAGCAGTGATGGAGCTCGACTATGAGCAATACAAGCTTGTTCGCGAAGCTCTGCATGAACGGCGCATTTTCCTCCAAACCGCACCCTATCTATCGGCAATGTTACCAATAATGCTCCCAATATACAAGTAAGCGTTCCGGCTACCATAAGTTTTCACTGGTGATCAACAGATACCTTGAGGTATTGGCAAGTCCCATATTACTGGGCTGGTTGCAAGATGTACGACGTCCTCGCAGGGAAGGAAAATATGGAGTCATCATATCTCATGAGCAAGGGGAAAGCCCTTGAGACATTTCCAATGTTGAAAAGCGAAGGATTGGTCGGGGCATTGGTATATTACGACGGTGAGCGACATAGCTATTTCTAGGACCTAATCTGGGTATCGACTAACAATGTACCCTGAAGGGCAACACAACGACTCAAGAATGAACACGGCGTTGATCATGAGTGCTGTCAAGGCCGGCGCCATCGTTGCGAACTATTGTGAAGTCACTGATCTCCACAAAGGCGAAACAGGCAAGTTAAACGGCGCACGGCTGAAGGACAACTTGACTGGTCAGGAATGGAACATCCGCGCCAAGGGCATCATCAACGCAACTGGTCCATTCGCCGACACTCTACTGACATTGGATAACCCCTCGCACAAACCCATTGTCCAACCCTCGTCAGGGGTCCACATCACTCTCCCGAATTACTACTCCCCTCGTAAAATGGGGCTGTTGGATCCTGCTACTTCCGACGGTCGCGTTATTTTCTTCCTTCCTTGGCAAGGAAACACCATAGCTGGCACTACAGATTCTCCCGCAACCGTCACCCGCGAACCACGCGCTCAAGAAGAGGACATTCGATGGATTCTAGACGAAGTGCGACACTACCTTGCCCCGGATATCAAAGTTCGTCGCGGCGATGTACTCAGCGCATGGAGCGGCTTGAGGCCCCTTGTCAGGAACCCCGGCGCATCCAGCACGGAGGGTTTGGTCAGGAACCACATGATCCACGTTAGCGAGAACGGCTTGGTCACGATTGCCGGAGGGAAATGGACAACGTACAGAGCTATGGCAGAAGAGACGATCGACGTTGCCGTCAAAGAGTTTGCCCTAGAGAGTAAAGCCGGCAAGTGCGTCACCGACCAATTGCGGTTGGTGGGAAGTGACGGCTGGAGTAGAAATATGTTCATCGGTTTAATCCAGAGGGTGAGTGGTTGCAATACCTGAGCTTCGTTCGGTTTGCTAATTGTGACTCGTTTAGTATGGCTTAGAGACAGAAGTAGCCAAACATTTGTCGGACAATTATGGCGACCGTGCATGGACAGTCTGTTCTTTGGCCTCTCCCACTGGGGCGAACTGGCCTCTGCATGGAATACGGATACACCCCCAATATCCTTGTGAGTATTCCTATTTCTGTCCGGTTTAGCCTAACACACCTCGCATTCATCAGTCATCGAAGCTGAGGTTCGCTATGCTGTCCGAAACGAATACGCGCAGACCGCCATAGATGTTCTCAGCCGAAGAACCCGTCTATCCTTCCTCAACGTCCGCGCAGCCATCACCGCCCTTCCTCGTGTCGTCGACATCATGGCCGAGGAGCTCAACTGGTCTTCCTCACGCAAAGCGGCTGAAATTGAACGCGCTATACGCAACTTCGAGACCATGGGTCTTACATCTGACGAAGCCAACGTACTTTTACAAAGCGCACAAGCTTCGCAAGGATGGCTGGGCAGAGTCGAAAGCAAATTCTGGAAGACTATTGGATATGGCGACACGAATGCCTTAGGGGCGAAACTTCAGAGCGTTGGACCGGTATACAGTCGCGCATTGTTTGGACCTGGCGAAGTTGAAGCACTAAGGAGCGCCTTCGAGAAGAAAGCGAACGTCGTCCAAGACAGCGGCGCGGAGAATGTAGAAACGGACGACATCATGGAAGTGCTGAAGCAGGTACCTGGGTACGAAAATATTTCCAAGAAGGAGTACGCCTACGTCCTCGAAGAAGCTGGTTTCAAGCTCCAGACCGTCGTCGATTTTGACGAGTTCATGGAGGTAAATTTCTCCGTCGACTTTCATTGTCAGCTATGTGTTGATATGTTGGCGCTTAGATCTGTGCAAACCTAAAAGAAGTGTCATTTGCGCCTTTGATTTCTGAAGCCAAGAACCAACGCAGAAGAATTCCTGTTGAGAAGAGTGGTGGAGGAGTTTAACAGTATTACCTACCCCTCCATTTCATGCATTCAATAATCCATGCATAATCAAGGTTGTTGCTGGAGTTTCTTCAACTTGCCGCTCCTACAGTGCAACCTCTTGAATTTTGAAACCCGAAGAAAGAATTTGTGATTGCGGCAACCAACTACAAAGAAGGCATAAAATGAAGACTAAAAGTCCAGGCCGGCGCAGACCCAGGAGTAACCTATCATGCAGAATTGTTTGTTGAACCCGTCGGTGGCTGTTTCAGAGCTAGTCTGAACTTGCAATGTACATCCTATGAAGAGTGCTAGTGAGGATTTAAGCACCCACACATCTGTCCGTCACGTCCGAGTCCAGCCCTGTTTGGTTACTGAGTACTGAGTCCCAGAACGAAGCAGCTCGCGTTGCCGGGATGTGTCGACATTGGCGGGATGTTTCACTCGCGTTGCCTCGAATGTGAACCTCTATCGATGCTGCTCGAGCAGAATATGCTTTGGAACTACTCACGCGGTCCAAGTCTGCGCCTTTGCAAATCATCTGTTCAACGCCCCCCATCTACCGAACTACACGAAGATGTTTTAGAGTGCATCATGAGAGAAGTTGGCCGTATACAGACTCTGGAGGTCTGCTTACCCCTTGACAACATGCTCCATTTTCTGCGTTTGAACAAGGCCACGAGTGCGCATGTGCTGGAGCCCCTAGAGTGCTACGTCTCATATCGTTTGCACCTGATATCCTGCATCGGGGGATGCCTTCACGGTGACGATCAGAACTTCAAAGAACTATCGTCTCCGCTTACTATAGTTTCCTAAGCACGTTAGTCACCGGTTAAAAGAGTTAATGGGTGCTGGACAAGAGTTAGATCAGAGAAAGTAGTAAATAAACAGATCAAGTAAGAACGACGGGTGCCGGTGATCCCTGATTTAGCTTGATGTGTTGCAGCAACAATGCCACAAGTCAACGTCGAGGAATGAACAGCGAACACCCACTGCTTAGTGATCTCAGAGACCCATACCTAGATGAAAGCCTGGTGATACGACATATACCAGGGTCGGAGTCAATTATTCAATTATTGAACCAACTTTCATTATGATCGGAGAATATACGTACGATTAAAATAAACTGACATCCAAGTAAAACCCTAGTAAGAACCCAAATTACATTATATTGCAACCTTGATGAGAATCTAGCCCAAGCTCTGCTAACTGTTCTTCAACCACCTCCGTTTCATTCTGTTTGATCTTTTCTTTCGTTTCCTTCGGAAACCAATCTTGCATGAAGTTCAGCATGGCCCAATCCACGTTTGCTGTGCGCAAGTGAGTAAATGATTTCAGTGAACTCTGTGACGACTCACATCTATCGGCGACCAGGACACTTGGGGCCCTGCACATCGGACAATCTCCATTGCCTCGCTTTTGCATTTTGACTAGACATCGGACACAGAATAGGTGCCCACACGACAACCTGATGGGTTTGAATGCGATGCTAGTGCATATCAAGCACGAATAGTCGTCTATATGAGGGATAACGGGCAGAAGCGTTTCGTTGATAGCCTGGACTAGTATCTGCGCCAGTATCGTGTCCTGTGGTCGCAGCGACAACGACAGTGGAACGGGAGTGCGCTCTACAGGCCCTGCGCTGGGAAGACTTGAGTCGGACAGGGGGGGAAGGGGTAAACACGTTCGCTTGGTGTGTTTCTTCAATATCTTGCGTGTGGCTTCGGCGTTGGCGAGTTGGAACTAAAGTAGATGTAGCGATATGTGGTGAAATAATCGGCACAACCCACCTTCTTGATGTTTAGAATGAAGTGGTTCATACGCAAAAACGACATGAGGGCATCCCGGCTCTCCTTAGACTTTAATTGAGCACGGTCGGTAAGGCCACGCTGGCGTAATTGGGTAGTAAATAACTCGAGGCGTCGTTCGGTTTCTTCGACAGTGTGTTGGCCTCTCGAGGTCTCCTTCGTGCTCTCGAACACTTCACTTTCCATGTACAGTTGAAATATACACCTCCAAGTGTATAAATCAGTCTGACAACACTGTTAATGTCCTCGCTACACTGGAACCGGAAGTCCACTCACCTTTGCATGGCGAAATAAGTTGGGCGGGCTTAATGAGGCGGACGGATCGGATGAAACGACAGAATACGGCCGGAATGAGGATGTTGCCGACATTGGACGGGCAGAAGAAGATATGGTCGCAGCAAGGTTTCGTAACGTCACAGAGAAGTCGGATCGCACTCCTGTGAGGTATTCACTAAGAGCTCTCAAGGCGTCCGAGAGAAGCTCGAAGAAGGCTCCATCTGCAACCAGGGGTATCACCAGCTCATAATGGCGGGGAGAGGGGTAGCTGTCCTTCTTCGTCCTGAAAGGTTTCAACTGAGATCGAGCGCAGATAGTTGCAGATAGTTGCTCACGTATGTAATCCATCCACTACATCTCCATCCCCGCCCACCCCATCTTCCGTAATTGATGCTCCATCTGAAGTGAGCGGCTGCATCTGAACTTCGGAAAGAGTTGCTCCAAGATGCACTGCGAGGTGCTCGCGAAGTTCCGACGGCGAAGTCGAGCCCGATTCCGGCAGTTCAATCAAGAGCCTAAGGCGGGGCACTATGTGATCAGGTTCGCCTTCTATCTCATATACCACTTTCGACAGAGCGCCGAGCAGGTCATCTGCCTCGATGTCGGTCGTATGATGGGCCCCAGCACCCTTGGAGTCGATGATGAGCTCCTGCAATATATTCGGGCTCAATCCATGGGAGGAGAGCTCAAGTACAACTTGGTTGATCAACTTCTTCAGCTGTGGAACTCGGTTAACGTAACTATCTTAATAAGGGCGGTGAAAGCCACACCTGTCGATATTGTATAGAGTTTTGACGCAGGTCGTCGGGCAAGCTGAGTAGGATCTGTGAGTAAGTTTTCGAGAAATGCATGGTCTGTCGCTCGACATGGCACCGGTTTCCGATGCAAAATGATCCTTCTCGTCGTTGACCCGGTTGTCGCTACGTTCAGGGGGAATGCCTTGCTTATGTAATAAAGCAGTCACATGATCGACGACGTGAGCGCTGCCGCTGCACCAGATTGAACTCATTTCTCTGCCATAACCACGAAACCGACGAAACTATGGGAAATGATGGAGGAAGTATTCCGGATCGCAGGGACCTTGTCAGAACGAAGCCAAAGGTGCGCTTCGTATATCACTCATCCACGATCAAGCCCTCACTGCTATTATGAAGGCTGAGCAAGCCGACAAGGCGAACCAGACTCGAGCCCGGTGGTTCTTCTGCGCACTTTCCAAGGTGAGCGTCGAGCCTCATATCTTACTCGAGGTGATAACACTGACGGCATAGTACAGCGACGCTTACAAGAGCCAGTCGTATCCTGTGCTCTTGGTAAACTGTATAACAAAGACGCACTCCTAGAATACCTCCTTGATAGGTCGGCGTTCGGGGATGGTGATACGATATGTGGTCACATCCGTTCGTTAAAGGTATGTGGCGCAGCTTGCTTCATCCCATGTAACCCCTCTGACTTGCTCAGGATGTCAAAACATTGACATTGACCCCCAATCCAGCACGCGACGAGCCTGAGCGACCGCAGTTCATATGCCCTCTCTCGCACAAAGAAATGAACGGTGGCCAGCCGTTCGTCTACATCTCAGCATGTGGGTGTGTCTTCAGCCAAGCAGGCCTGAAAACGCTTTCATCGACGTCGAATACGGACACGCTGGATGTGTGTCCGCAATGCGCCAATAAGTTCGATAGATTGAAGGACGTGGTAATGATCAACCCGTCGACGGAAGAAGAAGAACGCATGCGGGTGGCGATGGAAGAGAAACGGTTGGCGGAACCGGTGAAGAAGTCGAAGAAGCGGAAGGCGAAGGATGAAGCGGCGGTTGACGGGGGCGAAGGGCCCAAGAAGAAGAAGGCATCTGCCCCGAGCTTGAACCCGAGTATAGCAGCGGCAAGTAGGGCGGTCGTCAAGAGCCTTGCGCAAGAAGAGTCGAAACGAAAGGCGGAGATGAGCGATGCTGTCAAATCACTGTACGGGGACGGGCTGCCAAAGAAGAAGGAAACATTCATGACCATGGGCACTTTCACTAGAGTGAGCTGTTCGCGATAACTCATTAAACTCTCACTAACAGTTTCTTAGTACGCTTAAGTTGTGATTTCTCTCTTTTAAACCGGTAACTCAGTCACTTTGTCTACTGTATTAATTGGTAGGATCTCTTTTCGTCTACATATCTATGGTTTGCTTGTACAATTCAGTTTACTGGTTACCTTTTGGAATCCATGGCTGACCGCAGTCTGCACATAAATGGTCCAGGGGCGTCGCAGCCCTGCCAACCTGACTCGTCTATTGAGCCAATCATGGCTTTCCGGCTCCCTAGGATTTTCTCCGAGCCCAGGTATGTATCCTCATCACCACTGGGAGCCCCTAACATCCCCGCCCTGCTTGCCAGTGTTCAAGTCCTGCATCATCGTGCAGCTCTCGCAGCGGCGCTGAGATCAAGCAAGGCGATGACAGGTGCCTCTTTGATTCGTGGTGTAACCAATTTTCTACTTCACTTATTAGTCGTACTTCAGCAGTTACGAAGGAGTGGGGCTGGGAAGCACCCGAGTCCGACGCCAATCTCTCTCGATGGCCTAACACCGATGTTGACTCGGATATGTCGAACGAACTCTGCATCTAAATGAACCAGTGACTGGTTGCGTCCCTCAAGAATACCCGCTCTTCTACGGTAGCACCTATTCGTCCGATCCGCGACATAGTCATCTATATAGGTGGCGAACTTTGAGACAGGTCATCGAAGCTAATTAACCGTTGCAAATTGGGGCCTCGAGCGCTATAAAGTAGCTCAAGAGGCGTTTGAGTCGGGCGGAGTCGCAGAACACTTTGATGTCGCGCAATATCCTATCAGTGGCGGACCCGCCAACACTCTCTGACCCACACGGAGTGCATTGCCTGCCTTTACTCGGGGATCGTGTACCCCACATGATTGCCTGATTGATATAACATCCACACTTCACCCAATTCTCGCGAGGCGCCCCTGCTACTCGTTAGTGAGTGACTTCTTCCCCCACGACGGTCATTTCTGATGATTAACAAACAGTGATATGGCCTCTTGGTTGTCGTTTCATTGGCGCTCGGCATGCTAGCAAACAGTCTCATGCCTGTTACATACCCTTCGAACTCCTGGACTACATCATTCAATTCTTGGATGGAGACAAAGCCTCCATCGCGTCCTTCTCATTAGTCTGCTGGTCGTGGTACAGACCCACAAGACCACATCTCTTTGGATCCTTCACCCTCAACTGTGCCCTGGATAATTCACCACTTGCAGGTCGCAAACTCTGTGACGGCCTTCTCAGGGTTTTGGACCGCTCCCCTCATCTCGCCCGCTGTTTCCGACACATCGAGCTCTTCATCTATGCTTCATCACAGCTTGCGCACGATCCCGCGCTCCATTCCGTGCTTCGGAGGTTTCCCAGCGTGCAAACCCTCATCTTTCGCACATTCACCGACGAATGGTCTCGTCTTCCTATCGACCTAGTTTCTTCCCTCCATCGCATCATATCTAGCCCTTCGTTTGAACGGCTCGAGATTCATCGGGTTAGATTCGCGCCCCGAGCGCCGGAGCTCGCTGTGTTTCTCAACCACTGTGCGAGGTCTCTTAGGTATCTGACACTCGTCGGTGTGTCGTATGATGGGACGGTCAACGCTCCAAGCCACTGCACACGAGAAAAAATACCACAGCTGACGAATCTCCGAGAAATGAAAGTATTCGGGAATTCCACTAATCAAACGTTGCTCGCCATGGCTTGCGATATGCCGAATCTCCGGCGATATCACCAGAACACAAATATCTCGTCGGCTTGGTGGCAGCCTGTCTACACCATCGTCCAACCGTGCATTCCTCCTTCCGTGTCCGACCTCTCACTAACAATCCGACTCCCCGTTTTCTGTGCGTCTTTTCGTCATCACTCAAACATTGTAGTTATCTACTGATGTCACTGCCTCCACTGTCTTAGTCCTGAAGCCTGATAAAATCCTTCAGTTCCCGCACTTCTGGGAGTACACCGAAATGCGACAGCTCACCCTCATACTGGCCACTCCTGTGGATGGACTCCACTTGTCTGCGCTTCGGACGCTAGAACAGTTCTTTGCCGCGATCCCGCCGAACACGCTGCCCCGTCTGGAGTCCTTTACAATCGAGCTTCCTGTGCGTCCCTCCGTTAACGAGTCGGACTGGCAATACGCCTCCGTTTGGGAGAAGGGTTCCGCGAATCTCGGGCCGCTTGTGGAAGTGGGGTCACTGACGAGCGTGTCATTGGTGCTGAAGCTCACTGGTTACGCGGGGCCCACAGGTCCGCCAGCGAATGCTGGCGAGATGGACCTCGGGGTGTATGAGTATCTCGTGAGGGTTGTATCACGGATAGAGGTCGGGCTGCACCGATTATGCAGCAAGGGGGTTCTCAGCGTGAAATTCGGAAACACCTCTCTCCCGAGTAGATGACATGCAGCAAATGGTATCCATCACTGGCTTCGTACCTGACAATGCCATTGCTGTAAGCTTTTTCTCAAGGACTCCGGCCCATATTGAATCTATCAGTGATTACTGCACTACGGTGAAAGTGCGCGGCAGATCTGTCGAAAGCATCCATATATGTTACACAAGCAGAAAGAGATGCATAGCGGTAATAATTTGTCCACGATCCGGTAATGTGAATTAAGGGATAGGTTATACAACGTGCGTCAGCCAGGCTGGCTACACGCAGCGCGGGGAATTATGTATAGGATAGTATGGCGGAGAAGTGCAGGCTCGGTCGAGATAACGGATAGAGGAGTCTGGACTTCGCTTCAGTCTTCATACATATCCCGTACAATCAAACGCATACCACGACGCATTCGTCCCACACCTGCACGATTCATTCATGGATCCCAGATCCTCATCTCCTTGCACACCTTCCAAAGCAACCCACATCCAAAGTCATCCACGTCCGGCGCGGGCTTTCCTACTCTCCAATCTACCTTTTTACCATCGTTATCGGAGTACGTAGGAGTTGGTGACCATCCCTCGGAAAACCCCTGCACTCCTTTGACCAGCTCGCAGGTATGCGGCATGATCTCGCTCAGATCGATTATCCTGACGTCCAATATCGCATCGTTGGTATCGCAATCGTCCCCAACAGGTTTGCTGAGCAAAACATTACGCTCTGCAAAGTCATTGTGCCAGTATCCACATCGGTGGATGTCATGCAGCTGGTCTAGAATACGAAGCCTACGATGTCCGAATGTCAAGATGGTGCGTGGGTGGGAAATACGCCGTAAATATAGAGATCCAGCATTCAAGGAACAAGGCCTCACCTAAGATCAACTGCCAACATCCAAAACGGGCGATCTACGCATTCGCCCCAGCGTTCGAGTATCAGACACGCGATCAGCTGGCCCTCCTCGCCCTGTCCTTCGTAAAGACCGTAGCATTTCGGGATCACCCTGCCCTGCAGCGAACGCAGCGACGCATCGTACATCGCAGCTTCTTCCACGAGGTCGGGCACCAGGTCCTCTCGCATCGCAAACTTCAGCACAATCCTTCTTTCGGCACTGCTTGAGATTATCCCATCTCGTGGCTTGCTCCAATTCCCTTTCATCGTCGCACTGAAAACCGGCGAGTCCGAACCATAGTCAGTGCTGGTCTCTTCATCAACACTCACAATAATCAACGGCTGGCCCCCGATGTCTGATTCGTCAGAGTCCGCACACGAAGACCCATTAGACGAGGCAACCGATGGAGATGAAGGATTGGCTTCGTACAGCACGAACTCTGGGATATGCCATCCGGGCCATGTAGTGGGGAACTTTACTCGGAGGGCGGCCGTTGACATCGTGCGGGGCGTATATGACCAGCGAGTGGCAGTATTTTGATGGATAGATGCGATAGTGAGAATGAAAGAGAGTCAAGTGAGCATCCAGCGTCACGAGAAAAGTTTAAGAACAAACTTCTTTGTCGAAGTGGAGAAATAGAAGAAAGGCGACAAATGATCACGTGACAGACCCTTGAAGTTCGGACATCCTTGCCGATTGCGCAAAACTACGATGAACGACGCGGGGATATTCAATGCTTCAGGCCTGAAGCAGGACCAAGACGTCACGGCTGCTGCTTTCTAGCTGCCCGACCCACGAATTGAGTAAAGGTCTACAGATGCACCCCTGCGTTATGACCTAGCCTTCATGCAACTGCTGAACTCCGTGGCCCAAAATATTACAAGATTCCGAAGACCTATGACTTTGTCAATGGCGGCACTCGAGATAGGGATTACTTCGACGGGCCTTCGATATCAGATATATCAGAGGTCATGGGGAACTGCGGCCTTGAAAGAACCACGCGACATCCAAGAGCTTTCCTAGACACCGGTTTCCTGCCAGCATCTTTCTTCTCCAGTGAAGGAAACTGGTCAATCGATACTAAAACTGACTTCCGGGAGCACATGGGCATGAAATCGACTTGCAGGACCGTCCGATAGAGCCTACTAAACTATCCCATATGCGTGACTTCATCAATCTGCAGAACTTTGTGCGCCGTGTCCAGACGGCTTTATGAAGTGACAAGCTGCATTTGTCGCACCTGTCTGGTGAGCATACTATTGCATCTTGGCTATAATAGGTGTACGTGCTAATTCTAAATATCAGTTCTTCTCTGCTCATAGTTATGTGTGCGCCACGGACACAAGGAGCTATGCAGCGATGTAAATGTGGCTTTACGCTAGACGGAACACCGGAGCGTCCGCAAGGACTCGTCACTCGAGGGAAGCAAAGCTGTAATGCCAAACACACACAGTTGACTTTCATTCAGTCCTCATCTTCCAGGTGACAATGAGTCTTGCATCGTCGATGAAGGATGGCAAGAACTCACGGAACAATTAACTCGCGACTCTCGGTGCGCCCTCCGAAGCAGAACATGGCGGGTTGACCTCTGTAATTGGTATATATATATGTTGGGTGGTACCAAGCATGGCCTCCCAACGCCAGACCAGTATAAGCCCAAGGCGAGGCTTGTCCGTACTGACCAAATTTCACGACAATCTCTATCTACGCACGTTGATATGTCGTGCTCCTTGAACCAACGTGCCCACTTCATAGTGAGTTTGAGATGCATGTTTAATCTCCGGACAATGATTGAACTTGATCAGTAACACCACACAGTGATGGTTATAACATCCCAGAACAAATGGTCGGGCTTGGACGTCCTTCATGCACGTTCATTTAATTTACGATTCGTATATACTCATTCACGCCAACGGGATGCTCGAGGCCTGTTACCCTCTCGTACACCGCAACCCTCTTTTCCTGTGTTACGAGGGAGAAGACTATTTGCACTGACACCGGATTGAACAATGTCTTGGGACCTCGACTTATTAGATGCTCGTCGATTTTTGCTGCTTACTGTATGGCATGATTATTGACGCCATGTTTTGTAACTTAGGTATCAGCGCCCGGTTTGGCGTATATTTGCCTTGGAGGATTTATTGTCTTGGTGAGTGCGCGTATTACCTTTCTATCATTTAATCCATCTGAACACTTCCCCGCTACTAGTTCTCTGTGATATCGCTCCTGCTGAAGGAAAAGGTGTGATTCTCCCTAATCCCCCAGAACTCCGTCAAATCGGCGTCCATTTATAGCTCTACATCAACGAAGTGGTACTTGGGACGGCGTTTGGAATACTCATGGGGCCCCTTGTAGCGAACATATTCGACCCTCGCTCCTGGGGAACCGCTTCGAACACGATCACCCTGGAAGTAACGAGAGTGGTCTTGGCCATCGGGCTGTTCGCTATTGGCATCGAACTACCCAAGTCCTACTTGGCCAAACACGTTATCGGACTCTCGGTCTTGGTCGTCCCTACTATGGCATTTGGATGGCTTGCCGTTGCAGGTCAGTCTCTCACAAATATGTCGACGCTCCCTCATATCATTCGGTTTCTAGGCATAATGAATGTTATATTCCCGCACCTTGACTTCATTTCTTGTCTCGTCATAGCGGCATGCCTTACTCCCACAGATCCTGTCATTTGTGCGTCAATCGTCGGTACGTGGATTGTTGCTACACCTGGGGGTGTCTACAACAAATCACACTCCATGCGCTTTCAGGAGGGAAATATGCTATGGAGCACGTCCCCAAAGAGCTTCGGCATATATTGGCCGCGGAATCTGCAGCAAATGACGGGCTGGCCTACCCTTTCCTCAGCATCTCTATATACCTCACCGTTGAAGTTTCTCGCGGAGTTGCATTCGGAAAGTGGTTTGCAGTGGGCTGGCTATGTGAGAAATCCACCACCATCCCAGCGGACATTCCCCTAATCTACTTACTTATAGACCAAGTCATCTTGGGTACGGTGATAGGGGCTACCATGGGGTTGGGTTTCTCCCGCCTCATACAATACACACACAAGAAGGGCTACGTTGACAGGCAGTCGTATGTGGCGCAGTATCTGGCCTTCGCGATATTCACAATTGGGGTCGTCCGCACCATTGGGAGCGACGACCTCCTTGCTGCCTTTGCTGCTGGTACGACCTGTCTCGGTAATAGAGAATTTCTGATGAACCGGTCAACATAGGGAGCGCCATGTCATGGGACGGTCATTTCCACAAACAAGTCAAAGACGATGTATTTTCTTCTGTGTTCGACTTTGTTCTCAACTGCGCTTGCTTCATCTACATCGGCGCTTGGATCCCCTTTCATGCATTCAATTCTGCCCATTTGTTCGTCTCGCCTTGGCAACTCGTCGTGCTAGTGATCGTCATTTTATGTCTGCGAAGGATCCCCTTCGTCCTTCTTCTTCATTTCTGGGTCCCGGAAATCGAGACTTGGCAGGAAGCCTTGTTCTGTGGGCATTTCGGTAAGCCTAAATTGGTTTGAGCTTCCGGACTTTCTAATAAACTATATCTAGGACCCGTTAGTTTACACTCTTGTTCTCTGTGGTCCTGCTGCTGACCTTGAACGTAGATGGGGGTAGGGGCGATCTTCATATCAACTTTGGCCCTGACCCGGCTCCCTGACCCTCAAAATCCACCGCAAAACCAGGCAGAACTGCTCGCAGCTGTCCTGCACCCCATCGTGTCTTTTGTAGTCCTATGTTCTATAATCATCCGTATGTCTCGTTGCCCTCTCCCCGACCTTAGTGCTGAGATGATGCAACCGTAGATGGACTGTCTATACCGTTCTTCTCTCTTAGTCGCAAAGCTTCGCTCTCTCTCTCAATTTCACCGACGTTGGTTTCAAACCATCTGGACGATATTTCTATAGAGGCACCCTCAAGGTGCAAAGCAGCGCGCACAACATCATTATCAGAATATTGAGCTATTGCTTTTGTGCACTATGATAGCTTATGATGAGTGATTTACCGTCGACTAAATATTATCCGGCGTATCGATGATCGACGCCGATCCACAACCACCGCGTCGTAGTAGCGCAGCACACTCGTTACGGTATATAAATGCAGCTAAAAAAGGGGCCTTCACGTGATTCTACGACCCGGAAAAGGCCCAAAATGGTGCAACGACTCCCAAGACACCAAGACCAAATCTCCTAGAACCCGAAAAATGGCTTGGAATCTCGACTTGCTTGATGTCCGTGAACTTCGACTACATACTGATTGCACCCATGGCTGATAACAATGTTAATCAACTGGACGTTCTGATAGGTATCAGCAACCGGTTTGGCGTATATCTGCCTGGGAGGTTTTGTTGTTTTGGTGAGTATCTGCGTATATTATTCGCATTGGCATTGAACAGGTTACTTCGGCAGTTCTCCATGATCTCGCTCCTGGTGAGGGAAAAGGTGAGATCCGAGGCAATCTTCCGGATATCAGCAATGTTTACAATATTATAGCTTTACATCAGTGAAGTCGTACTTGGGACGGCCTTTGGAATACTTATGGGCCCTCTTGTCGCAAATATATTCGACCCTCGATCCTGGGGAACAGATTCGAACGTGATCACTCTGGAAGTAATGAGAGTGGTCTTGGCCACCGGACTTTTCGCTATTGGCATCGAGCTACCCCAGTCTTACTTGGCGGAGCACGCCAAGGGGCTCTTAGTCTTGGTTATTCCTACAATGGCGTTCGGATGGCTTGTCGTTGCAGGTCAGTACACACAACTATGATAGCGTTCCCTCCCTCATGTCGTTCAACGCATAGGCATAATGGACGCTCTATTCCCGCACCTTGACTTCATTTCATGTCTCGTTATAGCAGCATGCCTCACTCCCACAGATCCAGTTATCTGTGCAACAATCGTCGGTATGCAGGTGTTCACAGGGTCATAATAAATCACTGATGTATTTCTAGGAGGGAAGTATGCTGTGAAGCACGTCCCTGTAAACCTTCGCCGTATCTTGGCCGCAGAGTCAGCAGCAAATGACGGACTAGCCTATCCCTTCCTCAGCATCTCAATATATCTCACTATTGAAGCTTCTCGCGGTGCTGCATTCAGCAAGTGGTTCGTGGTGGGCTGGCTATGTGAGAGATCTACTACTATCTTGCAGCAATTGAACACACTAATTCACGATTGCCGTTTGCAGACCAAGTCATTTTGGGCACAGTAATCGGGGCTGTCCTGGGTTTAGCTTTCTCCCGTCTCATGAAATACACCCATAAAAAAGGTTACATCGATAGAGAGTCCTACGTGGCGCAGTATCTGGCCCTCGCCATATTCACAATTGGGATAGTCCGCACACTTGGAAGCGATGACCTCCTCGCTGCCTTCGCTGCCGGTATGGTCTTGTCTTGGGGATATTCGCTTGCTGATAGACCAACCCACGCAGGAAGCGCGATATCATGGGACGGTCATTTCAACGATCAGGTGGAAGGGGAAGTATTTGCCTCAGTGATCGACCTCGTCCTCAACTGTGCTTGCTTCATCTACATCGGCGCTTGGATTCCCTTCCATACATTCAACTCTGCTCATTTATTTGTCTCGCCTTGGCAGCTCGTCGTTCTGGTGATCACTATTCTGCTTCTACGAAGAATCCCTTTCGTACTTCTCCTCCATTTCTGGGTTCCAGAAATCACGACTTGGCAGGAGGCTTTGTTCTGTGGGCATTTTGGTGGGCCTGAGTTTATTCATTTGAGTGTCCGGACTTTCTCATATATCGTGTCAAGGTCCCGTTGGTCCACACTTTTTTCTTCGCGTGCATTGCTAACCTCGAAGCAGATGGGGGTTGGCGCGATTTTCGTATCAACTTTAGCACTGACCCGACTCCCCGAACCACAAAGCCCGCCTCAAAGCCAGGCCGAGCTACTCGCGGCTGTCCTGCACCCCATTGTGTCGTTTGTAGTCCTCTGTTCCATCATTATTCGTACGTCTCACTTAGTAGCCGAACGGCGCTCAACCTCTAACGCCGACATATGCAATTGCAGATGGGCTGTCTATTCCGTTCTTCTCTTTCAGTCGCAAGGCTACACGCTCGCTGTCGATCTCTGCGACTTTAGCTTCTGGAAATGTTCCTGAGTGGCTTGTTTCCGCGCGAAGGGCGCCAACTTCAGATAACATTGCCAAGAGGGGTTCGACACCGCTCCACACTGGGACAAGTCCCGCTGCAGACATCGAGGCTGGTTCTACGGCAACCCCCACTCATCCGCAACTTAGTTCACACAATGTCAACCGCGTTTCTGTTGATGGCGAAGTATGTGTACACCTGTTCTCCTGGGTGATCTCCGAGTCGCTGACTTTTTTGAAGGCTGATGTCGGAACGTACGTTCAAGAGGGACCTATCATCGGTGGAGAAGCTAGTGGCAATGTCGATGGCAAAGCAGTCCGATTCCCCTCCGATGAATAACAGTAGTAGTCGTCCTCCCAAGGACATCTTGGTGCTTATAGTCGCCACATCTCTTGTATATCCTTTGTTGAGTTACATCGAAATATGTTCATTCAATTGTGTACCAACCAGAATCCTTTTGGTTCGCTTAGTTCCAGGACTGAGTTTCTAGTGCAGAAGTTGAACTTGGACAATGGTTCCTGGCGATCGCCTCGATCACATGTTTCTTCTCAACTCACCCGGACCCGGAATTCAGTTATCGTCCCAGACCTCCTCAACCTCCTCGATTAAATATGGAATTGTTGCTTCGCTTCTCCCACAAGGCGACAATTCCTTATCACAGTTCGCTCCGGCGCCCAAAGTTACCAAATGGGCTCAATCCTATCTAGGGTACGTTTAGCAGCTCGAGTTCTACAAGACTTGTCCGCAAAGTACGACGAAGTCGCCATGAAAGTTGCAGAGTCACCAGGATTGCCGGTTATAAACACGTCCACGCCATACTGGGCTATCCCTCCTGCTCCTATTGCATGCCACGGCGCCAAAGATCCGATTCCTCCTTTGCAGCCTGGAAAGGCTACCGAACGTTCGGAGGCATATGTGGGATGCAGCGATGCAGATGTGGTGATCATTGGGAGCGGTGTAACGGGCGCGGCTGTGGCTCGTACTCTCCTTGATTGGGATGCACAGCGGGTGCGGGAACACGGGGGCCCGCCGATTCGAGTGATCATGCTTGAGGCACGGGACGCATGCTCTGGTGCTACCGCAAGGTGAATTCACTTGGTACTTACGGTCTTGTGGCACTGACATCGGCGTCCAGAAACGGCGGGCACATCACGCCGCCACTTTACCACGATTATTCCTCTTTGAAGAAGGAATTCGGCGCCGCCATTGCCCAGCGTATCATTCGGTTTCGCCTAGCCCACCTCCAGGAGTTCCTCCGTGTCGCAGAAGAGGAAGGCCTCCTCATCGATTCACAAGCAAGAAGAGTACAGACCTTTGATGTCTTCTTCGATCGAGAGACGTTTTTGCAGGCAAAGGCCAAGTTAGAAGAATACTCAAGAGACATGCCGAACGAGGGGAAAGTATACAGTGCGTTGGACCCCGTAGACGGCGTGGATCTAGTTGAGGTATATACAACTACCCTGTATCGTTATAATACTGATCGTCATTTACAGGAATACCAATTGTCCCCAGGGGCTGCTGGCTGCATTACAACCACCGCGGGTGCCATACATCCTTACCGTCTAATTACGGGAATCTTGTCGAGACTCCTTAACGAATATTCTGACCAGCAAGTCCGCTTATCTTCGTTCTCTAAACACATAACCTTACGCCTCGGTTCCATAGGTTTTACCTCTACACCCATACCCCTTGCATAAGTATTGCGTCTCCCAAAGGCGGATCGTTATACACCATCTCTACCCCCAAAGGAACACTCCACGCACCTCACGTCGTGCACGCTACCAATGGCTGGGTATCACACCTTCTGGAACCCCTGCGCGGTAAAATAATACCATTGAGAGCGACCATGACAGCACAACGCCCGGGTCTTAGCCTAGGGGCTCCCCTATCTGACCTAGTACGCTCTACGACAATCGACCCCGAGAAGAGGAGTAGAAATTGGCTGGGTGATAGATCGTTTGTCTTTTACCCAAGGCCTACTTTGAACGTTTGGGACTACTTGACACAGATGCCTCCATCCTCTGCCGGACTCAAAGCACAACAGGCTCGCCGGCCTACTAAAGACTTGAGCCCCATGCGCAGTGACTCGTCGCATTCAGACGCTGATAGCGATACGGCATGCGGTTCTTCGGATGGCGACATGGTTCACGGACACGAACGCGACGATACGTTGTCATCATCCGCAAAACCCCACTATCCACCTCCCGCAGCCGAGCTAATGTTTGGCGGCGGGTTAGGTCAGTCACAAGATGCCTTCTATGACTCAGCAGGCAACGCCGACGACCGCACATTCCATCTCCCTACGGCTTCCTACCTGTCAGGCGCGCTACCGCTGTATTTCTCCGGATGGGGCGAGGAAGGCCGTGACACCGACGCGCCGCAGAGTGATGTTGATCCCGGCCGTGTAAAGTCGGTATGGACTGGGATACTAGGGATGTCTGCGGATGGAATGCCGTGGGTTGGACGCATACCAGACAAGATATCGGGCCGTGTCGCTCCATCGTCCGCCATGTCGACGCAAAACTTGGCCTCGCCCGGAGAATGGATTGCAGCAGGATACTCAGGCGAGGGCATGGTTCACGCATGGATGAGCGCGAAGGCCGTCGCTTACATGATTCTGAATGCGGACGACGAACGCGAAAGGAACAACCCGTTGGGGAGACCCGCAAACGATGGAGAGGACTGGCTACCAAAGCCTTACCTTGTTTCCGAAAAACGGCTGAAAGAGTCGAACATGGATAAATTCCTGGAGTCGTTCTTGGGTTAAGCTTATGGGATTACCTCGTCTCAACGCAGCACTATCTTGTGGAAGCTACCGCACAGTTGAGGATGTTTCCATTACGTTGAAATTTGTTATAAATAATTTACACCACCCATGAATATCGACAGTTGTATGTACACATAGCAGGACAAGCAAACAACACCTCTATATCACGTAGCACAGTAGACTGTACTCCACAAAATAGTCAAGAGACAAAATTGAATATGAATCTAACGAACCTTCCCAGCGTCAAGCCGATATTGTTAGCGAACCTCCAAATGGCTGTGCAGGGGAGGTCGTAGAGTCACAGTGTTAACTTTTGATTGAGAATGAAGAAATGAAGTGAAAGAAGGTTGGACATGAAGTGAAAGGGTTATCTGTGATGGTGTGCCGTTTGAATGGTGGGGAGGGGTGATTGGGGTTGATATCTGGCGTGCAACAAACGTCCTTCCATCAGGCTTAAGGGTAAATTTTTGGGGAATGCGTTGTTAAGATATGCGGCTGGAGCGCAAGCTATAAGTAGGATAAAGAATGGTAAATGAGGGCACAGAGGGTTGATGCCGGTACGAGAAACGGGCACAAGCAAGTTCGACATCCGATGAGAGCCAAGGAGAGATTACACATGGAGGGTATATTAAAGAGTGAATGCGGGCTCTTTTTGGTGCGATTGTGAGATCTTGCTTTGTTTAGTCCGAGTGACGTTAGAGACATGATTGACGGTGGGATCGCGTTAAATCCGATGGATGCAAATGAAAGATAGTGACGTGCGAACGGAGCAGATTAGCCGAGTATAAAGAATGAAAATGCGGTAGCAATCATCGTGCATTAAACAAAGAACTGGGTACTGCACGCGCTGTCAGTGAGAACAGACATGCAGAGAGGGGAATATGGACATACTGAATCCGGCTTGCAGCATGTACTTCCATCTCTTCCATCTTGTAAGAGTTGAGCTCCTCCTTGATCCTCTGCGCCAGCGCAGGGGTAAGACGGCTCCAAGTAGCGGGCTCACTTCTTCGATCGTAAACAGTGGCAGAGAAGGTGTCGTAGACAGCGAGGTTGCTTGCGAAAGCAAGTCGCTTGCCAGGCGTCGTAGCCGAACGATGCGTCAAAGTGGGTGCAGCTGAAGGCATCACTGATAGAGTAGGAGCCGATAGATTGGGATGGCTGAACATGTTGTTATGAGTGTGTGCGGCACTCGTAGGGGAGGGACTCGACGTGATCTCCTTGGGGGATTCTAAACTCAAGCTACCGAGCGTCGATGTCGCATCGAATGAGAGCGGTGGCAGGGCTGGAATAGAGGCGCCGGCGGCTGGTCCATGGGCAGACGAGTGAGAATTGTGACGATGAAGGCCATCGATATGATCAGGATCGGGTGAAGGGATACGAGCGAGGGGACCCAACTCCGCGTGTCCGGTATGGGAAGAGTTATAGGAGTTGGAACGAGGTCGGTTGGGAGTAGGATGTTCGGTCAAGTATGCGTGTTGATCGAAATTATTAGCACCTAAGAATTTGTTACTAAATAGTTTCAGTACGAAGCATAAGATGATTGATTACCTTTCAGAATACCCTTTGCTGGTTTTCGGCTCCTCTCTACGCTGCGACGAACGTCTACAGCCCATGGTTCCACATCACCGTCCTCACCCTCTCTACTCGACCTACTCACGTCCATCCTAATGGTAACGTCCTCATCTTCCTCACCCCAGTCGTCATCATCATCCCATCCATCAGCATTATAGGTAGGACCTGTATGGGATACCCCAAAGTGACCATCCTCACTCTGATCTTCGTCGTCGTCTTCAATAAGAACTCTCGTTCCATCTTCATTGACGCGCATCCCTGGAGCTTTGATGGGCGATGGCGAGCCTTGTCGTGTCGCGGTATTCTTGTCCCATGTTGGGACACCTACGTCGTTTCCGTTGACGCCGTTGATTTTAACGGTATCATCAGCGGCAGCTTGAGCAGCTGCTGCCGCCGCTGCTGCCGCCTCTTGCTGGGCTTTGAGCTTCGCAGCAGCTTCTTGGTTGCTCTTGAGAGTGTGTCTCCGAGCTAACTCGGCTGCGGGACTAAGGCCTGTGAATTCGTCATTCCAATCGTTGCCCATCCTGTCCAGTTCAGCAGTGACATGCGAAACGCTGGCCTCGCTGGCCTCACCCTTCGCCGTACCTGCCTTCTTGTCCTTCTTCTTTCCCTTTTTGTCCTTGCCTTCGCCATCCTTGTCCTTGTCCTTATCTTTGAATAGCGAGGTGATACCAGCAAGCGAGTTGCGGCGAGCGAGCCTACCCATGGATCCCAACTTTCGAATCATGACACTGGCGCTGCTGACTGTCGAAGAAAGGGATATATTGTCCGTGCTGGCGTTGCGCAAGTTGAACAACGAAGCGGCGCGCCCTTTCTTCTTGGTCTGAACAGTCGCAGTGGATGCCGCATCGTCATCGGGACCTTTCGGCGTTGCTGTCGCTGCAGTCGAAGTCGATGCCTTGGGAGTACTGGGGCCGGACGTCGAAGGTTCCTCGCTTTCCGCCTTTTCCTCTCGTAATGTTGCGCTGGCGTTCAGCGATAGGACACGCTTCAAGCGGCCCTTGAGACCGCCGCTTCTCATCATCGCAGGGGTGGGCATGGGATTGAGATCACTGTCGTCTCTTGACATGCGCTTCTCTGCGAGAGTGAAGTTGCCCTGAGACAATGGCGAGGGGCGAACAGGCCGTGGGTTTGGCATCGGTGTCGATGTCGAATTGATAGTGACCGAGGAAGTGGATGCAGTGGGAAGGGAGGGAGAATGAATGGTTGATCTTACAGATGCGGCATTGGAGGTAGATGATGATGATGATAGTTTGCGATTGTGGGGAGGAATTCTAGAAGATGAAGCAGACGATGTACTTTGGGGTGAGGTGGGAGCCGGAGAACTACGAGCGGAACCTGAGGGGATAGCAGGGGATCCATTCCGACTACGAACGCTACCACTATTCGATGCTGACGAGTTGTGACCACTCTGCGCACTCTGGATACTATTCGTCCTCTGACGTTGACTATTGGACGAATTCACCGATGTAGTGGACCCTGACGCGTCAGCGCGAATATACGGTGGATGAGAAGGCCCCCCTGGACGCCACTCGCCATTATCAGGGGTGTGCGAGGCTTGTCGGTTAGGCCGACGATACGGATGGAAGGCAACTTGCTGCGGCGGTACATTCTGCTGCGGTTGATGATGGTCGCCCTGATTACGATGCGGGGGAGGTGTACCACTAGTGTAGGGCGAGAATGATCCAGAGATCTGATTTTGGGCGTAATAATCATTCACGGGGCCGGTGCCGGGGCTCATTCGTTGCTGAGACGGAAATTGCTGAGGAGGTATCATGGGAAAGCCTTGCTGGGCGTTAAACATCATTTGCTGATAAGCCCACTGAGCTAACTGTGCGTTCGCGTTGGGGTCAAAGAAAGGTGTCTGTTGGGGGACTTGTCCTTGACCATGGGCAGCAAATTGTTGCGGCTGCTGCTGGTGATTTTGGTAGAAAGATGGGTAAAAGGGGGGTGCTGTTATCGACGGTGTCCAGCTGCCCTGGGGTTGCTGCTGAACAGAGAATGGGTATTGCTGCTGCTGCTGCGCCTGGCCTAGATGCTGTTGATGGACTTGCGAAGGGCTCGGTGATGAGCCGTGATCGTTTGGCGAAGCCCTTGGGAGCTGAGCTGAAGGATTTGGCTGACTTGGGACATCCATTTTGCTCTCTCTAGTTGTGTATGTCCAATCTGGAGGGGCGAGAACAGCCATGGACGGGCGCAACGATGGCCAGCTTCAGAATACGCGGTCATGGAGCTGTATTGGGCCCGGAGAAATACGTGGACTCACCAGTTTTGAGGAGAAGCAGAGACGACCTCGCAGCCAGGCTCGTCGAGTAGCTTGACTGTTCGGTGGTGGTCACTGTGGCCGACGACGACGATATCGATTTTGGGCGGTCGTCAGCGTTCGCAGCAGCGAGTGCAATGTCGGTTGTTAAAGGACAGTTTCAGTACAATCGCCGCAATATTCACACACAGTTGTCTTTTGTCCGAACACTGCCCAAATTTAGACACTTTCGGTGATAAACTCCCCCAACCCCAGTTTTCCTCTGATCATCATTTTTAACTCGTTTAGGCTATGTCCCTCTCTGTGCTTCACCCGGTCGTACCGACAGTTTCACGCATGACGAACATCCGAGAAATGGTGAATCTACAAGTCAGATTGATATCATTCGGCTCAGATTGCGGGCGCGTGGTACCACACTTCCCATGCATTATGTTGTGATACTTCAAGGAACCAACTGCATGGGTTTACCCTATCCTCGTTCAACTCGCCCCACTGTGACATGGGTCCATCCCACGAACAAATAAAGATGGTCAAAAAGGTCAGTGGATAAGCGACCCGCCATCCATCGGGCGTTCTTTTGGCCCGGCGTGTTTGGGATTGAGCCTCGCATCGGGGTTGTAAGTTTGAAAAAAGGACCTAAGTATGTACAAGGAGAGTTAATATATACTTTCTACCTATTAGCATTAGCAGTAGAGTATAGAATACGATACACGCGTAACCAACAGTGTGAATGCATCACCAAGCGCAATTGTAGTTCGGAAGTCGCTCACACGCGAGTGGAAGAATGGGATGTAATAAAGGTCTCCAAAAACACTATCATAACATATGCGTGAGGAACAAACTAATCCAACATAAATATTAAACACTAGGATAAGCAGCCGCACAACAGTGCAACGAAGAAACACCACATCTTGAGAAGGTTGAGTCCCTGCACACAAGCACACGCCTCCCATTACGGCACACGATCATCTCACAATTCCCATCTTCAACAACGCTCCAACGACATCAACCTCTGCCCAATGCCCGCCGGCAGTACCCTCACTCGAAGTCTTCTTCCGGCGTTGGATGTGCAACAGCGTATTTCTGAAATGACGTGTAATCATCTCAGGCGTCTGCACGCCTTCAAGTAACCCCGGGGGTGCTCTCTGTGATGGGTGAACATCGGGTGACGAAATCGCATCAACACTAGACGTGATCAGCTCCACCAAACTGTTGACGAATTTCGGCGCGACCTGGCAACGGCCGAATGAGTCTTGTTCGACGAACGGGGTAAATCCACCTACCGCAGGAGCACCGTGGTCTAGATAGTAGAGGTACTGATCCAGTGTGTCGCAGTAAAGTTGCACCGTAACGATCTCCTCAATCGCAGAATTGGCAATACGTAGCGACTTCTGCAGGCACTCTAGAACGCGTTTGCTGTCCTGATGGGGGAACTACAAAACGGTTAAAAGATTGTTCAACATACATACCCCATGCACTCACAGCCTTGGGCGCATCTTCACTATCACCGTCCACGGCCGGCTTCTCTGTTGTCGTCTCTTTCGCCCCAGCAGACTCGCCGTCGGCAACAATCACGGACTCCTGCCACCAAAGGTGACTGGCCAAGCCGACCGCCGTCGCTTGATGACTCTTCTTCAACAACTTCGCGCCGTGCAAAGCAGCTTTGGTCACCAGGGTATCGTAGTTATCCACACCGAAGACCTTCGCCCCTGCCAAGGTACCAATAATAAGGGTGATCGCCTGCAGTTGTGCCCTGGACTCCGAAATGCAGTCTTCATACACGCTGAAGGCTTGTACGTATAGATCATACGTCAGATCTTCGAAGTCGCATTCATCAGATATTTGCGCGGCTAGAAGGAACAGCCGCAGGGCGATGGTAGGGGCTTCCACCTGAGTGGCCAGAATCGACGTAAGCTGGCGGACGAATTTCAGAATATTGGCGACTTTCGTCCGCCAATCATCCTCCTGGATGATGAGTGAGCTCAAATTTAACTACCCAGAATAAAAGACCAACTGCATGTTGGACGAGCTTGTAGCGTCGGCAGATCCTAATCGCAGATGTTATAAGCGCGGGGAAGGTAAACCGCATCCTCTCGCCGCCGGCTTCGAAATGCCGTCGTGCAACTTGCAAGAGCTGACGTGTAAGGTCAGAATCAACCGGCGAATCGCTTAGCTCCAGGCATACCTGGAATTGTACGTCCAATGACTCTGCACGGAATAAATGCACCATCCGAGCAACCCATCCTTGCTCCTCAGCCATCTCTTCCCGCTCCACTGAGTAGGGCCCTTGACGCCGTATATCCTTAACGTTAGCTTGGGCATTGGGATTTGCTGAATCGGTTTGATCTTTGATGAGAACGTGACACAGCTCAAGAACACCGTCGCAGTCTTCCGGTGTCTCAATGATAGTCTCGTTCTTCAACACAGAGGAGATAACTGAGTGTGCGATAGAACGGCGGGTGAAGAAAAGTTGCTGCGACAGTAGGGGGACATAATTTGGGATGGCTAGTAGGGTGAGGATGGATTGATAGGAATTGATTGGGGCAACGAGGAGGGCGGCGAGGTTGGAGGTGGTCTGCTGGGTGTTCAAGTCTGGGCTGAAGATGAGACAACGTCAGACGTGCCGTGTCCTAACACTGAAGGAGATGCAAACCTCTCTTTGAATTCCTTTATCTTTTCAGCCGTAAAGCCTAGCACCTGGTCAACGTATTCCAGCCGGTCTGGATAACAACTAAGGGATAGATTAGTGAGCGAAACGAGGAGGGCAGTTATGTCCTGGATGGATAGATCAGGCCGAGCCTGTCGATTCGGTCGTAAAGTGTGAGCTCGTGCTGTCTAATCCATGGACAACCGCACCTTGATCAACTCAACGACTTGCTTCCAAAAGACCTCGAATAGCCTAACGTCCTCCGGAATTCCCCTGAATTTGCGAACAGGGACACCCTCAACAGATTTACCCTTCTCCTCCACCTTCTCTGTAGACACGACACCGTTCGCTCCGTTCGCCTCTGGTTTCTCGTGCTCAACGGCGGTGGAAGGAGTCTGCGGAGGTGAGACTGCGTCCCAAGGGCTAGATTCGGTAGTTATCGTCGACGAGGCTATCTGGCTATCCGTACTTTCACGATGCCTGTTGGCTTTCTGCAATTCAACTTTCTCAGCCAAACGCTTGGCCGCTGCTTCTTCTTGCCTCTTGGTCTCCTCTGGATCCTCGTTTTCGGCCTCGCGAGCTGCGTACGCCGCTAGTCTGTCGATCAGAGCTATCACTATCTGCTTAATGTTGACTTTGGGGTGGAGTTGAGCCGTGGCGGATAGGAAGGGCCCCAATGTATGCAAATGGAACTCATCCGTGAATACCTGCGCGTTGCTAAATATAAAAAGCCAAGTTTCAACGTAGAGGGAACACACCTGGATAACAACCTCCATTAGATATTCTTGGGCTATGACGTCCTTGCAGCTGACAATCTGCTCCAGCACGCTGGGCAATATTATCTTCTGGTACAAGTCCAAGTCGACGCCATCAAGCTGACTCAAGCGGACGAGATTTGTGCCGACCAGTATCCTCAATTCCCTACGTTCCATTTCGCGCTTTTCGCGGTCGCGAGAGTGCCCCTGGTGTTGCAACCGTACCCAGAGCTTGTTCATTTCAATGAAATTGGTGAGAACGAAGGATGTAGAATCTTGCAGGCATCCAGTGGGACTTATACGGGCTCTTGAGCATATTTCGTATTGCAAAGGAGGGCGTGTGTGAACTCACCCAGGATCGACCCCCACAGGCAAGTGGTCCCTCGTCTGTCCGCTCAGATAGTGCCTCAGGAATAGTCCGCGTATTGGGTGCAAGACACCGCGCGACATTTCCATCATATCCTTCATGATCTCCTTCACGGGAGCTTCAGGTATTGACATATAGACGGCACCGACGGTGATCATGAGGTATAACCGCGGCACGATATTGCCAGCGTATTGGACAAGCTCATATAGGTCCGCAAGGTGGTGCTTTCCTTGTGTATGGGCATCGTAGAGGTAATTTGTGAGGTGTCGCAGTGCATCGAATACAGCCATGTCTGCGAAATGTCAGCGGCGGGAGATGGATATGAGACCGAAGGCTTACAGAGTTCGTAGTACTGTTTGGGGGAAAGCGAGGATGTCCTTAGTTCGGCCAGCATCAGACTCGCGCTTTTCAGAGCATCCATGAGCTGATCCAGTTCCTTTGGGGAGCATTAATAGGTTCGCGCAGTAAATGAACAAGTCCAATACGAACCAGATGCCGCTTCATCTGCTGAACTTGAATCTTCACGGTGTTGAGCGCCTCGCTGAGGAGCTTGCCCTCCTCCACGACCGGTTGCGCCATGGTAGCCATGTCGCAAAATATACGAGACTTGAGTTGCGGGCGAACGGAGACGTAGTCCCTAGCTCAATAGACGCTGGTGCTGACTCAGCATAGTGCTCGGAGCGCGTATGCACGTGACTCGTATCTTCCGTTCCGAGAAATCCACACTCCCTCCTGCTCATACTCATCGACCCCATCAGTCGACTAAGAAGTACCGTAGAAATATCATGGCAAACTTGCTCTCGCGTTTGCACGTGTGGTAAGTACAGTCATTGATGCTAAATTGTGTGAGCTGGGACCATGCATTCTCGAGATAGGGATGGGGAGATTATCTTGCGTTCGCAAGTCCTTCTAATTAGTGGGTTGACGCCCGCAACGCTATAGCGTGGCTTCCGACCACTGAGCAGTTGGAACCCTTTTCTAAGTAGCGATTTGCCGCGCCCCACAAGTCCCCTTGCTTGAAAGATACCATCACTCGAGTTAGTGTACATCAAGTACAGGTCCTTGGCGGTGGAAATCATGATCACCACCCGTGCAGCTAAAGGAAAGCTGACGCCAAGGAGGCATTAATCCGATGCCACAGACATAAGGGACATGCACTTTAAGAACACCGTTGTTAGTCAGGCGGTGCATTGGCGAGGACTACAGGTGGAACAACCGAAACGAGCAAGTAGTAGTCGGCGATGAACACAAATTTCAACGCGTCTGCGACAGTCCAATGAGCAGAACAGCACTCCAGCACTTCAAGAGAGACGTCTCCTCAAGGAAGCTCGTAATGGGTTGAAGAAGTGTATTCAGACTAGAGGTACAATGAACGACCTAGATTCGGCGTTTCTTCTCCATCTCGGTGTGGAGATTCATCGGTTGCTTGATATCAACATCTACAGGATGCGTTAGAGACATGTTAATGGGAGGTATATTAGGAGACGTACTGCTGAAGATATCAGCAGGTTCTACTGTTTCGTCGCGACCCATCAAGATGTCCAGAGCCAGATTTGTGTCGTCGTACAGACCAGGCATGTGAGGATTCTGGATCGGCGATGAATTGACTAGCTTGAGCACTCGCGTAAGTCCAAGCTTACATGAGATACGATGCGCCGCTCCATAAGCAGACGCATCGGTGCGTGCAATCCCTGCACGTTCCGCAAGAGATTGAGCTTCGTGTTATCTTGTGTTTCCTCCCACTGAATGAATGTCAGCGTGGATCCAAGGGCAAGTAGGAGGTCAAACAGACCTTTTCCAAGCGGTTCTTGATCTGCGATTGTGTCTTCACCTCAGCAGCAATGCTGCGTGGACCGTACTGCAGTGTATCGTGCAGACCAAGACTGTTCGCGGTGTCCTTCACGGACGCGGATTTGGAGCCTTCGGTGGGTACGAGGCGAAGAGAAGTGTCCTGTTTGCAACATTAGCCACTGCTTTACTCCATCATCCAGTGAATCCCGTTGGACTTGCCATGATTTCAGTATATAAAGTCAAGAGGGACGCGCGGTGGTCACTCCTGGAAATGGAAATGGTCACACTACTATGTGCTGACTCAGCAACCCCGCATTCGTTCCAGCAACTCTGGCAGAAGTTCTCCCTCAATAAGTTCAACTTGCCTCCGTTCCCTCATCTGCACACCTCAATTTTCTACCAGTTGACGAGGTTTGTGTGAGTAGCATGTACTTGTGCTACCTTGATGTGCGCTGAATATTCCTGATGAAGGGGGAACCCAGCTCATAGTGATGAGCAATCGACCAGCAAGGTCGGCCAGTATACCCATCCCCAGGACTGCCTCCTCGACATCGCCGTCGAGGAACCTGGAGGCAGTGCTCTCGATACCATTCTTACCTCCCCCTCGTCCTCGAATTGTCTCCGCATCTACGAGTCAGAATCGCTTAGCGTCACCAGAGGACCAAAGGGGGCTTGGTATTTCTCATATCATGCGTTCTGGGAGTAGCTCTTTAACTGCACCCACAACAAGCCTCTCTCCAACCAGGTCGACGTCACGCTCGCTTACAATAACGTCCGGGATGCCCCCGCGACCATCTTTCAGGACAAGTACGTTCGAGCCCCGCATCGTTAGGGGGGACAGCTCTTCTCGCACACAGACTGACACGGGGTGCCTGCCATCCACATCAACTTCCGTACCTTCGAATAGGGCTCGCAGGTCCAGTGCTTCCGGTGTTAGAGCGCCGAGTGCTACTCGTGGAGGATCCGGAATCTCAACCATCCCACAGGGTGTCAGCACATCCAGCGGACCTTCTTCCATGCCTGTACCCACCGCCCCATCGAGCTTTGCGCGTCCGGCCTATTTAGAGCTCTCGGCGCTGAGACATTTGTTGCACACCGAGGAACCTCCGAGGCTTCCTGCACGGAAAGTGGAGAGTATAGTACCGAGTGGGGCTAGCCCATCGCCTTACGCCGCCTTGAGTGAGAGCGACGAGGAAAGCGATGGGACACCTCCAAGGGATGTACGAGCAACCTCCAGACCACCGCCTCCGGCGTCGACCTATACTGTGCTTCCAAGCAGATGGTCCGAAGAAACGAGGCACCAGAGCCTTACTGTGTCGGCTGAGGGAAGGGAGTTGACTTTCCATGGTACGTACGTGCAATTGCTTCCGCAACTAACTTCATGCTTCTTCTACGATGACTTGTAGGTCAGTCCTCTAGCGGTGACAAAGATGCTGCTTCAGCACGGACGACTCATCCTGCACCGGCTGCATGCGGTATTTATTATTACGAGGTGGAGATTCTCAATAAGCCGTCTAAAGGCTGGTGAGTGCATTTGCTTGAATCACGCAGCATGTATTGAATTTACACGCCTGCAAAGCTCCACCAGTATTGGGTTTGTCCCGTATGTTGCTAGGTGCTGGGTGATACTGATTGGTCATCAGATTCGCTGGGCCGGATGCCAGACTCTCCCGTCTTCCTGGCTCGGAGCGTAGCTCGTGGGGCTATCATGGTAGTGATGGATATTGTTATGCTTCAGAACGAGAAGGCTCGCCGTACGGTGTCCAATTCCAAAGTGTGTACAAAGTTTGGTCCAGACCTCCGGCTGGCAGACTGACTCGACCCATCTAGCCGGTGATGTTATTGGGTGTGGCATCGATTTTACGACCCGCAGGATGTTCTTTACTCGAAATGGGTCTTGGATTAGTGAGTGCTGTCAGTTGACACGTAGCTCGTTGTATTCATTAATCTCTTCGCAGACGACGTGTTCGACAATGTGGGTAAAGATTGCGACTTATACCCGTCAGTTGGCATGCGAATCAACTCAGAGAGCGTCCGCGTAAACTTCGGACAAGAAGCCTTCAAATATGATATCGAATACCACGTACAACAGAAACGCAGTACCGTATGGAATTCAATACTGACAACACCGATCAGCGGGACGATTGTAGAAGGACGACCTGGCGAGGTATCGGAGGAGCAGTCGAAAGGCCGGATTAATCGCCTGATTTTGTCCTACCTCGCTCACCATGGATACGCTCGGACGGCGCGTGCGTTCCAGACTCAGATAGCACGAGCAAGAGAGGGGATTGTCGGCGACGGGGACGTGGAGATGGAAGGTAATGGCGAAGACGAGCTAGAGAGCGAGATAGAGCAGCGGACGAAGGTCGTCCATGCTGTGATGGAAGGGGATATCGACGGTGCTATACAAGAGGCGAAGCGGTGCTACCAAGACGTCTTAAAGATGGAGGACGGGCTGGTGTTGTTCAAGCTGAAGTGCCGGAAGTTCGTGGAGCTTGTGATGAAGTCAACGGAGATGAAGGATAAAATGAGCAACGGGGGTGAGGAGGACGGCATGGTGATGGATATTGACGACGAGGAAGACAAACCTATCACCAATGGACACGCCGCCGCTGCATACGAGAAGGCGCTCACGGACGCGATATCGTACGGTCAGAGTCTGCACGGGGAGTACAAGGACGACGAGCGATCCGAAGTTCAGGATGTCCTCAAGCGCACGTTCGGGATCCTGGCGTTCTACGATCCACGTAAAGCTGTGGGTAGTGCTTCCGAGGTCGTCGGCAAAGATGCGCGTATGGAACTGGCAACTGAAGTTAACCAGGCTATCTTGAAATCGCAGGGAAAGCCGTCAAGGCCGATTTTGGAGACTGTCTACAGGCATACAGCGGGATGCATCGTTCAGCTCGGGCTCATGGGTATTGGCTCGGCTGCTTTCGCTGATATGCAGAGGGAATTACTGGAATAGTCTCTGTAATGTCGCTTCTTGGGAGTTGCTATCAGACCATAGCCAGCTGTGCAGATTAGTCGGTGCTTTGATGTAGTAGTAGATGTACTGTAATTTATATATATACCGCCAACTCTATGTTACAAGCCCTGTACCGCTCGGGTAGCGGGGATACCAGATTCACTCCGCTAATCAATTATCATACGATACATGATGATGATGCCAATGCTGTGGGTGACGGGCGCAAGCTCTCTCTCTCACGAGCACCTCCGCTGGCTCGTGCTCGGTTCGGTTACCTTCATGACAGCGAATAATTAATTCTTGCTCTTAAACCTCGAGGAGCGACCATGAAGAAGACCGTCAAAGTCGCCGTGGTAGGCAGTGGACTGGCTGGATTGACGGCGGCGTACCTTCTGTCGCACACCGACCGCGAAGAAAACGTAGAGTTCGAGGTACATTTATTTGAGAAGGTGAGTATGATTGCCGAGTTCTATCTTGAAATTTTCTTTTAGCTTTGGTGCAGATGAATACGTTTGGGATGGATGCTTCGTCCATATCGCTGCCTATACCTGGGACACAGGACGACTGGCGCGTGGATGTGCCAATGAGGTCGTTTCTTGGAGGTATGTTCGGTAGTACTACTGAAGAGTAGTACTACAGTAATGTTATAGGTGCCTACCCCCAACTCATCAGGCTCTATAAATCCCTGGGTGCCTCATTCCGTGCAGATGACTTCACATATTCATTCTCCCAGCTATCATCCCATTCGCAGAAGATCTCAGCCACTATGATCTACAACGGCAGCTCCGGCAAGCGGGGTCTCAGCATGCCGTCTGCAATGCGGCCCGACTCGTCTCTGAAGCACGAACCATGGCTCCTTCGCACTATTACGTGGATATGTTGTTGGGGCCTTTACGCAGCAATGATACCGCCGTTAGCGATTTGCTACCTGCGCCTACTGTGTATGTCAATGCCGTTCCTTCGGTCAAAGGACATCAAGAACATGACTTTCAAGGAATGGACCTCCAGGAGCACTCCGAAGGGAATGGTTTCGAAATTCTTGAGCCTCGATGTAGCTTGGAAACAATTCGTGTCGGAAGTTATGGTTCCCCTGTTTCTAGCCGTGTGCACAACTTCCGAAGACGATATGATGGAGCATCCCATCGAGGAGATACTTGGTGAGCGCTGCGGCTTGCCGGTAGATGTCATCTTGTAATGGTAGTTTCTAGACTATATTTGGTTTCCATTCGGCACACACCACTATGTACTGGAAAATGGCGTCAGGGACGTCGTCCGGCGGCTCAGTACTGGAATAAAGGAGATCCACCTCGGGGCGCCCATATCATCAATCGAACTGGATGCGCACGACCCTCATCTCATCGCGGTTACTTGTGTAACAGGCGGCATGCAGAAAACCCTCTCTGGCTTCGAGCACGTGGTATTTGCTACGCAGGCTAACAGAGCTGTCCCCCTTTTGGAAGCGTTCGCTTTGTCGTTGCCATTAGAAGAATCGCATAGGCTGGCCGAGGTGCGCCAGCAGCTGGATTGCTTGAAGAAATTCATGTACCGGACGAGCATCGTCATCAACCACACGGACGACATGATGCTGCCGGACAGCGTCGTGGACAGAAGGGATCTGAACTTGGTGCGCTGCAAGTCGGGCTCCTTTGTTACGAAAGCGCGGCCAGAAGACCATCAATACTGTGTTTCGCCCATGCACGCCCATGCGATGACGACACACATTCTGAGGCGGCCGGCGGGGTACCCCACGCCCGTGTACCAAACGACGAACCCCATAATTCCACCGCGAACCGACAGCATCCTCAGCGTCTCCAAACTCGAACGAGCAGTGGTTACCATGGACTCCAAGCACGCGCTGAAGGGGCTGTACATCGAGGACGATAAAGGCACAGGGCGGTTGGGCAGGTTGCAGGGGATAGGACAGCATAACGGCGGGGCGCGCATTTGGTTCTGCGGTGCGTACGCTTGTAAGGGTATTCCACTACTGGAGGGATGTGTGGTTAGTGCGAGATTGGTGGCTGAGGAAATTCAGAGGCGGGCAGGGGTGAAGATCAAGGACAAGTGGTAGAAGGACTAGCAGTATCTAGCTTATTTCCGCCCTATGGCAAATGAAACGTGTGTCGCATCGAGGTCTCAGTTTCCTCTAGTTTCAAACGAGACATCAAAGTCCAGACTCCAAATATGTGCCGACTTCGAGCAGTTTAGCAGTTTTTGGATGGAAATTCGAAAAGGGAAAGGATCACGTTATCAGATGTTATACACTCGATCTGATTGGCTGATGCCGAAGCTGTTGACAAACAAAGGACAACAGCCCGATGATGACTGGTCCAAATTCTGAACAGCGACCACAGTTTCCATCATCACCACCATTTTCACCATCGTTGATGGCAGCGTCGGCGACCCGCATGTCTCGTCTCGGCCACGCAGCCCGCCTCTCGCATCCCTTGTTCTCCGCGTTCAATCCCGCAACACCCGGACTGTGTACCCGGAGAGCCTTGATGTCCGCACTCCGAAGTGGAAGTGACCGCCTCGAGCCATCGCTTGCGAATTCACCTCCCCTCGTCGTACCGTCTGCGACGTCGCTGTCCTCGAACGCTTCTTCGCCCCAGACGGCGGCTCCCCCACCCCCTGCTCCGAAAGCCGAGCGGCCTAGACCAAAGCTAAGGTCCACCAAAGCCGCACTAGATATTGTGAGCACCATATGAATCTCATTACCGGCCTGAACTTAGAGACATTCCTGGTAACAGACACCTACCGCTGTGGAGAGATTGAGAGCACTTTTGAAGGGACCGACTCCCCAGCTCATCCGCATAGGTGTCCGCAACAAGGGTTGCGCTGGCTTGTCGTACCACCTTGAATACGTCGACAAGCCAGGAAAGTTCGATGAGATCGTCGAGCAGGATGGTGTACGAGTCCTCATAGACAGCAAGGCATTGTTCTCGATCATCGGGAGCGAGATGGACTGGAAGGAAGATGCCCTGAGGTGCGCGTTATTCAGTGCTCTAATGATGCAATTCTCATCTTTCCCTGCTCAGCGCCAAGTTCGCATTCCGTAATCCCAATATCAAGGATGCTTGCGGTTGCGGAGAGTCCTTCAGCGTTAGCTCATGATAAGTATAATGTATATGTACCCGTTTAGATGTTTCGGACGCCAACCCCCCATCGTTGTATCCATATATTTGCATATTGGGCGAAAGCCTAAGACACCAATATATTACGCAATACTCATTGTAATGTCAAAATATCGCGCTCTCAAGTGACAACGTTTCGACTGTTGACCGGTCGACCACTCACTCTTCAGAATTGTGAGTCGATTATTTTGTTGTTGGTGACATTGGCACTTGACGTCTTCGGTCTAGATCACGTCTACCTTTGGCACACTCTTCACACCTTGCGAAGACGGCAGGTTCACCACAGCATTGCATTTGAGAAAAGCCTCAACAATTTGCGCAATTTCTAGATCTCGAGATGATCGGGTTATCGGTGTATGTGTAACAGCATTCCCTTGCTTCTCCCTTGCGATACTTGTTGTTCGCCTTCAAGATGAGCACCGCAGTCCAGTGGGTACTTTTAGCTTTATCAACATGCCCCTTCTGATTCCCTACAGGGCACTCAACAGTGCCACAATCGATTATCTCTACTGCGGGGTGATATGTAGATGGATCACAGCTTCAAAGCTCACAGTCAAGTACCTCAAGCAGTCACTCATCGCACTTCGTGTTCTATGCTGCGCGCTTCTAATCTTCCAATCTTTCGAAGAGACACGTTCAATCATGCGAAGATTCAAGAACATGCTGCAGGGAACGTGGTGCTGCTACGCACTGAAGGATATTTTAACCTCTAAGTAGCACTCATTACGCTGCGCACGCCGCACGGTTTACCTTCCAGCGTATAGAATACCATGGATGATTCTTTCCCCGACACAGCTAGACACAGCCCTCCAACCATGAACTTACTCGCGCCTCTCAGGCCCCCTACATACATCGACCTACGAAAGACCGTATAAAACGCCGCGAAATCCTGCTAATCGACTCAACGACAGACAGAACTCTCGTTTACCCCATGCCTCCCAAGTTCCTCCGAGCCATGTCGATCCACGGGGACGCAAGTCTCGAGATCCCTTCTACCCCTCCTCCTCGCGTCGCAATTGTTACTGGCGCCGCACAAGGGATTGGCCAAGCGATCGCCGTCCGCCTGGTGACTGACGGCCTCCTCGTCATCGTCAACGACATCCCTTCCAGATCGTCGCAATTAGATACCGTAGTCAAACAGCTGAACATACTTGGATCAACCACGTCGTATCGAGTCCCATACACGGCCAATGATATCGTCGCGCATCCTGTTGTCGGAGATGTTTCGAAAGAGGTAGATGTAGAGAACATGATTCAAGAAGCCGTACGTGTCTTCGGACGTTTGGATGTTGTGTGTACCCTCTCTTCTCAGAGTACATACAAGATCTGAGACTGATATCCACGGACAGATGGTCGCCAATGCTGGGATCGCGGGTACAACCACAACTATTATGGATGGTATCTGTTTTGCTTCGTTTTCTATGGCCCTTCCCCCTGGCTTACATACCTCCCACTAGCCGTTGTCGATGATTGGGACGCCCTCTTCTCCATAAACTTGCGAGGAGTCCTCCTCTGTTACAAACACGCTGCCCGCCAAATGGTCAAACAGAATATTCAAGACGGACGTATTATAGGTAAACTAGATTCAACTCGATCCTTCTGTGGACTCGTTAGTTGAATTTTCGTTTGGTTAGGCGCGTGTTCAATGGTTGGACTTGGAGGTTAGCATTTGTCCTGCCCCCCTATTCTCCCTCCTTTGATAACTTCCATGCCGTTAGGAAACATTCATCAAGGTGCATATTGCGCATCGAAATCCGCCGTGCGCTCTATCACCCAAAGCCTTGGTACGTGATTCCCCAAGACTCACTAACACTACGTCTCACAAAAATCCTTTGCTAATCGTATACTTTTCTCTCTGGGACCCCCATCACTTAAACGCACTGAATACTTCTCGTCCAGCAGCATCAGAGCTCTCCGGATATAGCATTACCGTGAATGCATACGCACCGGGAACCATTGGCTCTGAGACGGGTACGTAGATGCCCACTCCCGTATCTGACCCCCAAATGCAATAACTTTGATCTCTAGCCAGGGCCAAATACGACGAGAGACTCCTCGTGCCGTACAGAGTCTTTAGAAAGGTCAGTCCCTCTCCTTTTCTTCGGTGACCGTATCGATGTTGGCATTCCAGTTCTATGGGCAGCCGAATCTGAAGGTCACTTGCCCCGAGCCAGTGGCAAGCATCGTTGCATACCTAGTCAAACCTGAAGCATCTTTTGTTACCGTGCGTTCTCTCGCTCGTTTCCACTAACATCATCATTGACGCATCGTAGGGCCAGGTGATGTCGGTCGACGGAGGAGCGATCAGTCCTTCTCTATAAGCGATGCAAACTCGATGTTTCTATGGTTGAAGCTGCGAATAAACATTGTATGGTTTCACTTTTAATTTGTGTTCTGCGAACAGAGGCCACCTTGTCTTTTTCCCGGACGACTTGAACATCTACGTAGGGTGATGTGACTCAAGGTCAATTAGTAGGATCATAATCCTGTTGCGGCGCGAAGATACTGATGTGATTCGTAGCTGGTCTCTTAGTAGCAATTGACAAAATGGCATACGCTCCGTAAACCACCACCTCCTGCTGTGTCTCAGGGAACCATCATCCTTCGATGCACTGCTTAACAGGGTTTCATGATATCTCCACCATGACTTCACAGTCCTGGTTGTAAACTATTCTCGGCGTGGGCACAATCGCCCAGCAATTCCTCCCCGCTAAATTTATTCATTCCAAGTTTCGAAATCGCATGCCTCGGTGGCTCCGAGGTTGAAGACGCTTTGCCCTAGATCTTTATCAGAGGATACTGCAAGGCGGATGCCAGGGAGTCATTTTCCTCATCATCATCATACCATTCACGGACATTTCTAATGCAACGGAATACTCCTTTCCTAGCCTAGAAGTCTCCTCCGCCAATCCTCCATTCTCGATGCTGGAAGAACCCAATCGCCCCCCATCGTCCCATCTGCCCGTCGACCGTGAGCACGGCATCACCACCATACAGGAGCAAACAATGGCAGGAGTGGGGGTTCTATAAGTTCTCACACCAACCTCCATTGGGCCCAAGAACAGTCCTGGGACAAATTTTCGGAGGTAAGTCTGTCATCAACTCAGAACATGACGGTACGCTCAGACGGTAGTCTAGCTACGGTTTGCACTTGAAACTTCAATCGAGGGAGTACTACCTACGGTTGGTGTCTAACGTAGTTCGTCAGTTCAGTCCTTCCCGGTAAAGATACAATAGCTTGATCTTCTAGGATGATGGCGTACTCAGTCTGCTCGTTTCTGCCATCTCGACATAGCCGGTCGTCGTCAAGAACACCCCCTTAGCCATCAGCCGCCCGCACTTACGTCTGAATCGCGCGCAAATCCAAATGCAAAGGAAACTCCCATTGCTCCAAGGATTTGATAAACTCTGGTTGGGCTTGCTGGTGACCGTCATAGTCGTACGGTCCTCACTGTGCATGCGATCACTTTTGCTATACTCCTGATTCTGATGGGTAGGTGAGCGCTGAAGCGCTGACTATTGAATTCCCAGCGCACCATACCACTGCCTCCAGACCAAAAGCTCAGCTCAGCCATCAAAACACTGTACTGCATATCTGATGTGCTTGGTCTTCGAACTCACCTGTCACTCGATGGCACATTAATATAAGCTACTTTATCAAGCCATCTTTGATGCATCCCCGTCTCTCCCGAACCCCTGGTGGATTCGAGCATCATCCATGGGTAAATCTCTATCCATGCTCCTTCTACTTATCGCTGGTACGAGTTTTGTCTTAGCGGATCCCTTCAACGTCACGGTTGACGACAAGTTTGGGCCCTTCCCTCAAATTGGAAACACGATACATTTCGGTGAAGGATAGTTTGAGAGCGGTGTCGATTTTTGCCCTTCCCCAGGATGTCACGAGGCGGTTTTTCATCAAGCCTTCAACCGTAACTACGGCACCCACCCTCCTCGTCCATCTTAGCTGACCAAAATATGAAAGAAACTTGGAAGCGTTCGATATATCAGTCACAGGACCCGACAGACAGGCCAAAGGTTGCAACATTCTCCTTCAAAGGTATGTTCTACCGTTCTATGCTCTTAACACATACAATCTTTGCTCTAGGGACGGCCGTCTACGTTAATACCATAACAAATGTGCAAACAGGAGCAGGAGTGCCGTGAGTTCACCTTTGTATCAGTTTAGGTTTACTTGCAAACTTGGGTTTGATGGGCAGAGGCAACTCTGATATGACATTCCTTTTGGACGACCAAGTATCATATTTTATCAGCAAAGCCCCAGGTTTTCCGATTGCCCAAACAGTCTTCTCAGCAACAGGCCTCGTTGATAAATATCATAATCTCACCATTGTGAATGGGCACCCGAATAGTTCGTTTGCACAAGTGATGATGTTTTTGGATTCTATCATCTACACGTGCTGTTGTCCCCGTTCTTCTTTTCTGTCTTGAATTCTCATGATTCCTCCTTAGGACTGAATTTTTACCTTTGGCAGGCCCAACTCGACCGAAGGACAATGCACCCTCCCGGCCAAATATACGACTAGTCATCGGAGTCTCGGTAGGCGTGGGCGGACTTATCCTCGGCCTTCTTTCTTGTTGGTTGTTCTTACGTGTCAGAGCTCGCAAGGTGAAAGCGCGACAATCAATTTCCGCGCTGGCATTCGAAGCAAGGATATCCTCAATGCAGCGTGTCGCTCCCTTCCTAGCTTACAAGTCCCCTATACCAGGCCAGCCGGAGACCTTCGACGGCAGAGAGACGGGGACTCGGTCGCCCCTAACAGCCTTGCTACATCGACCGGAGACCATCGTCAGCATAGTACCTCCATCCTACAGGAGTAGACGGTCTGCTGGCGGTGTCTCATAGGCTCTGAGCCCGACTTCTGTTGTTGTGATAGCCTATTACAGTACATGCTCCAATGACTCCTGATCGCATCGTGCAGCACACGTTGGAGGTCATGTTCTTAGTATATCTTTACAGAGTATGTCTGGTACAACATCGGTTTATCTATTCTTTCAGATTGTCACAATTTACTCTTGTGATTAGATATCTAATTGTGATATTCCCTCCTAGTCACCCTCGCGTAACAGCGGTGCAGCGGAGACGCAATTTGTTCCGAATAACCTACAGGGTGACTCACTTTTTGGCATACAAGTCTGTGCTACCTCTAGGCCGGCCGGAAACATTTGATGCGAGAGGAGGTGATATAGAATCAAGGCTCAATTGCCCCCAATATCTCCTACTTTGCGGCATCGACCAGACACGATTGATAGCACGGTACAATCCTGGCGGTACAGGGGTATAGGGGTACACGTGACTACTGTAGTATCGTTTCGCGCGCATGTGTTCTTTTCTTTATGCGTTTGCTGGAGTCCCAGTCAAACGGAATACGCTACTTGATTATTCGGATATCGTGCGACCCTCGTCAGCTTACTTCAACACCGCCATCATACAAAAGTCGGTGATTAACTGTGTGTGTTTTCTAAGCTCTGAGGCCCCAGTGGTTGGACTCTGAGACACCCTTACTCATGTTCTGTCTATTTCTTCTACTTCACGACCTTTATTCATTTCAATGCTGACGTGGGACTGCTGCAACGTAGATACTAGACGTTATTATATTGTCAAAATCTGATCTACTTCAAACGTTCAACATTAACTCCTCTCCGATCGACATCCCGGATCCCCCAGCAAATTCAAGAAAAATCAAGGTTGTGAAGTGACGAGACGTGAACTTGATCAGGGACCTGAATTATAACCAAATTCTCAGCATCAGCTAAGCTTCGTTATCAGCCTACCGACCAACAAATCAGAACCATCGAGATCAAGCAATGATATGACGCTGTTTCTCTGTCTCGTGAGTCTTTGATCTCACTGTCATGAAGATATATACGCACTCTGAATACAAGCCTCTCGACTCACTGGCTACACCAATGTATCGCTACAAGGTTTCAGGATCCCTTCTGCATACGTTCAAAAATAACGACGATTTCCTTTTTACCCCTACTACACCTGCCCGCGAAGCGAATGCCAGACAACCGCTTTCCTCTTTAGCAAATAATCAAAGGCTGCCGTTGATGCAACGGGTCTATGGACTCGTCCTATTCTAATTTCTAAGCTTACATTCGCCCTTACCTTCCGACCATACGTGACCATTCAATGCGAGAGGCTCTGATATAGAAACAAGATCTCAGTCACTCCCAATGCCACGCCGACAGGAGACCATCTGCAGCACAATACAGGGTCCGGAACGGTACTACGAACTTAGTTGTAAATAATGGCACCGCGGAGATGAAATTTGCTCACGGCGCTCCATGTGGATCGCTCTTCCACCCCAACCACCACCATGGCAGCGGACATCCCTATCGATATCTTGGACAATGTGCTAACGTATGTTGACGATGGCAAGTCTGAACTAGGGGCGTTTTCTTTGGTGTGCAAATCATGGTGCACGCCAACCCGGAGCCGAATGTTCAGCACATTCGCCTTGAACTACACCGTGGACGATTTACCCGGCTTTCAACAATGCACAAGGCTTCTCAGCCTCTTGAAGGACTCGCCTCATCTGTCTCAGCTCTTTCGACGCATTGAGCTGCACATACACACAGCATCTCCCCTCGTTCATGATCCCATTCTCCACCAACTTCTCAGTTACTTTCCAAATGTACGCACCCTCGTCTTACGCGCATTCGCCGACGCTTGGATCTCGCTACCTCCGGATCTTGTTAATTCCCTTCGACTCATTGTATGCAATCCCTTATTCGAGCGACTCCATCTAAGTCGTTGGAGATTCACGCCCGGAGCTGCAGAACTGGCCCACCTCCTCAGTGGCTGCACGAATTCCCTTCGATATCTATCGCTCACTCACGTGTCGTACGATGTTCATAGTGGCGGGACTGCCGCAGTAGACACGTTGCTCGTAGCTGATCTCCCGAAGCTCGCAGCGATGAACGTCTTTGGATCTTCCACCGATGGCCATCTTCCATGCAAGATACCTAATCTTCAGCAGTACGCTCAGGTCACGGATATCTCCTCTGCATGGTGGGACAGCGCACCAAGGAATGTCGTTCATGCGTGCATCCCATGCGATAGCCCCTTGAATATATCAGTTACATTGCGCCTCCCCGTATTCTGTGCGCGTCCCTCCTTCAAAGATCCTTCGCTGTATTTGACAGGCATTCTCTAGACATGGGCCCTAACAGAATCCTTCAGTTTCCCAATTTCTGGGAGTACTCTGCCATGCGAAGCCTCACACTCGTGTTGACGACCAGTATCGACGATGCCTACCGTTCCACGCTTCTTGTCTTGAAGCAATTCTTCGCGTCTATACCCCCGAACTCGCTTTCGCATCTCGAAGAACTTATGGTCGTGATACCTTTCCACTCGCCGGTTCGTTCGATAGATTGGGATGATGGATCCGCGTGGGAGAAAGCGACAGATAGTCTCGGTCCGCTTGTGGATGTGGGCCACCTGCGAAGCGTTACGCTGGCCCTCAATCTTTCAGCGCGCGGTACCGACGACGTAGATCCGCTCGTCCGTCATATTCGTTCATCTCTCCTTTCACTTGATATGAAGGGAGTGCTAAAAGTTGAGCCGGTGAACGATTACAAGCTAAACGACTATAGCCACCCGTAGCCTGAGGCTAATGGCAGACGGTAGACACGAATGGTAGGCACCATTCCAAGCTGTATCTCCCAGCAATGTTATCAGATGGTAATCGAAATACATCGATGACTATATTAATACCGGCTAGGGTTGTCAACTCTATGAAAATAACATCGTGACAACACAGTTCACAGTAAGACTCATTCACTGTAACAATTCGGTACAAAATATCAAATACTCACCGTCTAGTCACTCCTTTGCGTGAGCGAGCTTTCTATGATTTCTCTGCTGGGGCCATACAATCTCATCATGAAGCGAGAGGCCTAGCCTAGCTTCGATGATTGAGGAACTCCTACCTCGTCAACCGAGTGGAGGCCTTGCAAATTGGCTCACCCATCCTCCTATCATCAAGATGCTGCGAGTACTGACGACGAAGGTTGGTTTAGGGGTGGTGTAGAACTTGAGGAGACAACACGGCGTGTTCTCAGCAAGTAAATACGTCTTTCTCTACTTTTCTACTCCGTTCAGGCCTGTCGTAAAAGGGGCGTCAGACCATTAGTTTACACACCATAACCTTACCATCGCGGGTGAATACCGATCAGTTCATCTGGAGAACTCCTGGTGCCACTTGACCGGATTCTGTGGTCTACTTCTAGTCATTCCCAGTCAGTGACGATCGCTCCGCCGAGTCAAAGTAGTCAGGGCAGGTCACCAACCTAGGGCTTGCGTCGTTAATGAACCGCGCAGAGTTTGTAATTATATCCCTACATAGACAACGGTGTTGTACAATTGTGATTTACCTGCACGACTTACAAACATATTCAGCCCAAAGACAATAATAAACATAACCACAAATAGCGTACTCAGGCCTGAGCATCACCTCGCTTTGCTACCCTTGAATTTCTCTACGGCGCACATGAACGCGGCAAGGGTGTCTACCTCCTCCCGCCCACTGACCACAATCTCTTCCCTGAAATGTCTCTCCACCATCGTTGCTATTACCCCATTCAGTTCCTCTAGATCCACCAATATTGGTGTCCTCGGCGTGTATTCGTCTACCAAACGCAGGCTCCGTCTCCTATGTTGCTGCTGCTCCCGGGGGTCTCTACGGGGTCTGTTCGCGGGTGTGGTTTGGGTAGGGGGACTCGGTGGGCGTGAGCTGTGTCTGAACGGATGGGCAAGGGTTGACGGCGGCGCCGGGTCCTCTGGGGATAGTGGTGAGGGCGTAATGACGGGGACGAGGTTAAACTGTGTCATGTAGCGATACAGAACCGAGAGCGGCATGGTCGAGAAGTCCACCTGTGAGCATTAGCAGTGAGCCTCCGTGTATGTCGCGCAGAAAATCCAGAGTGCGCACCAACGATGTCTTTGCCTCCGTTTCTCCCCCATCCTTCCGTGAGGCGTTGCTGCCTAGTCCAGTGTTCCCGTTTCCCGGTTCCACGCGCTTCCTCTTTGCCCGGCCATCGCCATCAGCCTTGTCTACTGCGTGTCTCTTCACGCCCGCTGTCGAGTTGCCTCCACCGGGCCCGAAATACCCAGCCTCGTCATTATGCTTCCTCCTCGCCTGCGTCCGTGAGCGCCCACCGGTGGAAGCCGTGCCAGAGCCAGACATGTGTGAAGTAGTATTGGAGATATTTGGCGAATGCTGAACCCAATATTGGGTCTTGGGTGAGTGTTCGTCTTCAAACGAATTCAAGGCCTGGCGCGAATGTCTTGTGCGGCGAATCTAAAAATAAGCTGATCACGCGTAGGGCATCACGTGTATCTGCCGTGACTTGATAAGATTTCACTCGACTCTTGTAATCGACTGTCATTTACTGATTCGCCTGTGTTCCCCAGGCTACCCATCGGCTGCAGCAGCATTGCGAACGACGCGGAGATATCCCGCTAGCTAGAGAGATCATTCTTCTGGACTTGATCCATAACAGCCGGATTCAACGACCACCCGGGGTATATAAAGCAAGATACAATCCGAGGCCCACTCCCCTAAATCCCCACTGCTGCTACGTATTTCGCTCGTTCAAAATGTCGACATTTGGAAAATTGTTTCGCGTGACTACCTATGGGGAGAGCCATTGCGCCTCTGTCGGTGCAATCATCGATGGGTGTCCCCCGGTACGTGCGGATTTAAGATCTTAAAACAACATAACGCTCAGTCGCGGGAGAACAGGGTTTACCTCTGGCACCAGAAGATGTGCAGGTGCAGTTAAGCCGCCGCAGGCCAGGCCAGAGTAACCTCACTACACCGGTGAGCTTCATCCGGCCTTCTACGTCTGATCTGGCGCTGACAAGGCTGCGATGTGCGCGGGTGTGAAGAGAAACGAAAAGGATCTCGTGCAACTCCAGTCCGGGCTCGAGCACGGTGTAACTCTGGGTACACCCATCGGACTGCTGGTGAAGAACGAAGACCAGCGCCCCCATGATTACTCCGAGACTGACTTGTATCCTCGGCCGAGTCATGCCGACTATACCTATCTCGAAAAGTACGGCGTCAAAGCTAGCAGTGGTGGTGGGCGTAGTAGTGCTCGCGAAACGATTGGTGAGGGATTAACATCGTAGTTGAGAGATGGGAACTCATCTACGTAACGGTGGTTTTGTTACTTAGGTCGCGTTGCAGCGGGGGCCATCGCCGAGAAATACTTGAAGCTTGGCTTTGGGATTGAGGTGGTTGCGTTCGTGTCATCAGTCGGAAAGATTCACCTCCCTTCCCATGTGGCGCCACCCTCCCTCGCCTCTGACAAGGATGCAGACAACGACGACGTGACTGATGCTCTCTCAGAGGAATTCCGCAACCTCTTGTCCACCATAACGAGAGAGCAAGTAGATGCACATCCTACACGTTGCCCGCATCATGAGACAGCTGAACGAATGACCCTGGTGCGTTCCATTTCATACGTGGGCATGTCATCCCAACATATCGTCATCAATCGAGAGGGGCTAATCTCCGTCGTATCTCTTCAGCGCATCATACGTGCCAAAGACAAACAAGACTCCATCGGCGGAACGGTAACCTGCGTCATACGCAACGTCCCTTCAGGTCTTGGTGAACCCGTATTCGACAAGTTCGAAGCTGCGCTCGCGCATGCCATGCTCTCCATCCCTGCAACCAAATCGTTCGAAATTGGGTCCGGATTCCGAGGCACGGAGGTCCCTGGAAGCAAACATAACGACCCATTCGTTCAAAAAACGAATGGATCGCTTGGGACGAAGACGAACTGGAGTGGAGGTGTGCAGGGCGGAATAACGAACGGAGAAGATATTTACTTCCGGTTGGTCATATTTCTCTTACGAAGTGACGTCGTGATGATAATTATACTTGGATCACAGGATAGGATTCAAATCACCTGCGACGATCTCACAACCTCAAGAGACGGTACAATACGACGGAACGCCAGGCGTTCTCGCCGCCAGAGGACGACACGATCCGTGCGTGGTTCCCCGCGCAGTTCCCATAGTCGAGGCCATGGCCGCGATCGTTGTGTTAGACCAATTGTTGATACAAAATGCTCGGAAGACGGCAGCGAGTTTGTTGCCTCCGATCACCACCTTACCTCCTACTATGGTCATGCCACCAAAAGAAACGTTAGTCTCGAAGTAAATTTAGAAGAATCATCGTCATGTTTTACATATACACATAATGTAAGGGGATACAAGCAACATTGGTGACACTACAAGTACAACGTACAACGTACAGCAAGTCTATTAGCGATAACATATCCGTTCAACCCAATATGGAAAACAATAGCAGACACGATAGCAAGGAAATAAAAGCAAAAGAGGTATACACAGGACATCGAGGCACACCTTTCAATACTCGTTGTCCTCATGGATGGTGCAATTGCACGTCACGAAAGGCTCGATTTGCCACCACCACCACTGAGACAAGGTTCTTGAGTACAGGTCATCGAAGGAAATGTGAACCGCTTACACGGCGACTGAGCAGCCTCCCTGGCAAAGGGCCAAATGTCCGATCTACCTCCCTCGATAGTCTCGATGCCTCCGACTCTGCCTCTCTCTCATCATCTGAATCATATGTATCCCCCGGCTGTACGCCCTCGTGTTCTGCATACCAGGATGCCATAGACCGGCGCTGATATGGAGAACCCAACAGCGGCGTGTTTTCATTCGGAGAAGCGAATCTCGAATCTCCGGGGTAAGATGAAGGATCGAGTGGGGGTAATCCGAGCTTTCGCCTCCGCCTATCTCTTTTTTCCATTTCCTGCGCCGGTGTCATTGCGGACCGGGCCTTGCTTCGACATGCAAACAACCTGACGCGTTGACCAAGGGGCCCCCATTCTGGTCTACGCTCGTCGTCGTTCGTGGGCTCAGAGCGGAGGGGGGCGGATATCGAGGAGGACGGTGAGCTAGACAGGGATGCTGCGCCCACAAAGAGCTGGCTGTCGGTGCCAACGTATTCCCCGCTATATCTGAAAGAGTCTGTACGCTGTCGGCTGAGCCCAGAACCAATGCGTACGCGAGAACGAAAGCGCACACGACCACCTGGTCGTGCTGTGGGAACGGACACGGCGGGCGCAACGTCTGTTTCCTCCGACGAATCCGGTTCCTCTGTCGGTGACCTTGCGAGCTCGCTGTCGAGAGCGGTCATCTCGTTATGTGTCTCGTCTGAGTCGACTAGTAGTGAAGGAAGATGGGTGTGACTTCGTTGGCAGAGGTATCGTTCATGAACGAGGCAAAAACTTGGGCGCGAGTCTTCGCCTGCTGGCAACCTTCCAAAATCATAGACGCCGTCCGACATGTCATCCTCTGGATCGCGAAATGGTCATCACACTTGAATGAAGACGAGGTGGAAGTTGCGCTGACCTAGCTCACAATATAAGAGCAATTTTGTCCGGCTGCCGTTACGTGATGTGGCAAGGCTATTGGGCAGAGACACCATAGGCGGAGATGCACTACTCAAGCTAACATCTCTGCAGTCAGTGCCGCTGGCCATGTTTTAGGATTGAAGGAGGGCGGGGCGTGTATTCACAGAACGAATTAGCTACGATTACACCAGTGAGAGATCTTTATCCAAAACTATGATAAGGAACGAGAAGTGGAGTTCATGTGGCCATCATCATCAAATCCAGTAACTATGAGCAAAGGAGGCGCTTCTCCACGGTCTCATGGCCTGCATCGAGGCAAAGACGTCCAAGTCGGATCACCGGCTCACTGACATGGGCATTTGGCTCACATAGATAATTTGAGCGAAGGGCTGTGGGGAGTCAAGTTCCGAAGAATTGAATGGCTAGAACATAACTTTAGAAACCTTAGTTCAAGGGAAATCAACGAGATTTATACTCACGTTCTACTCCGTCGCCCCAAAGGTCGTGGTAGCTAAAGTGAGCCCGACTCATTCCTTATCGGGAGAAACGGAACTGGCCTGGCCTTGAGATGCCCAGCAGCAATGTTATATGGACTTTAAACATTTGTGTAGCCAAGGATTGCCTGTACACTCTGGGGCCCGCGTTTGGTTGCGTTACTACACATACCATGATTCGCGATTCATCGCGGTTCGTGATAGTGGCACTTTGACGGTAGTTCAAGATGGCGAGCTGCTTGTCTTGATAATGCCGCGTAAACAGCCCAATGTAGCTGTGATTCAACTGCCTCTGATGACCATCCCATTTGCGGCGTACATATCAGCCCCTTCCTGGGGCGAACAGAGCTTGCCCGAGGTTGAATAACTGCCGAACAACTGGAGGTCATCATGCAAGAAAAGCTTCGTCAAGAGCCGAGCTACAGGTTCATACATCCAGGACCAGCAATTGTCCCAATGCCCTTTGAACTGATGCTGCATCGAATTTCACCGAAGTAGTATTGCTGGGATCTTGGCCTTCCACTTCGGTACATCTCACGCCCATAGTCTAGAACAAGTCAGACAGAAAGTCGGCACCCGGAAGGTGAGATACAAACCGTGATCTTTGCTACGTCGACAGGTACGGCAGATCCCTTCAAATACACGAGATCAGTAACAAAGGCAGAGACTGGGTATGTCGTGTTGACCCCTCCAAGACCGTACGGCTTGCTTTGGTGATTTGAGTTTAGCGTGCGGACTATGGAGCTTATACAAAGTTATCTTCACCGAACAGCTTGGGATCGGAACGAATAAGTGCTTACAGGATATAGTCCACCGCTGTATATCCACTTGTCTCCCTATCGTTGGTTCCGTTCACTATCGAGGCTTAATCTAGGTATCGCAATGATTAAATTGGGATCACGTACACAGAAGAACTTTGATTCGGAGAGAACGCGAACGGGCGATCGCGGTCGAAACGCATCGAAGAGCGAGACACGGCATGATGCTGAGGGTACTCGCGTCATCATGAGTTATGGAAGAACCTCGCATGCGGGGTACCTTGTCCATAGCGACCCACAGGAGTATACTAGAACTTTGCTTCTCGACAAACTGGCAATGTAATCAGGGTTAGGGGAGGGGTGTACTTCGTGGCCATAAGCATTGATATAGTAAAGCCCTACACAAAGCTAAGTTCGAGGTCTACGAAAGGAATAAGGGTTTTCACTGACTTGTGATCTTAGCTGGTAAGGGTTCGTTGTGATCTTTATCATTGGCCTCGAACATTACATTTTGCTTCCGGGAACGAGGTTCGTCCATGCCATCCGTTGGTGACCATGGCTCAGAAAGGGATACACTGATGGATGGTGGAGCTGATTGCACCGGATGTGAAATTTCACATTGCCCAACGATCTGACCTCCGTTTTCCTATTTGTAGCCAGGATCAATCACCAACGTCAAAGTAGCTTCCATAGGCTAGAAAGAGAACATACCAGTTCAACGGCGATGGTGACGGTATGATTAGTTATAATCACGGGCAGAATGTTGGCCTGGTAAGAAGGCTATGAATATCGCGGGCTCTTTTGGTGATTAAAGTGTGAACCTGACTACTCGTTATGGACGAGAATAGAAAGATGGCCGACGGGAGGGACCTAAAGAAGCCTTGTGCCGCCGCCAGAAAATAGTTCCCAATGCTTCAAACAACAGGTTCAATACAAAAGACGATGCAATCCGAATGCTCTGTGGGTACCTGCCGTTGACAAAAGAGAAATTCTTGTGGGCGCGCTTCAAAAGCTCGCTCTCGAAATATACCAGAAAGCCTGATTGAATCGTCAAAAGTGTCCTGGGAATAGTCAAACGAAGACATCGCTCTACCACGGATGGTTTCCTTCCTATCGTTCGGTATGCCGGCCCATAATGCACTTCTGCCTTCAACTATGTCGCGCCATTGGTCCCGTGCTTCCCTTTCGGTGCAATGGGCCGGGAGGCGGTAGGAGAGGAGGTTCCGTATCGCATCAAGAGGCGAGTTCGGAGGAGCTGAGGGTATCAATCGAATTAACCTTGATCGTATATCACCTACCTCACAGAATATCAGCTTGCTATATCGGGATCGAAGTATAGTTCGTATATTACCGATGGAAGGACCACCAAGTACTCTGATGATCTCACTTGATGAGCCACCATCATCAGAAACTGGTAGGACATAGGACGCATTTCCAAAGGCAGAGCAGATTGCGTTGCCACCAGTTCCACCAGAGATGACCACGAAAGAAAAGTCTTTGCCGTCGATATTAGAGACGTCGTTCGCTGCGGTGAAGTTTATGGGTCTGTCTGGATGTGGCTGCAAAGGCTGGGTAGGTAAGTCAAAAACAGATGATCCTGGACTATCTGGTTGTATCGATAGGGTTTCCAAGTGTCCTTTCGTCCATGGCGAACCACTGGTCGACATGATCGTAGTAGCGGCAGAGTGACCTACAACTTGTCACATTTCGAACGCCCGTGACAGCGGGCCAAGCAGAACTTACGTCCCGAATCACGGCAACATGCAGTTTCTCACGATCCCACATTCCGTGGCGACGATCACGCTCGCGGGCCGTCTAACTCTCACCACAAACATCAGACAAGCTCTAAGTCTTCACTCCTCAGTCGGCACATATCGACACTGCTATAAAATGGAAGAATTTCCCGCTTTACCTGGATTCTACAAGACCTTGTTTTTGCACATCGAGCCATGTGATGCCTCCAATTTTCCAACGTGGAAACAGTGCTCATTCAGGACTCGCCATCTAGTTTCGACCGTTCTGCCAGCGGTAATGATATGGCTCACTCATGGGGCTTCTTGGTTTCACCATGAGCTCATTCCACCCTTTGGTTCGGAAGCATCTGCTCCATTTGATGCTCGTACAAAAATGGCCATTTGGCAGCTAGGAAATTGTTCGTACATCACACCTGCAAGGAATAACCATGGTTCATCTTTAATCGCAGGCTACTTTCTCCTGAGCTTACTTTCAAGCTTGGTATTTCGTGCCGCAAGAGCAGCGCTCAAGGGTAACCCGGCTGCCCAAGAACAGATTTTGGGTGCCAGCTTTCTGGCAATGGCTATCGCGGATGTGAGAAATATTCATTGTCTTTGGGAGGGAGTGCCAACATTTCTAACCATCTCCATTAGGTCACACAGTGAGAGTCCATAATACGGAATTAGGCTGACTGATTCATCTCGGTTGAAAGTATTGCGGCTTCCATGATCTGTCTGCCAGGTGATTTGAGGCTAAATCCTGCGTCATGGAATGCAACTACCCATGGAAACATCACATTCGTGATATTCTTATGCGCCGCTCGGTACGGGCCATCATGATCAAATCTTTTGTTTGACCTTTCTCATGCGTAGAATGGATCACGACAGGGTTGCCTGGTTCCTTGGAGTTGGTCGCACGCGGTATTATTATGGGCACCGCAAGCTGAAGTCAGCATGAGCGCCGAGTTTCACGAAGTTCAATTGTTGTATGTACACTACTTGTACGACGACCAGCCTATCAGACGGCCCCCCAATAGAACATGTTAAAAAGTACCCTTCGGGCTACAGTAATACGAAGTTCCTTGCTATGAAATTAGTGAACATAAGTATGTAGGACCTTGGCAATGTAAATGTCCGCCGCAGTCCATGAAACGCGAACCAGCGCAAAAGTGTCCTGGTCACTTAATGTCTCTCAATGATGGTTCATCGTCCTTCGCATGGCGAGAGTTAATGTAATAGCGGTGGTGGTTGGATTAGGATACTCGGCGAACGAAGGGGGCCAATGTTTCGCCCGCCATCCGCCGGTTTTGGAGAGTGTGTCGATTCCATCGACGATACCCGCGATTGCCTTTGTTGCCATTGTTGTACAGCAACAAATGGGTCGCGACGGCTGTAGGGGTCCTCATACTGCCGCATGCTGCCTGGATGAACGCTCTTTGATGCATTCGATGTGTCGGGTTCTGAGACTATGTCTTGTACCGACATGTCTCTCCAACTTGGGTCTTCGCTGCTGCTAGATAGGATGTGCCGTCTACTCGAGGTAACCGACGGAGCCCTGCGTGACGGAGGGGCACTGGGATATTGGCGTACGAACAGGCTTGGGTGCCATGAAGGAGCAGATGTTGGTGGCCGCGAGAATCCGTCTTGGTCCCAACTCGACATACCTGGCAAGGGTGTAGCTGGAAGCTGTCTCGTCCTCTTCGCTCTGAAGCGGTGATAGAGCCATATCAGAATCGCAAGGAGCAATATTCCTCCTAGCACTCCGCAGATAGCAGCGATGATCACCAGTTTCTTGTTTTCAGAAGTCGCTTGAGTTGACGCGAAATTATCGCCATCCGCGTTACTTCCCTTCCGCGGCCTGTCAGCCTTGTCCTTGCCTCGACTACCTTTATCGCTTTGGCTGTCATCTGCGCTGTTAACAGGTAAGCAAGCAGAAAATCTAACATTGCTAGGTACGTACGTATAGACAATCGAGTCAAGGAACACCATGACTTGTTTGTATTTGCTACCCATATGGCCATTCACGATGGTAAGTCCGTGCTCGCCAAATGGCAAATTGTCCTGCTGAAAGACAACTGTGCGCTGGGGCGACAGGGACAGATCCTTCAGCATCTGAGCCACGTTGCCATCCAAAATGAAGGTTAAGTCGGTGTTCCCCCTATTGAAATATAAATCTCTTGAATAGTATGGTTTTCTTGAAGCAACGCACGGAATACCTGCTGCGGTGGCAGGTGCAAGGATGCAATAGACATATACCGCAGTGCCTGCATGAAGGTTCAACAAGGACAACCAATAGTGGCGCCAAGAAAGAAATACCATTGAAGGCAAAGCTGGCAGACTTGGGCTTGTCTAAGTTAGCAGTCGAATCATAGGTGGACCTTTTCCATGTTCCTGATTAGCATCATTAGAATGGAAGAAAATGTTAGTTTGGCTCAAATTTGGGTTGAATGGCCTCACCGTTAGTGGCACCTGCGAAGCTAGCTGCGGACTGGCACCCAGGGCCGCACTCACTCAACCCACTGTCGAACCATCCTTCGCCATACGCGATCTCTGAACCGTCGGGGCCACCGTAACGATCATCGACAGTGACATTGTAAGGACTGCAAATGGCCAGGCAAGAAAGAAGTAAACATAAAAAGAGTGTTGTCAACGAAATAACCATAATTCTCCACTAGGGAGCCCAAAAGAAGTCGAAGGAAGGGGGATCCGAAGCATAACGCGTGGGCACAGTCGCCCATAGTTATAAGAGCGAGGCTGATGGGCGGCAACACGTTGATGAAATGATGATGGTAGGAAGATCTCAACAACTGTCGCAACCGGGTTCGCAAAACATCAGAACTGTTCTGTTGCTCTCCCACAGCCGCGAGGGGAGTTTGATGCTTGGGCATCCCCTGATATAGCATAGTATCCATGTGGAGAATGGCTCTTATTTACGGTCCATCAATGTTTCAACGTCGGAGTGGATTTATAGGCATATCCTAAGGGACCTACTCTTAATTCTTGAGCGAATGAAGTAACTCGGAGATGTTAGCGGCAGGTTTTGGACTTACGGGAACTGATCATTCGTCTGCGAATAAGCGCCGTGAGGTAAAGTGCGCCCAATCAATGACCTTGGAGACTTCAGGCTGTCATTGCAAAAGCTATGAGATATCTATACGATGCGCGAACGGTTGCGGCAGTATGCCAAGTCTCGAATTGCAACCTGACCAGAGCTGCACACCCCACGGGCGCTAGTAGATGGAGTTTGACAATTCCCTTTCCACGTTCATCGAAGACATAAGGGAACATATGTGGCATCCGGGCAACCCCACGAATAGGCAAGGTATTGCAGAAGTATGCTGCACGCTGAAAGAATGTTAGACCGTGGATTGGTGTATGTGACCAGGGTCAGAGCAAATTCCCATCTACTCCGTCGAAACGCCCCTAAACTCCGTGGCCTATTCTTGGATAATGTTCGCCGAAACAGATGCCTACTATGGGAATCGAATCCCTAAAATTCAGTGCAATTCCACCTGGTTGGGGTAGAAAGGCAAAGGTAAATGAAGATTATCATGCTACACTTCATTAGGCCTTGGCTTTGACATTGCTGACAATGAGACTCTGAACACAAATATTAAGCCCTGCGAATTGTGGACCGATCTATGAGAGAGCGCACCTTGTAACTCTGTACGTCACCCATGAACTTATACACTGTTCCATCTCCACATACCCATAACTACCGAAAAGAATTAGAAATATAAATCAAACTATCTCAAAGGTAGTGCCCACCTCTTTGGCGACAGTAGTGATGAACCTCTCGTCGTGTGAGATGATGATCACGCCACCATTCCATGTTTGAAGAGCCAGCATCAAGGCGTCGAGACCTTCGATATCCAAGTGATTGGTAGGCTAGGCATTGATAAGCATTACTGCTGGGTCGTGTCGTGAATGGATGTACCTCGTCAAGCAGCAATACGTGTGGGCGCTGCAACGACAATAGCGCGAAAGCAACGCGAGACTTCTGACCACCGCTTAGCGTTCCAATGGGCTGTAAGCTGAACATCGGTCGTAATAATTGCAGGCATGAAGGCACGGGGCCTGTGTGAGTAATCCACCCATATGAAGGCGTCAGAAAGACTCACCCAGTCATTCCACTGATTTGGAAGTTGCCTAAGTGCTGACGGTATTCTTGATCGACCTTACCGGGGTATCTGGACGCGAGGAACTCCACAGGCGACATAGAAGGGATCAACGTATCTACGTGGTGCTGAGCAAAGTACCCTCTGCAGAGCATTGAATGAAGCTGTCTGCAAGTAATTGAAGTTGTGTCCTCACATTCTCAGACGACCGTTTCGGTTTACATGCCCGGCCTTCGGGGTCAGCTCCCCTGTTAGCAACTTGATGCTACCGCAAAGATTCAATATCAACAATAAGCACATTTGTAACGTGCACCCACAGTGTAGACTTTCCAGCACCGTTGGCGCCAACGATTGCTATCCGCGAGTCTAGCTGAATGTCGAAGTTCACGTTCTTCAATAAAACCCTTTCTGGTTTGTATGAAAAAGTGACTTCGTTGAGTTGTAAGACTGGTGGTGATAACTTTTCGGTCTCAGGGAATCTACAACGAGTGAACCTCAGCGGCACAGGTTGACAAGGAATCCGCGTACTTGAAACTCTCCGTTTCTTCTTCTTCTGGAGGTTGCAGGTCGGGCAACTTCGTACAAAGACTTAGCGCCAACGAATTATGCCACGAATACCGTTGTTACCTTCTCCAATATCTTGATTTTAGATTGTGCCTGAGCAGCTAATGATTCGGTCTACCAACTGGTCCTATGAATTGTAGTATGGCACGTACCACGATTTGCGTTATATCGCCACCGGTCAATGAATGCTTGAAGATGTTTACGGTACTCCACTTGGGCGTCATACTCCTTCCGCAGGTTCTTGTCTCGTTCTGATTTGGTAGCGTAGAATTGAGTAAAATTCCTGAGGACGAATGAATCATTGTAACTATAGGCGAATATTGAGCGAACATACCCTTTGTAATAGTCCAATCTTCCGGAGTGCTGATGCACAATATCTGTGGCCACGGCATCTCTGCAGAATATCAGCTATCACCAAACTGAAATAAATCATTTTCCCTACAAGAAAGCACGGTCATGAGAGCTACAAGGGGAGCTCAGTGCATTGAAAGGGAGCGCAGTGCATAGGCTTACACTACAAGGAGAGTTCCTGCCCATGTTTGAAGGTAATCCTCGAGCCATGCAAGTGCGTTAAGATCGACTGGAGAAGCGGGCTCAGCGAGCGACAGGCCAACGTCACAAAACACTGACTGTGATTAGACGGTTCGTCAAGCAGCAATAGTGTGGGCTATGCGGAAATGGTTCCTCGAACGTAAACAAAGAAAATGAGAAATCGAACCTTGACAAAGAGTGCCCGCGCCAGGGCCAACCTCATACTTCATTTCGACGATCAAGAGTTAGCACCAGTGTCACACATACGAGTAGGACTTACCGCCAACCACCACTAAACGACCTCGTCGGCTGCTTTTGAGCATTTTCATCGAATCCAAGACCTGGGACTTCCAGTTAGTAAGTACAGTGACAGAAATCGAGTCATCAGGACCTGCTAATAATGTTGCTGCTCTAGCTGGACCGCTCTCTGCATCCATTTCAGACAATCTAGCATGCACCTCCGCCAATTTCGCAGCAGCTTCTTCTCGAGCGTCCTCGAAGCGTTTTTCATCACCCTCAGTCTCTAGCTCAGCAAGCTGGGCATTCAACTTCGCCTCTTCCTTGAGTAAGTGATCTCGCCAAACGTCGGCCTTCAAAACCGAGTCAATGGCAATGGTATCATCTCCAATGATCTATAGAGGCGGCATGAGTAATGACAAGGGCGGTCAAGGGTGATGTACCTCCTGCTCCACAAAAAGGATAGTTATATGAGATGGTATAGGAACCTCTCGCATGGCTATATGACGCAAAAGGGTCGACTTTCCGACACCGTTTCGACCAATAAGCCCATATCTCCTGCCATGCGCCAGCGTCAGTGTTGCACCCGACCTAGGGAGGCGTTAGAAGAATGTAGTTAGGAACGTCAAGAGCGCTTACAAAATACGATTTGAACCAAAATTGACGTCAATGGATGGGAGATGAATGTCTTTGCTCTTGTTCTTCGCCGAAGCACCTTCTAGAGGATTGATCTGACTCACGTAAGTGATGTTTCGAATTCAATGCATGAAATCAAAGTACCTTCATGAACAGCTCCTCGTACGTTTGCTAATGCGGGGTCAGACACATCTGTCATTACACGCTACATGTAATATCTCACCTGCTTCTTGTGAGCATCTAGTAGTTTAGAGCCTTCGTAAAGATCCCTTCGAGACCTCTTTTCTATTTTTGCCTGGTGGGATGTCAGTCATCTTAACATATATCTGCGACAGGGTAGATCCGACCTTGAGCTTGGCCTCCTGCTTCTCCAATTTCTTCATGTCCACGCGAGAGGCTCTTCATGCAGATCAAATATCAGATCAACTTGAATGTTCTGGAGCCGGGACTATACACTGTGCTTACTTTCCCTTGTTGATAGATTCGAGGTCGACGCCCTCAGACAGAGCAATAGTGTTGGACATGGCTGATTTACTCATATCCATTACTTTGTCCAACTTCATTAATTTAGGACCAGCCGCCTTCTTTATACGAGCGTTCAGCTGATCTTCAAGTATATCTGCTAGTCGATTCATCAGCTTTTGGAGGACATCTGGTTGGTCGCCGGCCAGGGAATCGAGAAGTGAGCGTGCAACTTGGAGGACATCTTCCTCCTCTCCAGCATCGTCGACGAGGTAACCAGCAAGGTATTGGATGATGATTTCTTCGGTGCCAGGGAGACTAGATCGAATTTCTTCAGCGATATCCTCCGCTGACATACTGATACCAGGGAGATTGTTGAGCTCAACTAGTACCGTTGTCCGGCTGCGGGATGTCAAAAGTCTGATCGACTTCAATTGAAGCGGCCTATCACGTGACAGGCCCTGAATATATGTGTGTAAATCTGCTGTTGTATACTACAAGAAGTATGCTAACGCTACTAAGACGCGGTGTGGGTCCCTATCCAGAGGACTGAGCTAATGCAAACATGTACCCGGTTGATACGGTGAAATTGGGCAAATTGGGGTTGGACCGTGTTTGGGGTAGTTCCCGCGCGAGCAAGGATGTTGGGCATGATGATGATGGTGTTGGGCCATCGGAAACATAGAAACCGCATAGCCATATCAGACAAGGGCATTGCCGCATACACAGAAAGTTTGTAGTCCTTCCAGGACGCACGGACATTCTCAGGTTAAGTTCCTTGACGAAGGAACACCCTCTGGCAGGAGACCGTGCTGCCTAACCTCGTCGTCGTGGTACAAAAATGGATGTAGAAGCCTGCGCGTGGCCAACGAGCCTCAAGAACTCAATCGTGGGAAACCACGAGATGGAGATGGTTTGAGGCGGAACTGTCACGTGACGAACCCGTCGCGTTGAAGACTCTGTGCAAGTTGCATCCTCGTTTCTTTCTGCAACTGCGACCAACCCTCCTTAGCAACCTCGATGAGTTCCTCAGAGGGTGAGAACTTCGATTTTGACAACATTAGCGACGGATCGGACAGCGAGGGCTACGCGCCAGCTCCTAAAGTCAGTTATCGCGTTAGTGGCACGTTGGAAAGACTCATTCCAAGTTGCATCAGGCTACCAAGTCCAAGTCAGCACCCAGGTCGAAGGCAACAACAACTAAAGCCAAACCCGCCGCGACAAAGTCTGCAAAGGGAAAGGCTAAGCAAGTACTCGTCGACCACGATGACAATGCGGAGGACAGTGCTATGGACGTGGATGCAGGACTAGGAGAGTCAGAGGACGACGTACCCCCGTTGCCTGGCCAGAACAAGGGTCCTTTAAAGAAGAAGACCGCGTCCGAGACGTACCAGAAGGTAAGTGTCGCGTTTCATTGGACTTCCAACGCGTCGCTAAGTCGTGCAGCTATCGCAACTAGAGCACATTCTCAAACGCCCGGATTCCTACATTGGGAGCATCGAAACGATTACACAGGCCATGTGGATATTCGATGCCGACGCGAAGCGTATGGTACACCGCGAGGTCAAATATGTGCCGGGCTTCTTCAAGATCGTTGACGAGATTCTGGTGAATGCTGCAGATAACAAGGTGCGTGTCGCGTCGATGAATATCACTGCTATGGTCTCATAGTGTAAATAGGTCAATGACCCGACCATGGACTCGCTCAAGGTCACGATCGACATCGAGAATTGTACGATCTCGGTTTACAACAATGGGAAGGGGATACCTGTGGAAATGCACACCACGGAGAAGATGTACATCCCTGAACTCATATTCGGCCACCTCCTATCCTCGTCAAATTATGACGACGACGAGAAGAAACTGACCGGTGGCAGAAATGGCTACGGTGCTAAGCTCGCTAACATTTACTCACTCGAATTCACAATCGAGACGGCGGACAAGGTGAATGGGAAGAAGTACTCTCAGACTTGGACGAAGAACATGACGCAAGTGGGGAAGGCGAAAATCACGAAAAACTCGCGCAACGAGGAATATACGAGAGTGACGTTCAAGCCGGAACTGACTCGGTTCGGAATGACGCACATTGACCCCGACACTGCTGGGCTGCTGAGGAAGCGCGTGTACGATATGGCCGGCACCGTCAAAGATGTCAAAGTTTATCTAAACGACGAACGACTGAAAATCAAGACTTTCAAACAATACGTCGAGATGTACATAGAAGCCGCAACCGCCGGTGCTAAGGAGAACTCTGGGGGCGCCGCGCAGGCAAAGCCCACCGTCATCTACGAGCAAATCAGCCCGCGCTGGGAAGTCGCTTTCGCTACGTCCGACGGTACTTTCCAACAAGTCTCCTTTGCCAACTCGATTTCGACTATAAAGGGCGGAACGCATGTCAACTACATTGCGGACCAACTTTCAAAGAGCATCATCGCCCACATAGCCAAGAAGAACAAGGCAGCGACCGTTAAGCCCGCCCAGGTCAAGAATCATATGTGGATTTTCGTGAATGCCTTGATCGAGAATCCGACGTTCGACAGTCAGACGAAAGAGACCTTGACCCTCCCTGCGGGGAAGTTCGGTTCCAGACCTGCCCTTTCGGAAGAGTTCATGAAGAAAGGTAAAGTATCTTTGCCCAATACCCTTGGACGTATGCTGATACGCACTAGTTCAAAAGTCGTCTATCATCGATCAGGTCCTGAACTGGGCCAAATTCAAGGCTGACCAGCAGATCAAAAAGACTGATGGTTCGAAGCGCAACAGGTTTGCATTCCTGAATATACCGTTTTCAGTGATAATAATCATTACGCAGGTTGACTGGTATGGCCAAGCTCTCCGACGCCAACAACGCCGGCACCAAGAATGCAGAGAAGTGCACTCTCATCCTCACCGAAGGTGACTCCGCCAAATCCCTGGCAGTCGCTGGTTTGGCCGTTGTCGGTCGCGACAACTTTGGCGTCTTCCCTCTTCGAGGTAAACTACTCAATGTGCGTGAGGCGAGGCACGACCAGATCATGAAGAACGAGGAGATCCAAAATATCAAGAAGATCATGGGTCTACAACACAACAAGGAGTACACCAACGTCTCCAGCCTGAGATACGGTCGATTGATGATCATGACGGATCAGGTACGGTCACAAGGGAGCGTCGTTCGATTCAACGCCTACATTGACCCTCGTTACTAGGATCATGATGGTTCTCACATCAAAGGACTTCTCATAAACTTCCTAGATCACTTCTACCCATCACTACTGAAAGTCCCTGAATTCCTCGTCGAGTTTGTGACGCCCATCGTTCGGGTGAGCAGTTTGTTAGTGTCGTCACTGATGTCGCTAACTTTCGTTAGGTTACGAAAGGTAATCAACGCAAGAACTTCTTTACGATACCTGAGTATGAGACGTGGTTGGAAGAAACGCCCGACTCAAAGAAATGGACGGCGAAGTATTACAAGGTACGTCGCCTTGATATACACACCTCGATATAACTAAGGTTCCCTCTAGGGGTTGGGGACAAGCAGCGACGCAGATGCTCGAGAGTACTTCAGTCAGATGGGCAAACATATGATACCATTTGCCACTATGGAGGACGAGGAACGCGCCCTTATCGACCTCGCCTTCAGCAAGAAGAAGGCGGATGATCGTAAGGAATGGCTAAGACAGTTCAAGGTTCGAAGATTGGCTTCCAATTCAGCCAAACACCTGCTCAACTTGCTCTTTGCAGCCCGGAACGTATCTAGACCATAACATCGACGAAATCCCCTTCACCGACTTCATTAACAAGGAGCTTATTTTATTCTCCATGGCGGATAATATTCGGTCCATTCCTTCCGTCGCGGATGGCTTGAAACCTGGTCAGCGAAAGGTCATCTGGGGGTGCTTCAAGCGCAAGCTCAAGAAGGAAATCAAGGTACGAGTATTATATAGGTGGGTGTTGCTTTACTGATGCTCCCCAGGTTGCCCAACTCGTCGGTTATATCTCTGAGCATGCCGCCTACCATCACGGTGAAATGAGTTTGTCTGCGACGATCGTTAACCTTGCCCAGAACTACGTGGGAAGCAACAACATCAATCTCTTGTCCCCCAATGGTCAATATGGTACCCGTGATCAAGGCGGAAAAGATCACGCTTCTCCTCGTTACATCTACACGGAAATTGCACCTTTGACTAGATTATTATGCCACCCGTCGGATGATCCCCTTCTCAAACGGCAAACGGACGACAACTTGCTCGTTGAGCCCGAGTGGTACTTGCCCATCATTCCGATGGTGCTGGTCAACGGTGCTGAAGGTATCGGTACTGGTAAGCGTACTTCCATTACAAGGGGTACATCGAGCTCAAATGAGACTAGGTTGGAGTACCACCATCCCTTGCTACAATCCGGTGGACATCGTCGCAAACATACGTCGGTTGATGAATGGTGAAGAAGTCGTCCCTATGCTTCCATGGTGGCGCGGTTTCAAGGGTGAAGTCAAAATGGTCGCCAAACACAAATATGATGTTACCGGGATCGCCAAGAAGCTGAACGACACGACCGTCGAGATCACAGAGCTTCCCATATACAAATGGACGCAAAACTTCAAAGCGGAGCTCGAGGGTATGATCGGCGAAAAGGGAGATGGTGTTGTGAAAGTAAGAGACGATTTTTGGGGCTTCATAAAGCTTTGGACAAGTTACTGACGGTTCTTCAGGACTACAAAGAGTACCACGATAACCTCAATGTACACTATGTCGTCACCATGCCCGCTAAAGAACTGGAGAAGGCCGAGCAACAAGGACTGATAGAGTTCTTCAAGCTGACCACGAAGATCAACACGAGCAATATGATGTGCTTTGATTTCGATGGGAAGATGAAGAAGTATGACAGTCCAGAGGAGATTCTTGAAGAATTCTATCCCGTGCGGCTGGCGTACTATCAGAAGCGAAAGGTGCGAACTTTCGGAGCACAAGGTTACTGAACTTGACATATCTGCTGCCGTAGGACTTTCTGGCCAACGAACTCCAGACTGTCTTTGAACGTCTCAGCAACCAGGCTCGTTTCATTCAAATGATTGTCGATAAACAGCTATCTGTTTCCAATCGTAAGAAGGCGGACATCATTCAGGACCTACGGAAGCACCAATTTCGCCCTTTCCCCAAGATCTCCAAAGCTAAGGCTGCAGGTGAGCTCGAGGAAGTTGTCGATGGTGCCGACGAACCTGCGGAAGAAGAGGAAGAAATGGGTTCTGGAGACTCGGCCACTGACTTCGATTACCTTCTTGGCATGGCCATCTACAGTCTCACGAAAGAGAAGGTTCGTACTCCCAAATAATGTCCAACAGGACAGCAGATGACGAGTTGTACTAGATAGGGAAATTGCGGCAACAAGCCAATGAGAAGGAGCTTGAGCTGATGGCCTTGCTAGAGAAGAAGCCGAGCGAGATGTGGAACGAGGACTTGGATCGCTTCCTTGAAGAATGGCATGTAAGTCGAAGGTAACATCCTATGTGATGACCAATGGCTGAACGTTCCCTCAGTCATCCTACAATGAATGGTTATCTCAGGCGACAAAGGATGCGTCCGGCAAGACGATCAAGAAACGGCAGGCCGTTTTGGAGACGCGAAAGTCTATAACTGGTTTCTTCCGCCGCAAGGGGCAGTCTGACGACGATGACGACTTCAAGCCTACGAAAGCTGCTGCGAAGAAGAAAGCGGCCGCTGAGGCGAAGAAACCGGAGGCCAAGAAGAAAGTGGTAAAGAAGAGCGAGAGCGACGACGACGACGATCTACCACCAGCCGCGACGAAACCGACGAAGCGAAAACCTGCATCGAAAGCCATCAAAGACGAGGCTAGCGATGACGATGGCGACGTTCCTATGGCGAAGCCAACAAAGCGCGCCCCGGCCAGAAAACCGGCCAAAGTTGCTAGCCTTCCTGAATCAGACGAAGACGAACCCGTACCAAAAACAACCGCCAGAAAGGCGTCAAGTTCGTCCAAGAAGGCAACCAAGGTTGAGTCTGACGACGAGTCTGATTTCGAGATCATCGAGCGAGAAGCTCCCAAACCAACAGCTAAGAGCCTCCCAGTTTCTGATGACGACAGCGGGACAGGCAAGGGTAAAGGTAAAGCGAAAACCAAGCGCAAAAGGCAAGTAATTTCCATGTTTACAGACATTACCCATTCTGATGATGGGCAATTCTGCAGCCTCGACGACGACGAAAGCAACGACGATGAGAAGCCCGTAAAGAAGAAGAAACTGACTCCTCCTAAACAGAAATCGGTCGCAGACTTCTTCAACGGCCCGCCTGGTCCTTCTGGTGCGACGAAGAAAGTTCCGGAGAAGAGGAAGATATCTCAGAGTATGAAACCTGCCTCGCCTCCCAAGCCAAAGCCAAAGCCAGCAGCCCGCCGCGTGGTCGATGATGATGACGATGATGATGACGATAAAGAGTTTGATGATATTCCGAAACCCCCTGCACGAGGCCCGCGAGGCGCTAGAGCGGCTGCAGCGAAACCGGCGTACATTGAGATTGGTTCTGACGAAGATGACGGTGCTGGCGACGACTCTCTTTTCGTTGACGATGATTAGCGTAAACTTTATTGATAGTGTTGTGACTTTTTAGTGTATTCTTAATGCATCCCGCTTCCTTGAGCATGCAATGTGCACGGCTGAAGTGGTCCTGCCCTGCACCGTATCGCTTCTTAATGCTTTGCGGATGCGTGCTTTAGCCCCTCGCATCTACCCCTGACGACTGAATATTGGGTACACCATAAAATGTCCTAAAACGCCATAACTACTGTACAAATGCGTGATTGAAATAAATATTCTTTCTGTGATTGGCTTAATAACCTGTCCCGCCTCCTAAAATTTGGTTATCCGGGTGCGCGCCTGCGTTTATCGATTAGTGTCTTGTACAATTGTTAAAGCGAGTTGGAACACACCGTGAGCGACCGCTCTTTCCCTTCGTTTAAGAGCCTCAGCTTCCAGGCGCTCTGCTTCAGCCAGTTCTTGACTTTGAAGGTTAATGGAGTCTGCTTCGCTACAACCGGGTCAATGAGTATTAGCATCTCAGCTCTGGAGAATAGAATGAGACTTACTGCTGCTTCTGCAATCCTTTAGCCTTCAGCGCGTTGCTGCCTAGCATGGATCCGACAGCGTGCTCGACCTTGCCTGAGAAACGCTTGCCAGAGCCATCTCGGTGTCTTTCATTGCCGTGGCCCAAGGTACTTGCGGGGGGTATATCTGCTGAACCGTACCCGACACCTGTGCCTGCGCCAGTCACGGACGAGTAAGGATCGTTGACGCCTTGGCTAGCACCAACACCTCCATCTCGTCGCTGAATATTCTGAACAGGTTTGGGGGAATGGTCAGCTTGAGGAGCTTTGGTGGTTGTGATGAGAAAACGTACAGAGCTGTTATGGTTGTACGGGGTTTGGTTTACACCCGACGCCAAGGGTCCAGCGCCAGCACCAGTCCCCGGCGCCGCCATGTAGCCTGCGGCAGCGGGACCTGGACCAGTACCAGTCGTTGTATGACTGGGAGCGAAGCCAGTGGCACCAGCCATATTTGTCGCTTGGTCATGGCGACGAGCTGGCGCAGTCTTCTGTAGAGTAAACATGGCCTATTAGGAATAGCACTCGAAACAAGAATGAGGGTACCTCACATCGTGATGAGATTTTCCGAAGAGAGGCATCGATTATAGGAGGGTCTGTAAAGTTTATATGATTTGGAATGAAAGGAGAACATAGTGAGCCTGATTTATATACCTTTACCGTCAGTCAGAGGCGGTGCTGTTGACGTACCTATGGGAGTGGAGTGGAGGGACTCCTGTACCCCTGATGACGACTCCTCAAGCGACTCTGGTGACGAGGTTTTGCAGGTCATCAAGCCTGGATTGTCAGACGGGCCGCCTGGTTTGCGTCTGGTACTGTGTGAGGGGAGGCCCACATGGCATACCGGCTGACGGATGAATATTGCTTGGGCAAAATGAGCCCAGGCTGCGTCAAGAGGATCCTCAAAAGATATGGTGTAGAGGTTAGCAATTGTTTGGGTTCCCTTCGCAGGCTCTGGCACACTGGTACACAGGTCTAAGTTGAAGTCTGAACAACATGGAAGAAGGATAACTGAGCCAAGCGATGCTTTTGCGGTTCAAGCTCCCACCACGCCTTGAGAATTCACTTTCTGGAAATGTTCTTCGTATGCCTCAATCTCTTCGTTGAGTAGTTGCTCCATATTTCCTACATCGCCGTCAACTGATGCAAAGGCGTTCGTGTTGATGAACCTACTCACCCTCATAGAACCAAGCACTAGGCACCAATGTGCACACAAGTGTGACTGCGGCGGCCACTAGACACGGGACCCATATCAACTTGGGTTGCGTCGATGTTGCCAGCCAAATCACAGAACATAAAAGAAAGAATATCCCCCCTCCCATTGACACCATGGGCAGCTGATGCGGCATCGCTCGGACGAACTGCATAGCAGTGCCCATACTACTCCGTCTTCGAGCTTCATAACTGGGTCCAGCCGAGGATAGCAGAGACGAAGACGAATCCTCAACGCCATGGCGCTTCTCCGCATCCTCCGAATCGTCCACCCTGTCTGTGAAGATTAGATCGGACCGAAACCGCTGGATCTCTCGCATGTCGTCTAAGAGTGCTATCTGTTTCGCGAGCTGATCTTTGATCGTGTACGCATTCTTAAGAAATCGCTGCCCCCTAGGCCCTTGTAGATCGTCTGGAAATGCGGTGCCGCTTCGCAAGCGATGGAATTGCCGTTGCAACCTATCGGCGTTGTCGCGAAGACGCGTAGCTTGAGTCTCCATGCGTTTGACGGAGTGCTGCAGCATGAGCTGCCGGATGACGCCCGTGCCTACGCCGAGGATGTCCAGCGTGAGGCCAAAGAAGGAGACGAAGTTCGTGAAGATCTCGAGGCTGGTGTTGTTCTCCTCTCGTGTCCAGTCGATGACTTGCGCCTGCACGGCGCCGATGAAAGCACACTGTAATAAGTCTAGTCAGCTTGCAGACGCTACGCGCTTGGAACCACTTACCACTGTCATTAGAGAGCTTAAGTTCCCGATGATCGTATTCTTTGCCACTATCATGTCCCCCGTCAGGTCATTCTGTCTCTTTAGGGCTGCCTCAAGCTGCAGGAATGTCTCATCGATTTCGTGGATGTGCTCTGCCTTAGTCTTCGATGCTGCAGGCAGTGAGGCCCCAGACTCCTCTTCAATGGACATCGGACTGGTGGAGTGTGGGTTAGGCGTTGTACCCATTCGTAGGCAACATTAGGCTCATCGCTGCGCGCTCCCATCAAAAGGGCTTCACGGACTCGATTTCAGGGTAACGGAGACAAATACTTCAGGCGCTTGTATCGTAGATGAAAATGCTCCAAAAGGCAAAGAAAGGTAAGACCTTGGTCGGCTCGCTGTCTACCACAGATATAAGAGATATTCGCACCGACCAAACAGAGGTCGTGCCAAAGAGGGGGTATAGCTGGACGGCAAGGTCATGAGGAGTCAGGGATCAGGTATATTTACCTCCTAGTATACGCAGAGTCCCCCTTTGTGCTGATCTTTCCCGAGAAGAGTTCGCTGGATCCTTCGTTCAGTGGGTCCTTTGGTCGGGACGAGCACAAAAGCGGCGATGTGCATCCTTCACTTTTCAGGTCTAGGATGAGCCCCTGTACCCCCTGTACCCCTGTACCGACCATGAAATCGAGATTTCACTAACAGCTAGCGAGTACGCAGTGTGGGCTCTGGGGATGAAGGCTCTGGGCTATATAATGCTATATAAGTAGGTCAAAAAAGGAGATAATCGTTGTAACTGCATCATCCTTGGCGATTAAAATTACAAACCAGCGGATGAGGCTGTTCAGAAATGCTGAGATTTACTTGTAAAGGCCACCAACAAGGCTTGGTACAGAGTGGGTCGCCCACATGTCACCCGAGTAAACCAAAGCTCTCATTCAGCGCTGGTTGCAACTGATTTTGATCCCAAACAGTGGGAGCTGGTTACATGTGGCTTACGTAATACCTCCTTATTGTGCCAGAACAGCGGCGGTGCGATCTTCTTGCTTGGTTTCACTCTTCACGTAGTTCGTTAGTGGTCGTCGTTTGATCAGAGTGGTAGATTTCCTTGCCCCCCTCCCCCCATTCCATTCCCTTTATTCCCCCTTCCCCAATCTTCGAGTTGAACCTTGCAAGAGCCGCAGGTATGTCTAATAATACTCTACACATCAGGGCTTGGCGTTGGGCCGCAGCTGGGCTTAGCGCCATGCACTGGCAGCTCCGATGGTTTCTTATAAATCCTGCTTCCTTTCACCGTCTGTAGGCCGGTCTACATTCCTTCAATGACAAGGCTTTCCTATGTTTTCACGCTCGCTGTCGTGATTCTACTATCTTGGCCCAATGCTGCTCTTGGTGAGTGGAATCAACGGACAATAAAATTCGAAAGACACTGACCTCGCGGCGGACGGTGATTGCGATGCTGTTTGTCGACGGTTTCAGGCTCTAGCGCGCCACCGAGGCCGCTGAAACGACTCGCTCATCCAGAGACTCTGGCGCTCGAGATATTCCCCCGACGCCCTGTTATCCAAGACACACTTATACGCAGAGCTATCCCCCTTCCCAGATCAACAACCCTGCGACACGACGACTCGTTCAGACTCACAGTCTCAGCCTTCAACGAAACCTACCACCTACACCTTCGACCAAACGAACATCTAATACATCCTGCTGCTAGGATCCACTACTACACTACGACCTCTGATGGACGATCAGTTCTCTCGCACACTGTCCCGCTGACGAAGGAGTCAGTCAGGGCGTACTTGGGTGAGGTTCTCCATACAAGCGTGTCACCAGCACGGATGCGGGAGGATGCTGCCAACGTTGCCCATTCAACGCTTCCAACTCTGGGCTGGGCGCGAATCGTAGTCCACCATCAAGGCGACGTAGTCAAGGGCCTCGCGCCCATCTTCGAGGGCGCCTTCTCTGTCAAAGGCGATGTCTACCACATTATGACCAAGGACAACTACCTGCGCACGAAACACCAGCTGGACCCACAGATCGTCCATGAAATTGATGGGTATGAAGTGGATTCATCGCTCGTCATCTGGAGGGACTCAGACGCTATGACGCCTCAAGAGGAGAAACTAGTCGCATCAGGAGTCAAATTAAGCGCAGGTAAGCTGGGGCTCGACGATGGCTCCCGCCAGGCGAGGCCGCAGAGCTGCGCCCACGATTCGCTGCCTTACAATGCGGACATGATGGGTACCTTCGGTCAGAAGCCCCTCACCTCCCCCTCGTGGTATGAGACGCTGGGATTCGGCCTCGGCGACGACCTTGCGCGGCGAGACGACGTTGTTGGGAGTGGCATGGATTCCAAGTAAGTATCCCCCATCTATCATACACTCCCCCTGATATCCTGGGCAAGCTTCGTCAACTCCATTGGCGACACTTCGAGTTGCCCCAAGTCCCAGCGCTTGGTAAGCGATTTTCCAGAGCTAGGATACACGGAACTCCCGTGATGGACTGAAATTGTCTTCCCTAACTAGCTGTACATGGGCGTAGCATCTGATTGCAAGTTCACCGCGCAATACGGCTCGAAAGAGAATGCTACTACCAGGATCCTGACGGATTGGAACACTGCTAGCTCACTGTACAAGGTAGCGTAATCATAAGCCTCGCCAGCTGTCCGACCACTGACATATGTTGTTGTCCAGTCATCTTTCAATGTTAGCCTGGGTATTATAGAGTTACAGATCCAGGACTCGACGTATGTCCATCAGCTCACACACAGCCTCATGTTAATTGCATCCTGACACAACGTAAAGATGCCCGAGTACCCCCGATGCTTCCATGCCTTGGAATGTCGACTGCAGTACCGTCACCCTTAACGACCGCCTGTCCCTCTTCTCTGCATGGCGCGGTGCGAAGGGTGATGACGGCGTCGGCCTCTGGCATCTGATGAGCGGCTGCCCCACAGGCACGGAAGTTGGAATCGCCTGGTTAGCCACATTGTGCGTGTCCCTTCCATTCGCTGAACATACCGATCATTCACACTTGTGAGGAATGCAGGTGTCAGCAAACGTCCTCGGGACAAGCGCCTTCGGTTGTATCAGGCACCGCAGTTTCGACATCGGGGCGAACAGAGTGGCAAGTCATCGCACATGAGATCGGTCATAATTTCGGCGCGATTGTAAGTCGTCCCGTCTTCTTTGCAGCGATCAGTAATTCATGGAAACGGTCATCTAGCACGATGTGAGTGCAGCCGTGTGCCCGTAGTCAATGGCGTGGTCTCAAACAGTGTTCTTTAGTGCGCGGATGGCTGCAGCGGAACGCAAAATTGTTGCCCGCTCAGCGCAAGCTCTTGTAATGCCGACGCGAGATTTATCATGAGCCCTGTTGCCCAAGCCGGGGAAACCAATTTCTCTCCCTGCAGTCTTGGGAACATATGTATGTTATTCGCATCAACCGCTGAGCTGCTGCTGATACATCGACATCACCAGGTTCCCTCATGTCGGGCACAGGCAGCGGCCGGACGAACACATCGTGTCTGATCGATCCCTCCCAATCTACACGGTCAACAATCTCTCTGCAGATGTGTGGCAATGGCATCGTCGAGAACGGCGAAGACTGTGATCCTGGCCAAGGCATCAACTCCCCATGCTGCGACTCCGCGACCTGCAAATTCAGATCAGGTGCCGTGTGTGATCCCGACAGCAGCCCATGTTGCACCCAGCAATGCTCGTTCGCGCCGACAACTCAAGTATGTCGCGCAGCGAAGGATGGGCGATGTGATACGCAGGAAACCTGCACAGGCAATTCGTCGTCCTGTCCCGCAGATCAGTTCGCGCCCAACGGTCAGAGCTGTGGCTCTAACGATCTGAGATGTGCTAGCGGCCTTTGCACGTCTGTCGCCCGTGAGTGCTCTTCCCTTCCAACTCGCTACTTTGGCTGACTCAAGTTGAAGTGCAATGCCAAACGATTGGGGCGTCTATGAACCTTCGGGAGGCTTGCCCGAACAGAGGCGACGAATCATGTCGTGTTTCATGCAAGAATCCTTCCCAGAGCAACTCGTGTGTGCTGCTGCAAGCGATGCTTGTAGATGGCTCGCCTTGTGGGTACGGCGGCACATGCCAGACCGGGCGCTGCCAGGCTGGAAGTTTCATCGAAAAAGCCAAGGTTTGCACCACCCACCCTTTATCCCTCGCGTCCCCGCTAAATACCCTATTTTGTAGGCATGGTACACCCAGAACCTGCAAATCTCCATACCAGTAACTGTCGCCGCCGGTATTCTCGCCCTGCTCCTCCTTTGGGCTCTGATCATGGGTACGTCCTCCTATCCCCCCTCGGGTATCACGAAGTGTTTCAGTGCGCTGATGATGGTCATGGATATTTTCAGCTGTGAAACGGTGCTGCGTTGGAGGCCGCGGCCGCTCATCTACGATGACTCCTGTGATCGTGGATCCTGCGCTCGCCCGGATACGCCATCAACGCTTAGATAGTGTCGACCGAAGCGATCCCTTAGCCGGTCTTCGCAGACCTAGCGGCCCACCCATGAGGACGCCGCCTGGCATGCCGGGCGCTGTGCCAGCGGCCTTGAGACCTGGTTCGATGTTCGTGTTTCAAGTTGATCCACTCATCCATCCCCATCGCTAAATTTGTATATCTACGTAGGGTCGCTCATCAACGCAGTCCGTACCAGGGCGGAAGCACTGATTACACTGCACCATCCTACAACAACAATTACGGTCCCCCGAACTGGGTTGATGATAGGTTGTACAATGGTTCCCGGCCATAGCCATAGCAATTTTTAGATCCCAATGAACATTCAGTTTTTATCTATCTATTGAAATAGCATCGTTTTCTTCGTCGAGATCGTGTACTTTTTATGCAATTCGCTATCATAGTCTATCGCTGTTGAATGTCCAACGCACACCCCTTTAACAGATAACAGATAAAGCCCCCGAGAGAAAAGCAAGGTATATGATTAGGAACCTCGAAATGGTATGTAAATGGCGCACTAGAAGTGTTCGCAGAATATACAGGAAGGAGGGAAGGGGGAAGGAAGGAAGGAGGGAAGGAATGGGAATGTTCATGTAAATGATACAGACTGGTCGTTAATCAATAGGTTTATACAAACTTACAACAAAGATAGAGTAGGCATAATCGCATTCATGATAACCGCCGTCGTTTTTCTTGCTGGAACCCATACCCTTGGCTGGCTGAGTTTGCTGAGGTTGGCCTCGAGGAAGAGCCAACAGTAGATTGTAGTTGGATGGTCTGTACTTCAGTCGTATGCGACGATGTCGACGACCCGCTATACGGGGGTGGCGGGGCGAGGAGATCGATCTCATTAGCGGTAGACGGTGCGACCGGTGCGGCGTTCAGCGGCGTTACGAACGACTGTCTTGTATTCGCCGAGGGGAAGGGGGTCGTATACGCTGACGGATTCGGCGAAGACACGGGAGTAATATTGAATCCACCTTGTGTACCAGCGGTCGTGGGCGTTTGGGGCATCAGTAGGCCTCTTTGTTCGTCGACTTGCGTCGTGACGTTCCCGAAGGGCTCGATCTTGTTCTCCTGCTTGCTGTCATCGCGGCGTCTCCTACGGGACCTAAGAACAAGGACGGCGGTAAACACAATGATCGCCACAATGGCGACAGAGCCGATGACGATGCCAGCTATGGCTGCTGGGTGTATTTTAGTCGCCTGCCCAGCCCTTGCGCCGAATCCGATGCTGCCATCATTGGAACCAGAGATCGTGAAGACCCTAGAACGTGAGATCAGACAGCGATGTGGCAAGCTGGGAAAGGGTATTTACAAGTAGACTGCGGAAATGAACGTAGCGCCGAACAGAAACTCGGACATGCCTTGGTCATTCCATTCCTCGAAGGCACTGGTACACGTCGTTCCATTTTTGAATACGAGTACGTCTTCTCTTAGTGTGACTGAGAACTCTCCGAAACGCACGTCGAGTGTCACTTGCGTATCGCACGGAACAGTGTACGCAGTCGTGGCAGGACTCGAAGATGATGGCTGTGATGAAGATCCAGGGATCCCAGCAACTGTCATGATTTAACAGTAAGCACAAAAACAGCTTAGGGACAGACCTCAACGTACATAGAGGACGCGAGACGCTTTGAGGCAGGAATATGCCCGGGAAGAATGGATCAATAGCGACTCTTTCGTTGGTTTTCGAGATCTTGAGGTCCCCTGCCGAGATAGAGAAGGAGTCCAGGTTCACCACCCAGTCCAAGTTCATGTCGCTTGGTCCAACTGAGAGCTTGTCCTTGACCGACATAGTCCCTTGGAACGCGGAATCGTCGGGCACTACCCAATGCAACACGCCTCCCTCCGTCGATCCATCTGCCCCCAAGGGCTGCAATTGCATCCCATATGAGAAATTAGTCCTGCCTGGATTCCGTGACAGCCACCCGGCAAATAATGTTTCATTAAAGTTGCCCGAAAGAGCGTTGGTTCCGAGACCAAGTAGACCAGAAGCGCCTCCAAAGATGGGACTCGACTGGTTAGCGACGACAACTGAAATAGTACTCGTTATCGAACATCAATCGTGCAGCCAACTACCCTCACCAGTTTGGTTTGGATAAGCCCACGCCGTCCCATCTTCCTTCTGTAATGTGCAGTCTTCTCTAACCAGGTTTCCTTGCGTTGACTGTCCAAGGACCGACACCCCCTGAGTGCCTTCTAAAAGTCTAGCGCTGCTCGACAAGGCAGGATCATATCTGCGAATGGAAACGTGGCCGTCATTCTCGAATCCTGAACAACGCTGGAGGGAGAAACCCACGTTGCCGATCCCGTGCAGTTTGAACATGAGGATCCCAGGACAGATACAAGCCCGGTGCCGGTAGACAGCGCAAAAGTGAGGGTTTGCGGATTGGACGAAGACTATGCAAAGAAAATACCTATCGGTGGATAAGCCCCAAGATTGCAATATTGTTTGCTTACCATGTTGACCGTAACGCCGTATCTCCCATCTCTCGTCCTGACTAAGGGAATATTGGAGCGGACTATGGGTATCAACCCGTCGCGTTGCACCAGCCCCCCGAGTACGCAGGGGACGCCTGCAAGCGCGAAGACGAGGACGTTGACCGGCTTCATCGCGCTGGTGAGTGGGGTAAAGCAACAACCAATAAACGTTTTCGCCTACAAGCGTACATAAAAGTATCCAGCGGGGCTGAGACCAAGGGTCCCAATGTTTTAGAGAAGTCCATAAATGGCTGTAGTTGCCCGTTTCATCTGATCTCATGCTATGCGCCCAGGGCCGTGGTCGCCAATCGGTGGGTATCACGGACGAGATGCCGCGAGAATACACTTGCGCAATGACTTCGCAGCATCTTCGCACCCGCTGGAGCTGGACCCACGCGTCACAAAACTTACGAACATCTCTGTAGCTATCTACATATCAATGTTGAGCACGATTTTGACTTGATATGTTCGATGGTACCTTCACCGTTCTCAATTGCAACGACCTGAAACGGGCGGGCCTCTTGCACCTTTGGCCAGCATGGCGATGCGACTCACCACTCGAGGCATACGTAGTGGGGGCTGCATAGGTTTCGCGCGAGAGGGGGATGGCGAATACAATATGACGTGCAAACACTTGGAAGAGTTCCTGCAGATAAATTTAGACACATATCATCATGAGCACAGATCGACCTTGTGCTGATGATCATCTGATGTGGTGTGCTGAGCTCTTGTAGAGTGATAAGGGTGCTTGAGTGGGGCCCTTATAGATGTTTGCAAAAGATACGAAACGGCGAAACAAAGAGGTAACGACGCAGATAGTTTCCATCCAGCTAGCATCACCACACCATTAAGAAGCATCCGTATCAGACCGCGGTCGCTTCTCAAGGATACCATCTACAATCCCAAACTCAAGTGCCTCTTGGGCTGTAAAACAAAAACGAATGAGCGTTGGTCAAGGGGATTACACAATCTTACCCGTCATGAAGTAGTCGCGCTCCAGTGCCCGTTCTACAGCAACAATCAGTCAATCAAAAAAATAGCATCACATTACTGCGCAAAGCTCTCTTACCGAAGCGCTGCATACCAACATCCTTCGCTTCCTCTGGTTTGCTGCAGTGCCGTTGATAGATCCCGGTAAGTAGCTCCCTGACACGTAGAATCTCCTTGGCGTGGATGGCGATGTCTGATGCTTGTCCAGAAGCTCCGCCAGATGGTTCTAAAAGAAGATGAGTGTTGGATTTGCTATATAATCACATAGACACTGTGTGCAGCAGCCCACGACGTCCGAGTAATGTTCGAGCGTTCTCCTTGGGTAGAAGTGCGAGAAAGAGAAGGAAATAAGATATTCCACTCAAGTCATACCCGCCGTAAAGCATCAGGTGCTTGCACGAACTTTCTGTTCTACGGCGGCGGTAACTCAGTTGAAACATCTTGTTCCACTCCCACACTTTCTCTTGTTCAGAACACCCATCGAAGGTGAACATATTGAAACAAGAAGCGTTTGCCGCACGCCGTGTACACGCATAGGAAGATAGAGAAGAAAGTGCACGAACGGTGAATCATGATGCTTGCATTGGGCAAGCAGTGCCGTTTCCCCTTTTCACCTTCATATAACCTTGTTAGTCGTTCAAACAACCTTGTACCATACACGACTTACCTGCAGCAAGCAGGAGTGAACCCATCGAGCAAGCCTGGCCAACGCAGTAGGTATGTATGGGCGACGAGACATACTACACAATTAATTGAGCGTGGCAACGGCACAGTCAGAGTTATTTTACCTGCATCTGCGACATATATGGTAGTCAGCATGAGAATGAACATGGGGCTACGGTACGGTGCTTACCGTGTCGTAGATTGCAAGGCCAGCCGTCACGCTGCCGCCTGGCGAATTAATGTAAAGGTGAATTGGTTTGGATGTTTCTTCCGCCTCGAGAAACAGTAGCTGAGCAACGATCAACGCGGAATCTGTATCCCGAATCTAGGGTGCACGCATAACATAACTTGAATGGCTGCCTATTTGCGAACGAGATGAAGTGACAGACCGGTCCATAGAGCATGATGACGCGTTCCCTCAGAAGCCGCGAGAATATATCATATGAACGCTCCCCCCTTCCCTGTGCGTCGATAAGAACACGCAGGAATCGGGATTCGGCAGGGAACGTCTGCGCACCGTCTGTTCAATGACCATTGGGATCAAGTTGCTAGATGGAGGCGTCGACCATGATGTTCCACCAATTTGGTGAAAGCCACGACGTGCTGTGGAGCATGGAACCACGCATTGTCCAGGAGCCGAAAGGAAAGCTCGATTTCCAGGTGTGCGGAGGAAAGTGCGGAACATTTGCGTTTCCGTTAAGCGCCCAAAGTCGCCGGAGTCGCGTGATCACCTGCACACGCGTCAACATGAACAAACAGTTTCTTACATCGTCCACGACGACGACCACAACGCATTCTTCATTTCTGTACTAATTGCGCTATTTCTTGCATAATACCTCCATACCACCACGGAACTTACGAACTCAACCCTTATCTGATCCTACCACGATGTCTCATCTGCGAAGTGCACGCTCCACAGAGGCACCAATGGACTGGGATTACACTTCACGGAAATCGGTGGAACCAGTTTGGGCGAGGAAAGATGACCCAGCGACACCCAAGAAACGTAAATATCCTTCATTTATCTATTGGTTTCAGTTTCAAAACGTATGAGCAGGTCCTTTAACCGATGCAAACTGGCAACCTCCTCCACTACAACCCCCTTCATCGCCTATGTTCGGTGCCAATCGAAATGTTCCCTTTATCTTCAATGCGACACCATCCACGCCAGCACCGCCCGTGCACCCATGGGCACCCCCTCCCAATTTCTCGCCAACTAAACCCATATTCGAGCCTGAAGTACGTGATGTTGATATGAGCGAAGCAACACCCCCACAAACCGAGGAGAAGCGAGGTCGTTCTGTTGCTGCGGGCGCTTTGCGACGAGTCTACAAGTCTCGGACTAAAGCCCGAGCAGAAAAACTACGATCACAAGGCGTCACAGAAGAGGACGCGAGCGACTCAGAAGATGAAGACGAAAATAAGAGAGTGGCTCCAATTAGACAGAGCACTTCGAACCACTATACACTGCATATGCCTTCACCGCCTGCTCCGCAGTCTGATCTTCCATATATTCTGTCTGGGTATGTCCTGGTTATTGTTATTCCTGCGCGCTTCTGACTAATGGTACTGCTTTTCATCAGGTATTTGCAGTTCTTCTTCAACTTAGCGTTGATCCTGCTGTTCCTGTACCTCGTGGTTCAGTTTATCATTACAGTCCAGCGTGATGTCCAAGAGAGGATCTCCGAGTACTCAATGGGTAAGTCGGCACCTCTACGCGATCGGGAAACCAATAGCACTGAACAAATTCTTCGCATCAGATATCGTACAGGAGATTGCCATGTGCGCGACGCAGTACAAGACCAATTGCGGTACCCATACGGTTCCTGCCATGTCGCACCAATGCGGAGTTTGGGAATCGTGTATGAACCGTGACCCAAGCATTGTTGGACGTGCCAAAGTCGGCGCCGAGCTGATCGCGGAAGTAGTGAATGGGTTCGTAGAGCCCATCAGTTGGAAAACTTTAGTGAGTGCTGTTCTGCCCTTTTTACTCGTTCCCATTCCCTCCGAACTCATCGTATTCTTCTTTTTGTGATGATTGATTATTGTTATGATCGTGTCGGCGCCACATTCAGACCTTCACGTTGACTTCGCTATCCTTCTTGACGGTTTTCATCAATACGCTATTTTCCATCTACCGTTCACGGCACCAACCCGGGACTGCCGCACCGCCACTTCACACATCATATTCCATGCCCCCTCCCACGCCGTACCAGCACTTCGGAAACTATCTGCCTCCGGCAACTCCTACCCCGGCTTGGGGTAAGTCCTGGTCAGATCCAAACGTGGACGACATGCAAAGTCCCACTCGACGAAGACGTATCGAAGGCGGGGGATCTGTCAAGATTAACTAGCTGAACTCTACATTTCATTACTGGATCGGGTTCGCTACTCTTACGCAGAATTCAAGAATGCTCAAGGTCTATCAATCATAAGTTGGCAAATCGATATCCTCTTGATCTTTATCTTTCTCGCAAGACGAGAGAAAGTATGTTCTTCGTTTACCTCCGTGCTTCGAATGACTATCATGCGGTAAATGACGGTGGAAAGCGGCAACCCGCCGCCTTGTCTAGCACCATTAATTGGTATGGGAAGAATGATCCTAGGGGCTGAAGAAGCTTCTTGTCTACGTTAAGCCCAAGGCTGTCAACGATTCATCACCGAACAAGTGACAGACTCGTGGCCTTAACTTGGTTTTTTAAATAACTGCCTTGTCCCAAATGGCTCATCATCTCCCACCTCCTGGCTCCGCCATTGCCAGGGCCCCCCTTCGGCAACTTTGTGTGGTCAGATGCTACCAAGATGGCTACCGCCCCATCAACCCACATCTAGATCGCATTCTTGTGTCTATTCTCGGCCTGTCTTCCTGGATGCCCACAGCCGTGCATATGGCTCGTTTATTTATATGCCAAGTTTGACCTTCTCTCCCGCTCAACCCTCGGTAGTTCCAGGAACGAATTTTGTTGGGCGGGGTCTACGCCTGAGAAGATAACCTCGGATGGTGGACATCAATGGGACGCTTCCCTCCTTCGTTTGGGCGTTTACAGAGTCATAACCTTCCAATCCGTCAACCCAGTTCGCTCGCCTGCCGGGTTCGTCGGTGTGTATAAACCCTACCTGGCGTGCATGTGGGGCTTGCATGCTAGAGTGACAGAAACGGGGAACGAGTTAACGATCAGTTCCAGCTTCATTGAAATCGGGTCCCACGAAGTAAGCCGTAGCGTGAGATGATGATCAGCAAAGTAAATAGATAGGCTATTTGTGACGACAGTATGCCTCCGCCTGCAAGCAAATGACAGGTGCATGTGTTCGGTCCCTGCGGCGCAGAACAAGATCCTTCCATGCAGACATTTGTGCAGGATCGCATCGGCCTTTCGCGGTTATATGAGCTTTGTCCAGCGACACACACATTTGAACCTGGTTCGGTCGCCGAGATTGTGCCCGATTCTTCATTGGGTGCCTCCAAAATTCTTTAACAGACAGGGAAGTTTGCGGCATATATCATGGCGGAAGTAAACTTGAGCGTCCATCTATATGTCAGGGTGGAAGAAGCTTCGACAACACCCATTTGGCTGGATTGTCGCACCACCTCAACGCCCGAGGAGCTAGGAGAAGCCAAGGGCACACGGTTCATAAAATATCAAAGCCGGCGTAACCCCAATAATTGAACACAGACATGGATGGGTACAGAAGTAGATAGAATGAAGGAGGGATAGTCTAGCCACAGTAATCCCACCAGAGTGGTTGACTGGGTCCAAGAGGCGCTCTCAATTTAGAGGAAATAGGGCGGTCTAGCGTGGAAGAACAATATTCCTTCCACGGGAATTGCTGTTATTTGCCGGAGGAGCCAGCAGCGGCTTTTTCCTCTTCCTTTTTCTGCAACGTGTACTGTGAGCTAACTGCAAGGCCACAATGCCCATATATGAAACTTACTTTCTGCTTCGCACGTAGTGCCTCAGCATCACTAGAAACATACAAGGTCAAAGGGTGAAGGCATCAGCAGTTCTGTGAAAGCAAGGAAGTGCAGCGCAAGCAAACGGATACGCACGCCTCCTTGCGCTTTGCGAGATTGGTAGCACTCTCTTTTGGCTTCTTGGCAGGTGCCTTCTTCGCCGCTCGTAATCGATCTTGCTCGCGCTGGTTACCACCTGGCCATCGTCGAGTCAGGCAGCGTGTCGCCGAAGCACATTTACAATACTTACGGGTCATAGTTGCTGAAACCGAGAAATCAAGGACAAATGGATATGAGTGATACAGAAAGTGAAGGTGGTGAAAGTCGTGGGTCGAGAGTGCTCGTTATCGCGAGGTCGTTGTCGTTGTCGATGTCGATGTCAAGGTACAATCGCGTTGTTACCGTCCCCACGTGTGGTAGTTCAGGCGGAGATAGAGTCATTCAAGTTCCGCCAACTATCGATCACCTAGAATGTTCGACACGAGAGCCTCAGGGTATCAGATTAGGGCGATGTGATATACCGCACCGCAGGAGCATGCTAGAATTCCAAGGTAACTAAATTAAAGACCTCTCCTATTTGCTACGCCCTGACGCTTGGCTCGTAGTTCTTCCGCCGTTAGCTCAGTGCTCCCGGTCAGACCGTGACGGACCTGCGAGCTTCCCCGTTGGCTGCTAAAGAAGGTCGTCAACGTTAATGCGAACGTTGCACCCTTCCCAAGGCCCAAGTTCTAGTTGATCGGACCAATTAGGTCACATCTGGCATTGGGCATCTCTGGCATGGCGTGCATCATCATGGCTCGCATCTAGATAGTGCACATATCCGGTAAGCAGTGTTCGTTGACACCAAATTGCAGTCCTAATCCCTGGGTTCACGTTAAGTCATATACGTTCGCCAGCTAGTCTCATGAGCAACGAAGCACATGCCGTGCGTAGCTTACCTTATTTTTTCACACTACTGCCGATTTGCAGAGAACATTTGGAAGTTAAGGTGGGAACCACTGCCCACGGAAGCGGGTCGTTTGGAACGCCTTGGCCGAAGGGAGGAAGCAAAGACAAGCCAGCCAATAGCGGTAAGTGCTTCTTGATGCACAAGAGTCCGCAGGGTGTAGCAACTAACCCGACACGTTTCAACCGTAGAAGCATGCGGATGTGGAATTGTGGAACGATGCCCATGTGTTGGACCGCGCTGAGAGGGGTTAGCTGCGGCTAGTCCCCCTTTCCCCTTATCTAAACTAGGGGACAACCATCTCCCTTAATGAAAGGGCTCGGTGCATGGCCCATGCTGGCCCATGCCCTTTCCACGAAACAAGGACATAGATAGTACAGGAGATACATCAGCGGCTGTGATGGTGGTGGCGGTCAGGGTTTTATCCGAGGTTTACAAGAGGTATGTATGATATATACTCCATCAAGGTCACGAATGACGACGTGAGTTGTTGATGTGGATGCAGGACCAGGGAAAGGGACCTGATGGAAGGCCGAATGGGGTGTGCGACACGGCGATAAGTCGTTAACGGTATGTTTTGAATGCTTCGACCCGAGTGATTGGTCTCATGGAGTCTGATTGACATGTCATCCTCGTTTGTCAGGCTATGTTATTTATGTCGCTGGCGGCTGAGGGTGATGATCTGTGGTGATGTGCCTAGATGGGAGGAACATTTAGAGGTTCCGATTGGTTCTACGACACCCCCGCGCGTGCGTTGCTTTCCAGACCTTCGAATCTGTGAACGCTTGCATAACACGTATCACCGCCATCGAAGCGACCATGGGCGGCATAAACAGTGGGAATCGTGATGCGACGACCTGGGGTCATGACAGATTCATTATGCGCGCCCCGGCTACATATCAAGCGATTCGAAAATGGACACATTCCAGCGGACGTCACGGCTTGCCCGAAGGCTCAAGATCTCAAGAAGACTTGATGTGCCACGGCACGGCGGCGTGGTTGAATGCTGACCCTGGGAACGGAGGAGATACTTCTTCTATAGTCGTGCATCCAGAAGAACCGTTCCCAGGCGAAGTAACGTATCCATATAAAGGGACCCTTTTCCGCGTAGTCTGTATAGCTGCCAAACAGCCTGAGTGTGCGCGTGAGTAGGTGGATTTAGTAACTTCATTTATCAACTTCCCATATCGTTTATCGTTAACTATTCGTAATGTTGTGTGACTTAGCCTTCCTTACATATGTGCTGCATGTATTGCATTCCGTCCCGTCGGACTACCGCCTCAATCATCTCGCCATTCACTCAAGGCGTCACATCCTTCCTTCTTCCCAACTCGGCTGTCTTTACGGAGACAAACGGTGAGTCCGCGCTTCGTATGTATGCATTGCACAGCAATTCCAGATTAACTACGATAGCCAAATCCCTTGCCGCAGCAGTCCACCCCAGCCTGCCATGGCGTCCGATCTGCCCCATCGGGTCCACGGAAGCAAATGACCACGGCCACGACTCCCTAGCCTCCCATGTATGGGCACGATTAGAACTGATCCCTATCGGTTATGTAGGGGTGGATACTTAGCGGGAAAGGCTGTAATTAAGGTTTGTATAGGAGATGCTGCCTCGGTGATCAGCCCGTGTGCTATTAGGCAGGCCTATCACTCTTGACGTTCACCAACGAGAATTGTATTACCATGATCCTTGGCCTTCCGGAAAGGCGACTCTAAAGTATATACTACGGTTTCATCATTCCGCGCAAATGGAGCCTCGTTCAATTAATTTGAATTCATTACAAGCCAGTGCCTTTATATATAATAGCAATTTGTGGAGCAGGTGTATCACTGTTCGCGTTCTTGTCTCGAGGTAACTTCAATCACATCCATATCCATAAGGGTGTCAACGATGTATAATTAAGCACCTACATAGTAATACACCACGCAACGGCGCACATCAAGTGCCGCAGAAGCGGGGTTACCCGTAGCTATGTACATACCACGTTAACGTGTTGCGTCAAACTTGCTTCTTATGTACAACCGCCATCACTACACACTTGAAATGTTCCGGCTGCGAACTCAAACACGGTTTGACTGCTATCGACATCTTGATTCGAAATACATGAGACAGGCCTCGGACGGTGATTCATTTGCTCGAAACGTTGATTGATATCCATGACATACGGACGTTACCCACTTACTCAAGGACCAACCTAGTTACGGACACACCGAGACAGGTGCGGCACCCTTCAAAGCTTCACCGGCACTCTTGCGTACCCCTTTCTTCCATAGGATCCTTCGGCCCGATCGAGCAAAAATTGGTCCTGGGAGCACGGCACACGAGTAACGCTTACCAGTTTAGCGAAATGTTAAAGAGATCAAGGTCTGGACTGATGTAATAACCCCACAGCTGTTAGAAGGCCTTCTAGCAGTTATGTACGTCTCCATAAGTTTCTCACTACGGGGGGAAGGGGGATATAAGAAGTCCCATTCGGTGGGTGTGTGGAAATGATTGTGGCGCTGAGGGGGCAAATGCAGACACCATTTCTGCATGTAAAGTTAGAGGTACTTGGAAGGGAAAGTAGGTACGAGGACCTCAATGGGTAATGGTTCGTGCATGGTCCGCGATACAGAAAGTTGAGAGATGTTTCAAATTCCAACCAGGAACGCACTATAACTGTCCTCGATCTATACTATGATCTACATCATGCACTCCGCTTACACGATGTTTGCGGCATTGCCCAGTGGTCCAGGAGCCTAGTACCTGCTATATTAGCAATGTCAATGATGAAAGATTGACTTGCTGTACACTCGTTCAATGCACGGCATGCTGTGACCACGCTATTTCTGCCCCGTATCTATCAGTTGCTGGGTAGGTGATCCACATCTGATCATTAAATAAAACATTAACTCAAGCGCTCCGGGGTGAGGCTGTTCGAGGTTATACATATACGTCGCATCGAGATGTTGGCATGTCACGGATGGAATAGCCTTTTGACCCCCTTATATCAGTATTCAGTCAAACCCTTCTGGGCCCTGCTGTGGCGAGACCGCATAGCCGATTCCCCAGTCGTCGAAATCGTGTCCGCGCAGGTCCACGCTCGGCTCGTGTCGTCCTTTCAGCGATTGATCATCGACCCCAGTGTTGCTTAGTTTGTTCTTGCTCGGGGAATGCCAGGGCATGCCATCATGCAACCAGCTGACCTGGTGCTTTGGATAAATAGCCTAAGCGAACGTTGTCCACCTCCTTCCATTTCACGGAGTCTGTATCCAGATGATACAAAGGCCTTGTGGACCAACCCGCGGTTACATACCTGGATGTACCATCAATAAAATATGATCAATAGAACAGAACCATCCTTGTGTACACGAACCTCCATTCTAAAGTTCTATTGCACATCAACACATTCTTCCGCCGGCAGTTTCTTTGACAAACCGGGTACAAGGGTCCCTACGACCTCTTTCAGCGCTTTCAGCACTGAATCTCCGAATAAGCACCAAGTACAAACCGTAGTTGCCTTGGCATATATACGTACTGTACGCTCGGAACCTCTATATACGCCCAAGCATGAGCGAAGCGAAAGCTGAAATCGCCGTCGACCCGTGAAAGGTTTGATCCCGAAATAGGAATAGCAACCTAAGGGTAAACACTGTTAGCACCACAAGGTGTGTCCGCCATGCGCGAAATGGGTGTGATTGTTGTGCTTGCAGTGCACCAGCTGTGTTGTGTATCAGACGGCCGTGGCACGAATGGCGTTTGTCCAATATGGTCCAAACTCGCCGGTGATCAGAATTGATGCAACCGCGTTTCGGATTTCGAGTCGTTGGCTCCGCTGATCTCGAAAGCGCAGAATAACAAACATAAGGGGTCGGCAACTCATTGTGGCATTCAGGGTGCGCCCCTAATCAACGCAGTGACAGCTGTTGGACTGCGTACCGATTGCGGAAGAGACCGGTATAATGAACCTGTCAGTGTGGGAGCCAGTAATCAGCGGGGCTGCATGATCGATGATTGATAAGCCGGAATAATTGGGGAAGGAAGTATTTACATATTAATATTACCGATCATGTGCCTGGAGAAAGTAGATCTGGCTGACATAATACTACAGGATGGAAACGGGGCTGGAACAAGGTGTGAGTTATTCGGGAATGATTAAACCGAAGATTATTTTGTATGGATTTGGCTGGGAAATAGGATAGAAGCGTCGATTAGATTCTGATCAGGATCCCGGATAACGGATGGATTCGGACTCCGTCGTTCGCGCTGATTTTAAGCTATTAACAAAGAACGCTGCCAATTTGGTTCATATACGGTGGGGTGGTAACCAAGCAATCTAGATAGACAGGTATATAACTTATGTCATCCCTGCATGAGATCCGATCTGGCCCTCCATCTCTTTCAACCTGATCGCCATCCCATCGCACGATCACCCGCCAACAACCATGCCCTGATTCCACATCTCCCTTCCTGCAAAATCGCATTATATATATCACGTACCTTCCGAACCAGTTTAGTCTTTTTCTCGCCCCCCTTCTCCCACAACAACTTTCCCTCCTACCCCCTCCCCTCGACGTCGTCGACGATGTCGCACAGACTCCCTCGTCAGCAAGACCGTGATACTAGGATGCATGAGACGACGCCCGGTCCAGTTCATTCCCAGCTTTTCTCGCATTCCCAACCCCCACCTCCACCTCCGCCACAACACCATCCCCATCTCAACGGGAACGCGGCGCATCCGACAACACCCCTTTCAAATGGCGCTAGCCACTCGAGCGCCATCGTTTCCCCGACCGCTATCCCAAACACTGTCTCAAACGGCGTGGGGTCATCATCATCGATAGCCCACAAATTAGCCGTTGCCAATGAGCAAACGTGGCTATTGATAGGTGTGTGCTCAATCCGTCCGACGGCTTGGATACATCAACACTAAAGCCGCTTCTCCATCTTTCTCAGGCCGAGTGGCTGAGCAGATGACAGACTTGGACCATGCGCTTTCGGCGTATGAAAACGCACTGCGGCACAACCCGGTGTCCCTGGCTGGTCTCACTCAGGTTGCAGGCATTGCTCGGATCAAAGAGAACTATCCCAAGGTAAGTTTGTCCATTTTCATCATTTTTCCTTTCGGCCGTGCCTTCTCGATGTCCGCGGCGCTGCACTTCCGCCGACATTGTATTATCTCAGATCCGTCCACGTGCTCACTATGACGTTTCTACCATATCAGGCTATCGATTACTTCCAGCGTGTACTCCAATTGCAAGAAGACAACGGCGAAGTCTGGAGCGCCTTAGGTACACCATTCTTCAGCGCTTCTTATTGCCGCCGTCACTGACACCTGTGACATTGTCACAGGTCACTGCTACCTTATGCAGGATGACCTCCAGAAGGCGTACTCCGCTTACCAGCAGGCTCTGTACCTCCTGCCAAACCCAAAGGAGGATCCCAAGCTCTGGTATGGCATCGGCATACTCTATGATCGCTATGGTTCCCTCGACCATGCCGAAGAAGCTTTTTCATCTGTCCTTCGGATGGACAAGGGTGAGCTTCCTTGACCCATCAGCTATTTCCCAAACGCTAACCGTATTTGTTCTAGATCTTGACTTTGACAAGGCAAACGAGATACTATTTCGCCTAGGTATAATTTACAAGCAGCAAGGCAAATACGAAGAATCGCTCGCTTGCTTCGATCGAATACTCCGAAACCCGCCTAGCCCTTTGGCCCATGCAGACATCTGGTTCCAAATTGGCCACGTCTACGAGCAACAGAAAGACGTAAGTATCTCGGAGTCAATGTTTAGCTCACCTTCTCACTGTCGTCTTGCTTCATACAGCATGTCCGAGCCAAAGATGCCTACGAGCGGGTGGTGGCGGATAACCCTAGCCACGCCAAGGTGCTTCAGCAGTTAGGTTGGCTCTACCATCAAGATGGTTCATCGTTCCAGAACCAGGAATTGGCCATCCAATACCTCACGAAGAGCTTGGAAGCTGGTCAGTAGATTTCCCCTCTCTCGGACCTTCGTTTAAAGTTAACCTAGCATCTGCAGATTCTTCTGACGCTCAAAGTTGGTACCTCTTGGGTCGTGCCTACATGGCTGGCCAAAAGTACAACAAAGCATATGAGGCATACCAGCAGGCTGTGTACCGGGACGGTCGCAATCCGACGTTCTGGTGTTCAATCGGTGTTCTGTACTTCCAAATCAACCAGTTCCGCGACGCACTCGACGCATACTCGCGGGCAATTCGTATCAACCCATATATCTCCGAAGTTTGGTTCGATCTCGGCAGCTTGTACGAGAGCTGCAACAACCAGATATCTGACGCCATCGACGCCTATGCGAGAGCCAGTGAGCTTGATCCCGGCAACCACGTTATCTCCCAACGCCTGCAGTTACTCAAGACTGCGCAAGCTACCGGCGGTCAGTTGCCTGCTGCGCCGGGTCCACAAGATGTACATCCTACCGCCTACGCCAGTGCTGTTATCCCGCCTCCCGGACTTACTGGACCCCCTCTCCTTCTCCAACCGACTTCGCAGCGTCCACCGCCATTCAGGACCGATTCGAGGGGCCCTCCTAATGAAATCTCTTTACCACCTCCCTCCCAAGTCGGAGCTGGACCCTCTTCACCGCCTTTCCGTGGAGGTCCGCCTCCGCCTGTCGTTCTTGACGAGTCTCGGCACGTCTCCACTCATACACCTTTGGCTCCCATGGACGTAGACCGTCCTATGCATGCTCGCGATTACCCTCCGCCATCGTCTCGCGACCTGCCAAGCCGGGGTCCAGTGGGGCACACGTTGCTACTACAGCATCCCGTCCCTCAGCATCAGATCGCTGCTGAGGAAATGCGTAACGGAGCACATACCAGTCAACATGGGGATTCGTACTTCCAGCGTCCCCGTGTACCTTCGAGGTCCCCGACGCCACCGCAGCAAGCTAGACGTTCACCATTCCAGCCTTATCCTCCCCCGGGGCGTCAACAAGTCGGCCCGGCTCAGCCAAGCGCTGCTCCTGCTCAGCGATCCCCTCGAGTCTATCCTCACAATGATCCAGCCCCCCGTCCAGTGGAACAGGATGGAGGATGGGGTCGCCGTCCACCTCCTGCTGAGGGTCGAGAATGGGAACATCGCCATCACTCACGACAAAGTGGAGACTACCCTCCGCACCCGTCACAAGCTTCCTTCTACCCTCCTCGCTCCCCTGCAACCAGCAGTGCTCCACGCGTGCATTCGCCCGAGCCCTCTCCACGATCCACTCACTCCGCTCATCCCTCTCGTGCATATTGGGATCCCAAGCCATCTCCGTCTACCGCCCCAGCCCAACCCTATCGTCCCTCTCCACCGCCACCTCCCCCTCCTCAGCATCACGAATCTACGCCATCTTCCCGTCGTTATGATCCTCGTTTCGATGCTAGGGATCAGCGCGAGTACGATCGAGACCGAGAGCCCAGTCAGCACGAACCCCGCGGCGAAGCGCGATACGCTGGCCCTCCGGAGACCCTGCGTCACCCACCTGGACCGCCCCAGCCCACACTGAGTGGTTCCGAGAGTCCACGTAACGGCTCTTCGGCTCCTGAGGGCTCAGAGAAGAGAAAGCGACGATCTGCGAAGGAGAAAGAAGCTGACTCCCCCATGGCTGTCGTCGGAGTTCCCGAAGCCGGCAAGAAGGAGACGAAGAGACGCAGCAGAGCGAAGAGGACGAAGGATGATTCGCGAGACGAGACTCCGAAGCCTGTTGGCGAACGAGGTTACAAGATGGGGCAAGGGTATAAGGGAGTAGGATCGCCTGAACCGACGAGCTCGAACGGATCGGGATCTTCTAGGTCCGTACAACCTTCGCCAACGTCTGCTCACGCGAGACCTTCCCGGGACCTCGACGAGGATTACGACGAAGGGGTAGCCGAGACGTTAATCGGTTTAGCCTCATTCCGCCCGGAGGCGGCAAAACCTACAGATAGCTCAGCACATTCACCATCAGTTTCCACCGGCAGCCGACATGACCCCTCGCCTAGACCTCGTCACCACAGGGATTCGATTTCATCAACGAGGAGCCACGCTTCGCCGCCGATTCCACCAGCGAATTTGAAACGCCCTCTCAGCCCGGGTTCCGATGAGGTCAGCGACTCTAAGCGGTCGCGAGTGGATGCAGTCAAGCGAAGAGCGTCGTCACCTTCGAATGGTAGACGAACGCCTACACAATCTACGCGACCTTCACCCATCCCTTTCCGCACGCAGCCCGCGACTCACTCTCCGTCAGAAGCAAGGCAAGTTGTTGAGCCCTATCCTCCGAGCCCCTCGTTGCCCGCCGTTTTGCCACCTCACCCTCGACCAATCGGCTCGGGACACTCGACTTCCCATTCAGCAAGCCAGCAGATGGCCTTACCACCGATCGCAACACTGTCACCTGCCTCCACAGCTGCATCGCCTCCTGCACCTTCTGAACGAGACAGGGATGATCGCATGCAGGTAGACAGCGATAGCCGATCTATATCTCCTGCTGCTGCCCGCGGTAAGATGGGCGAGACGACGCGATCACCCAAAGGCTCTCCCGGCTCAAAGGCCGCACCGACGCCTTGATCGATTGCTGCCTTGTCTCTTGTTACATCTTGCTGCGCTTTGATGCTGTGCTCTCCATTGGACGATTTGATACCACACTTTTTGTTACCATCTTTTGCATGCCCATTATGATCGCTATGATTAGACTCTTTTCATGATTTCTATCACTTATAAACCCAAGTCATTTCTCATTGTATGTTTCTACTGCAACACATAAATATATGTAGTCCTTGACACTCTACATTTCTTTGTATCTTGTTACTTTTCGCCAATACGAATCTATCGACTTAGTCGCCGTGCGCTTTTGCTAATACTGCCTCGAAATCAATATCCGTGAGATCAATTTTGCAAGTTCCCAAAAAGGGAAAACAAACCTGTTCAAACGCATACTGTGCCTCTCGCGCTGAAAACTTGCTCTTGACCACCAACTGATCGTTCTTACATTGGGCCGGAACTCTAGAAGTTTAATTAGCATGTCATGACCGAAGCTCATCATGACCTGCCGTCTTCTGAACCAGAGCCGCGTGCAGCAGGACTTGTCGACACGCCTTTGCCCCACGACGACAACACCCACAATCCTGCTTCCACTATCGCTGCTTCAACCGCAACTCGTGCTTTAATTGACTCAACGGCTGATAGCGCTTCGACTTCTGGAGCGGAACTGGGACCTGGACCTGGACCGAGCTTGGTAGATAATTCGAATAATTCGGAGGGTGTTGCTGCTGCTGCTTCGTCTCGCATGTTGACCGTAGAAGAGACAAAGGGTTCGTTTTTGGAGCTGGCGCGGACGCCGGAGCCGGATTTAGAGGCGGATGGGGAGGACGAATATGCACCGAAGGGTGATATCAGGGGGGCGCGACGAGAGAGTGACCAAGAGGCGGAGGTGGATGGGAACACGAACTCTTCGAACGTACCTGAACCAGCGGCAGACGGTATAGCTTCACGCACGGATCCGCAATTCGTGACCTCTACTTCTCCGGCGTTACAAGGTACGACGACGAGCGGAAACGATTCCGGGTACGAGGTGGAGGAAGAGAACGAAACCACTATTCGTGACGACTCTTGGCATCCTCTATCGCCGCACGTACCTCCCAAGCAAGAGAAAGGAGTAGAAGACGATGAAGAAGCGGTTCACAGTGGTCAAGACATGACTATGGTCGTCGAAGAAGGGGATGTTGTGGATTCACGTGGGCGACTCATGTATTCTGTTGACGAGGAAGTGGACGAGAAACTGTCGGCGGTGAACTCACCAAGACGAGCGTCACATCTTCGTCTGAATCTCAAAGCTTCTTCCCCACAGCCTTGGGAATTGGTCGACCCACCTGACAGTAATGGTCACCAGACAAAGCCTGAACATGAACTCGAATCACGGTTCCATTCATTGCAGAGTCGGTGAGTCGCATGCGATTCACTTTTGGGGAAGAAATCTCATGCGCGCTCAGGCATCGATCGCTTGTTCCCAAATCTTCTTATTACTTTGGCCCACCAGCTCCTGATTCGGCGTATGGCACTGCACCAATAGGGCAGATAGGGCTGCACCACCCGCGGGAGATCTTACGCATCGAACGTGACTATACTGGCGGCGAACTCATCCAATTTGCGCCGATATATCCGTTAGAACTCGAAGGCCGGGTGTGTCCTTTGCCGTGTTGTTCCCCCAACTGCATGCTCAATGGAATCCCTAGATAACCCCAACGCAGTTTCTAGAATCCATCAATGCCATGAATGAGCTTCTAATTTCAGCACACAGCCTCCGACATTCCTTTTTCGACAATGTCCTGGCTGTACTCACTCTACAGCTTTCAAGAATTGTTACTACTTCGCATTATGAGAAGGTCAGTAGACCTCGCATATTTCCGACAATTCGCGCTATCGATCATAACGCTTTTCATTTCCTAGGAAATGCAACGGCTACAACAACTGTTTGACGATCTGAACGCTCGCCTGTTCAATCCTGTCGGCCTTAATCTTCTGTGGCCTAGAAAAGTTGCCTTCCTATACGTCTGTATCTATCTTGTTGGATCGTGCGCTCGTGACACTGACTACATCTTCTCTCACAGCTCGAGATCGAATATTATGTCCGTGTTCTACAGCCTCGTTTCAGCAGCCCTCGCTAACCGTTCCTTTTTGTGATATAGTGATCTTCACCACCTCACTCGTTCAGCATTTTCTCCCCTGGTCCTATTCGTTCGTATGCCGTGGATTGTATAATTGGGACACCCCTCCATCCATCCATTCTTCCCGTTGCGTTGCCTGTATATAACCGCATGTTGATGGCTCTCATCTTATACACTCCCTACCTCTCGTAGGTTAATCACTTTATAGGATTGGCTCCAGAATTTTGCTCCAAAGAGCCACCCTCAAGTTTGCCGTCAAGCTCGGAATATACATTGGTGCAGCTCAACACACCCATTCAGAAGAAATGACTCAAGTTCATCTTACCAAGGCACTTGATGATATCAGCGCCCAACCTACGACACGTTAAGGCTATGCTTCCATGCTCGCACCTCGACAACTATCCCCACGCACTACAAGGTCTCCTTCATACTTCCGTGCTTTTCCTGGTTTTCTTTGTCCCGCAACAAAAGATGCTCGACGAAAGCGCATCTCAGGGTCTTAAATGAATACGGTGGGTTAGCTGCAACAGGCAAGTGAGTTTAGGACCTCAGAACTGTGAACAACCTACATGCATGTGAGCATGAAGCTGCTTCCTCGTTCCCATGTCCATATCTGCGTCCTGCAGGTCTACCGAATCCTTGTACTCCGGACTATCGGCTCGCACGAAGAAAGTCTTATCTGCCTAAGTGCTAACCCCGATTATTCAAATTCTCTCAGGCAGTGTCGAGGGGAACAACACGAAGCCACGAAGATGAACACTTGAATGCGCTCTTCGCGCACAATCGTAGCGGAGGCGGACACACCTAGACACTCGGCATGCATATCGATCGAATTTCTTGATCGTGTTTTTCAAGCTAGGTGTCGATCGTACATGTGCCTTCCCAACGAGTCAACTTTCGCGATCGCCGGCGGCGCTAACTAGTTGGTTGGCTCCCCCAGGGTCCCCCGAAGCAGCCATTGCGATAACTTCGGAGAAATCATCCCTTTACCCCTGGAGCTTGTCGAAAGTGACTCATGTTCGGTACAACGGGTGTCTCTGTGGCGTTGTTCGAGCCAACACTGCTCTCGAGAGGGTGATTACTCAAGCGCAGTTTTCTAGGAGCTATTGAGAAAGAACTGCAGCAACTCCCTGACCTCGGTTGAACACCGCTCGCCGAGGAAATGTTGACCTTCCATGGTCAGTCGAGCACAATAATGTACAAGGATGACCCCACCATCGGCCCCGGATGTCCTTCTCGAGGTAATCGGTGTTTCTAAATTCCAGGCCATCAGACGACGACGACCGTATGTAAATCTCCCCGTGTTGTCACGTACTTTGGTCCATGTGAGTTCTCGGTGAGAAGCCCTAATGTGGGATTCTGGATCTGCCGGCTACTAGGAGGGTTCCGGCCAACATTACTTCTGCTCACTTCTGGCAATCGGGGTCCTCCCGGGAGTGCCGGATTGAATGTCTAGTGAGTTCGAGTCGCTCAAAGTTGTGCCGACTGCCTGAATTCAACCACTAAAAATATGTTGCTCTTTCCAGGATGACCGTCATAAGGCCACTTGCTACACCAGCACCACTGGGATGGCTCCTATCGCTCCCGTTGTATTATCTCGAGGGGATAATAGGAACACTCGCCCGCACTCATGCACCGTGGGTTTCCGTGGTGACAGTCTTCCTCCTTGGCTACTCTAACTGTGTACCATTTAAATTTGTGATAGAGAAAATAACTAGGCCGATAAGTGGCTGCACGCCACCGATTTCAAATTCATGCGCCCTTCAGATTGCAGCCGACGTTTGAGCGGGCGGGTTTGAGCGTCGGCGGCACTGCGGTCGACGACAGCTTCCACGATAATGTTAAATATATGTCGTCCTTGGCCATCCACCACGAGCGCGCTTGCCAATACAACCCAAGAATTTCCTTCTACTTCTTAGGCTGCCATGCTATCGCGGAGAACCAATGGAACCGTGATCGCAGTACACCAACGTTCATCGACATCAAGTTGAACCCTAGACTTGTAGAGGCAGGGTGAAGTCGGATTTCCCGGAACATAGATCTGGCTTAGAGTCATCGTGCGATTGTAAAATAGGACGACGGAGACGCCTTTCAGCAGTAATTATTAGGTGGAGAAGAATTATTTACGGATCTGCGGAGTGGTCTTATCCTAAGGATTTGACTCCTGGGCCTCATCAGGAGGCGGCACAGCTCGGCGTGATTGGTTCGTCTACGCGGCCCGTGGCCGCGTCATCGTTCGATTCGCACGCACGCAGGTTTGGCAACCGCGAATAGGATGAATTACATAATTCCAATATATAGGGGAGATATTGATGGCTTTGTAAGACTCCCTCTCGCACCCACACAGACCGCGCTCTGTCCGTTTCCTGGCTCCCTACCACGATCTCCACTGCTTCAGCACAAGTGAGCAGCTTGTACATCTACCCCCGACACTGTTTTCGACGGCGACGACAACTGAGCTCTCCGGTCGACTAGTTCATATCTTAATACCCAAGAGCTCGTACATGGAAACTCTGCACAACATGTCTCCTATGGTCAATTTCTCGCAAGCGTCCTCCTTCTCCCAGTTGCCCGACGAAGACTTTTTGGCGTTGCTGCAGAAAGAGTTTCCCAATGGCTCGTATGATTTCAGTAGTATAAACCCACAGAATATCCTCAACTATCCGCTGCCGACGCTCACACCGCCTTCAGAGGACAGCAGTCCAAGTCCACCGAGCACGAACAACGATTCGAATAGCCCGACGCAAGCAGACGACGAGGGGGCAGATCAGGCTCTGAAACGCAAGGCCAGTGATGAGGATCTTGAAGAGGGGCCAAGCCAAAAGAACCAGCATACACGTCAGTGCTTTCCGTATCATTGTTGGTTGCGATCCTTAGTTTATGCGGTGCAGTTTCCAACAAAAAGGGCGCCGCGACAACCACACGGCGCAAGTCGTCGGGGTCAGCGCCGGTTAGTCCTGCGTTTCCAGAAGTTTCTGATGGCTCAAAACTAACGCTTTGACGCTGATTTGTTTAGCCCAAGGATGAATCAAGGTTGATGAAGCGTAAGGAACAGAATCGGGCAGCACAGAGAGCGTTCCGTGAGCGCAAAGAGAAACATGTCAAGGATGTAAGCCATCATGTTCTAGACATTATCTCAGGCATTGACTCCAAGGTGTAGCTCGAAGATAAGGTGGCCGCTTTGGAAGCAAAGAACGAGCAAACGCAATCAGAGAATGAGAATTTGAAGGATCTTCTCTCCCGCCTCCAATCCGAGAATGTTCTGCTTCGGTCGTCGACTTTCACATTTACGATGCCAAAGGCTGCTATCGAAGGCACTCCTTTCAATCAAACATCTACGACAGACGCCCATATGCCCATGTACAGTTCTTCTTCCAATGGACCATCGGCCGCTGTATCACCAGCCGCTTCGTCATCCAGTGCTTCACCTAAGCCCAGTTTCCCTTCAACAATCGATTGGAACGCATTGACTACATTCGATCCGTCTATGCTCACTGTCCCTGATGAAGCCCCGCAATCTATGAGCTCCGATAGTTCAATTTTCAACTTCGGTGACAGTTCCAGCGCCTGCAATACGCCTTACACTACCATTGCTAGCAACCCAACGTTCATGTCCTATGCTTCCATGTTCGACAGCACGCCCACTTCTGCCACTACTGAGACTTCCTCATTCACATACGACATGTCAAGTGTAATGTCGACTTGGAGTCCTCCACCACCGACGAATGACACCAACTCTCTCGATGATCTGTTTGGAGGCATGCTCAGCTCGCCGCCTTCGACGCTGGATTTCAACGTCTTGCTGAGCCATTCACCGTCATTAAGCCCTATCTCGCACCACACCAGCGTCAGTGGGCGCTCTACGGGGGACTCTCCTCCATCAAATAAGGATTCACCATCGGATGGCAACACTGCTCAAACAGAGAAACATGGTGAAGGATGCCCCAAGACGAAGGCAGACCTAGCCCAAGTCATCAAGAAGCATGGAGAATCACCGTTTGCCCCATCGTCATTGACAACCGACGCTATACGGGATGTCTCGCCGTTTGCTCCCTCATCGTTGTCCACTGTGCGGAAGAGCTCTGACGCCGCACATAATCCAATGGTCGCATGCCAAGGCTCATCCTTCCCTAAAGTTGACAAGAGCGCTGACAACATCGAAGTCCTGAGCGCTTGGAAGACAATAAGATCACATCCCCAATTTCAAGTTAGTGGCAGTTATTTCCATTTATCGCGGTTACTAATTTGTCTTTTAGGACGCTGATATCAATGATCTATGTTCCCAGTTTGCGAGTAAAGCGCGTTGCGACGGTACAAAGGTAGTTCTGGAACCTCAAGGTGTGCATACTATCATTGAGTCGTTGAAGTCCAAGGCGCTGTAGTGGCCAAATCGCTCATGGACCGTTACCTCGCATATATCGCGCTATTGCCACCAGCATGAACCACGCGCTTCGCACGCACAACCACGTCGGAGGGGTATACCGCCAAACAGCAAGTGGAGTGGAGAGCGGCAGGCGGTCATCGCGCTTTGTAGATTGGGACCACCAGATTGGTTTTTGCCACAATCATCGCATCACGGTTATTCGAATTTCTCTTGCTTTGGTTTGTTACACTACTCTTATTCAAAGTCTTTATCCAGATTGTATTTGTGCCTTGTTCCATACCTTATCTTCGAAGCTCTTGCTCGAACTGGTATATCACTGATAAACGAAGCAATGTGTACTAGGAATGTATCGCCAGCTTTGCTCCATTGCCGCGCTAGTGTGAAGCCCTCGGCCAAGGTGAGATCTAAGCAACACACGTCTATGTTAAATCGCAGTGATGCAATTGGAGTTCAGTCTCTCCTTCTCATAGTCTATGTCACAATCTGCCGGTTCAATGCTTCGCGAATGACACGCCGTGGCCGGTCTTGCGGTTATAATTGCCTTCTTTCGCCAGGTTGATACCAAACCTGGCGCAACGTAGTTCCCCGTTCTGGCCTTCTCAGGCCGCAAGTGCAGGTGCATGGGAGCGAGGGGGGGTTAACGGTCAGGCAGCCTTGCCCACATGATGATCTTTCTTTATGCTGCTTCTAGCGGCTAAAATTCGAAAGTTCTACTACCTTGTGTCCCCGCTTGAAGCAATACCTCCGCCAGGGTTTCTTTGTCCCTCCTCGAAGCGACGAGCCATCCCTGAAGCAGCAAGTATGCTCCCCGTTCACCATTTCGTTATTGATGTGCACCTTATAGCCTCGCAGCCCCGCATGGACGGTCGTGGAAAGAAGGTAACTGAAATCGCGGGCATTGAATGTTCGCGAACCCTCTTCTTGGAGGACCTTGTACGTCAAGAACCCACCCGTGTTCCAATGAGCTACGGGAAACATCGCCCATTGGCTGGCCGCCACCATCCTTCTCTCTGGGTCTCAACATGTCTCAATAGACTGATCATCAATCGTCTGTATTGTTCTGTGTACTTTTCCAGCCCTTGAGCCTGTTATGTGCAAATTTCAGTCCCCAAAGCGGCTGGTGTCCCACTGCCTGTCGTGGGTCTAGATAATCAGGAAGTCATTTCAATTCATGAATGTGCGTCATCGTTAACGGGCTATATGGCTATGTTCCTTACTTCCGAGGACGACACAAAGCTTCAGCGGCAGTTGATAGGCGAAATTGGGCGGGCTAGCCAACGCTTCATTGAATGTTCCGTGCATTCATCCCGCACGGAAAGCAGCGCTGAGCCTGAATATTACGGCGATCCTTGCTTGCGGTATTTGCCTTGTTCTATCGCCCGTTCGACGTACCCTTAGCAGCAGGAATCATCCACGATTGGTAGATTAGATGTTATTCTTGGTCTCATCACCGCTCACGCTTGTGGTGAGGTTATTGCGCAGGGAATCGACGCCACTGGGATTGATCTTATTTAGACCGTGATTCAGTTGGCACGATAAACGGCTGTTCAAGTGGTTCCACTGAGGAGGCGGCCGTGTCTCCTTCGGTCCGCACTCAACAGGGGGCTCCAGGCTGCTCCCTGCTCCCAGGGCAGGAAGTAAATGGGTAGATCTCGATCTTACTTGGCATTAGCATAATCGACATTATGTCATGCCTTCCTTATATAGTATACTACTATGTCAGATGCACGTGACTCGACCCTACATTTTCTTGGAAATTTGGAAATTAATTATCACACAGTAAGTGGCAGCGACAGTCCAATTTACTCAAGTAAGTAGAAAAAGTAGTAGTTATGTCCAAATCGCCTAGACACGCGCTTGATCATTGTTGGTGCTTGCTCTCGAGTCTGAACTTACGCTGTTCGAATTGATCTTATGAAAGATGCCGCTATGTGCATGGAGGTAAGGTGGTAGCCGAAGAAACTGTCCGGGACCCATACTATGTACTACAAGTGCTACATTAATCTAGGTTGGGAGCGTAAGGTTCTACCAGCATTTTGCTAAACTCTTGTAGCTTCTCCGGACCACGCACTTCCTCCGTCAGGAGTGGGAGCTTGATGATATGGAAGAACTCGTCGTACAGCTCATGTGCCTCGTTCAAGTACTTTTGCTGCATGTTGTGACGCACGCGACAGTGTTCGCAGTTGGACGCTGTGAAGGAAAGAAACAGTGAGATTATTGCTCGTATATCTAAATGAAGATCGGGGTTGCCACAGACATTTCTTAGGGAAGAGTAACTGGTTCACGACGATGTTGTGGGTATCGATCTCGTATGCTGTGAGTTCCTGAACCAGCCGTTCGGTCTCGTACAGCGACAGAAACTCGGAGATGCAAACGCAAATGAAAGTGGTTTTTTCCTGTGACGATTAAGATTCAGCATGTCCAGACGTTTACTGCATGGACGCGTGCTTACGGGATCTTTGAACTGGGCGTTGACTTCGCTAATCACAGATCTCATTGACTCGAGCTTAGCGAACATGTCTTCTTGTGACGTTTGCTCGCCTCCCATCATGCTTGACATCTACATGACGATAAATGCACAGTCTCACGGAGATTGCAAGGGAAGAGCACCGGACCTGGCTAATCATGGGGCCGAACCTCGACCCAAGGGTGCTGAGCTTCCCCAACGCCTTCTCCAGCACGGTTGGGAAGGAGAGGAAGCGCAAGGTGTGGCCCGTTGGAGCCGTATCAAAGACTATCACAGAATATTCCATGGACTTGACATACCTAGACGTTCAATGAGGATGGAACGAATGACGAACAGTATGAACGAGGCTCACTTCATGATCTCCGCGAAGCTCATAGCTTCGTCAACGCCAGGTATGGCGAACGCAAGATCTTGCATCATGGTACCCATCATCCCATTCGAGTCGGCTGTTTGCGAAGCGTATATGAATAACAGGCAGCAAACGGGCAGGGCCAAGGATATGATACGCACATTGGTCAACCATCTCCTGTATAGCGCTCGTTGGGTCGATCTCCATCGCGAAGAGGTTATCGAACCCGTTCACTTTCGTGGCATCTTTTGAGAACTTCTGGCCAAATGCATCCGATAAATTGTGTGCTGGATCGGTAGACTATATGACCACGTCCCTGGTATATGATCAGTGCGTCGTGCACGCTGGTAATATCACGCACGATCAAGAGAACAGACTTGCGGCACTTGGCCAGTTGTATCGCAAGCGAGCAAGATGTGGTCGTCTTTCCTGGAAGGCGAATGAAACTTAGGCGACCTGACGATTCCCTCGTAGAATTGATGTCTTACCGACACCCCCCTTGCCACCTGCGGCGTACTGTGAGCGACGTGACGCGTATATGATGAATGAAGCGCACCGCAGAATATCCACTTCAATGAATTCTGATCTAAGATGTTCTGAAGAGTAGGCGGTAGGTCTGAGGCCATTATTGTCGTGTCGTGTCGTATGCAGTAGTGGAACGTGAACGTGGACGAAGAGTGATGAAGTTGAATTGGTGCGGGCCTTGTTATATTCGGGCCTGGCAGTCAAACGTGTCACGGTAAACTCTCCATCATTCCACCACCATCCACGAGCCTCTGGAAATCCCTGGCATACGCGACTTCAAACTCAATTTTAGTGGAATTGTGTAAAATAAAATACTGCAGGGCCATGGCTAACATCAAGCTACGAGGTGTGTAGTACGTGAAATTCATATGATCTCAGGGTTTCATGTCAGTACAGTGCTTCAATTAGCGAACGAGCAGAGATCAGCGTATGGGCTTCGCTACAATGACTATGAAAGGTACAGGTATGTAGAAAGCTATTCATTCATATCGAAGCGACAGACCGAAACGGATTGCAGAAAACATTGCGCCAATCGAACGCATCGGTTGAGATCGTCTCTGAAGATGACCCACGGGAAAGGTCGCGAGTTCAAGAAACTCCCAGAGGTGCCTACGGAGAACCTAAAGGCTGGGCAGTGAGTATGTGAAGAACTTGCGATGGTCAGAAATTGATCGCTCGTGCAGTTTGGAGTTGCTTCTATTTGAAGCGGAACGGGCATGGTCGTACTCTCAAGAATTACTTGCCTTGGTCCCCAAAAAACCGGATGCCGCACGGGGGTTGAAGCAAACTGCCAAGGGGCGATTCCGCCGTGCGGTGAATTGGGCAACGCAACTGTTGTCTCGCTGCCAAACACTCTACGCATCAGGAGCACTTTCGGCTGAAAGCTTCCTCGAAGTTCACATCTACGTATTAATCCTTAATGGCCGTTGGCTGCGTCAAAGATACGAACTGGACGATGCACTCATTCAACTCAGCGTCGCGAAGAGTCTACTAGATGAACTTGCGGCCACCGCGCCGACTAGCAGAGATCAAGCTCTAGCCGTCCTGTTCGCGGATGAAATCAGCCCAGAGATCCGCTACTGTGCCCACGAACTGGGTCGCGCAAAAGCGTACGATATTGAGGGCATCGTAAGCGAGTTTGCTCCAAAGCACAAGAATGAACTAGTCGAGGATTGTGACAAATTACTCGAACGGTTGAAGGAAGAAGCATCATCTGCGGGTGTGCATGAAACGAGCAGGAAGTTGAAACCGCTCTTCTGGGAAGGCACACCGGTCCCCATCCGCAATCCGGAATTGGTCGATGTCTTGTTGAAGGTACAGGATGCTCAGGCGAGATTAGAGGGTGAACCAGCGACATCAGAAGGTACCGATGAGAAGGGGAAACGGAAGGAAAGCAAAGCCAGCAGCTCCAAGAAGGGGGTGGCCGCCTACGATGCGATTCTTCATGCTTTAAGCGACGCAGAGGAAGTTGCTCGGAAATTAGTAGAAGCCCAGCAGGTATGTTGTCACATGCACTTACATCCAATGTGATTGTTACTTACAGTAACCTAGTCGAGCGGGACATCATCCAGCACCGTTGGCACCTCCAGAGATACGCACTTCGTCCAAGCATACATCGTTTACCAGCTGCTTTCCCGCCGTATCCAACGCGATCTCCTGTTGACATCGAGTCTGCTTGCGTCGCACACAACCTCACGAAAGCCCCCTCTGACTACCTTGAGGACATCGGAGCAGGTTGATGGCAGGCTGTACCCAGCAGTTATCAAGCTCTACGACACCGTCTTACAGAGTCTCGGTCAAATGAGAACACTAAGTATAGTAGACGACAATCCCGACCTCTCATCAGCTGTCGAGGCCCGTATATCCTTTACAAAGGGCCAAAGGTCTGTCTTTCCCGACAGTGTCGCCGTTTGACTTGTGGCTAATTACTGTCGCAATATGTAGATGCTTCTACCTGGCCAAATGCTACATCCCAGTCAAAAAATACGCCGAGGCCCTCGTGCTCTCCCAAAAAGCCAATATCCATCTACGTGAAGCTCGCTCTACATTATCCATCATCGGGACAGACCCTATCAATACCGGGTCCCCAGCATTCTATCCGCTAACCAACGACGAATGTGGCAAACTCGAAGCAGACCTCGCTGCCGATGCATTACGCTTCAAGAAGGAATGGTTCGCTTACAACGGCGGCTCTGTAAAGGCTAGCAACGCCGGGTTCAAGAAGCCGTTGTTCTTCGATATTGCCCTCAACTATGTTGAGCTGGATATGGATAAGCTCCAAGAGAGGGCAGGCAAAGCCCCTCGACCACCCGTACCAATTGCCGCGCCTCTGCCGGTGTCTGCCAAAGCCACTGAACCAATAGGGAAGAAATCGCAAGCAGCCAAGGTCGTTGAGGAAGCCCGTCCTGCTACTCCTGAGCCTACCCAACAGCCGGCACGCGGCGGACTTAGCAATCTCCTGGGAGGTTGGTGGGGGCGAAGCTAATTCAGAACGCGATCACAGCACAAGGAAAGAACATCATGTATTCGAATTTAGAGAATATTTCCAAAGAATAACATATGACAAGGAAATTAAAACATCGCTCTAATATTACAGCTACATAGGTTATACAGAGTACAGACAGCAAGCTCGAACATGCAAGAACTACCCTCGGAAGAAAAATGTATCTATTCATCGTCACTCGGAGTAAGATACTCGTCTTCACTGACGATCTGCTTTCGCCCAGCGCTGCGGCCTCTCGTGGGTGGTGGGGGCCGATCATCATCGTCCATCGGCGTCAGCGCAGCCTCGTACATGTCAGCCAAACCATTACTGCCGCTTCCAGCTTCCGGCGCACCAGGGAAGCCAGAACCAACCATGACCCGGTCAAATGAAGCTTTGAAGACCTTCTCCATCTCCTCAGCATCAACATACACCCACGAGCCTTCCTGATTGTAGGTTCGAGCATTGTTGAACATGAGTTGCCAATCGTCCTTGAACATCTGTACCGTCTTATACTGGCCTGAATTGATTTTTTTGCGGAGCTGTGCAATGGCGATGGGTCGATGAATGAGCTGGTAGTAGTCGGGGTAGTCCTATGAAAGCGTGGGTGAATCCAAGTCCAAAGGAAATCTCAATATGGATGCTTACGCGTTTGTCAGGCAGGTCTTTGAAGAGTTCGCAGCGCCGACGACCGGTATCATCTTCGCAATTGATGACAGCTTTGAGACATTCGTTAAATGCCTTCTTCATCTTGTCACGGACAGCGGCAGGTACATCAGGAGCCTTCGTTTTGCGGCGTTTCTGAGAACACGGCGGTCAGTCAGCCCATGGTCAGTGACATTTAAGCACACACCTGATCACGATCGTCTTCATCCTCGTCCTGCACGGAAGGCGTGACAGACATTGCTTTTCCAGGACCACGCTTGCGCTTGCCACCAGCAGGAAGCTCGTAGTCGTTTTGGACGGCCTTTGTTTTGCCCTTCCGGCCTCTTTTCCCGCGGGAGTCAATGTCCGATGCTGGAGTTCCGCGAGCAGAGGTGTCAGGATCGCGCAGTAGTTTGTTGCTGCGTTTCTCCCTGGTTCTCTCAGACAGTTCCTGAAGGTCCTCCCCGTCCTCGAGAGCCTTGCGATCGTAATCTTAAATAAGAGTCCTGGATCGGTTTTGGGTGGAAATACTCACCATTGCCCAAGTATCGTCGTCCAACCCATCATTATAGCTGACCACATTACGACGCCGCTGACCTCTACCTTCAGCGAGCTCCTCGATCTCCTTGACTTCGAAGGGTTCTTCCGTCTGGTAGCACTCCGGCAATTCCTCGAGTTGGATGAGTGGAGGGGGTGGTTTGCCTCTGTTACCCTGGGCGCGCCAATTCTCCAGAGCCTCACGTTCGCGTTGGTTGTCCATTTCGCGGTACAGTTGTGCTTCTTCATCGCTACGAGAGATTATCAGATTCAGTTCATCGTCGTTCATATCACCGGCTTCTTCGTTCTCTTCTTCTTGATCGGCTTCGAGAATAGAGCGCTAAACAGCACAACTCGGTTCAATAGCTCATTCAGTGAGAAGACTGACAGGGGTCGCACCAGAAATTCCTCTTGCTCCTCCTGAGTAGATTTGTTGTCGAAACGACCGGCTTGAATGACCTTATCATCAATATCGAGCTTATATCTTGCGCGAGAGTACATGGCTTCCTCGACACTCTTCTCCGTGATGAACCGCAAAATTAGGACGGCTTTTGTTTGACCAATACGATGGGCACGATCTTGTGCTTGGAGATCGGCATGGGGATTCCTGCAAAGGTTATCAGCTGGCTAATATCAACGCATCATCGTAGCTACGTACCAATCACTGTCGAAGCTGGGTAGAGGGAAGAAGAAGTAAGCGCAAGAACACGGAAGTAGAGAAGCAGAGCATGTAAGCTTACATGATGACGGTGTCGGCCGTTTGCAAATTTAGACCGAGGCCACCAGCACGAGTGGACAGAATGAAGACCTTGATTTCCGACTCCTTGGCATTGAAGAGCTGCACGTATGAGGCACGCTCTTCGGTTTTCGTACCACCATCAAGACGAAGGTATTTCCAGCCCATCATCTTCAAGAAATCTTCCATGATGTCCATGACCTTCGTCATTTGGAAGAAGATGAGGACCTGTAATATCGTCAGTATGTTGTTCTATTTCGAAGAAGTGAAAAGACGAACTCTGTGGCCAGTTGCGAAGAACTTGGGTAGGATACGGTGAAGGAGTTCAACTTTTCCAGAAGTTCGTACAATCTTCTCGTCGATGAGACCACTAGGGCTGATCTTGTCTTCAACGCTCTCGAACAAGAACGGATGCTGACAGATCTTTCGGAGCTGCATCAGCTCGTTACTCAAACCTTTCACACCTCCTTTCCTACAAGAATGTCAGTTTCAACTTCACGCAACATAGAACACAACACACCCTTTGCCATCCTTGCCATCCGCAATCACCTTGAACTTCTTCATCTGCTTGTACAGCTGGCTCTGTAGGGCACTCATTCTAATCTTGATCACCTTCTCCACCTTATCCGGCAGCTCGCTCTCCACATCCTTCTTCAAACGACGCAGCAAGAACGGCCGCAGCACCTTATGCAGACGCCGAATAATGAGTAGCGCCTCTTCTTCGTTCAGCTCGATCTTGTCGCCCGTACCCGAGTTGGCGAAGGGCGTATTGAACCATTCATCGAACGATTTCACGGAGTTGAAGATTTTTGGGAGTACGAAGTTGAGGAGGGACCACAGCTCCGGGAGGTTGTTTTGGAGCGGGGTACCCGTGAGGATGAGCCGATAGCGTGAGTGGTAGAATGTTGTGAGTGTCTGCACTAGTTTACTCTGCGTGTTCTTCAGACGATGACCTTCGTCGATGATCATATGAACCCATTTGATCTTTGCGAGAATTGGGCGATCCTTGATAATATACTCATACGTCGTCAGCAAAACCTGGAACTGTCCCATGCGAATGTCCCCTTGCAACGCCCGACGCTGGGCAGGGTTGCCCTTGTAGGCAATCATCCGCACTGCTGGGGCCCACTTCGCGAATTCTCCAGACCAATTGGTCATCGTAGAGAGAGGAACAATGACTAGGTACGGCCCGCGTTGTCGTTTTGTCTCGATGAGGAAGGTGATCAGTGAGATGGTTTGAATGGTTTTACCGAGACCCTACGTATCAAGTGAGCGACACGCAGTAACGAGCGAGAAACAAAGACTTACCATCTCGTCGGCGAGGATACCGTTCAAACGATTGTTGTACAAACTGACCATCCATTGCAAACCCTTCAACTGGTATTCCTTCAACGTCCCACCAACCAATATCGATGGTTGCCTCGATATCTTCTCCGAGATTCTGTGCGAAACGGCATAGTAGTCAACCTTGCCCTTCTCGTCTTGGGTCTCGGCGAAAGCCTGTGCACCAAAAGTAGCCTCCGAAGTAGGTCCGTCTTCCATCTCCCCATAAATTGGGAGACTTGGGCCACCCTCGTCCTGTTGGGCTACGACGGCCTGAGCAAGGGAGTCGAGGAAAGTGTCCGTTTGCCTAAGCAGGTGTGTGATACGAGTATCCTTAGCTGTGTCGATGAGCTTCATGTAAGCTTCTTCATCGTCAGCCTTAAGGGCCTTCAAACGCTCCTTGGATATACGCTCGATACGTTTCTGCTCTTCCTTCTCTGTATGTATATGGAAGCTTAGAACGGCCTTTCCAAGCCTCACGACGCGATCCTGGGCAGCACGATTGACTTGAATAACTTCGCGTCCGTGGTTGCAGATGACCATCAACTGCTCGACGTGCTTGTGCTTCGCCCGCTTCTCGCGCTCAGTCCGTTGCCTGCGTTCAAGTTGCTCCGTCATACGAGCATCACGAAGGGTAGGTTTACGGGCACGTCGGTAGTCCGTGCGATTGATTGGAAGGTTGGAGCCATGAGCAAGACGTTCAGCAACTGACTGTCTGAGTGCGCGCTGCTTCTCGAGGAGTCGGAGGGACTTGAGTTCAATGACAGCACGTAACTTTCCGTGAGTGTTATAGGGCATAAGAGCGAAGCCCTCGTTGTCCTCATTTTCCTTTTCGGATTTGAGTCCATCCATGCCTTCGACACCCTCAAAGCCTGCGTCCCCAATGGTAGAGGGCAGGACTTCAAGCTCTTTGATTCGCTGCTGGATGCGGGCTTCTATGAAACGTTCCCGTTCGTCGATGATTTGGTGGGCATCCAGACCTGGGGGCATTAACGTCGGGATAAGAAGTCGCTGGAGACGAGTATTGAAGAGCTTGGGATCGCTCTCAGCAGGACGCTTGAGGTGCGTGAGAGGGTGCCGGTAGGCATTGTAAGGGTAGATCCCAGAGTTGACGTCGTCCTCAAGGAAGGGCCCTTTTGGCAAGTCCGCCGGGTTAATCGAAGGGTCCTGCTCTTCAGCTTTGATTGCTATCGCCAGCTCGGGTGCAGGCTCTCCCTTCGCAGTCTTGACCGCGTTGTCCACAATCCGCGACGACACATCGGGCCCTTGAAGCAGTTTCTCCAGTTCTGGCACCGCTGTATTCGGAACGCGTATAGCTTGCTGAACGTTGTCTGGGACAGGAAGTCCTCTAGAAATGAGCTTGAAAGCGTGGATTTGGGCCCGTAGTGCAGTGATTTGGTCGTTCGTGAAGGATATTGGTGTTTGAGAGGTAGGTGGCAGCGGCGAATTGGGAATTGGGCCTGAAGTGAGCGAAGGGGGATTCGAAGCTGCGTTGCCATTGAGAAGAGGAGTCGCATGCCCATTCGACATTTGTTGACCATTGACCATTTGCTGGTGCTGCCGACCTGTAACTCATTGTGAATATGGACCGAAACGATAAGACTGAGACGCACTTTGGCTTAGGGCCTGGATATACTTCATAAGATTCTCCAATTCATTGGGATTCTTCTGTTCCGTAGGATTCTTACGCAAGAAGTTGGCGCGCTGAAATGAGTTCGGGATGAGAGCAGTATTGCGGTGACATTAGAGCAAAACATACAATCATTAGGGACTGCAGGTCAGCGTTCATTGGCTGTTGCAAGGGCCGCTGCGGCTGCCCGGCCATGTTCATGTTGAGAGCGCCATTCTGAGGAGGATTGTTCGCGAGCATTGGATCACGGGCAAATGCTGCCCTGGTCGGGACGCGAGGCGGGACTTGTGCTTTCCGATAATAAAAAGTCACACTTCAGATTCACTGACTGGTGCGCAAGGCGATGAGGGTGGGAATTTCTCGCCCACAAACAAACAAATGTTGGTCAGCGCTGTGGCAAGCAAATATGTACAAAGTCACATGTACCCCCTTTTCAGCCCCTCGGGACTCAGAGCCACAAGCCTATTGGAAATGTGAAGCGGAGGTAATCCCAGCGATGCGCAGTATGTATCCAGTCTACATCCATTAATCTATTAGATGTACGTAGCTACTTAATCACTTGTAGATTACGAGAAAAACTGAAAAGAAAGTCAATTCGTAGCTACGAGGCGGTGAAAGAGATGACGGACCTCCTCAGCTTCAGACGCTAATATCAGTGAAAGGCCACCATGCTCCTTCGCTTCTGCTTTAGTGATGAGGCTGAGCGTCTCGTTGTGTGTTTGTACTGCCGACCAGAAGGCAGAATTTCCAGGCGAGGATGCGCAGACTGTTTTGAGGCCCTTCAGGAAACTGAACAACGAAGATGAGCCCAGACCAAGTAACATAGCAGAGCCACGACCTACCTATTCCAAGCGTCGATCTCATCTTCCTATATTTACCAAGTACCATGTTTTAACATGCTATGTTTTGGTCATCAATACGGAATGTGGCTGACCTTCAAGCACGTCTCCCTTAGAGCCTCCATGCATTCCAAAAGCTCTGCCTTCCTCCGCATAGCAAACGGCTTGACAACGATCTCCTTAATCACTTCACCCAAGTCTTCGACGGCTTTGGTAACGAGATCCCCGCTCTCCAAATTCTGCCGAAAATCCTTTAACGGGAATGCAGCACCGATAATGCGACCTGGAGCCCGACCGGGGTCAGGGGACATCGAGCGTGCAGGAGTGGGCAATGGGTGATTGGATGGCGGCTTCTTGGCAGCAGGGTGCTCGGCTTTGAATGGAGCGGCGCGGTCGAGCAGCATTTCGCCATCTGACTCGTCGTCTTCCGTTTCACTGTCTGGTGGCTTTGTCTCCTTCGCCTTACCCTTGGGCGATGATTGAGCACTTCGAGTCTGCGTGGGGGATTGCGTAGCCCCTTGGGTTTTCGTAGTTGGTTTCTTGTCGAGGAGGAGCATCTCGTCGTCGTCGTATCTGGCGTGAACGTGTCCGTCCTTCCGCTGCTTCGCGACACGCTTAGGAACTGACCATAGAGAGGTGTGTCAATATGTGCTACGCGTATTGGGATGTTATTCTCGCACCTTGTCTGACCTTAAACGTCGCCTGGCATTCTTCTATCGCGTCTTTCGCATATTTCAATACCCTCTTCGGCGGATCGAAATATTTGAGCAACTCTGGATGAGGCGGGGGAAGGGGATTGGTGGCGATGTCGGTGACTACTGCACAGTGAAACATGGCTTGTTTAACACGATGCACTGCCGGGTTATAAGACAATCGTGTGTCAAACCATGGCTGTCTGTTTCTGTAAAAGAGAAAACACAACGGATGAGTAAACACAGATGTAAAACGTTCAGATGAGCATTACCCGTCTTCGTCCTTGTCGCCAGCCTCCATCAAGTCCATCGCGTCCACAAATTTATCCATAGCCGCTTGCTGCTCTTTCGTCGGTATATACGGATGCTCCGTAATCAGCTCGCCTCTCTTATTTATCAACCTATCCAAAGAGGCGAACGTATACTTCCGGATGTCGTCGGCGAAGGGCATCTGGGCCCACAAGAAACACTCCACTTTATCGAACATAACCGGTGAAAGTACACCCATCTTCGGGTCCATACCGTCTTTGGTGACCCATCGGGCGATAGCCATGTAACCTTTCTGAATCATCGCTTGGACAATCGAGGACAAGGCTACTTGTTGTTGTGGCTGGCCTGGGTCAGCCCAGATATATTGTATTTCGCCCATGGAGAGTTCACGACGGAACTATCAAATTCTCTTAGCAAGAAACATACTCAGAGAGAGCACCACTCACGTTCTTCGCTTTGAAGAATCCACAGATATCTATCCCCTTCCTGGTGGGTAGTTTCGGGAATTGACCGTCAGGACATGGGGCGTAAGTCGAACCGTACTTGAAGCCTCGGATCAATTGCTCTTTCTCTACGACTTCCAAAGCCTTCGTCTTGTCCTCTTCGTCAACCTCCATCTTTACACCGTCCTCGTCTTCCCCAATATTTGGATCCAGGTGATACTCTGACCTCATTTTCAGTTCCGCGTAGATAGCTTGCCTGTCTTCTTCATCCATGCCGTCCTCCTCATCCATTGGCCGCATCGCGAATTTCTTCCAGCTCTTCGCACGCGCTATGGCTGTGCATTTGCTATTCTTCACGTTGATCTCGAAAGCTTCCTCGGGTCGAGTATCAGTATCACCTAAGCGGAGGACAGTGCCCATCAACGTAGATTTAGTTTGCTTGATATCGGGCTTCGTAGTTTCTCGCAGGGCAAGTGCACATGTCCCAATAATCCCTGTTCGCAAGGAAGACGCAAATTGGGTCAGGAATTCCTCATTGGCTTTCTTGATGCTGGATTTATTCTCTTCGTAGAACGGCAGCTCGTCATCGTCGAAGTCGACACCCCTGATAGGAGGTGTGAAACAGAGCAGCGGCCAGAAACACAATGTACATACACAACAGTGAGCCAGACATCCAGAGTGTCCATTTTCTGAACGATAGCCTCCCAGTCCTCCGTCTCCATAGGACTTTCGCCGTCGGTAACGAGAACCACTTTCCTGGTCCATGTCTTCTTGGATGCGAGGTACGTATTCTGAGTCTCCACGGCCACAACAAGCGCGTCAATAGCTAGAGATATTCCTCAATGGGACGTTCGGCTTCTCAGACGGGCAACGCTCACGGTCTCCAGCGACTGACGATGGCTCAAGCGCATCAAGTTTGGCAAGCGTACTGGCATTAGGCTGCCCGATCGGTATGTATTCGGAGACATGTTCATACCCTCCATTCTTCTCGTTAACAATATTGTCGGTCTCTGATAATGGTATGAAAAGCTGTCCATGACAGACCAGGCGGGTATGCATACCTTCTGACCCAAATACGATGACCCCACATTGGTCTGTCTTTCGACCATTGTATATCTTATCTCGCAGTTCAGCCCATGTATAGCTTACTTCCCAAGCGGCTTCACTCACCATTTCTTGAATCTTCAGCTTGACGAACTGGAGTCCGTATTCAAGGTTCGTGATTTCGGCCGTGTGCTGGTCTCCATTGGCGTCTGGGGGAAGTTCGACATTCCTTGTGGTCCCCATTGAAGGAGACAAATCGACCAGGAACATTGTTACAGTGTATCCCGCTCGTTCAGCGGGCATGTTGGCAATTGGCAAGAGGTTAGAATGAAAGGTGGAACGAGTCAAACGGCGGCGCGCTTTGCAATGAACACGGTCATGTGACTACGTGTCACTGGTCAGTGTCACTCCCATATGACGCAACTTGAACTGTATTACATATAAGACAAGAACTTGGATCAGAGTTCAAAGGATAAAAATGATTGTGTGTATAAATGACAGTTGTAGTAAAGATCGGTTGAAAATAGAAAACGTGTGTACGATGGTGCAGAGTACGGCCTCTGAGCGAAGTCGAAGGTCCCTATTAACACTCTACCATTTGCTGAGAAGTAAAGGCACTAAAACCGGCGCTAGAGATACTGCGAGGAGAAGCGCATAGAGGTCCATAGAAGGTCGATGGCATGTTGCGATAAACCTCCGGGTATAACGACTCGGTGCTTGGATGAAGTGGGCCGGTATTGTCACAAGTAAAGTCAGGATATGGGTCCTCGCCCTCGTCGTATGAATCGCCGGGGGTGATCTCAATAAAGGATTGAGGGTGGCGTAGGACAGGGTATGATGACACCCACGGCCTCCATGGACTGATTGTTTTTCGTTTCGCGATGGAGTCCCAATCTCTAACGGACTCAGATTTAGCAATAAGTCACACAGGAAGCCCAATTAACATACGTGAACCTAAAATATGGGTGCCATTTGATCGTGTCAATCTCTGTCATGCGTTGCGAAATGTCAGGGCAGAGGAGACGGCGGATAAAATCCTCTGTAGCTCGGTCGATGTCTTTTTCTTCGGGGAAGACAAGCTCGTCTTCCGAGATGCTCTTTCTCACTTCGTCGATCGTATTGCCTCTAAACGGGAGCTAACATAAGCAGTTTAGTTTCCTGCTGATGAACATCATCGAAATCACTCACCTGTCCTACCACCATCCTGTATAGAATCACGCCGACACTCCATAGATCAGATTCAAAAGAGTAAGCCTCTCCAGCAAGTCGCTCGGGGGACATGTATTCCACCATGTCAGAGGCAGAGAGAGGTTCCTCGTCCATCGTCAAAAAGGACCCTTCGACCGGCTCGTCTCCCTTGGAATCCTTGCTGAAGATCTTGCAGCGTGCTAGACCACCAAGGACGACTTGGCCGTCTTCACGTAGAAACACATTGAATGAAGTCAGATCGCGATGTATAACATGATGCTCGTGAAGGACTTGGAGAGCGGAAAACTAGCAAAGGGCAACATAGCTTAACAAGTGGCTCAGGAGGTCTGTATGAGATGACTGCTTACTATTCCAATAGCGTAAACACGAGGGCGACAAACGTCAAAGGCGGGTCCACAAAGCGTGTCAGCAAGGGTTCTGGGATAGTATACCTATGCCGCCGATAAAAATCAGGTCAAAGCTGAGCACAGCAGGCGACCCACTCACTAGTACGAAATAGAAGTGTTTCCTGTCATGCCAGCTGCGAACCAAACTTGTGAATTGAACATTGGTGCACACCCTCCCAAGGACCCATTGTTCGTCGAGTGCCCGAGATAATTGAGTTTCTGAGCAAGCCGCCTTGTCAACAACTTTCAAAATATAGCGATCATCAGTCTCCGTTTCGGTGACGAGGAAGACTTTGCTATTTGGCGTTTGGTGGAGACGTTTGAGAACGGTGTAATCCTCGAAATATACTGGTGGCGGGACAATGGCGTTCCAGTACCATGAATCAATTAGCGAGTCGTCCAAAGATCCTTCAGAAGACATTTCGGGTAGTCTGTGGGGAGAGAGTAGATAAAGAGTGTAAGGTAGGGTAAGGAGAAGAAATGAGGTAGGATATGAGCTATTCAGAGCGTCCATTTATGAATGGCTAGCAGCCGCGATCGCCAGCTAAATTTAGACCGTCCATCGAAAACCCTGTACGTCGCCAGAGTCTAGTACTTATTGCTTTTTGACTCGGAAGAACCACAAGCTACTCATAGAGTAGGGAGGCCAGAGAAGAGGGAATCACCAAAGGCGACATAGGTAACGCAGAACTCAGAGATCGGAGGAGCCCGCAATTTGTCGACTCAAAGTGCGATACAGCAGAGCTTGTCAAGTTAGAAGAGCTAGAGCCCGGCTGAGACAGAAGGTGCCAGAGGGCACGATACCGCCATTCGGCGGTTGAAACCATCGCAGTTTTACTGAAAGACAAGCGTCGTCTTGCTCACTGCTGTCTGTCCAGAAGACGGCGTTCCATGGTGTGTGCAGTTTGAATCGGGTTCCCCGGAACTAGTACCATTACGACCCAACCTTCTCGGAGTAGCCAGGATGCTGGGTCGATTGGGGCGCCATGGTTTGTATTGTGAAGCGCGTGCTGCAAGATTTTTCTCATTCAGACTCACTGTGGTGGAGCATCGGTCGGGAGCCGAGGAGGCGACTCAACGCCAGCACTGTAGGTGAGACGGCTGATTGTCGAGAACAGGGCTTTATATGGCGTGCAGGCATGTGGCCATTGCTGTATACAGAACGACGAAGTAATTGAGGCCACATTCAAGTTGGAGACAGTGTGCACAGGCGTGTATTGTGGGAATTGCAATCGACAAAACGAGCTGGAAAACGACAGGAGAGTGCACGAGTGTGCAACACACAACTCGCGGCGGGGCTCGTAATGCATGAACAAGACGCGATCTATAAGTTTTATCCGTGATGTGAAGGAGAATGACAGTTGGAGGCTACATACAACTTATGACAAAGTCTGAGTGAAAAGCAACGGTGACAACGTCGAGCTCGGTCATGATGACCCACCTACAGAGCATCTGGCCGAGCTCCACGAAGGGGACACAGCGTTTAGGCGAGGTGGACAGGGCGCCTCAAGTAAGATGTGCTGAAGATGGGCAAATTGAGAACAACATCAAATTCAAATAGAGATCAATAGCAATACGGGATGACATAAATAAGTAGATAAAAATAAACCAAAACTCCATCATCAACTAGAATACGCCGGGGGTGCGGGGCCAACAATCAACACGCTCTGACCCGAGAAATCTGTCGAGCTTCTGCGCGAACTCGTTTGTCTCGCAACTTGTTCGACGTCAGTATTCGCGCTCCTCTGAGCCGCTGACGACGACGGCGGGCTGACTGTAGCAGCTGAACAGGCAGTAACAGCGGGGGTAGTAGATATCGAAGCGGGGGTCGGCGACGGCATGTCTTGCCAGGGGCTTGGTTTGAACGCATCAAAAGGCCTTGGGGAGGTCACAGAAGCTCGTGCACGTCGAACTCGCTTGAAGAAGTGAAGTGCAAGGCCTCCAAGAACAAAGCCACCCAGAGCAGCGCAGATAGCAGCGATGATGACCACATGCTGCGCTACTCCGTTAGAGGTCCCCGCTGGCTGCGGCTGGCCTGGTTGGTCGGGCGGCGGCGGGGAATTTGAGGGAGGCTGAGATAACACTGAATCGTCCGTCCTATAGATGAAACACACATCATGAAACAAAGAGTCAGACCCGGTGGAAGCATGACGTACGTATATATGATGGAATCAAGAAACATCATGACTTGATCGTATGCCCCGTTTCCCCTGCCATTTTGGACGACCAGCGTGTGCTCTCCCGGGGAAAGGTCCGTCTTCGCGAAAACGTTAGCCCGATAGATGTATTGCTGTGGTGCAGGTTCCGCATAATTAAGGCCAACTAGGCCATCGATTGAGAATGTGATGTCGACATTGCCTCTGATAGCAGCGGCAACCATGAGGGCTTTATTTCAGTTACGAAGACAAGACTCACATTACGCCCGTGACAGTACTAGGCCCCACTATACAGTTCACATACACCGCAGTACCTAGAAAATATGTCTAGCGAAGCGATGGAGACGCAGCCAGAAGCGGGCGCACCGTTAAATTTCAGCGTTGCGGTCTTCGGCTGGTCACCTTGCTGTTCGCGGAAGTAAGAGGACACCGTCCACGACGCTGATCGCCGCATAAGCGGGCGACCACAAAAACGCAAACCCAGGACGCACCATTCATTGCCTGTCTGAACGGCGGACGACATTGGGGGCAATTGCTGAAACCCTCCGAGAACCACCCATCGCTGTACGTGATGTTGGCCCCGACGCGAGGATACGCCCCGAACGTGTCGTCGACCGTCACATTGAGAGGTGTGGCGGCGGCGATCGCGGCCAATCCTAAAAGTACGAGAAGGAAGGGCATAGTCACGGAATGCGCAGCGATTCGGGGGAAAGAGCGGATTCATACCAGTACTTACTCCAAGCCTTATCACATTAGGCCCGGGTCCTTGTGATCAGGCGAGTGAGAATCCATGCGCTCCCACGAAATCACACTTCGCCATTGATACATCCGAGCACGGCGGGACGAGATACAATCATTGAATCAAGCGCGGGGGGGCTATTGTCCTAGACGGGGTGGCAATTCCGTGAAACCCGCAAAGGACTGTCTGATTGCTGCGTTGCAGGCTTGGGGGAGATTTCGAAGGTAACTTCGGCGTCGACATTCTTGGAAGTGTGCCACGTGAAGAGGTTCTCACACAACGTAGTAGTGACCGACGCGGCGCCCAGAGCTGCCAGTGGCAATCAGACTCACTCAATGCTAACGAAAAGTCACGGACGAAGTCAACATATACACAACAGAGAACTGTCGGAGGCAGGCGACAACGGGCAACGGACTCTTGTATATTTCTATTCAATACTAATTGATAGGCATGGTGCATGGACCAACTATCCCCGGTCCACATGCACAGTAAGAGATATTTGAGCCATCTGGACCTACTTATGGTCCGCTATTAGATGGAACTTTCTCCCCTCCCACCTCGGACACCCGATCACTAGTCACTTCAGTCGTGAGGGCAATGTTCAGTGGTCTGCCCGGTGACACGGCCCTCGAATGGAAGTGGAGGCCTGACATCGTCTCGTGGACCGGGCGGAGGTTGAGGCCGACGCGAACAATGATCAACGTCGGAATAATTCCCTGTTCGGCATGCGTGCGTAAGCAAATAATTGAGAGTACACCGAAGGACGGCATGTACCACAAGCTGTGACACAGCGAGATAAATAACGTACTGCCGGGCGGTTAGCGTGAACACGAAGGCGTATGCTGTGGGACGTACACTACGCGGGAGTTCGCAACCATAGGCGTCCGCAGGGACAGTCCGCCTCGTCCCAAGCTCTATTCTCGACATAATCAAGAATACCAGTAACGACAACGAATAGATTGCACCGGACTCGAGCCTAGAAACGCAGAAGAGTGAGTTTCAGTCTCTTAAAGAGCGAGGCATGGCGATTACACGATTGATGTAGCCCTAGCATATTTATCCAGATGATGCGGACCAAGGATGGCAGCGGTTTGCCTCCCGCCCCACCAGAGTCGTCCGGCTAAGAAGCAGTTGAGCCTGATACTCCACTGAGTCAGTGAGGGTTGCCCACCTGTGAGCCCTGTAACAATGATGTTTGTGGCAAGAGAAATAGATATTGTCCCCACGCTGAGGCCCATGGTATACCCGTACACTGAAGATAGTTAGCGGGTTCGGTAACCAAAGATGAAGACACTTTACCGGTCGTAGTGATAACCAAAATAATAGGCAGAATGAAATACTTATTGAATCCCCACACAATATAACACCTGTATATCTGCGAACCACGGTCAGACGATGAAAATGGGACCCAAACGAACACGAACAATGACGCTGTCTGCGATGGCACTGCCCGATATACGATATACGAGTTGATTAATATGCGAGGAGACGTTCAGTTCATTGATCCCACCTATTCGTCAAATGCAAGTATACAGCCGCGATTGCCGTTGACTGAATATATCTCCCTGTTTCGAGGTCCATCCCCAAGGTGGTGATAATATCCAAGATCATATGAGCCGTCGACAAGCTGAACATAAAGACGGCGGAGAGCTGCAGCAGGAGGTTTCGCGCCTTCCCAGCCGTCCAGAAAATGTAAACGGATATCCCAAAGAGGATGACGTAGACACCTAAGATGTATTCGCGATCAGTTAGGGTGCTCAACATATGCCTACATGCTTACCATATAGGAACGTAGCAAGCTGGATTTCGTACATAAGGGCAGGTCAGCGGTGCCAGTAGGTGTATAAGTACTTTGCCGCACCCAGAGTCCTACGAGTGACGACTGAACAACGATACGGTCAGCGTAGAACCACAATGGGCATCAAACAACATACTTTTCGCAAGATAAAGAGCGGCTGTCGGTCATCAAAGGCAACGGCAAAGTCTGCGAGCTGAGCCATAACTGAGTTACTGACCGACAGCGCGACTCGATGTATTTAAGAGTTTGAAACAAATATGATGGCCCGTACAATCGACGTCGAGGTGTCAATACTGAGGGTGTAATCAGTGATGAATGCTAATTATTGTCGTGGAGTGGGTGTATTGATGGGGATGCCGAGGATGAAATTGAATCGTTGACGCTTAAATGATAGAGTGGGACGAAAAGAGTGTGCGTTTCCCATCCTTCTGTGAACGTGTACTAGAATCTCGTTATGCGGTAAGATTTTCCATGGGATCATTCTCATTCAAGGCCGTGATCCGATGTCGAGATGAGGTACCAACACGTTAGTAGAGGACGGGCGAAGGGTATACGGACGGGCAGCGAAGCATTAATGATTTCCAACAGCCCAGACACCACCTACCCAGTATTGCGGGCTGGCGGAGGCAACATATCTGAACGCCACATCCTGTTGATAGTTACCGTATACTTAGCCATCGGGGGTACCTTGATTGCTGACATGAGAAGAATGCTGGCCATTCGATTGAGCTTCGAATCGGACTCTTTGCCAATGCGGGGTGCTGCGACGTTCGACCCGAGCGAGCAGTGACTTCGCGACTTCGCATTCGACAATTTCGACCCGTCCTGCAGGTACCTACCCAAGAATGTGCCATGTGGTTCTCCAACCCCCGACGTGCCAGCCGGGTGCTCGTAAATCGTAAATTGATGTTTCAAGAAAATCATTCATAGCAGAAGAGCCACGGGGAAAGATGCGGCTCCCAGGCCTCTCCCGCTGTCAACGAGGAAGCTGATCGTAGTATATAATATACACGGAATCTGGCAAAAGCAGCGTGAGTGTTGTTTTGACTTTTCGAGCACTCGACATCATGATGCAAAACTTGCTGCCAGTGTGCTGATCATATGGCCAGTTGTTCCCGAATTTGCACGACCAACGTGTATCCATGGCTCCGCAGTATGTGCCCGGTCCTTGGTTGGATTATCCCAAGACGAATGCAATATAATGACATTTGCGGCTGGCGGTATGGTGGTAAGGATTGTCGACTTTCGCGCTGGTTGGACCTCGCCGGCAGAAGCTGTCTCCGACTTGCTAGCACTTCGTGTTTCAGGATGTAAGCGCTGAGTGGAAGATGCAGCTGTACAATGGTGTCCCAGTCATGTCGGCTCGCATGCAAGAGATATGAGATTGGTCTGCGCGGGTCATACTGTAAGCGGCTAATCAACGTCAACGTTTAACGATGGAGTCCAAACGAGTGCCATGGATCAGTACGCCTGCGCCAAGGGTCCGATGGGGCCAAAAAGACAAAAACGGTGTCATCATGCCTCCTACCCGATTCGAACGAGTGATCTTTGCATAACCTTGTGTTATACAAGTGCAACGCCTTACCGCTTGGCCAAGAAGGCTGGTAGACGACTTCGCTTACAGGTGATTGTGACGGACGATCGTGTCACAAGTTCAACGCGAACGTCGGCAGAAGCACAACGAAGCGATACGCTTCAATTACTAGGAATAATCTTCTTGAGCCATGCCCTGACATCATTCAGCTCCTCCGTACTGGCCGAATGCACTAGACGAGGATAGCTATTGAAGTTGAGACCTGTAGGGTCTTCTTTCGACGCTGCCGCAGGGATACCGACCTCCGCAATGAGGAAATCCCTAGACGCGGAGCCCCATTCGAAAGCAACCAGCGGATCCGCCTCACCATGCCCCCAGAAAATCGGCACAGACGTCGCGTGAGGAGATATCATCTACCCTGCGTCAACTTTGGAGAGGAGCCACGGTCAATGGCATGTACTCACCGATTTGATCTTATCCTTCAGCGGAAGCCGACCGCTCAGAACGACCAGGCCAGCTAGCTTCGTTGGCGAGGTCAACCCAGTGAGCAAGGTCATCGCCGCGCCTTGGCTGAAGCCGCCGAGGACGATTCTACCGGGATCGAGGCCAGCATCGACTTCCGCTTGAATGAGGCCTTGGATCAACCCAACGGTCTCCAACATCCCCTTCTCGTCTTCATCCTGGCTAAATCCAGCCCGGAAGGCTTTGATATCGAACCTGGTTGGATCAAGAAGGTCGTCTCGCGGTCCAACGATAGTACATACCAACTAGGCATGACTGCGCCCTTGTTCGCCGTGACAGGTCTTGGTGGACTAGGTCGTTTGATTTGACAAGAACGTCGCCACGGTGGAGGGCGGCATTGTACTTACGCGTGTGGCAGAATCCATTTTATGTGCTGAAGAGCCGGATCTGTGTTTGAGTTGTTGGCAAATCCCTCCCAGCCAAAGCCAGTGTCACCGAGGCCCTTGATGAGGTTCGGAGGGTGGTTCTTGGGATGGCAAAGAGGGTGCGCTTACATGGATGAATATGATCGTCGCAGTATGTTTCGCCACGGCAGGAATGGTGAAGGACATCGGTATTGCCCCTGTGATGCCCCTGTGATGCTGTTGAGTGATTGGGGCTGTGTTCCTGCTGGTTCACTCATGGCGCGAAGCTAGGTGCAGTCAATATCCGTTGGCGCTGCCCCTGTGTTCCTTCTCCAGCAACCACATCCATCGATTTGCTTCACGCCCTTTCCTGCAATGATGGGTCTTTTCAGCCAGGCCGGTTCTCATATCCGAGCCAAGGCACGCGGATACACCGAGGACGACTCGGCACCAGTTGATACAGAGCCAGACGACACCTCCATCCTGTTCGTTTCTCCTGTCTTTCTCTGCCCAATCCCTTGCTGAACGACGCCCAAACATGTGGTCCTACTCCTGCGACTCTGACGACGACGGCTACAACAGAGACGAAAATGAGGGCTCCATCATCACCTCGTTGATCTCGCAGCTACGGTGAGTGTCCGCCCAGCGCTGCGTGCTGCATTCTGACGCTGGTTCAGTGTAGGGATGGATCTTTCGCGGGTGACGTTCCCGACGTTCGTCTTGGAGCCCCGCAGCATGCTCGAGCGCATCACAGACTTCATGTCGCACCCTGATCTCATATTTGGGTGCGTCGCTCTTCGGCCTGCCCCCTGACAAGTGACCGATATGTTACCAAAATTCTCTCCCCCTCTCGTTTCCACCACTGGCCACGACGAACACGCACTGCTCACTTGCGGCACCGACCCCTACGCTCTCATCGGCGCGCGTTTCCTTACCCGGCTTCCCGGGCTTGTTTCGACGCCATTTGACGCGAATGCTTACGCACCACCTCCGGCTTCGCAGAGCGGAACACTGCAACGACCCTGAGGAGCGCTTCATCCGTGTGCTGCAGTACTACCTCGCCGGATGGCACATCAAGCCCAAGGGCGTAAAGAAACCGTGAGTCAGCTCGCGTCACGATACATACCCGTTTGCGCTGGCGGCGCAGTTACCTGGGATTCCACCGGGCGTCCGGGACCATGACTAACCTCGGTGCGCAGATATAACCCCATCCTGGGCGAGTTCTTTAGATGTAGATACGATTACGAAGACGGGACGCAGGGGTTCTACATAGCGGAGCAGGTCTCCCATCATCCGCCGATCTCGGCGTTCTTCTATACATCGCCTGCGAACGGAGTGACGATCATCGGCGAGCTCAAGCCCAAGTCGAAGTTCTTGGGGAACAGCGTATCGACGACGATGGAGGGCGAGAATAGGGTGACGCTGCTGGGTGCGAAGGATGATGGCGGTACGTCGCTCCAGTCCGCTGCACCGTGCGTCCCGGTCTGAGCTCACTCGCTATCGCCCCCCTCCCCCACGACACTCGCCCCATATAGAGTACATAATCACGATGCCAAACATGTACGCACGCGGGATTCTGTTTGGCAAAATGGTCTTGGAGCTGGGGGACACTTGCATCGCCAAGAACGAGAAGCATGGAATGTACTGCGATCTAGAGTTCAAGACCAAGGTGCGTTCTTGTATATCTTTGGGCCGCGTGCCCGAGTGCAAGGTCACTGACTGACGGTCTATGCTTGTGCCGGCTATCAACGCTCCCTCTTACCATATCATGTCAACGTGCGGTCGCGATCCAAATAGGGATTTTTCTCGGGGACATATAATGCTATATCGGGTCGCATTAGACGCAAGTCAAGCGAGGTCGGTGAGATATCTGGGCGATGGAGCCATATAATGGATTTCAAAGACGCGAAGGTACGTACGACCGCTTCGCCCCTCCCTCTACCCAACCTCATCGCGTCCGATCTACCAATCGCCACACTTTTTCTATACTTCCACACAGACGGGGCAGAAACGCGTCTTGTTCGACGCGGTCAAGGACGGGCAGCACATATGTCCGAAGTGGGTGGCGCCCGAAGAGGAGCAAGAGCCCAACGAATCGCGCCGGCTGTGGCGCGACCTCACGACGGCGATCGCGCTGAAGGACATGGAGGCGGCGACGGCGGCCAAGTCGGCTGTGGAGGACGCACAGAGGGAGGAGCGGCGGCAGAGGGAGGAGAAGGGCGTCAAGCACGTCCCGCGGTTCTTCAAGCTGCTCGACGGGAGGTGGATGCCTGAGTGAGTTGCCCTTTCCGTGTGTGGCTGATCAGTGCTTTCGTGGTGTTTACCGATCGGTCTGCAGTCTCCCCTCGGATTCGCAGGACGCTGCGAAGATACAAGAATGGATATGGCCAGCATCGGCGCCAAAGACATGAGCAGTCCTACTCGCGGGCGCGCGTCATCTATTCGCCATCCCATGTATCACCTCCGTAGCCGATATTGCTTACATCCTCCCCCACCTCTCATTTCCTTACACCGGCCCGACTAATTGTAGAATTATGGTAATTGCAGTAATCCGAAATCCGAAACCTCCCTGAGTAATGAATAATGGTGGACAGAAATATGCGTGTACAGATGGTAAGACAGCGATGGCACGCGACGTGCGAGTTTGAAGGTGCGGATGGACGGGGTATATGTGTACGAAAAGACAGCAATGTGTGTATATAAACGAACAAATTGGAAGGCGGACGAGTGGAGTAAATAAGCATGCATGTGGTAGCGTAGGATGCAACAACTAGAGATATATACCGTAAGGAACTGATGGTGCATATAGATGAGTATGTATTACGAGGCAGAAGGAGCGTGTCAAGGGCGGGCGCCTTTTGATTAATTTGATTAACTGTACCATCCGTCTTCACCCAGCGTGGGGGCTTGCGAAACGATACTGGGCGTCGGCGAAGCCATCGACGCCCGGGACAGCTGGCTGGTTTGGTTTGGTCGGCTTCTTGGAACCCCATTTCCGATAGCAGGATAGCGGCTGGGGACGGGTGAGTAGACGCTGCTGTTGTAGCCGTTATATGTCGCGGGAGCGTGCATCGAATCCCAGACACTTTTTTGGTTAGGAGGCGTATCGCTGTCGTTGCTTCGGGCTTGGGAGGCACTTCGTAGGTTGGGTGTGACAGCCCGGTTCTCCCCATACACGGTACTGGAGCGGGAATCAGGGCGAGGCGGCACGTGAGTGCCGTTCGTCAGTTTGCGCAGTGGAGTTGATGGCGGGATTGCTAATCGTTTCGCTTTGTCGAGTTCACCCTGAAGCCTAGCTACCTTAGACTCAAGAGCAGCGATGTGCTCGTTCAGCTTGTTCTCCCGATCCTGCATATTGATAAGATTTGGAGAGACATATATAGACTTGGCGACGTACCTTAGCTAGACGATCGTCAGCCTCACGCTCGTCAAGTTGAAGTTTCGCAAGTGAGTAGTCAGCCTCAAGTTGCGAATGGGTTTGCTCAGACTGGTCCAATTGGGTGCGAGTCAGTTCTAGTTGCCCTTCGTATTCTTTGGCGCGCCTTTCCCATTCAAGAGCTCGTTGCTGATTCTGTGCAAGGCTTTGGCGGAGCTGGTTGTTAGCTTTCTCCGTGTTTATCGCTTTACTCTCTTGATCCCTGAAGCGCTTGAGAAGCGAGCCGTGTTCAGATTCCAGAATCTTGCTACGTTCGCGAACTTGTCGCAACTCTTTGAGTTCTTCTTGGTCGCCTTGACTAACGAGCTTGGTGAGTACGTCGAGTTGCGCGGAAGTAGCTTTCAGCGCGTCCCAGTGGTCTTGCTGAGAGGTCAAGTAGTCGTTCTGCTGCTGGATGATAAGTAAGGAGTGCTCGACAGCATCTTTATCGCGTTTGGAGAGTGTAAGTTGAACGTCCAAGGATTCGCTCTAATGGTTCATGAGCAAACTGTATCCACCCATATTACAGCGAGCATTACCTTTGTCTTCAGTGATTGTTTCTCTGATTCTAAGTCCTTGTTATCTTTCTCCAGTTGGGCGATGTGTTGTTGGTACGCTTGCGAGGCGACGTCGGATGCCTGTAAGCGAGACAAGGCTTGCTCTAAGGCTTCTTCGAGCTCTTTATTCCTCGCTTGCACTGGAGACACTTCGGCGGTTGCAGCAGCAGCCTTCTCTTCAACTTCCGCAAGCTTCGCCTGCAGGCGCTGGTATTCGACCTCCTGCTGTTTGAGTTTCTCGCTGAGCAGGTCTTTCTCCACTCGTACTTGGCCATGCGAGCTGCGAGCCTTAGCAAGCTGTATCTGAAGCTCCGTATTCTCCTGCTTTAATTCGTCGACATCATCACCACGCTCAACTTTCTCTTCGACGCGAGTGAGATGCTTCATTAGGTCTTCGTGGCCGACACGGATGAAAGTAGAAAGAGCTTCCGTGATATCCTTGGTCTCATTAAGTGATGCCAGCGACAAGCGATCTCTCGCCTCGCTCATACCCATGTCAGTTTGGACGGCATCGAGGGATGACTTGATGATCTTCATGGCTTCATTAACGTGGTTATTGTCCGTGTCAATGAGCTCGGCGCGAGCCTTTTCTACTCCATTGAATACCTCAACCGTCGCCCTCAGTTGATTAGCCAGAGAAGTCAATCGTTCGGTAATCGTCTTGCTCCAGGCGGTCAGCTCGGTCTGCCCATTGGTCATTGAGTTTTGTTCATCGTCGAGCTTAGCCAATTTCGTGGCTAAGTCGTTCAATGGTTCGAGTAAACCTGAGACGCTTTCCGTCACCTTTGCACCAAATGCGTCGATGCTCAGAGCCTTGTCCCGAACGGCGAGGCGAGAGTCCAGTCGTTCAACCACCAGATCCGCTACTTGTTCTTTAATTTCGAAAGCGTCGATAGGGGCAATGGCACGGCGGATCTCGGTTGTTAATTGGAGTGTGATAGCGTCGGTGTCGATGGCTTGGCTACCAGGGAGAAGGGGGACAATCCGGTCCACAATCAGTCCTGCAGTTTCACGTTTGTCGGAAGCAAGATCGATGAGTTGCGAGATGTGCGGCTTCACAGCTTGACTGAGTTGGTGAGTGAGGAGCTCGTAGTCCACTGGGTCTGTGCGCAGGGACGATAGCAATGGAATGAGTCCCGTCATGATCTTGTCGACAAGGGAATCATGCTCCCTCGCGGGTGCTCCACGTTCGACTGTCTCAAGCCTTGCAGAAAGCTCTGAGATAGCTTCGACGACAGCGTTTACTGTACGCATGCTGAACGACTCGATAAGAGGGAATATCTCTTGCGATGCCATTCCAGAAGACGTGTTGCTCGCAATAGAGCGAAGCTCCCTCTGAATCAACGAGAGCGACTCGTTCTGGGCCTGTTGAATGGTATTTCTGATCAAATCGAAGTCTAATTCTCCCCTGGCGTCCAAGCGGCTGTCATCCATTCCACGAATAGCAGTTTCCTTCAGTTGAGCTCGGAGTAAAGCAATTGCCTCCGAAATTTGCTCGCCAGCCGATGAATCGAGTGGGCGGCCGCGATCATCCGTCAATTTGTTTGCCAGTTCATTGGTCAGGCTGGCAAACTTGTCGTCGAGCAACATCTCAAGCCGGTGTTCCAATTCGTGGATTTCGAGACGTCCAGATCCATCCATAGCAGGTATTGATATTCCGCCAGATGTCATTGACCCTGCGCTGTTCAAAGGGAGCGGCAAAGATGACCGACGACGTTTATGCTGAGCGATGTTTGAACCGAAGACATCATCTTCAAGGTCTTCTGCATCCACTGACGATCGATCATCCACACCGCCAGGGCCATTGACAAGAAGACTTCGGGAGATTTTCCGTGAAATAGTAGGCATCTGCATGTCATCGAGGGAAGGTCTGCGCGCCAAATCAATTTCCCGGGAGCCAAGGCGTGATCGAACTGTGCGTCGGGTGCGCTCTTCGGTGTTGAGAGCCTTGAAGAGACCAGCAGGGACCGTGTTGCTGGAAACAGGATGCTTGAAGTCCAACGGTATGGGCGCGCGTTTCGGCTTCGATGCAGAGGGGAGCACATAATCCTCAACTTCCGGCGCACCGTTGGCTGCCCTTGCCGTGCTATCGTCATGGAGAGATTCGTCGACATTGCTCTCGCTCTCAATGGTCGCCAATGGTTCTTCCTGAGGCTGCGCTTGTTGGGGAATGAATGGTATACCACCAAATGTAAAGGGTTCAGCACTCGGGTTGAGCATCGTTGATTGCTTCTCGTCTTTCGGGGTAGACGCGCGGCGCATACTGCTAGTACCCTCCGAAGGGGGGAACTTGAACGATTGCATGCTATCTCCTTCCTCAATGGGTGATGCCGCTTCGTCGACGCGTTGTCGCTTCTCTCTACCTTGCCTACTGGCCCCAGAGATGGTGTTGGCAGGGATTTCAGGTAAAGGTCTCGGTTGTTCAGGAGCTGGGAGTGGTATCTTGACCAGGCCAGGAGGCAGTCGAAAGCTGAACGAACCAGGCTTGAACTCGGGAGCAGCCACGTTCAGTGGCTTTCCAAACGAGGGAATCCGCGTATGACCAAATACAGTAGACGTAGACTGCTGGGGTGGCACAGATGAACTGTCGACAGACTGCGGTGTCCAGGAACCAGACCCTCGGGGTGCGCCGAAGACGAAGGGCTTCGCAAAAGGATTGAGCGAATCGCGGCGAGAGGAGTACGAGGGTTGGGATTGATGGGATTGTGCAGGGGGGTATGTTGATTGTTCCGACCCTCCACGAGAATGAGCATACGCTGGGTCATGAGTGGAGAGCTGAGCCACTGATGTAGCACGAGAATGAGGAAGGGGAGGAAGAGGACGCGGTGAACGAGATCCAGAACCGGAAGGTTGAGGCTGATATTGGTAATATTCCGTCCCATCGACGCGAAGGAATTCAGTTGCCTGCTCACGGATACGCTCCTCTTCGCTGGGATTAGAGATGATGTCGTCCGAATCTCTGCGGAATGCGAGGGCAATGGTATTCTCGGGTGGCCGGGGGAAGTTCGGCAAGCGTCTCGGTGTTTGAATCTCGTGGTGTAGGGAGCGCTTGCGTGTACGACGCTCAAGCCGTCGCTGACGCGCGCGCTCTTCATCAGAAGGATTGGACCATTCACCGATACTCTGTAAGGCAATCAGCCTGGGTATCATGACGGCAAAGGGGAATACACACGCACCTCATCATCATCCGAACTCTCGTTGTCCATCTGCAGATCCTCCGATCCCGTCCATTCTTCAATGGCAGCATCTTCGTCCATGTCTAAATCTTGATCAAGTGGTCGCCTGGCGCTCTCAATCTGTGCGCGCTCCAGCTCCTCGTCTTCAGCCAACCCACCAACAGAGACCAGAGTGAGTGCACCAGATAACCTAGACACGTGTCTGGAGTGAAGCCGGCTTTGTGCCACTGTTGATACTCCATCCCTTTGTCTGAATATCCCCATTTCATCCGTATTGTCCTCAGTTGGCATATTGTCGTCGCCGTTATGGCTGATGTCAGCGTCGTTGGTCACGAAGCTCATGTCCTCGAGTGACTCTGTATCATCGTCCTTATAATGATCATCCTGATCCGCCTCAAGGTTATGCTCAGCCTCGTGGACTTCTTCAACTACACGATCAGGTTCCTCCTCTGGTTCTTCCTCCTCTTCGGGAATATCCAAACCGAAGCCACGGATGAAATCTGGCCTACTAGGCGGCTGAACGGCTGATAACGGGGGCACCAACGACGCTGGTGTGATCGGTACACGGCCTTGCGGTGCATGGAGGTCGAATGAGTCGCCTGAAATATCTAAACCCGGTATCCCCGGCGAAGGCTGAGAGTAAGGTGTGTGATCAGATCCAAGCAACGCAGTTGGTCCAAAGGGATTTGAGTTGTCGGCGAACATCGGCCATTGTTGCGAAGGTGGCTGGGCAAGCGAAAGGCTGTGACCATGTCTATTAGAGACAAACCGAGGGGCAGCTTGATGGGGAGAGGGCGAAAGGCCGAACGGGGGTGGCTGCGGAGAAGACGAGAGGGAATTAGTAGCGGAGGTCGATTGCTGCTGGTGAAGCTTATTTAGCTTGAACATTAGTAGAGCAGGATCTGCGGGAGATGATATCTGCATGTGTTCGAGCCGACCACGGGTTAAGCGTACGGACGAAACCAGAAAACTTAAGAAGACTGACCGAGGCAGCTCGTGCGTGGGGCGCGAATATATGAGGAACGTTGCTACCAGAACCCCTTTCAACACCCAATCTCTCTAATTTCTCCTCTATCGCCTTCTGTTTGAGTTCATCCCAAGCACGCTAATGGACGGACGGTGAGAGCAAGAAATAAGAGGACGTATTTACAACGTACCTTGCCAGGAAGGAAGACTTCTATTGTATCTGGAAGATGATCCCTTTGAAAATCTGGGGGATATATTTCTGCGCTGACCATCTCAACAGGGAGGACGTCGTCAGGTATGTCTACTTCAGACATGGGTATAGGATAACGTGCCCATGTTGGGCGTTCTTGTACTTCGCCGTTCTCTCCCGTAACAGTCTCTTTGGGAAGATTCAAGACTACCTTCTTCGCCTTTGGCTGGGGAGTGGCCGCGGCGGCAGCAGCTACGGGCACAGGCAACGGACTATGATTCCGCCCAGGCCCTCCCAGCGTTGCCTTGGGAGGTCCACCGACGCTCATCTGCTTGCGATGTTTGCCTTGGAAAGGCTGTCCTGGGTGACCGGGAAAGAGCTGACCGGGACCCATGGCCATTGAATGACGAGGGAAATGGCCTCCAAGAGGTGTCATCGCGAATCCACCTGGTGGGTGAATACCAGCTGCAGCAAGCTGGGCGACACTTGCTTGTCCTTGTCTATGTGTAGGACGTCCAGGTGCGTTCGGAGGTTGTGGATTGAAGAATGCTTGCATAGGTGTTTGCATACTATTATTCATGGGAAACGGTGGGTGAAACCCGGCCTGAATGGACGTGGGGAGAGCCGGTGAATACATGGCGTTTGGCTGCATCCTATCAAACGCAAAAGGCTGTTGGAGGTTCAAGGGCGCAGGTATATTCAGCCGGGGCAAGTGATCGTGTGGTCGAGCCATGCTGGCAAAAATGTCGACGGTGGGCTGCGAATGAGGTGTCGGAAGATTTTGATTTGGGCAGTGGGACGTGATGGTAACGGTCCAGAAAGCTCGACCGTGAGTTTGGTGGCCAGGAGAGCTTCAAGAAGCGAAAACGGGCCAGAAAGCCTTGCAGGGCCTCCAACGACGGCGAAAGCCTGGTGAGCTTGGAGGGAAGTGTTCGAGTCGAAAACCAGAAACAGATTTTGGCCAAGGGACCGCTTACGCCCACGTGCCCTTCTTCATTGTCGGCGCTTAGGTAATACTTATAGGAGATTCATTAAATTCATCAACAAGAGCCGTCGTCCAGAGCTGGTACAAGTCGGCAACCACTCAATTGCTGATAGACAGCGATAGTAACCTCTCTGATTCTCGAGTGAATAGTTCGAACAACCCCACACTCTTCGTGATGAACTCTCAACTCCAACGACCATCGAAGAGTGTCACTGCTTCATGCCAGATCCAGGGAATATCAATGGAACTGATCGGTACACATGCCTTCTTATTGTTTAAGTTTATTCCTGCAATTCCCCCCAGTGGTGTGCTTTCACTACACGATCATAGAGTCTTGCTCTTGCTTTCTTAGAGCTCAGTGTCTGACATACTCTTCATCCTGGACAGAGTCGTCGTGCGTCATCTTCAACGTGGTCCTACAAAACGGGGTCGATGATGGGAATAATACTCCCAAGGTATCAGCACAGACGTTAGATTCCATCATCCACATGTACGCTCAAGAAGCGCCTCTTGCCTGCTAAAAGCTGGTGTAAGAATCCTGTGCTTGTCATATGAGGATATATACGTACTTGTTCTGGGGCCAGAGAGACATTGGACGCCGCGCTGAAAGCATTAGGGGTGTCGCCCGTCCTAAATCGCGACTTTCAGCTTCAACTTTTCACGCGCATTTCAGAAGCGGCTGTGACGAGCGGTCTCGCGGGAATGGGGATTATTTCGCTCCCGTTCTGGTTTTGCATCCGTCGAGAGGCAAACGCGCCCTTACCACCTTCGCTCACTCAGTATTACGACACCCAGAACAAGCACTATCGCCCAGTATTCGAAGCGATCAAGCAACTTGTACTCTAGTGAATCTACTATAAGAAATAAATCACGATCTTCGACGCGGCGATTCGACTCGGACCGATTATGCTCTAGTACGTTCTTCCCAGTCGCCAGCGCTATGGGCGCAGTGCCCATGTGTGGTGTGTAACTCGCGCAAGTCCACAGTGATAGGGGCGCACGGAGCCTGAATCGAACTGAGAAGGAAGTGGCGGAGGATGAACCCAAACAGGACGAAGGACGAAGTAGTGAATTGATCATGACGACGTAGTAGTTAACCACATCCATGATTTCCCTTGTGCCCAGAGAACTAGCAGGCAGACTCTATATTTTCTGGAGGTGGCTGCAGCGGAGTGTTGATGTCCTGGGGACTCGCCACCGCGAGAGGGTCATTGACTTTTGCGAAAACGGCATATCCGCTGTATTCAACGAGTAGCTCTGACGAAATTAGCATTGGTTAGTTTGAGTGACTTCAGGGACTGCTACCGTGCTTCTCCCAGAACCCCCGATAGTCTCCCATGCCTCCACTAGGTTCTCCGCTTATAGCCTGGATGCAGTAAAGATTACTCATGGAGATTCAGCTTGATTGTCAGGAAGTAGACCTTGCTTGCTCATTTTATGCCCTTGGACCTATCTATGATCGACTTGCATACGAGGATTTCCATCACCGTGGGATGACAGTATCTGAGGAGGATTTTGGTGATATAAAAGGATTGCTGGGCTAGCGGGTCTTATGGAGCATATGGTGGGAAGTAACTGAGCATGGGGTGAAAGATATATCAAGTGCACGCATGTCGAGCTTGTACAAGTCTGCACAGAATAGTGACAGAGTACTCAATACCCAGTGGGGGCTCCCCTGAATCACGTGTGTGTGATTAAATTGGTCACCGCCGCTTTTGACACTGCCAGAGCAGTGAGTGTAACAAGCTCCTTGTTCTCTTTCTCCACCAAAGCCATGATTTCCTCCTCCGCCAGGCCGTCTGGCTCTGACCTGGCCTTTTTCTCATCCTCAAAGGCCAAATCTTCAAAGCCCGTCACGCCCTCCGTCGTTGTCACCACGCGTCGAAGGCTCGCCACACGGACGCCAATACTTGCCACCCAACCTCCCGCTCGTGTCGCCGAAATACCCACCCCGATCCTCTCGAGCAACATGAAGAAGCGCAAAGCCCCCTCGGCCGCCAAGACGCTAGACGGGCCCTCCAGTCTCGGTGTCAAACGCCTAAAGACCGAAGAACAGCCCCGAAAACGCGCCTCGTCGTCCTCGAAAGCCTCTTCACGCGCTTCAAGTCGGCAGAACACCCTGCCACCGTCCCCGGAGCCGATCTACAGGAGCAGCCGCTCGCGTTCGACGTCCACTTTCCCCCACGACGAGGAGCTTGCCTCAGCGAGACAGTGGGTCACCGCGGAGGAGGGGACACCAGGCCCGACTTTCTGGAGCTCAGAAGCTGTTGTAAAGCGCTTGATGCGGACATATGTTTCTTGTGAGCTGCATCCACCGTTCTCGCCGCTGCAATTTTCTTATCCCGGATGTAGACTTCCGGAACCCACAAGACTCCAACGACCGTTCCTTTGAGCCCCATCCCACAGATTACCCATACGCAGAGCTAGAATACCCTAATAGTGGCGCAGTAGAAAGGTTTGCTTCATATCTACCGTTCGTCACGCGACCCTCATCGCCTGCCAGATACATCCTGCTTCAGCCTAAAGACAAGGATCATTATAATCCTATATTATGTCTTGAACGAACGCTTACTACGATAATTGAATGTGCGTTATCCATTACAGATACGATATGAGCTTATCTAACCGTACAGCAGGCTACCTCACTCCAGCTCAGCAGACGCTTTTCGGTACAATACCTAATGACGTCCTCATCGAATCAACATCTCCGCCCTCTTCACCAGCTTCTTCGCCCCCGAGCAACCCATCACTCCCACTGCCGTCAGAATCAGATACCTATGCCAGTACCCCACCCCCAAAGCGCACCAACCTCCTGCGCACTCTGCACCGCGCCATCCACCTTCGAGACGGACCCCTTTTCCTTCAAACCCTCTCTTCCATCAATGACCTCCTGCGCAAACTCAAATACCCTGAGCCCCCTTCGGATCCCCTCCCTGCCGCTCCTCAGAATGCCATGATGGCGAACGCACACGGATGGACCAAACTGCCCAAGAAGGTCCTCATGCGCCTCATTGAAGAGAACTACCAGCGCAGCGTGGGCCCGCACGTGCAGAGCCTGAAGAACTATGAAGCCTTCTCCAGCACCGTGTACGGCGAATTGATGCCTTCGCTCATTTACGACATCGTTCAGTCTACCGGTCTGACGGAGGACTCGATCTTCGTCGACATGGGCAGCGGAGTCGGCAACGTCGTGGTCCAAGCAAGCTTGCAGGCAGGATGCAAGAGCTTCGGCGTGGAATTAATGCCCGCACCTGCGAAGATCGCGGAGAGACAGTGGGAGCAGTTTAAGATCCGGTGCAGGATGTGGGGCTTGCGGGCTGGCGATGTCGAACTGGAGAAAGAAGATATGCTAAAGAGCAAGAAACTCGTGGAATATTTACCGAAGGCCGACGTCGTATTGGTTGATAATAAGGTGTTTGATGAAGCCTGTAAGCCGTCGCGTTGTTTTGGTTTCCTTTGGATGAGACTGATTAGAATGGACCAGTGAACGAGAAACTGCGCCCGATGTTCCTCGATCTCAAAGATGGCGCTATCGTGGTTTCGCTGAAGCCGTTCTCCCCCGTCAATGCCCGAGTCACCGAGCGTAACGTGCGTTGTTCTCTCGGCGTCTCAGCCACGCACCTGTGCTTATATTCATTTGTCCAGGTCGACGACATGACAGGTATCTTCGAAGTGACTGAACGGCCGTACCACTCCGGCAGCGTCTCGTGGGGCCCTAGCGGCGGCGTGTACTACATCCACCGCGTCGACCGCGCCGGGTACGCTAAGGTCAAAGAGCGCTTCGAGAATTCAAGAACAGTCAGAGGATCGCGGAGGAGATGCTAGACTCAATTATTCAACAATCCAATTTGCGTCGGGACGTATTAACGCTTAACACCTGTATACCAACAACACTGCAACATCATTATTCGCTTTCGCGCTAGCTTTATCAAGAAACATCCCCGGGGAGAGATAAATCAATTAATTGCAAGACGAGGAGGAGGATGGACACCCAAAACAACCAACCTGCATCGTTAACAAGATACAAGCGGCTCGTGCTACAAAGGATTTTGCACTTGCATTGTCTCACTTTGCTGCCACCTTTCCCTACGACGCTCAACCATTCAATCATTCCACACGCAATGCACACTGGTCATCAACTGATCATTCAAGGCGGTGCCCGCTAAAATTATTCAGCCGATTATTGCTCTCAGCACCCACGTATTTATCAACTTTGGATATTCTTGACTTATCGGTTTACCTTGGCAACACCTTTTCTATTAAATCCTCTTCCGAAGCGATTGTACTTACTACTTACTGTCCTTATACAAACATCCCCTTTGCGATACAAATTGTTTGACTCTTGGCTTTCTCCTGCCTCTGTTCAGTCGCGGCCGTTTTACATTGCCATTATGTCTGCCGGCCTTTATCGTCCTCGGTGTTCGACTTGCCGATTGATCCTGATGCAGTACGTCCCTCGTTTCTCCTGCACTGGCCATCACTGAATGTTGGACAGGACGTGTGCACACAGGAAGGATGATATTATTAACATGTTTCTACTGACGAAATTCGCGATCCCATCCGATATTTCTCACCCTCGAACACCATAGGAAATTACAACCCCGGCAGTCCTGCAATTTCAACATCCATTACGAAGCCGTGGACTCGAACAAACGCTCTCGCCCTACGCGCTTCGGTATTTTGATATTGGTGTGTCTCTTTGGCGCTCCTGACATCACCCCCTCTCATAGTAATCAATCCGAACAACACCCCCCTCATTTGAGACAGCGGCATGCCTTTCTGTGCTTAAGTTCGCTTCTTATCCTACTGGCGGGTCCGGCCAGCCCCAGCCCTAGGCTGGAGATTCTTGAAGTCAGGGACTGGCATCGGCAGCCTGCAGTTGTTGAATATCACTAGGCAACCTCCTTTCCATCGATGATTCTGCTTAATGCATTACATGGAGCACGGTTACATATCCGAACAACTTTACACTGCCTGTGATGAGCTCGAACTCCAGCGACCATCGAGTATCACTACTTGATTGATCCGCCGACGATACCGAGAACCAGGAAGACATTGTTCGTTGCCACACTGGTTTTATATCTTAAAGTCCCGCCGTCCGTGGTCCCCCTTGACCCCCCATTAAGCAATGGTCATCCTTCACTGCCTCATCCTATGTCTTTCTCTCCTGGATGTCGTCGCCGCTGCCGCCATTATCAACGTGACTCACGACGATTCCCAGGATGAGAGCCTCGACTCCGCCGTGATATCGTACCTTGGCCCATGGTCTCATCAACAGGTTGCGCCTTGCAATGGCACAGATCAGTGCACTGACCCACTTTCTCGAACAAGGAATGGTGCGTCCCAAGCTCTTACAACTCTATCGTCGCCAATTCTAAGCAACCAATCCAAGGGACCTGGTCATCGTCTATCTATGTACAAAACTCTCGATTAGATGACCAACCCCCATCGGTGATGTTTCGCTTCTACGGTAAGCATTGGATCCATGTTTGCCCTCGTCCCGCTGCTAATTTTTTGCGCAGGAACGGCTGTGTACGTCACCTGTGTATTAATTCCGCACGACATGTTGGGCATTGAGTGAGTACGACACCTTGTCACAGTGCGCGTATTGACAATTGCTCCTTCCTAGTGCCAATTCAGACATGCTCTTCATGTTGGACGGGGCCGTCACTGGTCGATTCGCTCGTCAATCACCGACATCCGGTAATATATCACTCGCTACTGTTTTGACGTATGAATCGCTTCCGAAGGGATCCCATACGCTCCGCATACAGAACGGAGCAGAGGACGGGAAACAAACCCACAACGTATCAGTGCTAGCGTTGGATTCCATCACCTACACGTAAGTACGTTCAAGACGCATAAATCATCAATCAAACCAGCACTCGTAGGACCGAAGAAACTTCCACTCCTTCCCTAGCGTCCAATAGCTTCGATAATTTCTACCAAGAACAGGTATAAATCCCTATTCTATCTTCTTCGTCACGAAAATCTTACACCTTGTTAGCGGCGGAAACAGAAAACGCACATCATCTTAGCTGCTGTGATGAGTAGTCTGGCGGGAGTCGGGATTATTGTTCTCTCGTTTTGGTTTTGCCTCCGTCGCACGCAGCACAAGCCCCTGCTTCCTGCCATCTTCCGGCATCTATCAACATCAAGGACTGTAACTCCATATTCAAAGGCATCGAGCAGCCTAACGTCGCTTCGAACCCCTTCGCCGCAATCTCGCCATGCCGACGACGACACTCATTCCGTCCTCAGCAGCGTCCCTCCGTCGTACCACTCACGGTCGTCCACCGTATCCTAAAGGCCTCATATCTCATCATATCCATCAAATCTGCGGTTCCTCTTTTATGATGCGTCATCCCAGATACAGACATTATATTGTACTTTCTTTGAGGCTACAAATTGTAGGTAGTTGGTACTCGTTCAATCTTTTGTAATCAGTTGCGCCAGGCGTGACTTGGCGTTCCTGGTGGTAAACTGCAAGAAGGTCGCCGCCTTTGTTACGAGACCGTAATGGAATGGAGGCTCGTTAGTATGAAGTGCTCTGAAACTTTGGGACAGGGTCCAACAAGGAGCTAGGAACAGCGATCTCATTGGTTCGGCCAGGATTTCTCAGCCCGCTATTGGCTGTCTGGATGTTTGTCTTTATTTGCTCCAAAAAAAGCTCTTTCTCTTCTGATTGGCTGGAGTGAGCGCCAGACTTCGCTGCAAGTAAGTGGTCATGTGAGCCCCCTTGATACCCCCTGATAGGGCATAAAGAGGGCACCCAAAACTAACCAGGGGCCAAATGAGGCCAACCGTAGGTTGGGCGATGAGGCCCAACCTGCAAAGCAGCACTTAGAACAGCTTGAGAGAGAGTAATTAGTGTGGGAATGGCCTACAATAGTTGCCAACATCCCTTATGCAGTGCAAGATGCAACAAAACAAGGTATGAAGCAGATAGTTGCAATTGGGGATTCTGAACATGACCCAGATAAATGTGGCCCAAGTGTTGAGTATGCACCAGTCTTCAACGGTCTCGTACATGCCGTGCTCCTAGCATCGGCCCTCAAGCCCAAGTAAACTGATATCGTGTTGGTTGACTCCGTAAGGCAACGTTCCCATACGCTTTCCAAGTTTAACCTGTGTCACATTAAAAGGCTAGCTTGATGTTCTTCGTCAGGAACGACGTTACAGTTCTCCACACCGCTACTAGTTCAGCACGCAGTTCATGCTGATTGGGAACGGAGACCCCGACCTCGAGCGTTACTATTCTCGGGGCCCAATCAATACACGCCTAATTCCTGTCGAAATCGCCGACCAGATCATCGCATCCCTCATCGACGGCGACAACAACAAGACGGAATACCAAAAGGGCGTCTTGTCTACTCTGAAGGCCTGTTCTCTTGTTTGTTGGACGTGGAATGAGATTCTACCCGGCTCCTGACCTTCGTTCCTTTCAGTCAGGGATTTTTCTGATTGTCCTCGCCTCGGCGAGTCCATCCGCCCCTCCTGCTTGACGATCGTGTTTCGCCTGTCGTACCACGAAGAGTCACGATACCTCCCCATCTTCTCATGGATTGAGAGTTGTCTCAACTGTCTGCCGTTCCCCCGTGGCCTTCATAGTTCGCATATTCAGGTCTTCAACCTTCTAGCGTTCCCACATACCTTCAATTACCCTACTCGTGCGCACTACGAATTATTGCACCGAGCTCTCCGGCGTTTTCATGCGCTAGACCGTACAAATGTCACATTTAACTTCCTATTCTATTCTATTCAACCACCCCCATACGATAGTTCTGAGTTGAAGGAGGTATTTGGTCCGCCGTTAGAAGCCAGTAAACTAGTGGTTGATGTGACTTTTCAGGAGTGGTCTCACAAATAGTACACAGTGTTGCATCTGGGACTCATGTATGCATCCCGAAACAAATCTCCAGCGGTTTGAGCGTGCTCAATGATGCATGGACAGCAATACGATTGGCCTACGGACTCGGTTATGTTTAATTTTCCATTGTAAATGTAATCCTACGCTCATTGCCTCATCGCCTGCTACTACGTACATCATCCTGGGCCATCACAGCCTGTACGCAAAGATCGCTATTGATCTTCCTTACCAATTGGCGCGTAACCTGTCACAGTAACCTATTTGCGAGTCAGACTTCTTCATGCTCAGTGTAGAAAAGAGCTCTGGAGCGTACTGATCACCATCAATGGACCCCTAAGTTCTGGACCACCCCTATGTTTGTCTTACCCCAGTCCCAAAGTCAACTGAAGCGAGCTACAAGGCTTCGTTGACTTGTGCGCAAAGCAGAGTCCTTCAGAAATCTGGCATCGACAAGAAATAGGGAATACAGAGTTGACTCGTGGTAAAGTAATCGGGGCGTCCAGGAAGAGCATACACATTACATCGAGATAAAGAAAGGATACAAAAATACAGCATCAAAAGTCCGTCTATAACATACATGCCACGCAGGAGTCTTGTGTGTCCATTAGCAGGCGACCATTCGGTGATATGATGCATGCAGCGACACGCTCTAGAAGCAGCATGGTATAGGGATGATGTAGCACACTCCTCCTCCCTATTTCCGCACCTTGTAAGTACTCCATCGCTATCTGTCATCGACGCTAGATTCTACTCACTGGGCACGGAATGCAACCCCCTCGGAGTCTCTTCGCCCCCTCTGACTGGCCATCTTCAGGCTGGGCCGCTTTCATGGTAGGACCGGCACCAGGCTGCGCAGCAACTACTCTGGCAGAGTCGGTGTCTTTCATTGATGCATGTGCAGCAGGTGGGTAGGCTGGCATCATTGATTGCGAGGATGGCATGCTTGTTGTGAATTTGTGATGTGTGGATGGTTGTGGGTGCGGACGGAGGCGTGGTGATGCACTGGGTGAGCGGCTGGCTAATTCATATAGGGATAGGGGCTGGCGCTTGTGCGGGTGACGTCGTTAATATAAATAAACTTTACCGCCAGAAACCCCCAGGCACTCGTCGGAGTCAATGGTGCCAGTTATAAAAGAACTAGACAGGCAGTCGATGAGGATCTGAGCTCGGGACCGCGAGCGCTGCAAGATATGGGGAGTACTATATGCTTTGTGGTTTCTAGGTACACGGTGTTCTTGGATTACTAACTACATAGTATACCATGGATGAGACACTTGCTAGCTCGTCACACACGAGCGGTCTCGCGATCCACCATCGGAGGCGTAGCCGCGTCAGTGTTCTTCGCCCTCACATCCTTGGGGACACCGCCGACATGTGGACAAAGTCAGTATTAGCAAGTCTCTACTCGTCAAAGGAGGATATGTACTCACCAGCGGGGCCGCCGCCGAGACAGTCACCCACGTCTTAAGAGCCGCTGTTGCCAATCTACGAGAAATTCAGAGATCAGTACGTAGTACGCGCGTGTGTCAAGACTTATGGCACCGCGTGACCAACTGCGAGGTTTCCCTTCTACTCAGTGGCCGACGGAGCGTGGCCAGCGACGCAGCGCACTCAACTAGGTCCCACTACTTAGCGCTTAGCGTTTCGCCCTGGTCGACACCGCGCCCGACTGAGAAGATGCGCCAGCCGCCTTCACCTGCTGCAGGAGCGTAGGAAACCAGGTCCTACACCCGTTGGCGATTACACGCGGGAGCTGGCGGAATGCAACCAGTGGGCACGATCATCCAAGGCGAGGTTTGCCAGAGGCCTGGGACGATCCTAGTTTGTTGTGGCTACAGCGCGTGGAGACAAGGCCACGGTCTTGCACTGCCTCCCATAACGCGCTGTAAACTGCGCCTTTTGATCCTCCTTCTTGTCGGCCGCCCTATTGAAGGAGAGAGTGAGCGGGTGATATGACGCCAAGGCGCGCGATGATTACTTACGAGGATGGTGGGGAAGAACAAAGGAGTGCATACCAAGGACCCGCCCTTAGATAACGACCCATTGTTTGCCACCGGGGTGGTCGGGGAATGCTGCCTCGTCCAATGAGACTGAGTTGTGAGTGGTATGTCAGCATCGTCGGCGGGGGTGGTCGACCGACTGTGTTTCGTCCTGTTTGGTTTCGTTCGCTACTTCCTTCCTAGTTCAGTCTCCCAGTTCAGAGTGATAGAATTGCTTGCTGCGTCCCTGTACGCCCATACACTCTGAGTCACTAAGCGAGTCACTGAGAGGGGTCTCAGTTGTCCACATCCGTAGGGTCACAGTAAGGAGGTTGGACCATCATGACTGGGAAGAATGTGGTCTTAGTAGAAGATAAATAGTCGGAGTTGAATATTGAATAAACGCGTGGAAGTGACACACGACTTATTTTTGTGAGTACCGATGAACTCCGTTATCACTTCAGCTTCGGTTTGAAAGACTGAACTCGGTTGCCCTTGCTTCGTATCCATTCGTCTCCAGTCAGTCACGAAATACGATGCGCTCAACGTTAAAAATACACGCGTCTAGATTAGAACTCTCATCGATCCATTGTCCGACATACACTTAAGACCCGAGGGGCCGATACATAATGCGTGAATATACGCAAGTTCTGCAGTTTGATTCATGTCGACGACCTCGGACTGGCGCGCATATATCGACGTGACGGGGCAGCTTCACCATAAGTACACTCATCGTGTCCTGGCTGATGAATCATAGGTTGTTGTAATCCACCCCGATGATGCCATTAGGGCCGCCGAAGGGATGGCCAGTTATGCAACTTCAGTGAGTCGTATGTCATCGATGATATCTCTGGAGATATCCTACTTACGAAACACTGTTATCTATGCCTGCTCGAGATACAGCAAGTTCCATAACGGTACTGGGTCAACCATTTAGGGCTGCCGGGCTGCCGCCGCCACTTGCCGTCCTCTATGCGACTAGCCATCGTCACTCAGCCTCGCCAATATTCAGATGCCGGCGTAAACACCGGTAAATGGCGGACGATAAACAATGGAAAAATGGAAACACGGGTATGCCTGTCGTTATATGGAACTTGCTGTAAAGAACGCACATGCCTGATCCTCCACACTGATCGGCGAGGTGCGACACCTGTGAAGACGCCACGGTGCCCCCCCATCGGTGTGGGATATCCTTTGGAATGGATACATACCGCTGTATCTGTAATCAATTGCAGAATTGGGGACCATAGTATGCCACGGACTACTACGACAGTAGCTGGAGAAGGAACTTAGTAGTACGTACTTTGAAGTGATTCTGAATTGTTATGAGTAGTGAATACATCGATAGATCTTGGCATCATGACAGATTGTATGGATGACGGAATTTGTAGGAGCAGTGAAACACTGCCACAGTAGAAGACTGTCGGATGAACCCAAACATAGTCGCTACACGTTGCCTGTACAGCAACTCCCGTCATCCATCTGGCGTACCTGAGACGAGAACAACACGGTACTACCCATCGTTTGGCTGCTCCAGGACATAGCAAAAACCTGATATGTATCGACACGATTTTTGCCATCCACTCACAGCAAACGCCTACCGGTACGCATCTATCACAGAATATACGCTACACCGAGCCACGGAAAGGCATCTCCACTCACCACCTCATCTAATCAAATCAAAGGGATAACAAAATGAATCTCCTTCTAATTTTAATCGTGCTTCACGTACCTCGAACAAACTTTGAATGTAAAGAAGGTCTCATACCGGAGCCTAAGTTCCCAGCGAAAATGGTCTAGGTTCCATACACAGTCAATTGGATAAAAGGCTGGCAGTCATTCGGAGCATTGCTCTCATTGCCTCCGAATCTGACCCAAACCTCGATAATGAAGGTACTCCTCAATACATCGCCCGACCCACTAGGAGGACTACCGATAAAACCAGTAAGCCCATTGCATCACTCACCCTTTATGACCCTCATCGAGCGTTCTACATGTGCTCCAGGAGCTACAAACTCAGGATGTCGCAGTCAAAGAAATTGTCCACAAGTTCCTCACGGAGTGTGGCACGCAGTACTTCACCGTACCCTACTCTTATGACCTCCATGCGTTATGCATCCAAGATGCTATCAGGCGGGGTTGTGTCATGGACGGTGAATTCGGCATGCAGCACTGTATCCCTGGGGGCGTGGTGATGGCTATGACCGCTTTCGCCCACTTGGATAACCAAGCCACTAGGATACTCATAGCATTGTACACCGCCTTCTTGATTTTCCTCGACGACTCGTTTCCGGAGGCCATAGAACTAGTCGCCAGCTTCAATTTGAGATTCATTCGGAAGGAACTCCAAGGACACGCCAGTCTCGACGCATTCGCTCAGATTTTGCGCGAATTGCCACACCACTTTGGTAGTGTCTCGGCCAACATCATGGTTTCATCGTCGTTGAACTTTGTCACTGCGTTGTCCTTGGAGCACGAGGTGCCATCAATGACGGTGATTTATTCCACTGAGAATCCCATGATATCATACGGCTAACAGAAATTGGCTAGATATCCCCCTCCGCGGGCTCATTTTCCACATTCTCCCGTGTCATGTCGGGTGCCTCTGAATGCTACGCGTTGTTCACATTCCCACCCGAGCTCCCATTGAACTCGTTCGTACAAGCCCTCCCGGACATGATGACATATATTAACAACGGAAAGTCAGTAAAAGTTCCCGACATACCTTCCAATCCACTCATTATTGGCCTCCAGTGATGTCCTATCATTCTACGGGGAAGAATTTGCCGGAGAAACGTCGAACCGAGTGTCCATTCTAGCGACCTGCGAGGAAGCTTCCAAACATGACATCCTTCTCCGCCTAGTGGCGGACGCGTCAGCATGCCATCATCGGGTGCTGGGCATATTAGCTCTACACCCAGCGTCTCTGGAGGCATATGGAAACTTTGCCCGCGGTTATATTGGTTTCCATACTTCAACCCCGAGATACAAGCTAAACGACCTTTTCTGCTGAGGGAGGCGTACTAGAGTTGTTTTCAAATAAGAGTTACGCGCTCTTAGAGTGTAGTATACAGCTAGTATACTACAGGAGATAATTATACGCTTCTCCTCACCCTTTTCGAACGATGTGGCTTTGAAGCAAAATGGTACCATTTAAGGTAAGTAGTGTTTGATCGCTCAGGCACACGCTTATGTAACTTCTGTTCTTATTCTTATCTGATCAATGCAGCCACTGACTCTTCTAAATCGACTATCACAATGGCACCGTCAGAATTCTCATTGAGGCTCCAGCATGGTTCGCTTCCTTGCTTAATTAGAGGAGGCCTCATCTCCCAACCTTCTCATCATAGGTATTCAAGGCGGATTCGCTCCCCCGACCCCGAATGCCGTTCACACTGTCACGAGAGCCAATAGCAACCAGACATCGCTACAAATCACCTCTGCGGTGCGCCCTGACGGCACCCCCCATCTTGAGGATGCTCTCCCAAAGAATCTCGCACACGATGACTCCGTTGATGCGCTGGTTGGAGAGCTTCATGGGATCCTCAAATCTATCCCCACTGAACAGCCTCCTGGCAGCGAAGATATCTACGGGCTGGATACTAGCATTGCTTGGGGCAGTGAGGATCTGATGTGGTGCAATGGTGGGCCTCAAGGCTGTGGAGGAGGCTCAAGTGAGGTTCAGCCTAGTGATGAGGAGAAGGCCAAATTTGCGCGTGCAGTAGAAATTGTCAAGGAGCTCGTGGCCAAGGCTGGCTGAAGCAATATCGCTTTGCACGTGCCCTATCATACAATGTATCAATATACATCACACTCTGTTCGATTTATTGCATGACATGTATTCTCTGAACCCGTGTAAGTATCGCACTCACTTGGAGGGAAACGAATAAGGAAGGTCTCCTGCTAAAGTTGGATTGCTGTCACAGTGACGGTGTCACAGCCTACAGGCCATCGAAGGAAGGATGTCGGTTGGTATTCATTATCTCGAGGCCATGATGGATGTCGACGACCCTGTCACACTGGCTTCAGAGGACTCGCTACAGAGAATAATACGCCTCCCAACCCCAGTGCCCCCTTCAGTTTCGTTTCCTTACTCCTACGACGAACATCGCGACCAACAGACACCGTTGATCATTGACAATGGGTCAACGTACTTGCGGTATGGCTTTGCGACGTCGTCCACTCCGCGAACAGGCCTCAACGTAGTCGCTAAGTACAAGGAACGCAAATCCAACAAGCCACTGCTCTTGTTCGGAGAGGGGATAGATGCGGAAAGCGGCGCACGGAGTCAGGCTAAGATGCCATGGGAAGGAGATGTTTTGCTGAACTTTGATGCCTTGGTGTGTCTCTGGGGCCAGCTCCCACTAACTGGCATATGGCTGTGGATGCTTACTCTGCTGAAACTCGAGATCTAGGAAAATTCTTTGGATTACGCGTTCATCCAGCTCGGGATAGACACGCCGACCGTAGACCATCCAGTATTGATGACCGAGAGACTATGTTCGCCACTACACTCCAGGGGCTGTACGTGGTTAACCTATAAACGACAAACGCACGCGTTGACACGATGCGACTCTAGTGACGTCCGAACTAATGTTCGAACAATACTCTGTGCCCTCGCTGACCTACTGTGTGGACGCGGTCATGTCCTTCTACCATAACAATCTGCCTTCGACTACCTCTGATGGGCTTACAATCTCCTTCAACACCGCTTCAACCTCTGTCATCCCAATTCTCGACGGCAAGGGTATCATGAGCCATGCCAAGCGGTGAGCTACCCCTTACTACACCCATTAACTGTTCTCATCCTTTTGAGCGAAGCATTCCTTGGGGAGCGTCTCAAGCATCGGAGTACCTCCTCAAACTTATACAATTAAAGTATCCCAACTTTCCCACTCGAGTAACTACGCTTCAGTCCAATGTACGTCCCATCCCCCTCCACACAGGATCTTGATGGTGAATAATCCCCAGTGGATGCTGCAAAACTTCTGCGAGTTCGCAACCGATTATACAGCGCTGTTGCGCAAACTCAAGGATCCCCTGAACATGCGTTCCGCTGGGCAGATCATCCAATTCCCTTTTGTACAACCAGTAACCGAAGAGAAGACAGAAGAGGAGCTTGTACGTATCGCTGAGAAAAGGAAGGAACTAGGAAGGAAACTGCAGGAAATGGCTGCAACGAAGCGAATGGAAAAGGTAATTGAGACGCTTGCCTTCTTTTGGGGTCAGCTTACGATGAACATCTTTAGCTGGTACAAAAAGAATCTGACTTGCAGTATCTTACCAATCTCAAAGATAGCCGAACAGAAAGGAACAAACGAGAGTGGATGGTGCGTATCTTTGATACTACAAGGGCTTCGACTAAACTGTAGCTCCAGAACAAGCTCCAGGGAGAGGGCTTCGAGGATGAGGCTAGTCTAGACGAGACTATAAAGAAACTCGAGACCGATCTCAGAAAAGCGAGGAAGAAAGACGTTGAAGGAGATGACCCAGCGGTATGTCCATGAAGGCATGCATTTACTGTTGCTATTCATATGGATCCCTAGGAAGAGCCATCGTTCCCTCTTGTTGATGTTCCTGATGCTGAGGTATGTTCCCTGCTTCTGCTTCAGTGGTCCTCGGTCGTCTGACGGTATGTGTTTAGTTAGACGAAGAACAGATCAAGGAGAAGAAGAAGCAAAAGCTCCTGAAGGCTGGCTTCGAAGCGCGTGCACGAGCTAGGAAAGAGAAAGAGAGAGAAAGAGAGGAGAAAGAAAGAGAAGGCAGGAAGGACGAGGAAGAGAGGTTGAATGATCCGTCAGCATGGGCGAGACAAAAGAGACACGAACATGAGGTTGGTTCAAGGCATGTGTTGTTATCTCCCCCGTTGACAGTTATTCTGCAGACTTTGATGACGCGGATCAAGGACCGCGCACGGAGGCGAGCGGCTCTTAGTGATAGAAAGAGTGCTGCGGCGCAGGCGAGGATGAAGAGTATAGCAAACCTTGCTGCTGATGATCGTGTGCCTAAGAAGAAGCGAAAGGCTGGAGGGGGTGAGTTCAGTCCGCCCGTTCGGCAATGACTTTGCTGAATGAGAGACGATTTCACCAGAGGATATGTTCGGCGCTGATGATGCCGACTGGGCCATCTACCGCAAAATAGTAAGAACCTTCTATTTGCACAACTGCTATTTCAATAAATTAATCTGTATCAGAATGCCGCAGCTGCGTCATCTGATGAGGAAGAAGACATGAACCAACTACATGCCGTCGAGGCTAAGCTCCTTGAACACGATCCTAATTTCACAAACGAACACACCCACGCCTCCTTGGCGTCCCAGCGTTCAGCCCTCCTGTTGGCATTTCGCCCCGTTTATGAAGAGGGCGACATCGAAGGTATGGACCGATCTATCCATGTCCACCACTAGCTCAGACTGATCTTCAATAGGTAATACTCGAATACATCTTAACACCGAGAGATGGCGTGTCTGCGAAGCATGGTTTTCTCCCGGAATGGCAGGTGTGGACTCTGCTGGCCTCGGTGAAGTGGTGCAGAATGTTCTCGCTCCATTCTCTGAGGCTGAGAAGGCACGTCTAGTGAATGTGCGTAGAACCCGTTTGTGAGATATTTCGTTCTTGCCTGACGTATGCACTCGGTTCCTAGAACGTATTTATTACTGGGAATCCCTCTCGGTTACCAGGGCTGGTGCCAAGGTTACACGCAACTCTGCGACCTATCATGGCACCCGAAATGACCATCAATATTAAACAAGCAGGAGATCCAGGATTAGATGCATGGCGAGGCATGGCTGATTTTGGCAAAACGGACGATTTCAAAAACAGCAACTTTGCGGTGACGAGAGAAGAGTACGAAGAATGGGGAGGTGAACGAGTGAAGAAATGGTGGGGTGGTAATTGGTCTTCAAGCTTTGTTCCATGATCATGCTTTTACGCAGTCCGTTTGTATGGTGTATTTTAATCTGAGAATGCAGCGTGTTCGTAACCAAGGTTTGAGATGTACGGTCAGGGCGGCGCCGGTCCATGGACTAGGGCTATGACCCACGTGTTCCGCGCCGCCAGGCATTTCACTGTCAATACTGTTGCACTTCGTCGGTCACCTTCTTCCATCCTTCACCTCGTCGTGCAAAGGCCTACAGCTTTTGCAAGGAATTCTCGTCGACCAGCTTATCTTTTCCCGAACACCTTGCGCATCCACAATGCCTCCTCCACACTATGATTTCCTCATCAAGGTCTGTCTATATCCTTCATGACTTCTTTGCGCAGCAACGCTTAACTTGTATTCTCTTAGTTGTTGTTGATTGGCGATTCTGGCACGACCGTGGTTCTTAGACTCTTGAACGGGTTGCGATAACTGTGATTTTTAGGTGTTGGGAAGTCTTGCCTCCTTTTACGGTTCTGCGATGATGCATGGACGCCTTCCTTTATCACAACAATTGGTATCGACTTCAAGATTCGTACGATAGAGCTCGACGGAAAGAGGATTAAGCTACAAATCGTGCGGAGTCTACCATTCTTCCAATACCAATCACTGACTCCGTATGGCGTCGCTTCTTGCTTGTATCCTCGCAGTGGGACACCGCTGGTCAGGAACGATTCAGAACGATCACCACGGCATATTACAGGGGTGCCATGGGTATTCTACTCGTATATGACGTTACAGATGAGCGTTCATTCAATAGTGCGTAGATACAGCCCTTCTGACACTCCACGCTGTACTGACACATGTGCAGATATCCGCACCTGGCATGCCAATATTGAACAACACGCTTCTGAGGGCGTCAACAAGATTCTGATTGGGAATAAGTCAGACTGGACAGACAAGCGAGCCGTGACCGAAGAGCAAGGGCGAGAGCTGGCAAGCGAGCTGGGTATCAAGTTCATGGAGACTTCTGCCAAGATAAACGAGGGAGTGGAAGAGGCGTTCTTCACTTTGGCCAGGTAAGCACTGACACTTCGACATTCACACTAGGTCCTAATGTTACACCGTAGGGATATCAAGGCCCGTCTCATCGATTCTCAAGGCGACTCGAGTCCTCAAGCTGCGTCCGGAAACGACGGGAGTGTTAAACCTGGTGCTCCCACTGCCCAATCTCAGGGCTGCTGCTCATAAACCTACAGCATCATCGGAGGTATATTTGTATCCTTGCCGCCTTCACTTTTGTGGATTTATAATATACTCCATCAACATGCATACTTCTTTCTTCTGGCGCGACGGTCTGTTCCCTCTATCCTTGTTGCTTGCCGTATGTATTTTACTTGTAATACACCTTCAATGGACCTTGTCTCTGGATGAATGGTAGGTTGATCCAAACGCGTCAATAAGGTTGCCGGGCGATCGCGATCTGGCCACTTGGCGCTTGCTCGACTTCTATTCCCAGAGGCCTGCGCCACACTAGCTTTCCTTTCTCTATCTTTCGAGCTCCTTATCATGCGTATAGCCTTATAGCCCCGTGTCGACCTCCGCAGCAGGACAAAGGACTTCTCACCCTCTGGCATCATATACAGAGCCTTTCCTACCATGATGGACCCTGTCCGACCAAGCATGGCCCCAGTTCGCAAACATCTCGACCCCAAATTTTCCAGCCCGTCGTCTTTCTGTACGCTCGAGGCAGCGGAGGACTGCATAGCAGAGTTGAAAATAATTGCGACGAAAAACAATATCAAGGAAGTCATCGAGGGACTCTTGGTTTGTGGCGTTCAAGCTATCGCATTATTTCTATCGTGTAGGTCCTTCATCTGATGTGGACGTGCCTATTGATGCTCACGATCATATCGTATCTAAAGCTGTAGAGACCCACCACAGTACTTGGCTCTTGGACCTCTTTCCCGCCAAACCCCACCTTTATTGCTCGTCAATATTCCCAGTTCTTCTGTCCCAGATTGGGGACTTACTATGTTTCAACGACTTTGACAATGCCGACAGAAAGGATATGGTTGAGACACGCCGCATGATTAAGAATGCGCCCGAACAATTTGCGACACTCTTGTCTCTCGAAGTTCCGGACGCCAAAGGGGACGGCGATCTTCAAACCCTAGAACCAGAGTTTGGCATCAAGCTCACTCAAAGGCAAAGAAAACAAGCCAAGAAGAAAGTCAAGGGGACGGTCGTCGTGGACACAAAAGTCTTCGAGGATTGGGGTTTGCCAGTGCCCAAGTCCAAGATGGATGCTGAGGACTCCGCAAACATAATTCTCGAAGAACTGAAGGAAATTTGGGCGGTTGGTCTTCGTATCTCTCCTGATAAATCAACCTAACCGAATGGTTTTAACTAGGATTATCTACATATTTGTGCGATGCCCACCTTTCAACTGGCGTTGAGGCCAATTATCTTTCCCGCCAAACCCCCCTCTCCTGCACGCAATACCTCACCTCCTACTATCAATGAAGGGCAGATAAATGTTCAAGCTGGTGAACTTCCCGTAGCGATTTCAGAGGTGCAGCCGTTGAAGTCGTAAGTTCCGTCGCTCTGCTGAGGCCATCGCTTCTCATGGCTCGATGCTACAGCGCGTTGCAATTTGAGAACGTGGAAGGCTTCGGCAATTGGCGGGTCCTCATATCAGGGCGCGCAGACGGCGACTTAAGAGAAGCCAGGAAGAAGGATCGAGAGTCGTTCCGCATCATCATGAAGAAGATTAGGTGCGCACAATTCGACTTTCCTTCGAAAGGAAATTATTATCCCTGTTTTGTAGGGAGCTCTCGCGCGGACACTTCTCGGAGGACAACCAGAAACGCTTGACAGGCGCCGGCCCTGAAGTGCCTATATTTGAAGCGAAGATGACACGCGATTCGAGATTGGTGGTACGTCCAAGTTGAGGTTCATATCCTAGGATCCTACGGCTTATGACAACCCTAGTACCAAATCGACTGTATCAGTGATATTGATCACGACGTAAGTCCTGCTCATCAGCTGGTTATGCATCCACTCAACTATATATCCTCGTCAAGGCCGAAATACAAGGTATATACTTCGTGGCTAGCCGCTAGTCCTAGCGCAGTACTTACCTCGCACCCTATAGTCATCCGTGTGTTTGGTATATACACCCACGCACAAATAGCCCACTCCCGATTTTGGGACTCCCTCGCGCGTCACATCGGCAAGAAAGGCAAGGAGTATCGAGACCGATGCGTGTACCGATTGCCTCAAGCTTCTAAACGGGACAGAGTGTACGACCCGGCATCATTTCCTCCTCGTGAGGAGACGGATGTCATTACTTACGATCCTTTGGACTTGCCAAAGGAAGATCTTGACGAGGTATGTCTTTCCGTAGTCTCAAGCTTTGTCCTACCCCTGATGGTGAGTTGTGTTATTTGCACAGCTGCATTCCTTAATGATGTTGGTGTTTCTTTTTTTTACGTGCGTGCTATCAGGCTCACAGAATGGTTGCTGTACAGTTTAGGGAAATTCATCACATTCTCTCGTGTAAGCAATTTACTTCGTCCCGAGTAGCTTGTGCTGATCGTCCATGGTAGCCCGTGTGGAACAGTGAGTCTGCTACCTACTTGCCTATTGATCATTCTTAGCGAACTCGGCAGGTATTATCGCGGATCTCGATACGACGTTCCCTTTTGATCTGTCGTATGTTACATTTAACCGATGGGGACGGTTGAAGATATCTAATCATTCGTGTTAGACCTCGCGAGATGAAAATTATTGAGTGCCCAGCATCCTGCTACGTACTTGGCCGAAGCGGTACTGGGTTAGTGCCATCGCTAAAACACATCGCTAATTCGTCTGACTCCTTTAATACAGGAAGACGACGACGATGTTGTTCAAAATGGTATGCGTGGAGGCAAGCTACGATGTTATGAAGGCGACAACTCGGAAACCTCGCCAACTTTTTGTTACTCACTCACGTGTTCTAGCCACCAAAGTTGCAGAATATTTCTCCAAGCTCACATCATCGCTGAATCTCGCCTCTCGGTCGCTTCAAGAGTTGAAGCTGCACAAGGATGCTGTTCACCAAGATATTGGCATGATCGATACGGAGGAAGAAGCTGCGGAGGTGGACTTGCCCCCTTTGTTCAGCCAACTCAAGGAACAACATTTCCCGTTGTTCATTACGTATACCCAGGTACGCTACTATCGCCCCCATGCTGCATTGCCTCCTAAATCGACCTTACCAGTTGTGTGCTATGTTGGGGGCCGACTATACTGACAAAGGGTTCTTCACGAAACGCTCTGGCACTCTCGTAACATATGATCGCTTCCTCAAGGAATACTGGGCACATTTCCCACAAACATTGACCAAGCGGCTAGGTGAGTCTGCACAGGGCTATCACCTCTTTCACCAAGCCAACGCGTGCATGTAGATCCGGCGTTAGTTTACAGTGAAATCATGGGTTAGTGACCTGTCATTTAGTCTTGTGTTCGTTGTTGATCTGATTGGCTATGACAGGGATAATCAAGGGCTCTGAGAAGACATTGACATCCCCAGAGTGGTTCCTTGATCATTCCGCTTACATGGGTCTAGGTCATCGCGCGTTCTCAACATTTGCAGATAACCGAGCCACGGTCTATGAAATTTTTCTTGCGTACACTAAACAGAAACGCGCGAATGGCGATTATGATGCCGCAGACAGGTCCGTCCGATGGATCAAATCATGACAGTAGCTTTGTCTCATATTCTGTATCTAGGTCTCATGACATCCTGCAGGCTATTCGGAACCACGACGTACCCGGGAGCACGATTGACTATCTGTTGAGTTGGCGTCTTGGTACTCAAAGTAAAGCTAACAACATGAGAATGCTAGATATGTCGATGAAGTTCAAGACAATCTCCTTATTGATGCCCTAGGTATGTCAACTGTGATACACCCATGCTGATCTTGAATTAATCTCGCCCAAGTGCTCCGCTCAATCTGTTCAAATCCAAATGGTCTGTTCTGGGCAGGGGACACTGCGCAGACAATCTCGGTTGGAAGTTCGTTCAAATTCAACGAGTTGAAAGCACTCTTATATCGAATAGAGGTACGTGTATCTGTCTTACGTGTATATCTGTCTTCGACGTTTAGATAATCCTCTCGTTTTATGCTTCCAATAGAAAAAGCGCGTCAAGGACAGCCGTTTGGAACCCGACAAGCCCGCATCATTTCAACTAGCTGTCAACTACCGTTCTCACGGCGGCATCGTCAACTGTGCTCATTCTGTGGTCCAACTCATCATGCGTTTCTGGCCCGACGCAATCGATGCTTTGCAACCTGAACATGGTGTTATTGATGGTCCAAAGCCCGTATTTTTCAACGGATGGGATAGAGATACGATGCGTTACGAACAATTCCTTTTTGGCGCATCGTAGGTCCCAGGCTATTGGTGAAGTGCCACATCTACTGATCCGACACGCTAGGGGTCAATCCATCGAATTCGGCGCGGAGCAATGTGAGTCCTAGCACCCCGAGCCCGTTCACGTATTTATCATTGCTCCAGGTATCCTCGTTCGCGACGAAAATTCCAAACTACGACTAAGGGAGCAAGTCGGCGACATTGGTATCATAATGTAGGTCGAAAGCAGCCAACACCTTTAACCTGGTGATGATTGCTGCTATAGGACGGTCTACGAAAGCAAAGGTCTGGAATTCAATGACGTACGTGCACACCCTCTCGACAAGCTACTACTGAGTTTTGAGACGTCCGCACAAGGTGCTTCTGTATGATTTCTTTGAGGATTCCACTGTGGAGCTATCGCGCTGGCGGGTTGTCCTGAATGCCTTGGAAGGTCAATCTGCCCCGGACGTTGAAGCTAGGCATGTCAGTGTCTGTGCAGAGGTCAGTCTTCGACTCTTCCGCGTTTCATGATGCCTAACTTGGGTACAGCTGAAAAGCCTATACGTGTCAGTTACTCGCGCACGGAAGAATGTCTGGATCGCGGATTGTTCTGATAAGGGTGAGCCAATGAGGGTATGTGATGCCTGTTTGTCCAGGACGGCTTCTCCAAATTTACAAGAGTCTAGGTTTATTGGACGAGTAACAACTTGATCCAGAATTGCACTCCAGAGGATGTCCCCCATCTAGCAGTTAAGTCCACAAAGACTGAATGGGCCAACCAAGGCAGATCCCTCTTCGATAATCGCAGATATTACCAGGCAAAACACTGCTACACTCGTGCCGAAATGCCTCGCGAAGCAGCAGTCGCAGATGCATATTTTCTGCGGGACCAGGCTCGGAAGGTTAGATCCCGTTCGACAATTAAATCTGAGATACTGGCCTTTGAATCCGCCTACCGTCTTGCAGCTGAGCGGTTCCAGGGGTGCGCCCTCGATCCGCCAAACCCGAGGAACCGTAGGCAGTACTTCGTCAACGCTGCGGACTGTTTTGAAATAGGTGGCGACTACTTCCGCGCCGCTGAATGCTACGAACACGTAGAAGAGTTCACGAAGTCTTGTAGGTTATATCGCAAAGCAGGCAAATTTGTCCAGGCCGTCGATATCATCAATTCTCACAAGGGACAGATGGACACGGACGTTGCTGAAAGTATCATGGACGTTGCTCGTTTGTTCTATTTCACCAAACATGACCTGAACTGTGTGCTGGGTCACCGTTCCTGCAGACAAGGCGATTCTGACGAACATTGCGAACATTTCGGGAAAGCCAGAGATCTGTTTTCATCTGCGGAGGAGGGCTTGGAGTACCTAGAAGATCGAGACTTGGATGTGGCCAGAGCGACCCTAATGGCTTCAATTCCCGGTAAATTATCCGAGGCCGCTGAAATCCATCTAGCGGAAGGGCGGAGTCTGGACGCTATCCGGCTCTTCCTTCAAGATGAACGAAGCGATACCGCCATGCGCCGGGCTTCCAAGTCACTCCTGGAAGGCCTGTGGCGACAAATGTCGTTCGGAGTGTCGGCGAGTGAACCCAATGAGGAGCGGGACACACTCTTAGGTTTCGCTGCTAGCATCGACGCCTCGGCTCTTGTCCTCGGTGAGAAACTCGAGGTTAGTTGACCTTTGTTCGCTACGTATTGGAACCTCACCAGGCATACAGATTTCTATGTTCCAAACAATTTCCCGCTGGGCTACGACAAGATCCATCACAGCTTCAAAGGAATTACTGGATTTGAGCTTGAAGCTCTCAGTCGACAAACGTCCAGCGGCAACACTTCTATGCCTCGACCATTACTTTGCACAGGGCTCGTTTACCTTCGACGGTCTGAACGCTGCAGGAGTCGCTGAGATTCTCTCTCATTTCATCCGATATTCAGAAGCACTCTGCGATGTAGCGCTCAATCGTGACCCATGCAGGTCGAATTCCGTTCGGACACTATTTGGCATCAAATTATCCAACGAGAATGTACTCCACATCCCCCGGGACACCTATCTCGGGTCACTCGTCCTTGACAAACGCATCAGGGTTCTCCAGCCCACCGAAGATGGCTATTTAATCAGCAATTCCATCCTTTCAACCGCTTTTCGGGAGGCGCTCTGCCAAAGACTTGCCTCCAGAATACGAGAAGAAGAAGCGCGGTGTCGGGGACTTGCTGTGTTTTCTCCGTGCCTTTCCTTTGCCATTTCCAATGAGTGCCGCCGTCCCAACTGTACGGATGAACATCGATCAGCCGATATGTTCACGAAGGAGAGTTACAACCAACGATTACGGATCCACCTCCTCCAAATATACATATGTCACTTTTTGGATGATGTGGAAAATCCCAAGCGAAACCTTACGGCTTTGAAAAGGTATGAGGTCCCCTATATAAATATTACTGTGTGTCTTGACGACTCACCCTTTGCAGCTTCTGGACTAACCGGCTATATGAAGCTTTCAATCCCCCCTATCAACTCTTGGGCACTATTTGCGCAATCGACAGAACCCGCATCCCCAATGTTGACAAGTTATTTGCCGTAGCCAGGGTTTGGGTTCGCTTCCTGGTCTACTCTCTGCGCCACCGTGACCCCCCAGATCCGCCATTCATTTCGAATTTGATGCGCAACGTCGACCTGGCATGTACTTTAGACAGGTATCAGACCGACTCCTATATCTTTCGAACACCGTGTTTGATGGATCCAATTGAACGGCTTCCACGCGATTTCGTTCGTATGGCCGGTCCAAACCAAAGGAAGCCGATCGTGGGTGATTTTCTAGAATACAAGTATGGGCGGAAACCATGGTCCTTGTTTGCAGGGTCCGTCTTCTTGAAGTGGGTACATTTACATCTACGTTCGGTGTATTCATTAACATACCCCTCAGGACTATTATCGAGAGGCGGCTCTATATCAATTTGACGGTACTATGCGACTTCATTGAATCACTCTGTGCGGCCCTTGTCATCCACAACGCGTATGAATATCGACGAACGTTGCACGGTGTTGTACTCCCTCGCAGCTTGATTGCAAAAACACTGCAAGTCAGAATCTGGGAACAAGAATCAAAGCGGCATGTACCCTTCAGCATATACACGGATTCCGTGATATCCCTTTTGGAACCTCTGTTTGCTGGCGCCAACCGCGGTTAGCAAATGTCTTTCTGATGCTCGTTCTAGATAATTAATATCCCACTAGACATTTGGCATCATCCTGGTAGCCGTAATATCTTCATCGCTCGTATGTAAGTATGTCTATTTTTGAGAGGGTGTTCTGTCTGACGAATCCTTAACAGATGCAGATCTTTGTGTTTGTGTTAGTCTGCGACCATCGTGTTCGCCCGCATCAACGACGCTGATAACTACCCTTCCAGTTGGTTACAATGTACGTGTGGATCGCTTGCGACAACAAATCCTCCGGGGGATCACTGCCCTGCGCAAGGACGGTAGACGATTCCCCTGGCTATATGCTCAGTACGCCCACTATCCTTCCTCACTAAACATGTCTGATCAGACCGCCGAAGCTATGTCAACGCTACCTCATGGGATGGGCTGGCCCGAGCTTTCAGGCAATCCATCAGTGCCTCGCCTATGGACGAAATGGTCAAGCTAGTGCACGCAAAAGAAAATCCTGGATACGTCTCCTCAACCATTCGAAACGTTCGAAACGTTCGTTATGATAACGAGGACGAACTCTGGAAGCTCCTTGAACATACTCGCCTCTACCCAACTTCCGCTTTGTCGGCCGCCGCCGCACCATTCATTCCATACAAGTCAATCGTAGCGAACCTCCCCGCCCGAAAAGCGGGCCCGATCCCCCCACATGCCACCGTGTTAGAAACCCCGAAGGATCTTGTAACTGCAATCGACCCCCCCACTGATGACCGCCCCGCGCCAGCCCCAATAGAGGCGGACCAAACAATTCAGATCAGCAACCTCTCTACCCCAGATTCCAACCCTCAGCCGCCCGCGCCCCAGGACCAGGATGGTTCTGATGTCGATGATGATGAGGCCATGGAAGAACCAGACAATGTCCCTTTGGAGGAGATGCCAGAGGAGCAATATGTAGTCAATACGTCAGAAGAAACGAAGGCTGCGAAGATCATTCAGGCCGCCTGTCGCAACTGGTTCAATCGTCGGCGCAAGGTGACTAGAGACGACGGGTCTAATGCGGCCTTACGACATTTCTACCGGGCCAGTTTGGAAGTCGCACAGAAGAAAGAGTGGACTAGTGCTCTACATCGAAAGATGTTCCTCGGACCGCTTGTTCACACCCGCCTCTGCCTTGAAGGTCTGCACACGCACCTTCGCTCTCATAAAGAGAAGACCAAACTCCGCCTGCACATTGCGCAACACGAAGAGCTAGATAACTTAGGGCCTCGCCTAACCTTGATCAAGTGAGTGAATAATCAGTACGTTTGAACGCTTACAAACGAGGCAATTACCGCAGCACTACCTTCCGAGCAGTTCAGCGTTTACAGAAGGTCTTGGATCCTAAAAATGTGTTGCAAGAAGATGCAAGCATCGAAGGCATCAAGGCGACGGTGACAGAATGTGAAACCATTGTTCAGAAAATTGCTGCAACCTTGAACGTCCCTTCGAGGGTGAAAGAGGATCTGGACATCGGTATCAAAGGAATCTTGAAGGTCGCTCCCCCCAAGAAGCGAAAGCACAAGAAGGTCAAGCCAGGCCTAGTCATGGACGACGATATTTACTATGACGATGGATTTTCTGCCACGGACTCGGAATCCGAAGCCGAGGGCGGCTACACCTCGGATAGTCAGACTCCTTCGTCGCGCTCGTCTCAGGGGAGCTCTGGGATCTCAGAGGAGCTATTATCAGGGGAGGTATCAGGGGATGTGTAGCGAGACACCTCTTTTCAGTTACGTATCTTCTGTTTCATTTTGTGTTCGATGGAAAACCCTGTATTACTAGTATAATCAGATTTGTCAGACAATAATGTCCAGTACAACAGAATTAAGGCTCAAGAAAGACGAAAAAGATACACTACGAAACAGACATACGGTGGTATAAATGAGCAGGGCACTATCTTACCCGTAAACATATAAAACAACAGAATACCTTTAGGGAAAAAAATCTAACGAACAACCCAGTCACCTTTTATAACGCTACAAAAGTATTAGAGTAACTGCTAACCCTTTTCGTGGCAAGGAAGGTAGGAAGGTCTTGGTGTTCTGCTCGCATGCAGTCGATTGGGATTAGACCGGAATGTGTCTGTCCATCATCGACAAGCTTCTCGACAAACGCCCAGCCATCGTCGAATGACTGGACAACTCGGACCTTATCGCCTGGGCCGACTCCAAGTTCGTCACCGAGCGTGGGGAAGAAGGGTCTCTGAATGACTTCGACTTCAGCGAACTCGCCCTGCTCAATTCCAGCTACCTTCTTTTCTCCCGATGGATCGGCGAACGGATTCTCGACTGTCGGTACCGGCTTGCGTGTCACAGTGCTGTACCGAGTTGACTTCATACTGGTCGGTCGGCTAGTGAAATCTTTCTGGCTTTCCGACCATTTGCTTGAACGCTTGATAGGTGGTTTGGGGAACGAGAAAGACTCTGAAGGAGAGAAGGGCCGAACGGACATAGGCGTGGGCATATCAGTTGGCGTTGCTGTATCTGGTGCTAGTAAATCGGTCCTCGGCTTCGCAGGAACATTGGTAGGATGGATGACAAGCCATTGGCCGTCTTGCTCGCTGCTGTCGCTATGGGCGCTATAGACCGATGCTCTGCGCTCGGTTTCAACATTGATGAGTAGTGGACGAAGTGATACTGGCCCTCGTGCAGTAAGCGGACTGCTGTTGTTAGGTGAGTTGCGTATTTCGGCCATAGGTGGTAGCTCGGGTATCAACGATGCATCGAAATCTAGTGTGAGATGGGGCGACAAACCATGGTCGAAAGTTGTCGCGAAGCTGCTGCGAGCCGAAGCCGTTCCGCTCCCAACCCCAGCTGTGGCTTGCGTCGATTCCGGGGAATCAACTTGTCTGTGTTGCCACCAACGATCTCTCCGCTGACTTCGGCGGGCGATAGAGCGACGGCGAAGCAAGAACACCAACAAACAAAGGAGCACGATCACCAGTGATGCTATAATGCCAGCAATCGCGCCTGGGGATAGCCCACTGGACCCAGAAGATCCAGCAATGCTACCGGAAGCAAAAGGAGGGTCATTTTCTCCTGTGCTCCCGTTGCCATTCACCGTGGTACTCGATCCTCTTGAACCAGTTGTCGAGGAGGATGAAGCGCTTCCAGCGTGCGGGCCGCTGGTGTTTGTTCCAGAGTCCGAGTTGGAGCCATTTTCCGGAGAGCTGCCGCCGCTGCCATCTGAGGAGCCTGTGGATACATTGACAACGCCCGGGGGACCTGCCTCATCCGAGGAACTGCCTGACTGTCCACCTGCGCCATTGGACGAAGTCGGCGCGCCGCCTCCTCTTCCAGCATCAGAACCCCTGCTGCCCGCAACTCCTGTGCTACCCCCCTGTGCGCTCTCCCCGTTGCTGCTCTGGCTTGGGCTCCCTCCTGTGCTACTGGCATTTGACGGCTGGCCTATCCCACCAGTATCCCCTTGATTTCCGCCGCCTTTGTTATCGCCCCCTCCGTCACCACCGCTGGCCGCGCCCGTATCAGTCTCACTGCTGCCATTGCTACCACCACTTCCACTGCCAGTACCATTTCCCTCACTTCCTCCGTCACTCCCACTATTTCCTCCACTACTTCCTCCGGTGCTACCCCCACTGCTGCCTCCAGTGCTACCCCCATTGCTTCCTCCGGTGCTTCCTCCGGTGCCCCCTCCATTTTGGTTCCCCCCTGTACTGCTGGTGGGAGTCGGTGTTGGTGTTGATGCTGGTGTGCTCGATGTCGTTGGCTTCCCCGCAATTACATTTGTCAAGATCGGCGCCAATAAGGGTATCGAAGGCAATGGTAGTGGTATTGGTAAGTTGATTAAAGCTGGCTCTCGAGCGTCGAGATCCCCTCCACCGCCTCGGAGGGATCGCATGGCTTGGGCATGGCTTCTAGGTTCGCGTACGGCGCGCATGATGGTGATGCTAGGAATATTACGGTCACGAAACGAGTGTTGATTGTACAAAGGAGTGTGGGTCTGCGTATTTACAGGACGAGGGGAGAGGTATAGGGAGGATATGGTATTCACCCGAAGGGCATGGAGGGAGAAGAAAAGAGAATATCCGTTGCTAATCAATAAATCCTTGTTCTATCATAGGATCCAGCTTTGTGTGTGATCGAAATAATTACCCTCTCACCGACCACGCGCCTAGTTGGGCGTTGACACAATTGAATACCCGACCAATCATTATCTCTTCCCACTCCACAACTCGTTTGATCTCATAAGAGTTTGATACAGTTCACCAGCGTGTAGCAACCATCCATCTGGTCCATCATCTGGAACTGCGTGTGGATGCCTTGTCCCACTCCGAGATACCTGCGTTGTAGTGGTTGGTGCTTCTGGCGTAGCTTGCCAAGACCTGCTAGCCGGTAAACAGTCCTGAGCATTATTACGGGACGCACCGTACTAAAGTAACAAGGCGCATCAATTTTCCACTCTTACGCCGCTGTCGCTGGGCTGTCATGACTTCTCGTATTTCTCTGTTCAATATATACGAATAAAAGTGGTCTTCTCTCACATACGTGGTCGTGTCTGGTCGTGTATGCATATGTTCATGGAGCCCTAGGACTTCCTTGTCGTGCCAATCAGCCGATTGATGCGGGAGACCTGGAGTAATTCCACCGTCGGCGTAAGTACCAGCGTCTATGGTATGATGAATTACCTACTTCGTCAGATTTAACTATGCCGGTGGCTGTGTCGCCCTTCATGCTTCATGCTCCTTCATGTTGACGTTGAGGTCAGAGGTAGGCACAGGTACCAACGCTATGAAAGGCGTCGCAACCGCATTATTTTTGTCGGTTGTCGCGACGTCGGGACCTTGGAGCACTCAATGCAACGAGATCGAGTTTGCGGTTCCGCCTCGGAATGAGAGCATGACGTTCCCGTTGCAACGCCTCCCTGATACAGGGGTACCTCTTCAGTCCCAACTTCTACTATCTTCCCTGGCAGGTGTAGGTCGGGATGAAAGCTGCAGGTCGACGTGCAGTTGTAATCAAGGTAGTCTGCGATTGACCGCGAGAAAATCACAAGATTCGTATTCCATCAAATTCTGCTTGTACCATCAGTAATGCATCAGTCACCGCCGCATCGCCCGGACGATGGAAGAAAAAACTGCTCAGTATTATTCCAGACGTATCGCCGCAATGAACTTGTTCGATACCTAGGAATGAATAAATCACGAGTGCCGACAAGTGGCGCAGATGAGCACATACTGGAAGATGTATGATAAAGGCAAGAAAGTAAAGCAGATGTAAGGGAAAATCCCCGTTTCGCGTGAGTGGCGAGCCTTCCGTGTGGGTGTGGCTCTCAGTTGAACTGGCACCCACGCCCACCATCAGCAACCGATATCCGGTCGATGAGTTGGTCCAATACAGTGTGCCGGACACGGGCACAGTAGGTGTTTGACCCACGCGGTCGACGAAGATGGTCAAGAATGGTTTAGCTTATATGTCGCAATCCGAAGATATACCACGTACCATCTTTTTGCCGTTTACGACGAGATGCGAGCTCGGTCCGTCGGGCAGAAGCAGCGAACTCGAGGACCGGGAGTTGTACATGGTGCACAGAAGTCTGGGCGTGGTCTGGGACACGCAAGCTATAATTTATCAACCGTTGAGATATTCGACCAGAAGCCCCCGATGGTCGGAAACGCTAGAATCTGTGGGATATCATTAACCATCACAAGGCAAACGCGCATCCTTGTGTCCGTGGTATCCAGCAGCAGAGAAGAGCAGGACAATTTGATGAAGCGCCCTAATAACGCATTTCTCCAACATCATCCTGAAGTTCCCAATGAGGAAGGATAACAGAGAAAATCATGATCTTGCCTGTGTGACTGAGCAGCGGGGAAGGGAGACAAAGAGAGGTCTATATCGATCATGCTAGATACGCGATACAAATGCTAGTCAGCAGTGACGCAAGTAGATTAACCTGATTGTTGCTCAACAAGTTCAGCCCACTAATGATCTTTCCTTGACCATGTTCAGTGATCCTCTTCTTCTCTTCCGAGTAGACTGTCCGCTGTATTGTAGCCCCAAGGAACGAGTCAACCATGCTTCCTCCCCCACCACCCACGACGCCCCAAAATATACATTCAGCGGTTAGGGTAAACCAATCCGCCGCGCAAGTGGAGTTCTGGAGAATGACACTGGCAGCCATAGTAATGCCCATGATAGCGCCACCGATAATCGAGGCAAGCGTTCCCCCGAAGGAGATCCCACCGTTGGTCCCTGGTGGTACGGGCTTCAACGTCGTGATAAGCACAGGTTTTGATTGAGAAAGTATCCCAAGTTCTGAGGCGAGGGTGTCACCCAAACAGCAAGCGAAATGCCTGCAAGTAAGCAATAAGACAATGGCCTTTACGGTCACAAGATATCTCGGTGTTGCTCACCCGAGAACACCCATGAGTAGGGCTCTACTCCAGCCCACCTCGATGGCTTTGTCCAGCGGACACCATGCACCGTCGTACACGGTATTCGACGCGCTATTGATTCCGAAGGATTTCACCAGGACAGACTCGAAGGAGTCGGGCATAAATGATACCGTCCAGGCGATACTGGCAATCAAAGCCCACACCGAGTTGCACAGCACTTGCGAGCCGCTTCGGTACCCAGCTTCCTCGTACCCGTCCTCAAGCAGTTTCTTCTTTTGCTTGCCGTCTGCGCAAACCATCAAGTCAATCGGCTCCACGTTTCAAGGACCCGCGCGACAGGCCACACGTAGTACGTACATTTAGTAGCACGACTCCCCGTCAAGTAAAATACTATCAAGCTCACGCCCACAGCGCGGACTTTCACGTTCATCATTGCCCATCCAACGATGAAAGCGGCGAATGCGCCCGAAGGTGACAGGGAGCGCTTTCGAAGTCCATGACCACTAAGGAGAAGCGCGAAGAGGAGGGGGGAATTGTTCTTCAGAAACTCTAACATGCTCCACACGGAGGGCGACTCGCGAGCAAGCCGCTTTGCACGGTGCTCTCCACTAGGCGCTGGTTCGGGGCAGATAGGGGCTCGACATCAATTCAGAAATTCGAAAAGGACTAGTTTGTATTTGTTACTTTGAAGGAGTCTCTTTTTGGAGACATGATTATGTCGCTCCCTCGACGGCTCAGAGTCGCGACGAAGTAGATATAAGACTAGATTGATCTGGGGATCTGGGCTCCTCCAATGTCCCAAACAACCACTGCCTGCCTTGACTCCATTGACGGTTGCATCAATTAGCTGGGGGGCGAAGATGTCTGTTTCCAGAGAATAGTGATGTTTATCGCCTGGATCGAGCCTTTGGACTCTAAAGTCAACTGGGGTTGGGAAGATCAACTAACATCCATCTCCTCGTTGCCATCCATGGCTGGCTGGTCTTCGCCGGGTTTCTTTCTCGTAGATCTTCTCCTACCAACTTGTTCGGATTCAGAGTCTTTCTTCTTTCCTTTTCTCCGAGCCCTTTTTGGACCATCGTCAGGATCGGCAGCTTCAAAAGATTCGTCTCCAAGACGAACGTCACTTCCCGCGATCCGGTCCACCAGATCCACATTATCAGAACCACTCAGAAAGGAAGGCAGAGTGCTCGTCGAAGCCTTTTCTTTGCCTTTGCCTTTATCTTGGGTCTGTTCAGGCTGTGCATCATCTACCGTGCTTTTACGCTGCAGTTGAACTTCTTTGAAGCGGATGCGCTGCTCTGTCGATCCGACATGATGAAGAGCTCGCCCGGACGCGTCTTCACTCAAAGGGGCAGTCAGCATACGCCGGGTGTGGGGAGCGACGGCACAAACCTTTCTCTTCCATGAACAACAGTTCCGTCCCGAGTAGCAAGTCATGTTGGCCCTTAAATATTGTACCAGATAACTGCAGGAATGGTGTTGGTGTATCGAGACCCTATTATACGCAGATGATCTTGATTGAAATACACTGCAAAGGCAACTAGCTCACAATCAATCTGTATTCCGCTGAGCTTGGCACAAGAGTTGGCTCGATAACTCCAAGGTCCAAGGTAATGTAGGAAACTTCTTCGTTGTATTCCTCGTATTCCTCTTCGTCTCCAAATGCATCGACGTGCTTGTAGCCGCTGAGTGAACTCGCAGAAGGCATTCTCTGCACGGAGCCGGAAGCAGATGTCACGGTATGAAACCTAATGATCGGGGCAAATGAAACACGCTGTGTCACATATCACGTGGTATTATGCGGGGAAAGAGTGACAGTCTAACTTTAGAACATGTTCGACTCGAACGGGAGTAAAATCATAAGCTTCGTGCCTTACCACCATCATCCTTTGCCACTCGTTGCGCACTGGGACTGAAAATCCACTAGTTACACCAGTTTCAGCAAAGTTATGTCAAATCCACAAGTTAGAACGGCTTCTTTCCAACCGACTGCAAGCGATTTCAAGCAGCGGACCAGCGAGCTAGCAAACACCGGTTCACTGTCATACAAACTGACCCAGGGAGGAACTCAAGGGTATGTTGGTGCGATAGCGTTGTAAATTGGCTTGATTAGCGAGCCCGTCACTGACAGACTTCTCGTACGAGCAGGAACAACCCACTCGGCCGCGTTCGCCAGATAATCGAGATAGTGTCCTCGGATGAAGAAGAGCGAGTTGCGAAACCCAATCTGACTTGATCCTCAACTAACTTCAGCTATCTCAGTTCGTCCAGCTCTGCGCCAAGCACGGCTCCAGAGGAGGATGTCTTCTTGCGGGCGAGTCCACGTAAAGGACCTTCCGGGCGAGTCCAAAGTAGCGCGAAGGGACAAGACATAAGTCGGGTTATACCAGAGGTAATAGAACTATCTGATAGCTCTCCTGAAGCACCACCTCGCATCCGGAGGAAGCCCCAAGGAAGTCCCAGCAAGGGGGACAAACTTTCGCTCTTTATTGACGACAGTGAGGGAAGTAGCGATGATGATGGTGCCATCATGACTTTGTGAGTGGATTATGTCCGGTAATCAACTCGCCGTTTATGTTTGCACCAGCGACGAACCCCCGTCAGCGCGGAAGCCATTGAAGCTTCCCCTCATAAAGTTCAACACGCTCAATATTGCCGATACCCCACCTAGCAGCCCCAAGAAGCACAAGGGTGTATCAGCTACCCGGCAGGATGCTACATTAGTCGAAACGCCCTGTCCACGCACCGATCCCTCTGTTAAGCCCGCCTCTAGCTCTGTCTCGACGCCATCATCCGCATCCGTCACACGAACGGGCTTGCAGGCAACCCGGGTAACGAAGAAGGCGCAGGCCGCCGCAGAATTGACGAAGCGCAAACTCTACGCGGAGGATCTATTCGAAGAGCTGAACTCGTTGGTGTTCGATCGGAAATTACCGTCTAGTACGCAATTGAAATGGAGCAAGCGTTTAACGACCACGGCCGGGAGGGCGAAATGGCACAAGTGAGTCACCCACGACGATAACGAAACTGACCCCCTGAGATTGACGACTGGCTATAGGTCTTCTGCTGGGGTACATACGACGGAAATAGAACTTGCGGAGAAGATCTTGGATTGCGAAGGTGCGCCTCCTGATGTATTCAACACACCTCAAGGGATCGTCGTTCTTGACATATTATAAAGAACGCATCCGCAACACGCTCTCACATGAAATGTGTCATTTGGCATGCTGGGTCATTGACGGTTGTCCCAAAGAAGGGCACGGTCAGCTGTTCAAAGCGTGGTATGTACGATTTACCATTGTAGGTGCTGTAGGCTAAGAAGTATGTACTCGAGGTCCGCGAAGGTGATGCTGCGTTGTCCTGACATTCATATATCGGTGAGCTGCAGACTCCGACTAGGGGCATTGGGCTTTCTTAATGGTCCTCGGCACCCGACAGACGAGACATGACTACGAGATCTCTTATCCATATCAATGGGGTACGTGTGTATTTCAAGTTTCGAGAGCTCAGAATCCATCAATCTGAGTCTAACGATTTCCATGCAGAATGCGAAAAATGCGCCAAGATGTACGTGCCCCGACCCCTTCCTAACATTGACTAACCACAATGCAACCAACCACTTCAGCTACGGTCGGTTCAGTAAATCCATCCGTCCCGACGAGTGTGGTGAGTAAATTAACCCCCATCCTCCATAGTCTACAAACACGGAATCTAACCAATCGACCGAACTGACTTCCCTTCCCAGTATGCGGCGCATGTAAAGTCGGAAGGCTGCGTCCGCTTTTCAAGACTAACCAAAGGGCCCCGAGGACGCCGAAGGTTGCTCGTATGGCGGCTGCCAAACCCCAAGGTAAGCAAACCCCAACCCTCACTATCCCTCAGTACTCAGTTCTTAATCCTTCGCCCGCAGATTCCCCAAGGTCACTACCTCGCTCCAACTTGAAGCTATCTACATCTTCGTTGTTCATCGATCTCACTGAATCATATGGCGACGGAGAAGCCTTAGGGAGCCCTGTTAAGGAGCAACAGATATTGTGCCAACATGGATCTGATTCAGAGGGAGAGGGAGAGGAGGATGAAATCGGAATTCTGGCGACGATCTTGGAGTCGGTGTCGCTGACACGAGACTAGAGGGAGGGAGCCCAATTTCTTGCAACGAACGTCCTATGACGAGTCATGGAATTTACGTTTGGAGATCATTATATCTACCCATGCACTCTCCTTCCGCATCACGTATCAGGCATCCTGATCTTGCTCATAGTATTAATGTCATCACATCTACCTAAATCTACGCACCACACTCGCGAATGAGTTCGTGTTTGATCGGTCCGTGTCGATCAAAAGATGCGTCAATCATAGGGCTCAAGATGGGCTCTATACGGTTCCTACTTACATATACAAGGTAACAACACTTGGACGATACAGCTACACAGTAAGAATACGATAAGTAGTGTCAATGAAGGAGATGGTATCATGATGAATATACTATATACGATAAAAGAAACCATCATCTTGGGCCACATAAGAATCCCGAGATATTAATTATACTAAGCTGACAGAAAAGTGACGATCTCGTCTTCATCCGCAATATGGGGTGACGGTGATCGGCAGCTTGGTTCCTTCGTCCCAATGATCCTTGACGTACGGCCTCGTCAGAATAGCGTTGAACTTCCTGATCTCCACGCCCTCCGCCGGCGAGAACACAAAGTGCGGCAGTATACTCGCAATGAAGATCTTCATCTCCAGAATTGTGAACTTCCACCCGGGGCACGAATGGGGGCCGAACGAGAACGTCATCACGCCCGCGAGCCCGGGGTGGCGCGCCGACGCCGGGAGCGCCGTCCAGCGCTCGGGGTTGAACGCGCGCGCGTCCTTCCCCCACACGTCCTCAGAGAAGTTGAGGCCCTCGATGGGGACGTGGATGTAGCTCCCCTTCTTGATCTTGATGTGCTCGTCCTGGGAGAGGACACGGCCGTCGCGCATGTGCACGGTGCTCGAGACGGGGATGAGGTCGTCCTGCGTTGCGACGCGGATGATGCCGTGCACGGGCGGGCACAGCCGCAGGGTCTCGCGCACGACGGCGTCGAGGAAGGGGAGCGCGTCTATGGCGTCGCAGTGAGCCGCAGATGAATCACTCGGGATGGTCGAGGATGGGTGCGTAGGCGGAGCGGGAAGAGGGGAGAACGTTTCCGCAAACCCGGAATCCGGTATGCAATCCGCCTTCAGCGCGCCACCCGTAGGAGAAGCTCCAGTTGGTGAGGCGATGGAAAGAGAGGCGATTTCTTCCCTGAGGCGTGTTTGCATTTCTGGGTTGAGGGAGAGGAGGTGCAGGCACCATGAGATGGATAGAGCGGTCGAGTCGGAGCCGGCAAAAAGGAATGTGGAGAGTTGGTCTAGTAGTTCAACATCAGAGAGCCGCTTAGAGGATTCTTCAGAGAGGTTCTGTTTAACTAGAGTGCAAAGTCAGTTGGTGTCCGTCGACATGTTGGGGGAGGTGACGTACTGAGGAGACTCAGGATGTCTTTGTCGTCTATATCTTGCGCGCTGGCCTTTTCTGCCAAGATCGCGGCTTTCTTATTCGCTACGAGTCGCTTGCCAGCCTCGTTGATAGTGCGCAGACTTTCTTTCGTTGTACGCAATCCATCGTCGGGCTAAACAACCACGTAAATCAGCTAAAAGAAGTATCAAATGTGATATACGTACGAAGAGCGTGTTGATGATCGGGAAGAACAGCGACACAATGGCCTTGAGACCCGGCCCTTTATCCTGCACATTAAACATCTTGCGATATGCCAAGTACACGTCCTCGGATTCATCCTGGAGGGCGTGGAAGTGGTAGTCGAATCCCGCAAGGCCGATAACGTCAAATGTTGCGCGGGCAACCCAGTGGGATATATCAATCACGGATTGACCGGCCTTGTTTGTTGAAGGAATGGGTTGCTGTTGCTGGACGGCGGTTGGTGATGTTGAGGAGGTGTGAATGAGGGCGAGCCATCGGTCCCTGAGCTCTTCGGCCTTCTGAAAGAAGATGGGTGCCATTGCTTTTACGGAAGAGGTTGAAAACGCTGGAGCGATGACACGCCTTTGGATCTTGTGTTCCTCGCCTTCCATAGAGAACACGCCTGCGAAGGAGCAAATGCGTAAGGATCCCATTCACGTTGATGAGCAGAAACGTACCTCTTCCGAGCAGACGGGCAATGAAAGTACGCGTTTGCCACGGTTTTTCGTAGATCGGCGAGTTGAGGATGTGGGACAGGGCACGAAAGTCGAATGCCATCAATCTGTAGTCGTGCTGCACGTCGAGGTAAATTTCAAGCAAAACGGGGTCATTGGAAAGAAAAGACTCACTCTGCCAAAACCATGGAAGCGAAACATCTTGCCGTACCGTCCGACCCAGTCATGATGAGTATCGGGGCTGATGTTCGGGCTGCCAGACAAATTAATCAACAAATATACTACTACAAGCAGTACCGCGAGCAGAAAGACTCACTCCATGACTTCCCGAAAGTGATTTTGGAGCGCAGGTGCATCAGGTCCAGGGAGCTTCCTCAATGGATCGAATGGTGGCGCAATGACCATCATATGGGCGAGCCATAGTACGCCTCTAGCTAGCAAAAGCAGGGCGACTAGGGTACCGACTCTGACTGCATCTTGCAGAAGCAGCAGGAGTGTGCTAGCACTGAGAACTGCCATCGCGGTTCAGCAGCAGAGTACCTAGAAAGAAAAAGAGATGGATGGTCAGTAAAAGCGAGTCCCGCCTGAGATGGGGGACACTAGAAGGACTGTGGGGGCAAGCTGGCTGTTCCGTGCTTCATCTTGTATGGTCAAGAAGGGAGAGAAGGACCCTGCGTCGAAGTACTAACGGACATCCATATATGGTAAGTCTGATTGATCGGCGTCTCCCTTCCCCAGATTCGGGTTTGAAATGAGTTTAGAGTTGCCACGGATGAGCACAAGGAGGCTCAAGGACTACTGGCGACAAGGTCATGGACACAAGGCTACAAAGTACATTAGAATGGGTAGTCAAGGTTGCCCAGATCCCTTGTGTACTATAAGAATCCATTTTGCAACCTCAAGTACAAGGGTACTCTGATGTAGTCCGTATTTACCAGCGCGGAAGCAAAAGAAAAAGGAGATTTCATAGCCCACCGCGAGGGTCGAACTCGCAGCCTTCAGATCATCCCGCCTAAGAGTCTGACGCTCTATCCGATTGAGCTAGGCGGGCGATAATAACAATTTTCCTAGTAGAGTTTCCAGCCACTGGTACTCATCGGACTTCGAAAGACTCAAGTCAACTGTACAGTTGTTTATGTAATCACTCAGCCAATATTTTCCACTACGTCTCGAGATCATCGTCACAAACAGTGAAGGCGTATATCCGGCCAACAGTGAGTCCACGCTCCCTCGCTTTGCCGCTATATCAACTAATCACCTTACATCTCCTATCCTCCCCGTACCCTCGCCTACCCACGTCTCCCAGACCACCGCATCCCTCAAACCTCAAAATGACACACGACGCCGTCTGGTTCTCTCGTCCCCGCAAATACGGAAAGGGTGCCCGCCAATGGTACGCATGCGTGCCAATAAATGCGGATCGTCACGCTCACTGAATTACATGGCTTCCAGCCGCCTCTGCGCCCATCAAGCTGGTCTCATCCGCAAGTACGGTATTGACCTCTGCCGTCAGTGCTTCCGCGAGAAGTCTGCTGCTATTGGCTTCTCCAAGGTATGTTCATTATATCCCATCAGCCCCGCGTCTCTCAACTCAAACCTTTGTGCGTTCAGAACCGATAAATATATGTCCATGCGCTCGCTTCCTCAGCTGTCTTTCTCTACATTATCATTGGCCCAAGAATGACTTCCTGTATGCATCCATCACTATGAAATAAAATGCTATGCGCGAGTCTCCAAATCCCACATCCGTCGATCTACCACATTCATTCGCTTCATCAAGCACGAATAGAGTCGCGAGTAGTCGAAAAAATTCCTTGATTACTAGGCTTACACTGCGCACTCAGTTGTACGTATACTCCAACGAATGAATCCAACGACACAGCAAATCCAATTTGGCTACGAATCTAAATAAAGCCACTTTATACAAGGTAGTTTGGAGGGGGACAATAACTACAAAATGACGGCGTGCAATAGTGCAAATGCGGCAAGGATATGGAGATGCTAGTATTAGACAGACAGACTGTGTGCGAGTATAAGGGGGGGATGGGGAGGCGGGCGTCATAGGTGTATATGTATGGTTTTGTGAGTTGAATGAAAGTAACCTGTACAAATGGCCAAGAAGATTTTTATATAACAAACAATTTGAATGAGGCGAATAAAAACACAAGTTGAAGCATAAAAGCGTAGGTGGCAAACATCACATGTGTCCGGGATGGGAAGGAGGTTATAAAAGCGGTGTAAAGGTAGATAGAGGCAGAGGGTTTCGATGACGAGAGTTAATGCTTGCGAAGAATACAATGCATGGTGTGGGGTATGGTATGGCTGAAGTCAACTGTTCGGATACATTTGGGACCGTCCGAACGAATAGAGAGAGATCGAGCGAGAGAGCAATAAAACGGGAGTCAAAGTACGAGGGGACCAGAACCTTGAGGAAACGGCGGAATATCAAGCAATGACTGCGGCGAGTAAGGTAGGGTCGATATGAACGAGTGGTATAATCGGCGATTATTGATTAACGATCGACGAAGAGGGATGTACAGAGCGAGTACGGCCATGTGCGTGCTTCCATGCCGTTTTTGTAGCCGCGAGCCGGGTGGTGTCAAGCATGATCACTTTACATCCCGTAGCCAAAGGAGGACCTCTGGTACGGATCAGCGATAGGGCCAGCAAGGCCAACACCAGCGAAGGGGCTTACGCCTGCAAAGGAGTTCGAGAATCCCCCGAGGTGGGCAGGCGCGGGAAGCCCAGAGGCATGCGGGGACCCGCCTTGAAGGACATATCCATCGATGCCCTGCGCTTGGAGCGAGTGCATTTGCGGCGTCAGATGGACGGGGCTATACGACGCGGCGCCTTGCTGCATCTGGTACATGCCATTTTGTGTAGCATAGAGCTCCGCCGAAGGGTGCATCGCCTGGGGAACATGGCGCGCTGCGCCGTGTCCACCAATACCTGAAGTGCCCAGTGCCATGGTGAGCGCCTGTTGATTGAAACCTTGTAATTGATCCATCTGCTCACGTTGCAGTTTGTTCTGAATGCGCTTGCCGTACGGCGTATTGCGAATCAGGGGAAGGACAGGTCGGATACCTTCGACGAGGAGTGCGCGTTGGTTCGGTTCAGCGTAGTCGAGAGCAGTCTGCAGCTAATCAGCACGATGACACAGTACGTGAAACACACGAACTACTAACCTGTACGCAGTAGTTACCATACGAGTCGCGGAGAAGCTTCTCCAAACGCGAACGATTCAGGAACTCTTCGATTAACATCTTGCGCGTGCTATGCTCTGCAACACGGACGCATTTCTCGATAACGTTCGAGCTGAACTTCTGAACAGACAGGGCACAAACATTGCCTTGGAACTGACGGATGACAGCGTCACTGAAACGACTGTCGTTGAGGTCCAAGATATACTGGACAACCTGATAGCGGAATAAGCCGATGTCATCCACGCGAAAAGAAGACGTCGACGTACATAGTTGCCGTAAGGGTCTTGGACGAGTGTCAAGGCGTTGAAGGTGATCTCGTTGACGAGCTGAATCCGCTGGCTCTCAGACGCATGATCGATGCAGCGCTGAAGAACGCAGCACCCATGACGATGAGTAGCAACCTCGACGCAATTTGCCGCGACAGCATTGTAAATGAACTACAAAGAGCAGGAAAGGTACAATCAGCAGTCGAAACATGACGCAAACACGGCGATTGCTGCCCTAGAAATGGACGCACCTGATTGTCTTCTGGTGCCAATTTGTTCAAGCATTTCTGGATAACGTGGTTCCCGTTCAAATCCTTGATCAGGACAACGACATGCAAGCTTAGCGCAAGAATGATAGAATGGATCTGAGCATTGTATCGGTGATCAGTCTGCGCAGTCCTGTAAGTGGGATAGGTGAGATACAACTATTACGAGACTTGCCTGGCGTCGAGTAGAGAGGAAGTCGATCATCTTCTGAACGGCGCGCGTTCCATGCATGTTGAGTGAGATATTGACCAGATCTTGTGCAACGGACTCGCAAATCAAGTTGCGTTGTTCATCCGTAGAATACTCCAAGAGCTTCTGGCAGAGGTAGTTACCGAAGGGATCTAAGATAGTAAAAGAAAATTAGCCTCCAAAATGGATGCGAACGGTTTGTCATAGATATGCTTACCAGTCATTAGCTCTGGGAAATGGTTGAAAGTCTCACGGAAGATCATATCCCGATGCTCTGGTACGCCTTCTTCTAATTTTTTCTGTAGGAAACGGCAGCCGTGTTGATCCTTGCACATAGTCGCTATTTCCCCTTGGAGATCTTCCAATCGAGTGCCTGCAAAGCGGTTGACTGGGGGTCCGGGTTAATTAATTGTGCTGGGAATAAGCGACGGAAGAACTTACATTCCCTGTCGATGTCTCCGCGCTTGTGTTTAGGGCCGTGAAGCCCACCCATCTTGCTATCTGGGCCACCGACACTAGGCCTGGCTGGAGCACTAAGACCATACCGCGAGCCATTGTGGTGATACAACGCTGTTGAACCACTCTTCGTGCTGTTCGCAGATGTGGCACGCCCGTACGCACCGCCGTTCATACCATACATAGAATCAACGCCATACTACGTGGCGCGATTAGCTCTTGGAATAGACAAAAGCCTCTGAAATTTGACATACCTGCATGGAGTCATCAAGGGCTGAGCCATTAGGACTATAGCTACCATCAAACTGGCCAGACGGAAGGCGGGACAACGAAGCACCTAGGTCGCTTGCACTGATGGGGCTATGGTCACCAAAGGAAGAGCCATGTGAAGTAATGCGAGCACTCAACACTCCTGTATCAGGAGTGCGTGGGGTTCCCGGGGTCTTGAGAATGTGAGGCACCGCGCTAGGGATACCTAACGGTGTTGCAGGGACGGATCGAGTAGAGGCAAGTGTATCCAAGAAAGAAGGTGGAGATCCACGACGAGACGATGGTAGAAGAGACGACTGCGAATGTTGCTGCAGAAGGGGTGTTGCCGATGCAGAAACCACGCCAGCAAGTTTCATGTCGTGTAATGGAACGTTAGGACTAGTGACATTCCGACGTTCGTTGCGAGATGAAAGGCCTTCTGGCGCACGAGGGTTGCTTGGGAAAGGTGGCCATTCAGATGATTTCTCACGTGGCTCCGCTGACCGAGAAGAGTATGAAGCCTGAGGAGACGTTGCCTGCGAGATGTGAGCGAGGTCAAGAGCAGCTGATGATGTCTACGCAGAGGGATCAAAATTAGTGAAAGTCATCACACATTGCATTCAAATCTACCTTCTGGGGATACGAGTTGCCAAACTTATCCTCATCAGAAGTAGGGAGGTGTCTCATCGCATCTACCAAACAAGGATTAGTGTCACGAAAAATCAAGCAAGGGTTTGGCGGTGGCGCGACGTACTGTGCATCTCTTGGTCAAGCTGCTCATCCAACATCATGCCAGCATTATAAGTACTAGCGTAGCGAGCACCTTCATCGTGTATGAACCGGCTACTTCCCTTGGCTAGGATGGATGTGGAGATAGATCCTGGAACAGGGGAAGCTCTGTTGGAGCGATCGCCACCGAAAGAAAGTCCCTGCAATTGACTAGCTAATTCTTCATCGTGACTACTAGCGGACGTTCGGCGACTAGCAGGCATGCTTTTAGCACCGGGATTCCGTGTGAACCCGTTGGTCGTGGTCGCAAGGTCGGGCGAGAGGTTGACCGAGGGTGCGTAAGTGACCGACTTGCGCTTATCAGCAACTGCACTGCCCACGGCTTGCGAGAGGCTCTCAGCGTCCAAAGGCAGTTGCCGACCCAAACGATATCCATGGCTAGCGTCGCCGTTGAGAACTGCGTTGACGCGGGGGGGCGTTGTGGGGGCAGAGACAGCGAAGTTGTTACCATTGACGGATGGGTCGTAAGGGATGCTCAGCAATTCCTGCGCCTGCTGCACCTCTAAGGCGCGCATTTGATCCTCGAAGAACTTGCGTTGGAGAAGGCGCTGCCTCTCATGCTCGAGACGCTTGAGTTCAACCCGCTACAAATCGATAGCATTAGCATCAACGCTACAATCATCATCCCGAACGACCGAAAAAAAAGTAAACTAAAGAACTGCCACTCGCGCAATGTGATGGGGAATAGGGCGCTTTCACCAAGTAAAGACTACACGTACCGAGTCTGCCAGATCTAAGAATGCAGGGGGGCTTTGCTTCCTATCGTCGGAAGCAGAACGATTATCAGAGGACGCAATCCCATTTTCCAAAGACGAGGCGTTCATTCTGAGTGATTATATATCCGAAAGAGGCGGTTTTCTTCCAGAACGAGGAATGACAGAACAGAAAGCGAATGAGTAAGATAACGCCTGAAACAAGGATACTATAGTGGCTGCACTGTTAGCGTCGTCGTTGCCATCGAACATCGAAGGAACTGACCAAGTTTTGAGCCCGTTCTATTAAGGACTGTTGGTACAATGCGGCAGATATAGGCTGAGCAGGGAAAGCAATGGGTGAAAGCAGAGCGAGAAGGGAAGGCTGAGCGACAGACCCTTTTAAAGACTTCAGAATGAGGCTAACTGAAGAATTGGGAGATTCAGCGTATGGAAGAGTATTATATGGGGGCGGTCACTGGGTGCGTAGCCTGGCCTTCTGGTCCCTGAATAACGAAACTCCCACGGCAGAAATCCCTTTCTTTTTACAACTCCGTCCACCCTTGAACGCATCAATAAACCCTCCCCCCACTTCACATATTTCACTTATGTACGCTGGTCAAATTCAGAGGCGAACAATGAAGGCTATCGTACATATGCTGCAAGGTTGTGTACTGTATTTTCGTTCGCAACTGGGACCACCATTATCATTTGTTATAATAATATAATAATATAATAATTTAGTTACGTGAGGTTCTAGTATTGTACCACTCTTCCCCATGTTGCTATGCCACGACCATCACAGACGGCGAGCTCAGATACACATTAGCGAAGGAAGTAACAGAAGCGCTACCCTGGTCACTTAGGTTTGTTAATTTTTTGCCTCCACTGGTGCTTTTTGGTTGCACTGTTCCTGGTACCGACTCGATCAACTCACCATATCGAGTTAGTAGCTGGCATAATTTTGACAACGGAACCTTCTGAGAAGGATCTAAGCACGACAATTACTATATGTTGGTCGCGACTCGCGCTTTTGGTCGGCAGAGATTCAGGACTAATCACTGGCGCACGACGTTGATCAGGCCCCGATTTACTTGGCCTTGGAAAATATTAGGCGTTCAAGGAATGATACACAACGATTTCGGCGTAGCGAATTTTATGTGATGAGGCCTTGAGGATAGCTGTCTATTAGATAGATTGTTCCATTGTGCTGATAGCTCATGAATATAGATGCTCGTGTACGGTGTATACACATCGGCCGTTGCAAGCTCTGCCCAGATAACATGGACGATCAAACGTCGAATGATCCCATCGGTCACCGTCAACTGTAAAGACCACCATGTGCTCTCGGAGACATCAAACACGGAAGGGGCTGACTTACTCAGACGTTGAACTTTTACACATGCAATGCGCATCATGAGCAATCATTCGCAGTGATCCATCCTGGACGGCACTTCGATCGTGGTGATATTGATCAATGATGGACCTTCCCGTACAAAAGTGTAGATGCATGTAGGATTGGTATATGTGAGAATAGAACGAAACGAAACGACTGGGCGGGCCCGACGGGGACCGAAAGGATATACGGTTAACCTAGCTTAGGGACCAGCAATACACGTCAATAATAAGCCGACTGCGCAGGTTGCGTCGTCGATGAAGGTGTGGTCGGAACAACTTTCTCCATCTTCTCGCTTGCTCTAGTCGCTACGATGCCCCTCCCTAAGCCCTCTGGCTCCTTACTCTCTGCTCCATTTACTTCGATGCCTAAACCTACAGGGGCTCCGCGTATAGTCCTGCGATCCTCTTCATCCTGCGTATCATCCGCTTCGACGTCCTCGCGATCCTCACTCGAATCCGACTGCTCCCCAGCCACTTCTGTGGTCGGATGCGCGGAAAGGCCGTCGCCATCCTGCGTCGAGACACCGGATTCAAAGATTTCTTTCGCTGTGGGCTTGTTGACACTTGTTGATGGTAGGTGCAACCTAAGGAAACTCGACAAGGGTGCAAGGCTCAGATATGATGACCGAGTCTTTTTCTCAGTACCGTTCAGGGACGCTGGTACCGTCGGCGTGCTCGCGCCACTTGCAGGCGGCGTAGTATTTTCGACGGGCAGTTCTATGAGGGTAGAAGCTTTTGGAGTCGTGCCCCCGACTGTAGCGTCTCCATCCGGAGTAGATGGAGACTCGGGCGGAGGGGACTCTAAACTCGATATCGATATTACTGAGGAAGGCGGCCGATGGATGTTCCTGAATCTTGAAACAGATTGGGATAAGCGGCTGCAAACGTTGCGAGGGATAAAAAATGTTACCGAAGTGGTGTTTCGTCGCCCGACGTTAGTGTAAGTAACAAGTTCTTCAGATTCGGGAGTGTATGTCGCATATCGACTGGGCGTAGGTCACGATCCACCATGAGCTAGTTAAACTATCAGCAAGAGAAGACACCCAGATGTCCTTTACTTACCATTTCGATGTTTTTATTGAGTAAAAACACCCCGTATTCAAAGCGATACGTATCGACGCCTTTCGAAAAAAGAGGGAACCTACAATGTCGTTATCAGTGCGTGCACCACAAATACACAACCAGGAGCTCAGCCGCTTACATCCGCGGGCCTACCATAGCAGAAATTCCGTCGCGCACCAAGCTCCTGCTGCCTATACAAGTTATGGGATAAACAAGACCTTTACCGAGATAGGCAGCCAGCAGCTGCACCACCTGCGCTGCATATCCGAGGGAAGTGGCCACGACATCCTCGTTGATATCCTTATGGTTGGGCAGGAAGAGCGGAGGGGCAGGGTCGTTGTTTCCCATAGGAATAGGGAGTGGCACGTCAAGTATCGTATACAGAAGATCGGGAGGAGAGGAAAGCTCGATAGGGAAAATTGACCCCAGAGTGGATATGAGGAATGTCCGAGTAGGTTCAAACCGAGACCGGAGAGACTGTAGACGGTGCCTGTTGCAGTAAGTCCAGTCCGTAAGCTACGGAAAAAAAGAAAGATATGTACTAACTCCTCTTCTGTGACCTGCATTGCAGCGTCGCTGTACGATATGATATCGTCCTTGAGCTGTTCTTTCGCGGCACTTAGGATATTGCGACGATCTTCTAGCACTTTATGCCGTGCGCGAAGTTGATATCGTACTATTAGAGCCAAATTAAAAGCATATGTTATGTTCGCCCGGCCATGGAATGGCATCACTCACATTCGTCGGATTGTCTTCTCAACGAGCCGCAACTGGATCTTAGATCATCCACCCAGGCTTCTCGCTCCGACACTTCGCGCTTCTTTTCAGTTATTGAGTTCATGTAGCACCAAGGGACGGAATTTGAAAGAAATGAAAGCGTGGCACAGGGACCCGCGTTGTGGATTGAAGTGGAGTGGAACGAAGATGCCGACTTACCAGTTTGGAGAGGACGTCCGAGTCTATCGATGCCTCAAGGTTTGATACAATTTCATTTAGTGACGCTTCCGTATCAACGATGCAAGACTGGAGAGAGACTAGTCTACATGTTGTATTAGAGGTGCTAATGAAACGAGCAAGCGATAGGACACACTTGAACAGATCCTGCCATTTCGATGTCTTCGCGAAGTCTTCGTATGCATCGTCTGTTTGTTTGCGGTGCCGTCGTCGAGATGGGGCGGTACTTTCGGACGGATGAGCTGACAGAGGCGGCGAGCCAGCACTGTTTTGTTGAGTTTGGCGAACTTCAAATTCAGGATCGGAATTGTAACCCGCGGAAGGAGACGATGATCGTTCGCGTGGTGTCGCCGGAGGGGGGATGTAGTAATAGTCACCAGGGGGCGAGAGCAAGAATACGAGCGTATTTGGAGGTAGTAGTTCAGTGTTATCTTTGACCTGGAGAAATTATTAGTGAAGGGTTCAAGTGACCAAGAGGACACCCTACCTCCGATGGAAGGGGAAGTAGATCGTTGAGATTAATTTCCCACTCATGGAAGATTTTCCATTCCGAGTTCGTCAATGGCTCGTCTTGCTGTTTCGCTTTGCCTTTGCCCTCCACGAATGTACTCCGTGGGGAGACCTTGGCAGACTTAGCCCACATTTGGATATTAAGCTTCGTCCCGCTTAAGTTAGTCCACTCCGCGAATTGTTCTGTTTGAAAAACAGGATTCGTTGAGGGCCGGTGGATATCAGAGAAGTAATTGGGGGTGGAAGCGGATGGTGCAGGAGAAGTACAGCCGGAATGCGAATCTATGGATAATGACGAAACTTTGTGTGATGAGGTAGACGCTTTGCCGTTGGGTTTGACCACAGGGTGGGCCAACATGCGCGTATTCGGCAGGATAGACTTCGGGTCTTTTCTCGTGCCAGCACCGTTCGGTACTTTCGCCTGCCTGGGGGTAACTCGGGCCTTGTCTTTCGGAGAAGGAGAAGCAAGCGGAGTCGACGGACGCGAATTGGACGCAGCGAGGGTGTGTTCCGCACCTAGAGCTGGGATGGCCGGTGGAATAGTAACAGTAATGAATGTCTCCACTAGTCGGGAATTTATAACCTTCTCGAGGCTAACTTGTGAGTTGTCCGGCAACATCGCGGAGAGCGACTTAGAACCTGAGGCCGCTGAGGAGGGAATTACGGCGGGCGGATAAAGCGCACCCATTACATTGCCAGCGGACGAGGTAGACATGATAGATGTTGTGCGGGGACGCCGTGGTCTGATAGTAGGTGCCGATCCAGAAGTACGGCCAGACCGAGAGGGTGAGATCTGCTCAAGGGTAGCTGGAATTGAGGATGGACCTGCCGGGGAACCGACCTTTACACCCTTTCCTTTCCGGCCTCTTGTTTCGCTTGGTGAACCATTCGCCACAGTCGCATCTCCGATGTCTGACCTTATGGTATGCGCAGAGTTAATCGAGCTCAACGATATCTTCCTGCTTCGCCTTCTATTCAAAGTAAGGTCAGAGTCATCTGAAAGATGACCATGAAGAGTGAACTGTGATCGTTCAGCGGGTTGCGTAAGTGCTGAAGCAACCGTGTCTCTTGTGGGGAACGGGGAAAAGTTGCGGACTTGAATGGAGGATACATGGCGAATCCGTGGCTACAAAATACATCAATAAGGCACTTTGAGACTCAGGCGTTGCACTCACTTGCAATCCTCCTGACATTGTGTTGGTCGGCAAACAAACCAACTGCCCAGTGACGGTACTTCAAGTCAGGGCCACTGCTCGAGTGGCTTTCTGGGCAACCGACACTTTCGCCAGTGGGCACTGCGTTCCGAGGTTGCAACGCGAATATGGGAAATTTCGTGACAGACTGAGGTTTGTGGAAACAACTTGGATTGAGGCGGTGGCTGTGTCGAAGTGTGATCTATTGGGTTAAGCGCTCAAGCGCTCGCCACCCAGAACGATAACCTACATCTACGGATTGCACCCTAGGAATCGAGATGGTTCAAGGAAAGACCAAAGGGCTTCAAGCCAAAGCATCTTCATCTAGACATGCTGCAAAAGCCGCCGCAAACACAAAGAAAGGGAAAAAATATGTCGCTCCGAAAAAAGCGATCCTTGTGAAGCAAGCCGCCATGCATAAAGTTCGTGCAATCAATGCCGATAGTGCCCTACTTAGCTGAAGCTACTTGTACAGGCTCTCAGCGCCAAGATCAACAAGTCAATAGAGCAGCAAATGGTCTCAGCTGCTTCTGCAGGCAAACTGACAATAATGAAGCACACTGCACCGGAGCCGTGAGTGATCGACGCGCTTTCCTCGAGCTCGAGACGATCTTACCCAATTTCTTCAGTGATAAGGGCGGGAAAGTGGGGAAATCTTGACACCGCATCTTGATTCGTTTGGAACATCCTCTGTATATAACCTCTTCACAGAAAGTTCACGACTTATATATATACGAGCCCTCAGGAATATGACGGTTCAACATCATCTACACCGTTCTTCATGTCCACAAACCTCCATGAGGTTCCAAAATAATACAGCGAATGTAAAGCATATGTACGCAGCTAAACTCAAGTCGGTATTAATCCCGCAACCCTCGGCATCTAGGAAGATACACTTTAATTACCAGGTATAACCTTCTTCAACCACGCCTTGACATCGTTTATTTCCTCAGGACTAGCCGAGTGGACTAAACCACGATATCCATTGAAGTTGAGACCCTTAGCATCTGCTTTCGACGATGCTAAAGCAATGCCAACTTCCGTGGATAGGAAGTCTCGGGATAAGGTGCCCCATTCGAATTTGACCAAAGGGTCCGCTTCTCCGTGCCCCCAAAATATAGGCAACGAGGTTGCGTGAGGGGATATCATCTACATCTCGTCAATCAACGAGGTAAATGAAAGAAAGATCATATAAACTTACCGATTTTATCTTCTCCTTCAGCGGAAGCCAGCCGCTCAGAACGACCAAGCCACCCAACTTGGTAGGGGTGGTTAACCCAGTTAGCAAGGTCATCGCCGCGCCTTGGCTGAAACCACCCAAGATGATTCGACTGGGGTCGATACCAGCAGCCACTTCCGCATCAATGAGGCCTTGAAGCAACCCGACAGTCTCTAACATCCCCTTCTCGTCTTCACCATGGCTAAAACCTGCACCGAAGGCCTTGATGTCGAACCTAAGTAAGAGATCACTGTGCAGTCATAGAATAGAAACAGGAAGATACGCACCAGCTTGGCATTGCCATACCCATGTTCGCCGTAACAGGTTTAATCGGGCTAGGTACATTGTCGGGGATGATAAGAATGATGAAGATGTCTTACTTACGCATGTGGAAGAATCCACTTTATATGCTGGAGAGCGGAATCACTGCTTGCGTCGTCTGCAACAGGTTCCCAGCCATAGCCAGTGTCTCCAAGGCCCTATAAGAGATGATGAGCTTGGTGCACTTCTGACGGAGGTTGAGTCCTTGCATGGACAAATATGATAGTAGCAGTATGCTTTGCCACGGCTGGGACAGATAAGAATTTCAAAGCTATGGAAGACATGGTTGCATTTAATTGAGCTTCGAGAGTCAGCCCAATATGGGATTTAGACGCCGTATAGTAGAGATTAGATCAGATTAGATTACGTCGAGCGCCAAGTGACATACTTCCCAGTCTACGACATAAACACTTGCTATCTACTTATATGATTCTGCGTGGGTGTTATCGGGATTAATGACTCCTCTGCAAGTATGTGGGCAACTATCCGAGGAGATCGAAGCAATTGTCAGCACTCTTTGACTTATACATACAATTCTACACCGCAGACCGCTGTGGAGTTCGAGATGAAACTTCCTTTCTAGCATCTTGAATTGTAATATACGGCTCATTATCTACAATAAGCATGTCATGGCTTTATGCTTTAGCCGAAGCACTCATTATAGGACGCTGGAAACTACAATTCTGGAATTACGCAAATACTACAGTCGACTTGGACGTAAAAATAAGGGCCACTGATCGAGCGCCACCAAGCCCGCCATAGTCATTTCCTTGGACCCACAATACCCGCCCCCGCCCCCGCCCCTTTCGGCGCAGCGTAGCCACGATCACGTCAAACAGAATTTTTAATTAGTACTGACTTGGTGATCGTCTATGGCACTGTATTAAACCCATCATGTCGAGCAAAGTAAAGCTTTAGCTTGAAGTAAATGGCGCAATGCTTCATTTACATCCCACGCGCACGTGCCGTCGGGTCTCTCATATCAAACTCCGTGGCATGGCTCCCTGAGCGGCATTGGGACTTGGACTCGTCCTCCATGTCGTCGCTGGATCAGCGGGCAGCCTCCGAGTCCCCGCCAATATCACCAGTATCGACCTCACCAACTTCAAGCATTGTCTATCCCATCAAGTCCTTGCTGACCGGCAAATTCCAGAGTACTCGCCAAAGCAGTGGCCTTACGGAGTTGTCGCGCTCTCGCTCGGAAGACAATATTCACGGTGTACTGGACGAGAGGCCCGACCATTTTGTATGCGTATCAGCTACTGAGCTCTACGCATCTCTGACCGTCTTACAAACAGGCTGAAAATGGCTATATGTCGCGCAACTCCTGGCATGATGCGACAATGACTGCTCCAACAACATCAGACCGCGATTGGATTGCCCCTGTACTTGAACGGCGCCATTCTTCGAACAGTCTCGACGCTATTACGGGAAACTCCAGCAGTCTTGGTCATCGAAAACGCACACCTTCCCCAAACTATCGACACTACCCTGCTGAAGATAACACCGACTTTCCTCGTACGTTTGCCACCACTAGTTCTTTCATCGAACAGGACAGGTATATATCGCGGGATACCCTCACTATGGAGACCTTGTCGAGCGTCATGAGTCAGAGTACCGAGCTCATGTCGCCTTCCCTAGCCGAAACAGATGCCCCCGAGACAGGCAATATCGTCCCGGAAGCTGCTCCGGACGCCTTCCTGTTATCAAGCGAAAAGGTCAAGGTTTCAAGCCCGACTGCTTCCACATCGACTTTACCTTTTAACCCGTCGCAATACGGACTAGTTCATCTGGGTCCACTCTCTACCGTGCAAAGTAGCTATTCCCGCAACTCGTCACACTCGTATCCCGGTCCTGGTTCCGTTTTTTCGTCGGATTCAAAACCATCCACATACTATAGTGCAAACACACATCAGACGGGCTCTGGTCACGCATCTCCGGCACTCATCGAGCATGTACCGAAAGGCTTGCTTCTTGTTTCAGAAACCCTAGATAGAGCGGCTTCCCATCTACACCTTTCATCCTCCACTTACAGTCAAGGTAACATCCCCTCTGTAATAGCCAACAACAACTAGCCTAACTCATCTCTCCTAGATTCGTCCGCGGTCCCTAGTCTAGCGCCTTCGCCGACAGAGTCTGACCCCCCGCAACAAGCCTTGTCCACCGCCGAGTCGTCCCCTTTGTCCCTTGCCGTCCCCGATACAAAATCCGATTGCGATCCAACGCCTGTTATAGAATTATCAGTGCTTGCTACAAAAGCCAATCATGATGTTGACCCCCCTTCTGAGGATAAGGAAATCCCTTCCAATACGCCTCATCATCACCATACAACTTTTCGATACAAACACGAGAAAGATGAAGATGGCCACCACGTTATTATAGGCAGAGAAGGTACTCTATACAAGTGCGAGGACGAGGTGTGTTCTTTCCTTACACCTGCGATAGAGTCGTTTGCTCACGGAATCCTCTACGACGAACTGACCAACGTTTTCTTGTTCCGTTGTCTTATGTATACTAAGCCGATCCGAACTCCCGGTGCAGTTCAAGGATTTGGTGTTCTCATTGTTGTTGAAGAAACAGAAGACGCGTTGGTAGTACGACAGCTTTCCGAGGTCAGTGCATTACCAGTGAATCCATATGCCACATACTGGATCCTTTACTCTTCTAAATTGCTGCGGACCATATAAATTCTATATACGCCCGATCCGACCTCGTCTTTCCCAATGCCTTTTTTCGCGCGTTTTCAATTTGTTAGACTGACGGCTTTTTAGAACTCAGATGAACTTCTGGGACTGCCTGCCAAATATCTGTTCTCCTTAGAATGCTTTACCGATACCTTACCCGATTCGCAAGCTAGCCTCCTTTGGGATAACATCCAATTTCTTCACGGAGGCGTTCAATCCGACGAAGACGATTCGCCTCATGTATTCCTGCTTAGTGGCTTCGGTGCCCCCGATTCCGAGGAGGGCACTAGGCGATCCTGGACGTGTTGGTGTGCAATACATCGTCCCAAGGCTTCAGAGACGACACTCAAGAGATTTATCGTAATGGAATTCGAACTCGAGAAGGACACTCTTAACCCGCTTTATCCGCCTGGTGATCCCGACCTAATTTCGCCGATGGAGTCGACATCAAATAATTCGGCAGGCGATTATGGTTGGAATCTTACCTCATCGTCGCACATGGGTGGTCCCACTTCAGAAAGTTCTTATAGCAGCTTTAGCATATCGTTGGAGCCTGCGTCGGACGAACATAACCCCTCCGACGATGTCGACGACCCGACAAACACAACATGCGCCGATGACATCGTTGCGAGTACTACAACCTACTCGAAGCCTATTCCAGCCTTGGAGCGTCTACGACGAATGGCACAGACTAAACCACTTGCTGAAACTAGTCGCTCGCGTCGTCAAGGGAAACGTGGACATACAGACAGTCCTGGCAGAGGTTCTGTAGGCATGATGGACGTGTTTGCTGTCGTCTCACAGATAAACGAACAATTAGGAGCTGCCGGCGATCTGCTGACGTTCTTGAATGTTCTGGTAGGAGTGATCAAGGACTTGACCCAGTTCCATCGGGTAATGACATACCAATTCGATGAATCTTGGAACGGGGTTGTAGTTGCGGAACTCATGGACTGGTCCAAGGTGCAACAACTGTACCGTGGGCTTCATTTCCCGGCGTCTGACATACCTGCGCAAGTACGTCTCTCCTTTCTCTTCTATCTGAATGGTGATAGATATCTTGAAGGCGAGGACCCTCTACGCAACCAGTAAGGTTGACACCTGTTTTATCAAAAGCATAGCTGAATTTGCACAGATAAGGTTCGTTTGTTGTATGATCGTGCACAAACCACCGCTAGGATCATTGTACGGAGCTCCGATGATTTACTTGAACCTCTCGTGAGTTACACCACAACTTTATCTCTTCTCGAATCGGTGTCATTATTTATCAGGACATGACCCATTGTTATTTGCGTGCGATGAGCCCCATTCATATAAAGTGTAAGTCACTTGTTGTGCGACCATTTCTTGGTACCGATGAGCGCGTCCCATATAAGACCTCGCCAATATGGGAGTCAGAGCATCAATGTCTATCGTAAGCTAGTCCTGATTCTTGCTCATTGTTTGTACGCTCACCATGAGGGCAGTCAATCATGGCCTTTGGCACACTTTGGGGTTTGGTAGCTTGTCACTCCTTCGGTAGTCACGGCATGCGCGTGTCTTTCCCCGTGCGCCAGATACTCCGCCTTCTTAGCCAGTCGATATCTCGCAATATCGAGCGCCTGAGTTACGCCCAACGGTTCCAGGCAAGAAAATTGGTATGTCCTGGCGAGTTACATCCGTTAGGAACCAGTGCATTGATTCTACACTATCATATAGATCAATACTCTTTCCTCTCCCGGTCATCCCAGTGTGAGATCAGTTACTATCCTTCTTTCCGGACTACATCGAAACACCCTTCATTTTAGACTGGCTACCTTGTCAGTGACGCAGACGACCTATTGAGGTTATTTGACGCCGATTATGGGGTTTTGGTCGTCGGAGATGGCGCTAAAGTTCTGGGTCCTAACCAACACGGGCAAGACATACTCATTGTGGCCGAGTATTTGCGCTTGAAGCAGTTCGAGCATGTTGTTTTGGCCTCCCCGTTAAGCTCGGTACTAACATGATGCACAGTGCGATTCAAGCCTCTCAATCTGTTCACAGCGATTTCTCAGACTTGAACCTTTCCACAGGTGCCTAGTATGCGGAGTCATAGTCCCGATGCGTTGCTGACTTCCGTCTACTCCAGGTCTAGAGATCATAGCAGGGCTTCTCTACGTCCCTCTATCTACCAGTGGCCACGATTTTATCGCCTTCTTGCGCAAGGGCCAGCTTCGCTCCGTACGCTGGGCAGGCAAGCCCCGGACGAAGGACGACCCAACCCCGACCCTTGAGCCTAGGAGCTCGTTCAAAATATGGTCGGAAACGGTCGCTGGAAAGTGCAGAGCTTGGACCGATGAACAATTAGAAACGGCTGGCGTCTTGGCACTAGTTTACGGAAAAGTAAGTGTCTTCCTTAAGAAATTACCTTTTTGAGGTGACCGCATCTGTCAAATAGTTCATCGAAGTATGGAGGCAGAAACAAGAGGCTCTCCACGCGACGAGGTTAACCAACATACTGCTGTCGAATGCTAGTCATGAATGTCAATAAGTGTTTCAGTTTAGCGACCACTTACTGACGGATTCTGTTCAACAGCCCGTACTTCGTTGAACCATATCATAAAGTAGGTCTCTCTGTTCCTGTACTCTATGAACGTTTTGTCTCATCATTGCTATCAGTTACCTAGAGATGGCGATGAATGGCCAGCTAGATGGGGAGACCAGGGATAATCTAAGTCGCTCGCATGCTGCTTCAAAGGTGAAATAACATTGTGATAAATCGGCGGGGTTAATCATTAAGCTTTCAACAGAGTCTGCTCTTTACCATCAACGACCTTCTCGTGAGTGAATCGACTGTGATATATCATAAGCTGGGATCGAAGATTCTGTAGGATCTGACGCGGCTGGAGAGTGGCAACGAGACCTCTTTTCACGAAGTCTTCAACTTGTCTGAAGTTGTGCGGGACGCCGCCTACCTATACAGCAAGGAAGCGGAACGTCGTGGCATCGCTTTTGCCGTTGACGTCTCCGAATGCCCGACATTTGTCATTGGAGATGCAAAGAAAGTTAAGACTGTCATCCAGAATCTAACTGCCAATGCTTGTGAGCCTATCGATTTATTCTAGACCGTCCGTTAATCAGTTCATAGTGAAATTCACTGAGAAGGGAAGCATCGAGGTTTCTTGCGCAAGATATATGGAACCAGAGGGTCTTCGGAGTGCGGGCCAGATGGCCGTCAATATTGTTGTGTCTGATACAGGGTGCGGCATCGCTCCGGAAAAACTCGAGTCCATGCTACGGGAGTTTGAGCAAGTTGAAATTGAACAACCAAAGTCTAGCGCTGGTCTTGGTGAGTGCTTGCCGCGCTACGTATGTCTACTCCACTCACATGAATTGAAGGGCTCGGGTTGGCGGTAGTCGCGAGAATAGTAGAGCAGCTAGGCGGCCAGCTGCGAGTGAATTCCAAGGTGGACGAAGGAAGTCGATTCTCCTTCTTGATGCCATCTACATTCGCTGGCGACGACCAACACACCAGTTCCTCTGGTTCTTCAAGGTCATCTCTTCAGTCGTCCTGCCCTAGGTCGCGAAACAGAAGCCGTAGCTCGAAGGGCAGCGAACTAGAACGTCTTGTCGAAGCCATATCCACGCATCACATGCACCCACAATCGTTGTCTCCACGCAGCTCTGTACCAGATTCCTCCCTGCCTCGACCAGTGAAGATCGACGATGGACAGATGGACGTCGTCACGCTTCCTGTGGAACATGCCAATTCTAAATCGTTGCCCGTACCACTGCTGATTCCCTCCAAGGAGCATCACACCCCATCTCAGGCGCCAGAGCAACTCAGAATTCTAGTCGTAGAGGTTTGCCATCCTACCAATTTTGTGGACGGATTCTCACCCGCTTTGGAATAGGATAACGATATAAATCGCGTCATCCTTTCGAAGCGTCTGCGAAACGATGGCCACGCCGTGGTGGATGCTACAAACGGCCGCGAAGGCCTTGATCAAGTGGAGGCTGACCGCGAGTTCGATCTCATTCTAATGGATATCCAGTCCGTACCTATCCTTTCGCCTATTCAGTAATTCTAATTGTGTCTATACTAGAATGCCCATACTCAACGGCTTCGAAGCTACGCAGAGCATCCGAGCGCTTGAGACGGAAGATATGGGTATGAGACGCCCCATGCGCGTTTCCCACCAACTTAACGGTCGACTGCCGATATTTGTTGTCTCTGCGACGCTCACCGAGCACCAACACGACGAACTCGTTAATTACGGCGTAGACGGGTGGATTCTGAAGCCCATCGACTTTAAGCGGCTCAGGACGATTATGAAAGGCTTGACGGACCTTCGTCAGCGGCGGTCGGATTTATACGAGCTGGGACGCAGCTGGGAAGCAGGCGGCTGGCTCCGTCGAGCATCGGCATAGAACATTGCAATATTGCGCAACATCCAACTAGACCTCTGCACAGTGCTTTCGTTCTTACTTTTTATGGGTTTTATGGGTTTCGTCGCCCGGCCTATCACCGACATAATATCTGCCCTTGACAGAGGGTGGACGATAGATTGAACATTTGCGACACTGTTATGTAATTTTATCATGTGTATCGTATGCTAGCCAGCATGTAGAGTAGAAGCCGAACCCGAGAGATACGCAGATATACACACTCTCGTTCTTAAAGTGGGGTGGGTCGCCTGGATGCGGTGCGACCTGGAGGGCACTTACTGCAAGTGCATACTTCTTGAACATAGCTCAATGGTGGGAGTGACACCGACATCCTAAGCGATGAATACATCCATACTCCAAGGACTATGGCGATGAAGATCCTTGTAGATGATTCCCAACATTAGTGGGATTATTCTTCGTCGCTCGGAGTGCGCAATATATATTGTAAGTTTCCGAACCCCGCGATCGTTCTGCTGCGATCATCACGTGACTCTTCGCTACTGGCAATTGTTGAAATTGTGATTGCCTCTCTCCTCATCCAGGACCATAACTTGACCATAACTTCCCGCAAATATGCCTCCCAAACCACGACCCATCCTCAAGCAGAACTCTGCAACTATACCCTCCTCACGTTTGAAGGAGGAAGAAGCAGCCAAAGCCATGCCTCCTCCCCCCGACCCACCGAAGCCACCAAGGATATTAGAGCCTGAGATGAAGGCATTGTCCTCCTGCCTACAGGTAAATTTCATCTCGTCAATGCTTGATATACGATTGTCATGGCTGGTACAGAATGCTGCTGTCAAGACTGCCCAAATATACAAGTTCTACGCGGATACACACAAACTGTGCGTCACTCTCAATGATGTTTGACATGATCTCAGACGCGACGGTCCTGGTTGTAGTGGCGTTCAACAATACACGCCTGGTCCACCGTCGTCTCTCACTGCCTCACTGGGACGTGAGATTGAGAAGTATGATCAGCTGTGCGATGCTATCGAGACACAATTAGTGAGTGCTGCAGTCGTGACCACGTACTCGTATCTAAGTATGGCCCTTCAAGCTTCGCGCAGTTTCAGTTCTGCAGAGAGATCTAGCCCGGGAGGAACGTCGCGTAGAGGAGGAAGAGGCGGCTGCGGCTGCGATCAAGGCAGCGAACGACAAGCCATTGCTCACTTCCATCACCACGGCAGATTCAGCCGACGGAGAGTCAAGTCAACCGAAGACACCTACAAGGCCTTCGCCCGGGAGCAATGCAGCGAATCCGTTGAACAGGCGGCCGTCTAGTATCTCTATCTCCTCCCTCCATCGCGCTCCGTTCCCACTCAAGTTGGATCTATCTTCGCCCTCTTTACGGACATCGCCAGAAGATGTAGCGTTATTCTCAGGGGGATTGGCCTCGCCTATTGTCCTTGGGCAAAGGCCGTTGATGAGTACTGGTCCACCGCCTGAGTTCAACCCTGAGCTATTGTCTGCCTTTGCATCGTCGGCACCTGACGGGCGAGTTGATATCGACCTAACCCTCGCTGACTCCGACAATATGGTAGTTGGAGGTCAGGAACTGGCCAACATCGGCAATTCAGCCGACAAACCTATCGAACTTGATCTGGAATCTATGGATATCGAGATGGAGAATATGCTATTTGGTCAAGGCCGCGATACCACTGTCAGCGATAACCCCTTTTCTTCTGCAGACGGTATGCAGGTGGAAGACGATTCTAGCAAGGGTGTAAAAGCTGAAGAAAATATCGACGCTGACATTCTGGACGCCCTTACCGCCACTGCGCCCCATGATCACGACAACATCTTTGGGGACCTCTCGCAAGAGAACACAAATACGGTGATGAGCGACGGTTCCAACGCCCCCACTAACTTGGATAATCAAGCTGGTGAGTCCCCTGGGAGCATGCTTCGGAGCTTTGAAGCAGCAGCAGCCAATCTGGACGGTCTCGACCAACCTACTCTCCCAGGCGCTCAGAATATACCTGATGGGGGATTCGACTTCTTGAATCCCGAGTTCTTTGCCAGCACGCAGGATCCCGACCTTGACGACCTATTCAGCACCATGGGCGAACAAGACGGTGGGACACATACGCAGACAGACGAAGCCAAGCATTGAAAGTACGATGCGGTTCGTGTTGGGATATAGTGTGTATCCGCACCTCTGTAATGTACATCGAGTTCCTGGAATTCTCGATCGACATTGAACATTAACAACGCACGTTCATCCCCACTTGCTGCCCCAGTCAAATCCGCGCGAGTGCAAATCGTTGACGGCCTTCCCTAATCTTCTGGTACAGTCCACGTTCCTGCTGGTATTCTGAGACAATGCAAATATAGTACTCGTTCCTCAATTTCAAGGACACCTAGGAACAAAGAGGCTCAACGGTACGCGAAGCAGCCGATATAGTGCTCCAGTAATAAATCACACTTTCCCTCGACCGTGGAGACATTCTCCCATATGAATGGTCCACGTCGTATGCCCTTGTCAGTAACATGTGGTCGCGTTCTACGACCCAATTTGCGCTTGATAATGATCAACACGCATGGTCAAGTGTGGATTATAGATAGATGTGGCATCGGTTTGTATTTTTATCCTCCTTGTCCTGGGCCTGTGTATAAAGAATGTTGCGGAGGGGGTAGCTCGAGAGGACTAATTCCCTCGCATTGGCACTGACTGACATGGTTATTTCCTCTTTTCTGGCCGTAATCGCCCTTTCCACCGCAGGCGCACACGCGTGGGGTGCTTCTGGGCACCAAGCCGTAGGGTATGTGCCCGTACATTGTATATTTGTGACGAATTCGTAGCTTACTTTCATGATGTTCTTCTACTCTAGCTTCATTGCAATGGAGGTTTGTGCTAGTTCTCATGACACACAAGTCAAATTTAGTAACAATGGACACTAGTTCCTATCTCCCAGAGCCCTTTCTTTCGTTCAAAATTCCCTCGGCGATATGTACAATAGGTCTCTCGGACCAGCTGCGACTGTAAGTCGACACAAACTCACGAAGCTCGCAACCATAACCCGCCGTTCAAGTGGGCAGACGAAGTGCGATCTATGCCAGACTTTGCATGGCGAGTTTCTCGCTTGATTGCAAAGCATGCCCCTGAATAACTCCTGAGACAGGTCTGCCGATCTACACTTCGTCGACGCTGAAGGCAGGATCCAATCTGTAGGGGATAACGCGGGTTGTCCACCTTAAGTTGATTTATAGATAACCCGCCTTCCTCCTGCAATCTCAATGAAACTAGAGATTGTGCAAATGATTTCTGTGTCCGTAGGTGGCATCTCATGGCAACGGGTCGAAACACAACCCGTTGAAATGCAATTCGAACAGTGACTGCCATAGCGAACTACACGACGAGAGTGGTTGACACGCGTCTTGACGCCGAGCAGCGCCAGGAAGCTTTGAAGTTCCTCGGTATGTGTCTACCATTCGGGTGTATCGATTTGACTCAATGTCCCTAGATCACGTAGGCATTTCCAAAGGTCTCTACAATTTAAGCTAAAGTATACATAGTTTATCGGCGACATTGGGCAGCCTCTGCACGTCGAGGCGGACGCCCTAGGCGGGAATCGAATCTCTGCCAGATGCAATGGTGCCAGTACAAATCTTCACTCTGTAAGTACCATGGAAAGTATTTGTTACTCGTATACTGTACTTATGTATACGACAACGTACAGGTGTGGGGTCAGTACACTTCCCCCTCAAAGCGTCCGTAGTTTCCGCTGACTATTTTCTTTCCTGCAGACTCTGGGATAATTAACAGATTGCTTCAACAAAGCCATGGGAACTCAGTTGCAAACTGGGTTGACAATCTCGTTGCTCGCATCAAGGTCAGCAAGTACTTCTTACTACAAGCCCATGTCTGACTGTGTAGCTAATCATCCAGACGGGCTCGTTTAAATCCCTCACAAGCAGCTGGTTGAGCTGCAGTTCTGTGACGCAGCCTTTGCGACGAGATTTGGACGTCCAGATTAACGAGTTCCTCAGTACACGAGCTGTAACCCCACTTGAATGCCCCCTGGTTTGGGGCGGTGAATCGAATAAATTCGTTTGCGTAAGTCCATCACTCAGAGTCAAACTCATAGAACTTATTTGTTGTTAGTCGACTGTTTTCACCTTTTCCACTGGCGAAGATCTATGCACTGGGAGTTACTTTACAAACGCCGTCCCCGTGGTAAGACCTACCAAGTCCGTTGCCGACTATACTAAAATATCACTAGATTGAGTTGCAGATAGCGAAGCAAGCATTCCGCTTAGCCGCTTGGCTCAATGTGTTATTTGACGGAGCAACAAATCTCCCATGAAAACCCAACCATTCACTCCACAGCACCACATGTACATACCTTACCAGATGTATTGTATCGTTCGGATATGCACTCCCTGCTTCGTAGACTTGATCTCGGCTCGTAATATTCCCACCCTGGTATAAGAGCGAGCACATGTATCGTGGAAGAATAAAGCTTCTCTCTTATCAACGAGGGTTGAAATGTCTGCTATGTAGTGTTCATTGCTTCGACCGCTGGCACCATGATAGTCATCAAAGCAGGCATCCTGGCCTTGATATGGGCCGCATTTTTGCTCGTGAACGGACAGCCAAGTCCCGAGGAACTTGCTCCGTTACTCGCTGGTCTCTTTGACAGACCCACTCAGGAGGCTAGTGGGACTGCCACGGATCTGCAGAAGAGAGTTCCCTTGATGACTGATGACCCTACGGTTGCCCCTCTCATCGACCTTCAAGTCTTTGCGCCACCCGTTGTACCGAAAGGCGGGACAAGTTGCACGGTCAAACTGCTTGAACATTCATTCGGCGTGGATTCGTTCAACAAACCAGCTATAGTGTCTTACCTCCCGCCGGTGTCGCCACAGTGCGGGAAGGTCGGGGAATGGGCAGCTATAAGCCTAAACCTTTCTGTGTTCTCGTGGGTACATTCTTGCGTTGAAGGGATAAAAACATGACGCTGTCACGTAGGATAGGGACACAGTATGATCGACTTGGTGTACGTCGCAAATTGATATCAGTCCCCATTGAGATATTCACTGAGTATAGGCTATCTACTTGTCTCATACGGAGAGTGCGTACCAAATGTGATACACTCAGACCCCAAGCTAATTTATCAATTAGTTTGGCGCACGTCGAGTGCTGAGCCTACGAAGACGGGAACGATATGGACTACGTACGATGACCACCAACATACTCTTATCCGTACAGAAGCTAAGGATACATAGCATCAAGGATATGACCAAGTATACCCCTTTGTTTGCCAAACCAGGCGACTTGATGATGGATTTTGGTAACATCGTCGACACGAGCCTGTATGTGGATAGCATCCACCTATGGCTTTCCACTGACTAGTATCGCTCAGGCTTCTAGATGCTGCGTTTGACGGTAAGCCATAGTCTGGCCATATTCTCTGTACCTCGCCTCACGTCTCCGCGCAGTAACAATCACGGCAACGTTCTATGCTCCTACGAAAGCCTTCCCAACCCCTGACGCCCCTGATCTCATTATTCCCCTGTCCAACTTGTCACCGACGCTCCCTAACTTCTTCACAGTCGACAACGACGCAGGAGCTACAACGGTAATAGACATACCAGACACAGCCGAGGAGGCGTACGTGGAAATAATCTGCTCCGGAAACTCGGCAGAAGAATTTTGGTATCTCAGTAAGTTCATGGCAAAGTCATATTGCATGCATCGCGTGAATATCCTAACATTTTCATCAGATACGCCAGACGAGTTCATCGATACTTTCCCTCCCGATGCAGGACTCATAGGCAAAGGACCTTTTCGCGAAGTCCAGGTCCTGGTCGACAGACAGTTGGCAGGCGTTGTTTGGCCCCATGCAGTCATCTATACGGGTGGTATAACACCGTCGAACTGGCGGCCGTTGACCTCATTCGGGGCGTACGACCAACCCACCTACTGGATATCAATCACACCCTTCATCCCACAACTCTTAACAGCAAACCGATCCCATACCATTACGTTACGAGTCCAAGGCCAAGGATCCAACCCATCAATCAATTCCAACTGGTTTGTTTCAGGTAGTGTACACATCCGGAAGGGAAAGGGGAAGGTCACGGGTAAGCTGACGAAACATGAAGTTGGTCCGCTGGAAATCAAGACGACTGGCGGAGCGACAGCTGGCAACAAGACGCTGCACACCAGGGTCACTGCAAAGAGGAAACTTGTGGTGGAGGCAGAATTGAAGACCTCCCACGGGAGACAAACGGTCACTTTCACGCAGGACTTGGAGTACACCAACGAGGCAGATTACGAGGACGAAGGGTGGATTCAAGTATGTTGTTTTAACGTGTCTGAAAAGCTACGGCTAACTCAACGCGACCAGCGAGGAGCACAGTCGACCATAGGAACGACAGAGGCCCGGCACGGTGTACGACTGGTTCTTCGAGATGCGTTTTCGTACCCATTGGCCGTATTTTCGAATTATTCGCTATTCACTCAGGAACTCGGTCAGTAAGACTTGTGTCTGCCATTGTGTCGATACTCAACTACCCCATTCGTAGGCGGTTATGGCTCTGACATTCATCAAAACCACACTAGGGCTTTGCAGCCCCCATTTGGCTTCCAGAGAAGTATACATTCGGTTCAGCACGCCAAAGGTCAAATAGGGATGGATGATTGGCCTGGGCTGAGACATGCAATTAACGGCACGGGGGAGACGACGCAGTTGTTCGCATACAGTGATGGGAGGGGGGAGACATACTTCAGGGACGTGGCAGCGATGAATGATGGTTGGGTTAAGGACGAGGTGTGGGGGACGTTGAAAGATGCGAATCCACCCGTACCGAGGAGTCAGATATTCGGACCTGGCGGAGGACCTGGCTTCAGACGCATGGTCGCAAGAGGCAGAAGATAACAATGAAAGAATAAGTTAGACGGGGTTGTAACATACTGTTGCCTAAGGAATGAAGCATTTGAACCGGAAGCACAACTTACGGCTAAGATGACTAGTCGCTAGAACTTCCCGTATCATCACAAAACCAACAGTTTGGTAGAGGTCGATTGGAGTGGTCAAATAGAGGCTCATGTAGCCGTAAGGTATTTTTCCAGCCTCCTTCTCAGAGGATGACTAGGCTTCACACCAGTAACCTTGAGCGCCTTCGAAAGCGCCGTGGCCACTTGTGTTTTGTCCTCCGGAGTATGGTCTTTAGAAGATAGGAATTGTTCCACGGATCGAGCAAGACGTCCTTTAGGGCCCATGAAGGGTGCCACACCGTTGGGTGGTTTCGTCGTTGGAGCTTTCGGAATTTTATGCTTTACCTTTGACTTGGCACCCGAGCCGATTTTGGGAGTGATGAGAAGCGGCTCAAAGAAATCGGTCCTAAAGCGCCGGTGCGCGAGAGAGATAATGGGAACCACACGGTCTAGCGAGCTTGCAGTTTCGGCGCACGCCTCCGCTTCGGCTAACGCTTCAGGCGATCCACCATCAAGGTAACCCCATTTCTTTAATTCCTCTGTTCGTCTCTCCTTCATTTTGAGAGCTATCTTCTCTGGGATCGCGTCCATTCCCTTCATCAGAGTTGCAATGCTCTGTGCCTTGCTGTTGGCAGGAGATAGTGCAATACTTTCGGTGTGGGTCGAATTAGGATCAAGGACATCGCGAAGACGAAGCCAGCCCATGTCCTCGTCCACAGCGCGTTTGACGTAATGTCGGTTAAAGTAATTGAGCAGGCGGTTCACAGAGTGGACCCCGGCAGAGTAGCGAGTAAACGACGGGATCACGTAGTGTATGAGAGTTGTGTCATCTTGAGGCGCAGAGAGGAAAAGCTCGCGCACGACCTCGGAGAAATAGCGATCGAGATGTTCGTAAAGTTCTGCACCGCTGGCAAGAACAGCATCATTTGCACGTGGGTCCGCAGTGGCACTTGCGAGTTCATTTTGTGCCGTGAAACTGTAATCATGCGTTCGCTGTTGTCAACAATGAATTAACTTAGATTTAGGAGATAAATTTACTAATTGTAACACGCAGTGTGAATGCCCGAGTAAAAATTAACATCGATGGCGGGGGCCTTGAGTGTCTCGTTTGTAGGCGAGCAGACTATGTGGTCGAGGGCAGGTCGCATGTAAGACCATAGTGAAGGAAACGATGCAGCAGGGTTTGCACTTCCAGTGGCAGGATTTGGGAGCGGCGGGACTGCTGGTCGGTTTCCAGAGAGAGTGGTGGGCGACAGCTTTCCCTTTCCCTTGGACTTGGACTTGGACATCGCTGCGAATCCGGGAAATTGGGAACTGTGGCTTCGGAGTGGCGAAATGGTGGTAAGACAGAGTTGAACGAGTGGTAGTCACTGTCGCCAATGTTATCTTGTTTGGCCGTATTTGTCTTAGACGCCCTCGATCAGCCCTCGATCGCAACACGATCAACCAGGTTTCACCATTTCTGAAACCACCACTTGCGGCACTTGGCCACTGCCCGAATCCAAAAATCCAACCATGCCATATGCCAAGTTCTTCCTAGAGCTCCTTCCAAAGCTACTCCAGCAGGAAAAGATTATCCCCCACGACTATGCTGGCTACAATACCTGTCGCTGCGTATCGGCCAAGTTTGGGGGACGTTACACTACTTGAACCGTTTGCACTCAAAACAATCCCCATGGTCACCGGCGCAGCTTCACTGATTGTGGAACGACGCTTCAGTGTACTTGTTACACATGTATCAGTATATAAGAGGGGTACCTCGCATTCGGGCAACCCAGCTGCGCTCACTCACCCCCAAGCTACTGGTTTGCTTGGAACCCTTCGCTGCACCAGCTGGTCTGTTAAGCTCTACTAACATAGGCTACGCTTACATCTATAGACTCTATATCTCCTTTCCTTCGATATGTCTATCATTCCTACTCGCTTCATCCTGCTTTTTGTTCTAGCGGTGGCGAATGCTGCACTGCATGCGATGGCGGCTCCAATATTGTGAGTTTTGAGAGTCCCTCTTTCCTCCCGTTGTTCATCCCCGTGCTAGCTACCCTGGGGCAGCTAGTATCAGTGTTCGTTCACAGCATCTCGATAGCAACCGAGTGTTGGTGCGCAAACCGCAGGACGTGCAAGACTTCCTGTCGGACGAGGACGACGGTGACGACGACACCGGGAGCAATGTAACCGCTCCCATACACACTGGACTGCCTGAATCTACGCAGCTTCCACCTGGTGGCGCTAAATTCGGCAGCCCGCCCCCAACTGAAGCGGATGAGAGTGGTGAGGACGACGATGAAGTCGAGGAGACAACTTCATCCACATCGACAACTTCATCCTCGTCGCCCACAGCTGCGCCGACCGATCCTTTGGCTACAGATGAAGACGATGAGGCTGAAGATGAGGAGACTACTGCGTCTACATCGTCTGCATCTACGTCATCTACATCAGCCAACCCATCTCCTACAAATAACGATGAAGGAGAAGAAGATGATGAAGACGACGACGAGACCATCACGCCCGCGTTGGTCACTTCATCCTTGTCATCTACCAGCACGTCGGCGTCGTCAGTAACGTCAAGTTCGTCTACCTCTGCTTCTGTGTCTACGTCGACGTTTGCTTCCTCTTCCTCTACACTCTCTACGGCTACTTCTTCGTCCTCGAAGACCTCTTCCTCCGTATCTTCGTCAACCATCTCTTCTTCCTCCATCACTTCCCCCACCTCTTCTATAGCCTCTTCCTCCTCAAGCACTCGATCGTCTTCTACGGGCCCCACAGTATCCACAGCCTCCACCACGACCACCGATGATTTGAAAGGCACGACAATCATCCTCACTTACGGTAACACTGCGACGCTCGGCCTTCCGTCTGGGGTACCCACGCCTGCTCCTGGACAAAGCTTGAGCGATGCAATCGGCGACAAAGACCTTAACGAAATCATCAACAAGTTGCTCGGGGCTCCAGAGACATCGACGGACACTCCCGCAAAGCCTACCGCTACCACAAACATCGCACCAACTTCTCCCGGAGTAGGAGCTGATGTGGACTCAGACGTAGAAGATGATAGCGATCCCGATGATGACACCACGCCCACAACAGCGGTGACTTTGCCGGGTCAACCTCCTATGCCGACACAATTCCGCCCACTACCTTCACTGCTGGGTCAACTTGCACAACCCCAGCAGCTCACGGACGCGCCAGGACCAACGTTCACTCCGTTCTTCCCCACCTCAACGACTTCAGCAGATCTTACTGAGGAGACGCAGAATGATGATGACGATGGCTCCGATAATCGACCGCCATTCGCTGTCACCAACCCATTCGGTGATAGTGATGACAACAATGCGCCCACTCGTCGCCCTGATCCAAGCAGTGGCTTCGATACTGGCGGGAACCCCCCGCTGCCCGTTGATAGACGGCCGCCCCCACCCTCGGAGGCGGCTGGTAACAGCAATGGAGGCGACGACGAAGATGACGGAAGTCGTCAACCCGAGGATGACACGGATGACAATGCTGACGGGCCTGAAGATCCTGAGCTTCCCGAGCCATTTGACCCCAGTCTACCACCGGTTCGCCCTGGCAGGAATGGCGGGGCTCCGGCGATAATCAACATACGAACGTCGTCAATTAGTTTCAGTGCTACCTCGACTGTTCCTGCTGCTGCCACCTTCACAACTTTGGACTCAACGATACCAACGCCAACGCCAACGAGAACGGTGAAGATCAAGATAACCATTGAGAAGGAGGAGTAAATTAGTCCATTGAAAGTATATCATGAGAATACATTTACATTTAGCCTATCTTTCACGGCCACTGAGACAGTTGCAGCCTCTAGCAGTGCCTTCCTAGCCAAACGTCGGATTAAAGGAACACTTGACGGGGAAAAGACGACCATAGAATTTTTACGCCAGCGAAATATGTACGACAGCGAAAGATACAAAACGACTAATTAGTGTCACCAGTCAATCTACATCTGTACCATCAACAAGTACCTCAACCGAATTTGCGAGGGGTCATATACAATGTACTAACGTAAGAGTATTAGTAGGTGAGGCAGTATTTCGAGGCGAACGCTTACTTCATTGTACTGCAAGTATACACCTGGAATATCCACACTTTGGCCCGGGCTATCTGGCATATGGCAACCCTTCAACTCTTCGTTATCGAGGGCTTCGCCGGCATCCTTCCACTGAAGTGGCTGAGTTTTGCCGATACCTTTGGTGGCGCTGGGTTATGTGACAAAGCGCGTTGGCTGGGGACTAAAAGACAGAGTGGATGAGACCTACCGAGCATTGGCAGATTTGCAGTGAATATCGGCGTCATATTGCTATCGGATTTGGATTGTTGAATTGAGTGAGTACATGATGACGGGTTGAAGACGTACCGCATCGGTTCGCTCGTAGAACGGCTTCACTGCAACCTCGCACAGGAGCAGCAGACCAACGTTATTGCTCAGGCTTCAAACGAGAGTTAGGGTGAGCGAAGAAAACAGAAAATGTAACGCACTAAGAATAGCAGTAATTGGCAGACTGCAAGACAATGTAAAATGTTATTCCAATTGATATTTGTTGGTGTAACAGACCTTGGACATCATCTGGGCAAAGTTAAAAGAGAGGTTAGCTAGACGTCAAACGCAGAGTGCAACAAACATACGTCAGCGAAATAGACACCCTTTCCAAACATGTAACCAGTGACAGGTGCTAGACGGGGTAGGGTTTTATAGGTTGTCTACGCTACGAATTCAGCAAAACATACCTTCTGGAGGAGCAATTCGGAGGCCTTGCTTTAGGATACCTAGAAACAGGAGATCGAATTCGTGCAACTGGCAACCATAGGTCTTCCCGTACCAGCAAAGTTCGTCGTTCGAGAGCCATGCCACAAAAGGAACCGCTCGCCATCTCCAAGCGAATTAAACCCAGCATTATTCCAGGCTTCTGCTTCGGAATCGCTGCGGTGAAGGCAGCATTAGATATAACTGCTGCCTCACAAGAAAACCTGCCTCGTACCGCTCCACTCGGTAAATATTCTGCACATTGACTTTCAAGTTTTGGTGAGTGTGTCCATGGGTGTCGTGGACATACTTCTGCAAGCAGAGGAATTCTGAGGTGCTTCTGTCGACATGTTCCATTTTCGAAAGGGCAAGAGAACGGAAATGCGAGTCGATGGGGTTGAGGGGTTTGCCATCGTCATCAACCAAAGTGGTACTTTGGATGAGTTTCGAAGCAATTTCCTGTGAAGCACCTGTTAGACAGAAGAATATAAATGGAAGGAAATATGACTCGCCATATCACCAAGCGCGTCGACAAGGTCAAGTTCCTAGACTTGACATAAGGATACAATCTCATTAGAGTATATATCGTTTACCTTCTTCAAGGCGACTGCAGTAGAGATGACTGTCGGCCTCGTTCGCCCAAAGTCATGGGGAATGATCCTGTCACAAGATGAGAGAGGGCACAGTGAGGGGGTAGTGTATAACCAACGAGTAGTAAGCACTAGTAAGATGCTCGCAGGCTGCTTGAACTGAACCATATTGGTTCGCGAGTTCGCTGTTCGGTTTGTCGATAACCTCAGAGAGATTCTGGCGAAAGGCCGTTGGGATTCTGTCTATGCTTGCAAGTACCGGTAGCTCACCTTCAATGCCTCGAAGCCCTTTAAAATAGTGGTTTTGGCCAATTTGCCTTGAAATCGCGTTAGATAGAAACGGGAAACAGCTTGAAGCGGGAATACCCAAAGGGAGCTTCTTAGCGTCATAGTTCATAGACGAAAGATGGGCATCTATCAACGACGTTGAAAACATCAAATTACAGAGATCCTACAGGAGCAGTCAGTGGTGGTTGAAAACAGGACAAGCGATTGGAGAACTGACCTGAATCTCGGGGGCCAGCTTTGAGTCGGGGATGGGTTCATCCTTTTTCTTGCTGGGGCCTGCTTGAGCATCCTCTTCGTCCTCTTTGTCGTCGAAGTCGCGCTCTAACGCGAATCAAAAATGTCACGACACGGTCAATAGGCAGTATGCACGAGACGTACCTAACCACATATATTTCCCTTCTCTACGTTAGTAGTTGTTGGTAACAAGAGATCATAGGTATCACCTTTCTTTGCGACCATACCAACTCTGTCTTCCCATGCCACCCCCGCTTTCGCTCTGAACTGACTCTTGAACTGACGGACAGCGCTAGCAGCGTCCCAAGGTCCCTACTTCGTGTAAGTTACGGATATCTTGCTTGTAATTTGGCGTTCCAACTATACCTTGACCTGCGTTTGACCATTCTCACCAACACGCCCCCAGCGAGTGAACAGCACACATGTATTGTTGTTGCTGATAGGATGCAACAGCTGAATGACATAGAACCTTAGAAGAAACGCGTTATTAAGACATACGTAGCGAGGAAGAAGCTGTGACAAACTTGTTCTTATTGCTTCCTCCACTGACATCGGTCTGGTTCAGCATAGCATCCCAAACACCTTCATCATTGGCCAGGACCTGATGGGTATCTGCATTTTCAGTGTGAGTAATTTATGACTTGTACTCGTAGTAGCAACTCCTATCCACCTACCAACTTTGCCGGACATGGGGTCCACTGGAGCGGCCCCTCGCTTAATCACAGTGACCTACGAGTAGCATTAGTGTCAAGGATCAAGCAGCATCGTAAATGACAGTACCATCTTCTGTGGCACGTCTGCCGGCGCGTCGTCTTGCGCTTCTTCATCTTCATCCGCGTCGGGGGCATCTTTCACTTTTGGCGCGTCATCCTCCGCGTCGTCCGTGTTTTTCTTGCTCTTCTTTCGACTGGGCTTGGGTTCGTCGTCTTCTGCATCGTCAGCCGCAGCTGCTCTTCCGCGCTTGGCCTTGGGTTTCGCTGCAGGGGCAGCGGCCGCCGGTGGTTGAGCTGTCTTTTTGGTTCGAGTGCTAGACCTGGTAGCCTTGGGAGGATCAGCGGAAGACCCACTGGCGTCGGCGGCGGCAGCTTTCTTGCGAGGAGGCATCTTGAGGGGATTGTTGCAAGGATTTGTGAGAAGACAAACCCCTGCAGACTCAACTTATATGGGGTCGCGTTATTTGATGGTGGCGCTTCCGCTATTACCATAGTAGGAAAGTCGGCGGGTTTCCCGACTCCCGACGCGCCTCGTGTTCTGGGCGGTGACTCACATTGAGTCGTTCTTCTCACATGGTAGGATACCGAGTAAAAAATGCATTGCAAATAAAAGTTTCGAAGACCTGACTAATCGTACACACAGAGGCAACATCGATATTCCAACCTTTTAGATGAACCGCTCTTTCGAAGTATTTTAGAGTTTAGCGTGTTGCAAGACGTAAGGAGAATACTTCTTCGCCTTGACCTTATCAACATCGTGCATGGTGATAGGTCGGTACTCATGGGCGTGGTTGTATCCCAACCTGGGGTTACAAATGTTGGTGACTGGCTTAGATAGGTAGAACACACTCACCTGTCGCGTCCATCACGACCACCAGGTTTGTAGAATTCGGGACGACGGAGGAGAGAGATGACTACGGCACCACCAAGACCGAGGTTGTGGACGAGTCCATACTTGCCACGACTGTCGGCGGTGTCGAAGAGATGGCCAGCTTGCATAGGACCGGCCCCTGATGTGCATTGTGAAGTTCGTTATGAATGGGCTTGGAATAGAGTTAGAAGGACTTACATTCACGGAGTTGCATGGCGATGTAGAAGTGCATGCCAATACCGGTAGCACCAAGGGGGTGCCCTTTGGCTTCGAGACCACCACTGGGGTTGATGACGTATTTTCCACCATACTACAGAACGTCAAGGGTCAGCCTCAAATTGAGAATGTATGTATATCCGGGTGCCTACAGTGTTATCACCGGCGTCCACCATCCTACAGGCATCTTCCTCCTTGCAAAGTCCCAATGCAGCATAGGTAATCAGCTATACAATCGACGTTAGACTCTAAAAATCTCAAGACGGCGAAAATCCCTACCTCGTTGGCGGCGAAGCAATCGTGGAGCTCAACAACACCAACTTGGTCACGGCCCTCACCAGGGCGGAAGCCGGCCTTTGAGAAGACGTCGTCGGCGCATCGTTTAGCCATGTCATAGCCAACGACATCCATAGCACTGGTGGTTTCGAAGGTCGAAGGATAGTCAGTGCCCAAAGACTGCGCGACGATCTCAATGGCCTGGTTCTCAAGACCATGTTTGTGGACAAAGTCCTCAGAGGCGATGATGGCGCAAGCACCACCATCCTATACAGAGAAAATATCAGTAAATTGCAAACTCCTCGACGTATAGGGTGACTAACCGAAGTGGGGCTGCACATGAACTTGGTGAGTTCGTTGGTAATCTTGGGGGCCTTGAGGACTTCCTCGACCGACCAACCATCACGGAACTGCGAATAGGGGTTGTTCACTGAGTGTCTGTGGTTCTTGGAAGCTAAAAATCCCAGCCAAGTAGTGAGTAAACGAAGGATCACATCGGCCGTTTGTGCATACCAATCTTGGCCAAATGTTCGACGCCGCCGCCGTATTTTCTCAGATATTCGGAGCCTGCGGTTCCGAACATCCTGGGTGCGCCGGGACCGTGGTTAATAGCATCAGCTTTCTTCTCGGCATCAACGACGCGTTCGTTGAAGAGCAGTGTAGGCGAAGGGCGGTCAGGGAAGTTCGTCCCAAGGCTGCCAGGCTTCATGCGCTCGAAGCCCAGAGCCAAAGCGCATTCGACCAGACCACCTTTCACAGCATTGCTGGCTTGGTACAAGGCAGTGGAACCAGTCGAACAATTGTTGTTCACATTGGTGATAGGGATACCGGTCATGCCCAAGTTATAGAGGGCGCGCTGATATCACACTTTAGTGAACTCACAATGCTCGTGAAAAGCACCACTACATACCTGACCGCTGGTTGAATCACCATAACAGTATCCGACGAAGGCTGTCTCAACTTCGTCGTACGTGATGCCTGTTATAGAAGTACGCTTCAGTGGGAATTAACACGCGACAAATCAGAGGACAAACCTGCGTCGAGCAAGGCTTTCGTGGCGGCCTCAAGGCCCATCTATGGTATTCAAGTCAGGGCATGTTCCCCCCATAATCTATGCACTGCTTACGTCTTCAGTGGTCCTCGTCGCGCGGGGCTATTGGGGTAAGTTTCCGGATTAGGGTCGGCATCGGGGCGGGGCTTACCTTGATAAACGCGGTGCAACCGCATCCTACAATGAATGAACGTTTTCCGGGTGCCATGACGGTGTAGACTTGATTGCAGATGTGGGCGTAAGTAATGAAGATATGGGGGTGGGTCGCTAGTGTTGAAACTGGGGAAACTGGGGTTATAAATATGCCGGAGTTATTTTTGCCCGGACCCGGCCAAGACTGTGCACCTGATCGACTGTATCAGACTATGAGGAATATCAGACTATCCACACTGGTTCACGGGGTTGTATATGGCCGGAAATCGACAGGACGAATGGCAGACCATGTCTATTCGACATACAGGAGATGTATCAGTTGTGAATATCAAGATATTGACGCTATTGCCAATAAGTCGAGAATTGGATTTTGTAGATAAACCTTCAGGTCATCAGTAGAACGTAAGAAGTGAAATAGGCGAAGGAGCTCCGTGAGTGAGAAATAGCGCAGTTCAGAGCACGAAGAATGCCCATTGCAGTGGGGCCGCTGATGGCCTGAGCTTCGAGGAATCCATGGCTGATTCATGCGGATAAATATAAGTTTAAGTTCGTGTTCAATGTGAAGAGCCCAAAGCTTACGTCCAAGTGCCCGGTCGCCTGCATCCTGCGCGTTCCATTGGCCTAGCGGTTCGCGAAGTTGTCCCCAAAAGGCAGTGCGAGAACCAAGACGAGTGATTTCTCCCTTGTAAAGCAGTGTGCCGTGGGCTTTCCTTTACGACTATATCGAAGTCTGCTCAATTTTTGGAGAATACTCGACCTGAAATCCTATGTACCGCCGCGTCATCATGACCAAGAAATTCCAGTGAGCGGAGACATTGGCGGTTATCATCTATGTTGGGAAACGGGACTGAGTAACGAAGGCTCCAGCATCCACCAATCTGAATCATCGTGACCTGGGGTATGCCTTCAGATCCGTCCGTCGCCCGCGTTTGCTGCCGGAGGAAGAGATAAAAGGTGACACCTTCCTCACAGAAAATAGTATCGCGGTCTCGATATCGGCATGCTAAATAGTAACGAGGTGAGGATAACTTTTATCGTGTGGCATTCCAGTGACCGAAGGGTGGTTAACAAGGCTTGTGGCGTAGTGGGTGTCTCGAGCCAGGATTGTCGCCCGACAGGTTGATTCGTGCAGGAAGGACGGTTTTGGGTGGGATATCAAAATGATCGGGCTCTTAGATCCATTTTCAACACCAAAAAAAGTTTGGCATGATGGGGGACTGATGGGGACAATAGCCAGAGATCGACCCAGCGCCGGAAGCCAGATACTTTGGAGAGGTTAAGGACGATATGTTGACCTGAACAAGGCCAAAATGTGAGCGCAAATCCTGCGTCAAGGACCGACTGCAGTTGAACTGCAGACTCTTATGCTCGCTGCTACGTTCAGTCCATGATTTGCGCTGTCAGCGTTCAATGTCTTAGTAGCGCTTAATCGTTGGAGGTAAGGATCCGAGAGACTACAAGCAAAAGCACTTCACCTATGCAGCTACAAAATTCCCAAGCGACCATAGCCTGGACTCTGCGGTAAGGTACAAGGAGGATAGCGCCAATACGAAGAACGCCGCCAGGCGCCTACTCTTTTTTGCGAGAGGTCGGTCAGGGTCAATAAAGTTGTGTGTTGGTTTGTTTATCGCCGCTTTCCGCACTGATATGGGTTCGATTTTGCGTCACGTTTTCCTCCTTTTCGCAGCCATCCCAACCTCCTCAGTGCTCTTCTCTGCGTTACCTTACGACCACAACAGGCTGCTCAAAGACTCCCCTTCAAAATCGGTCTCTTGTCGCTGTGAAAGGGCCTTGTCAACCGAGGCATCAAGACGCCTCTCATAATGTCCGCATCCCAGGGTCAGATTACCGACCCAAGTTCAAACGATTTGCCTTTAGATCCTTCTGTTCCACGACCTTCGTCGCCTACAACTTCCCGGGGCAATAGACCAGCTAGAGACAGACACCAGAGACGTTCTTCAGCACACGAGGATACGGATATGAGGTGCGCTTCTCCCCATTGAGACATGCGATCGCTAATTAACTCTTTGACTCCCTTTCGAATCGTCAGAGGAGAACCAAGCTACCGGCAAATCCTGCCCCCTCAGCCTCCTAGACAATACTCCCATCTTCCGACCCCGCAAAGGTGAGCGATGTCTCAGTGGGCATACTGCAAAAGTGATTATGTTGAAACACTATTGTTCAGCCCGAACAACCTCGCTCAGTATGCTCCCCGAGCCCTGTACCAGCCAGATTCCCCTCTCAATCATGGGTATGGCCACATTTATGATCTTTGTGGCTCGACTGGCTGACCATTCATCAAGTTCGCTTCCGATGCCACTCTCGAGTACCTCTCTCAGCGGTCAAAGGACAATGATGGTACACAAGTGAGCGACCAAGCTTGGATAATTGGGAGATTCCTGACGGTTTGTTGCAGTAAGGAACAAGAAGATATAGCGACGAATCACAGCGCGCATGGTTTCATCACTCCTGAGTCGAGGTGCGCCGCTCGTATAACTTTATCTGTATAGTTGGTTGATCAAGGCTGTAGTCCCGTCATCCAACGCAATACCCTCCCGCGGATATCTGAGTTAAACCTGGATATTGGAATGTTCGTCGCTCCCTCAGCTAAACGTTTATTCTGATTGACAACGTCCCTTTGTAGTTCTACCCCGAGATCGTCGAGCTATATCCCTCATACTCCCCCGTACCCTAGGTCAGTAGCACCATCTAACCGCTACAATTCCCCGGCCAGCCTCCAAGCACCTATCAGCTTGGCGCCCGCGCCGGACATCCTTCCATCGCGCGATGCGACTCCTTCTGTCTCAGTAGATATCTCCACTCGCAGCACTCTTTCTTCTCCATTTATGAGTCGCATTGGTGTTGCTGACCGACACTCCAATGCAAGGACCCCGCGCCAAGGCCCTGTGCACTCACCACCGCCACCCTCCTCCCAAGCAGTTCAACCAAGTGACCTCTTCTCCGCATCCCGGTACTCTTCAGCACACACGCCCCCAGTTTCCCCACCGCTGCCCCCAGCCGGTGGCGAGATTGACAGGATTCATCAAGCCATGCGCGCGCAAGCCCAAGAAGCGGAAACTCGGAGGCCTGAATACCTCAAGCGAGTGAAGCGATCTATTTCGGAAGTCGATGCACCCGAGCTTGACGAAGAGCGGCACGCGGGGGTGGGAATTGGGATAACCGAAAGCCCGCTCAAAGGACGACGATTGAAGTTGTTTCAAGAGACGTCAGAGGAGAGCTTTGAGGAGAGCTTGATGGCCGGTGGATATGGGAGATATGTGCGTCACCAGCCGTTTCCGACGTTCTACTTGTGCTGACCGTAGAGTAGAGGACCGCAGAATGGGTTCGGCAGCCACAACCTCTTCCCTCGCCTCAACTTGCTGGACCGTCGAATGTCGTGCCACTACTTGAGCAAGAAGCTGAGCCCACCCAGAAAGAGTTGCAAAAGAGACGCCGTCTGGATGCCTTCCGTGGAGAACGTCCCGCTGTACCTAAAGCGAAGCTACTCACTGTGGAAGTAGAGGGCAAGGGCAGGATAATAGTGGAGGCTTCAACGGAGGAATCTATCCCCCCTCCACCAGAGCCCACTCCTTCCAAGAAACGGAGCAACGCCCGACGGAAGAAGAAGGGCGCTGCTGACCAAGACCTCGCTGTAAAGGTAGAATTAGCAACGGTGCTCGGTAAGTCCCATGAGGGCCGTGCGGCTGAGGGTCCAAACTGGCCCGATACAGAGTTCCCTTGGAAGTTGCGCACGGATGAGCGGTCTCAGATGAAGCATCTGGAGGAGGAAGAGCGGTTGAAGTGGATAGAGAGGTTTTTAGATCGTGACTCGGATGAAGAGGAGGAGGACGGGTCCCCGCCTATCACGATAGCAGTAGAGGAGCCGCTGAAGGTTGAGGAATCTGAGGATACCGCAGAGATTTTGAGGCGAGGGCGGGGGAAGTGGGTACCACTACAGACCAACTCGTCGGAGAACATGCAGACTCGCAGGCGCACCTTCTTTCCGACCGATCCAGCAGACGCTCGCGCAGCGCTGCTAGCCAAGAAGAGCATCCGCATGTTATCGTACCGCCAGCAGAAGCGTCAGAGGATAGAGCGAGATCTGGACGGCGAGGAGGTCCTTTGTGTCTGTCGCGGCCATGACGATGGTCGAGAGCTAGTGCAATGTGACGGCTGCCTGACCTGGTATCATCTCCAGTGCATAGGCATCAAGAACATCGCAGAGCTAGGACGTGAAGAGGACCCGTGGTACTGCGAGGTTTGCGAGGCCGAGCATGCTTCGACGGGATCGGATGATATCAACATGGCGGATGTGCTAATGTCGGAACCGACCTTCGCGCCCTCCGAGGACGAACCGCGCGACGCCCAGCACTTCAGCCGCACCTCACCTTTTTTTCACGAGCCCGCGCTTGATGACTCGCCCGTTCCTTCGTGGTCGCGGGCCCCGAAGACGCCTACACGCACAACAGTAGATCCTAGCGAATTCGGCTCGGGGATGTCCTTGGCTTCGATGACCAGCTCGTCTACGTGGCCGGAGTCTTCACGCCCAGGTCCTTCGACCCCGCGCCGCTCGGCTCACGACTCCTCGCCGCACCAGGCACTTCCTTATGGCTACGACGAGTCGCCTTTCGATCCCACATCGACGCCATCTCGGGGCATCAAGTTCGGGGCATCCTTTGCCACCCCGAAGAACAACCCGTGGTCTAATCGGGGTTTCGGCGGGCGAGATCCCTCGCAGCACCTGAACCGTTCTTCTGATCCCTACGAGACCGTCCACAACGCCAGCCCAGCCCGGCCCACCTTCTCTTACGAGGAATCACCGACTATGCGGACGCTCGAGAAGCCCTCCCGCCAAAGCTACGGGCGGCGCATAATGGAGCCACGGGTCCTGCCGCCGCTGGCGGAGTCGCCGATCCTCAAGGGCAGGGACGTGATCAATGGGCTGCGTCGCGATTTCTTACCACCAAGTATGTTCGCTCAGAACATGTAAATGCAACCGAGATGAATTTCGCAACCCTCCTTATAGGTTAACTTACGAACTGTGTTATTGTTTTATTGTCACCCCCCTACCTCTATCCGCGCGTCACCTATTGTCTCATTATCCTCGCCCCATGCTCCATGTACCAAGTGGGCACTCTTTCATTGCGCTTTGATTGGATGTTATGGTACATAGCTGCTTCATGTTTATGACGACCGTCTTAGTCTGTACTGCGATAGTCGCTGTATCGAGACAAAAGAAACACTACCTTTGCTGCTTATATATTAAAATATTTCTGCCTATTACCTTGGGAGCTGAGAGGGGAGACCGTCGCGAACATACAGAGTGAAGATAACAGAGAGGTACAATGCAGTCGTGCTGCGTCAGGCAATCTAGATACACCAGCTGTATGAATGTCGCAGGTGGGGCAGTCTGCTTGTTCGGAGAGAATACTATGTGGTCAAAGAGTGTATGAACGCGACGACAGGCTAAGACCGGGTCAGATGCGAAAGACGTCGCCGAAGAAAGGCAAAGTCCAGTGTGCTCGTGGGTGGGTGGTTGCGAGCAACGAAGGCAGCGGGTACGGGTTAGGGCGCGTGTGTTTGGTATAATTGTCGAATCTCAGTCATATACTCGTACACGGCGTACGAGTTGGAAAAGGAGCTAGGCTTCGCAATCGATGTGAGCGTGTCTGTTTCGCGCAAGTTTCGCGCTGAACCTCGAATTCTCACCCAAACATGCAGGTGCGCGATGTGCGTTGCGGGATGGCTTGTGCAGGGCCGCGCCTGGCAGCAGCGGTTCATGCAACCGACGCTAGAGACAAAAACATAGACATATACGGAGCTCCTACGACTAACAGTTGGTAGCAGCTCCCTATTTCAAAGTAGAAGTCTAGCCGTCGTGAAATCACCGTTCCTTGTCCGCTAACGCTCCTTCGCGACATCTAGACAGGACTAGCAATCTCAGCGGTGTGAACGAACACCCGTCGTCCTTGAACTGCTACCTCGATTTCATTGCGCTTCACAAATTGCAGGAGAGGGCTATTCGCGTTGGGGACGCCTGGGTTTTGGAGCGGCGGTCCACAGACTGAACAAGACAATTCGCGGCGATGGGCTATGGGGTATGCGAGGATCGTGCGTCTTGATGATGAGTGGCGGATGTCAGTGGCGGTCGCGGTGCATCCGCAGAATCGTTGCCACCCTCGCCTCGCCAGCAGCCCGAGATGGCTAGAGGCCGACTTCGGCCACAGGAAAATCCGCCAGGGAATACTGCATAGACTTACGGGGGGAAGCAAAATCCCAGGTGGGTAGTTCGTGCCGATTGTTGTTGAATTGCAGCCAGACGATGAAACCAAGCAAGGTATGGTCATGGCGCCAGCCGCGATAATCTAATTGCGGGATTATCCATCGTTTGGATCATACAGGTTTAACCTCAAATTCAGTCACGAAACCTTGATATTTACTCTTTAAGTCAAGACGTAGTCATCAAAATTGGCGCAAAGAAAATACCATATTCAATAAGTAGTACATGCACTGAGATGCACTGACGACGGCGCTGGATACGTGCTGGTAACGTACCCAGTATGTTACCAGTTGAGGCTTGACCGAATCCACTGCTTTATGGCGACCCCCAAGTCGCGTGCGGGCACGGCCACAACGCGTAATGAAAGGTCGATCGCGTTCGTTTACGGCCCACAGTCTCACGCGAAAGGTTCTCAAGGAGGGGGGGGGAGGGGTCAGAATGAAGACATGACTGACGACAGTCAATTGACCGGGCGCCGGTGAGCACTTGACCGATGCCCGACTGCGACATGTGACAACGGACGTGCGTGACCCGACATGAATGTGACTGAATTTCCAACGGTGCAGTGCCTAATTCAGGTCTGCGCCCTCCTATATTCCAACCCTTCTGTCCCTCCCTTCATGATCGCTTAGCCAGCTTTACGACCAGAACTTCTCCACAGAAAAAAAAATCAAAAAAATCAATCGCGTAGCAAACCGACGTCGGACTAGAGGTACCGCGGAGCCTTTTTACATTTTAAGTTCTCACCAATTGGATAGCTGCGATTACGATTACTAGTGAAGCACGGAAGAAGTCAACTTTCTAGAGTTTGGACTTCATTTCCAGACGTAGATGGCTGCACGACGATGTCGATGCTAAACGAAGAAATCCGGGATGGAGACCGTATACGCGTTGCAATTGTTAGTGATCCTGCAGATTTACCATAAGGCCAGCCATCTGGCCGGTTCTCGCGACGCGTTTCGGGGTCATGACCATGCTTGAATCAATTTAGGCCCTAGTCGCGTTGAGATACAAGCCATCTGAGCAATCTTACGATGGTGCGCCTTGTGGTCGTTCTCGAAGGCGGAAACAGAAGCTAATTAATCGCATAGCCTATACGCTTGACTTGAGGTCTCTTTTCCGATCACCACAACGCGGTACTGATGATTACCCCGCTGAGAAGAGATCAGAGAGTCCCTGGCGCAAACGCGCTCTTACTTTGGAGAAGAATGTATCCGAGCTTCAGGCTAAGTATGATAGCGAACGTACTAGTGGGTGATTTTCCTAATTGTTGTCATATCGTTCAATTCTCTCAATGGGTCTGCTTCGAAGAGGTCCTAGAGCTTACAACAAAGACCTCGACAAGCCAGAGCGCCACCCCGACGCCTCCGCCGCCGTCATCTTCGAAGAAAAAGGGAAAGAAGAAGCAAATTCCCGAACAAAACACGCGTTCCGAGCTCGACTCGGTACTTGAACGTCTAGGTACACACCTGTCGCTCAATATTCTCGATACCAGGCATTGATTATTATCTTCATCCTCATTAGTGGACGTTCCGTCTGCTTCCCGTCCCCTTTCCTTTCTGCTGTCAACTTTTACTGACCTTACCCAACTTACCTCCATTCTTAATACTGGCCCTGTACCTCTGGCAGCGGATGACTTCCGACTTCTGCTTGCAACTACGGATCGGGCTCTCGAAGCTGTCGGAACCACACTCCTCCCGTTCCTCACACTGGATACAGAGTCCGCGCCATTGACAAAAGGGACCAAGCGCCAACATCAACGACCCTCGGATGTACTCCAAACGCTAGCTGTCCTCCTCTCGCATCTAATCGAAACGGCCTTACCCCTGCTTTCCCGGTCGCATGATCACCTGGATCATCATGCCTCTCAGGCTCACGTCGAGGACCAACCGAATCCCATCGACATCGTAATCAACAATCTGATGCGGATTATCTTGAAGCCCATCTGCCAGTCGTTCGCCCCGCTCTCCTATGATTTCCTCCATTTATGCCTAACGTCCACCAATACAAATGTTGTCGTCGGTCCGAAATCTGACGTCCGCCAAGAGCTGCTAAGCCTCGTACGTGTTGTGTTGCTTTCCATCGGTCGCCTATGCTCGAAACATCTCGTCAACATCTTCAATAACGGGGAACCCTCTTGCTTCTCCTGGCTGTGTAATTTACTTGCGTTAGAAGCTATCAACGAACTCCAGGAACTCTACGATCTTCACAAACCTGGCGGTTTTCAGAAGTGTTCAGCCACCAATGACAGGCGTGCCGATAATAATGACGGTACAAATTTATGCCAACCGAATCCGGAGCTCAGTCTCAGTCTCCATCAAGATACTACGACGAATGCGGGCGGCGATGTGGATGGCAATCTACTCCAGGGCTACGCGCCAAACAAATTTTCCAGCGGCAGTGCCAATGCCAACGTCCCCACTTCCATCTCCCAGGGTGGTGGACGTACAAACAAAAGTCGGACCGAGGAACAATTATACGGCATCCTCAAGTTTGCCGACGCTGCTAGTCCCAATCCCGACTCCAGGAAACTCAGGGTCGCCCGACTTGCGAAGAAAGATGCTCTCTGGTTCCTATGCGCGCTTCTCCACATCGTTTTCGAGCCACCCTTGGAAACGGAGGCGCACAAGGTCGAAAAAAAGAAGGTTCCGTCGTCATCTTCAACAACTTATTCGGCTCCCGAAACTCATGCTAAAAACACGGCGAACAATCATATTGACAGAGAAGGCTCTGCTAAAACAAATGGTACTGATAGTAATAGTAGTAACGGAGCGCTGGCGAAGGTGCCACGAGGAAGAGATAGATGGTGTGACGCAGAGACGAGAATACGAAAGCGGATTTTGACTGGTCTATGCGACCTTGTCAGGCAAGTTGGTGGTTCTCCTCCTAGTTTGGGTGCACAAGGATTATCTCCCTCTCCTCTACTACCGCAACCGCAACCGCCGCCGCCACCATCAATATCATCATCAGTACAGGTACCACTACTCACCAAAGCACACGAACCTTCTCCTCAATCCTCCCACCTATCCTATAACAACCACCTTCAGCTCCCGAGCCTCACGCGAGATGCCGACGGACTGGGTGATGGTGCGGTAAAGGGACGAAAGCCGGCGGGAAGTCATAGCGGCAACGCTAAAGACTTAGTTGGTGGTGATACCGATAGAGTTGAATCTATCGGAGGCGCTGGAGGGACATGTATAGGGATACAGTGTGGTGAGGAACAGGCGCAGGGAGGTGCGGGAAGAAGGGGTAATGCGGATGATGTTAAAGGTAAGTGTGGGAGTGAAGCCGTCGTTGGTTGTGCGGAATACGATGGTGATTGGCTTGATTTTAGGACTGGGATTGGGCAGTGGCTTGAAAGCGGGAGATAGCACCGCGGATGACGAGAGAATGCGGATGCATTCGCCGATTCAGATGAGGAACCATATACATAACGTTACTTCCAACAACTCTATTGGACAAGTCAAAAACTTCCACAATAAGGGCGGCAGCGATGGTGGCGACTTGTCATCAAGAAGGGACTTCGGTATACGTACCACTGATAACGGCGATGATGGTCTTGGGCGAGGGCAGTGTGGTAATGGCAACAACGGAACCGGATTTGGCGGATTGAGGCCGTCAGGTGTGTTGCCGCAAATACGGTCGAGGCGGAGGGAGGATGGTGATAAAGTCGCGCAAGGGATGTTGCTCGTGGTGCTGGAGAGATACTGGATATGGACATCTAATACTACAACAGATTGACGGAATGTTCATGACATGTCTGTCACAGAGAAACAAAGTTTGCTCGCATCCTGTGAGTGATTTCTCGCTGTGTTAGGATACCCATGTTCATAATGAAAGACACTCACGCATTGAATTTGCTCGTTCGAAGCTGTAGTCCTGTCATTGGTCCGGCGTCCATCATACTGCGATGCCATACATATACCCTAATTAGAACGCGATATCGTCACGGCCTCTCCGATGCATATGCTTCATGGCGTTAGAAAACACCAACTTCCAGCCAACTTCCAAGTATAACCTTCTTTCTTTGTATGTCACTGAAGATTTTGTGATGTGTTCGTAACCGTCGTGGGTATGACAGGCTCAAACTTGGTGTTCCATAACACATAACCCACACTCCCCACAACCCGTAACTCCATAACGAATCCGGGACTCGTCCTCCGGGATCTAAAATGCGCATCAAGCGGACGCGAAGGGTGATCACAATATGATTCTTGATGAAGGTTACCGATGGCCCAGCCAATGGTTTGCCAATAGTAGCTACGATCAGTCATCAATGCATCCAGGAGTTAGTGTTGGTGTATGGAAGACTCAACTTTACAAGTAGGAACGTATGGAGTGTTGACATCTTGAGCGCTTGCATTGAACTTGCTTAGGAAAGAGGTAAGAGTCGGATTTGGCGAAAAGCTTGACCTTACCTATCTGGGTTGCAGGTCGCCTGCCGTTGAATGATGCCCGTCTCGGCGAATGACTGCTTCCAAAGACAATGAATTGCTTCCCGCCCACTCCAAGCCCGAATTTACCTACCTGAGTCGTTCATAGGTCGATCTCTATCCAGACGTTAACACTCATCTCCGAATAACTTGAAGTGGTACTTGCGAATCGAAGACTTGGAGAATGATTACTTCCAAAGACCGGTCAAAGACAACGAATGTTTCCCGCTCGTACTCTCCATCTATCCATGTCCCTGTAACCTTCTCCTCCCAGGCCCGCCCCACGCTCCCACTGCTCCTTCCAATTATCCTTCTCCAGCCCCGTTCCCCCGTTCCCTGTGCCCCGTTCCCCATCCTCCACAGATTTTCCTGTCTGCCTTCTTACTCGTCCCTATAATTATCATATTTGCATCAAGAATCGCATTCCTATATATATCATACAATCATCTCTCATCCTCCATATGTTACTCTACCAAACCCCAAGGAACGAGCAAATTCCCGACTTGCCAAGGCGTCTAATGTCCACTATTCTAACGTACACCTTCGGTACGTTCCGTCTCTACTTAGACATACTGGGTTCCAGTTTCCCAGCCTCTCGCAGCCTAGGCCCCGCGGCCCAGCACCCAGTCTATGTACGACATCGATATCCCGAGTCCCAGATGGCAAAGAAGCACAAAGAAAGAAAAGAAGGGTGAGCTCACTGATAATTAGACTGTTCTCAGACCGCCGGGGCCTCGTAGCCTGTCGCGATGTTTCCGAAGTCCTCGAATCAGCTAACCGCCTTTATTGCTCCTGCTTGTAGGCCAATCACCCAATCATATATACGTATACCTCCTTCTCCAGACACTCGGCAGGCTCGACTCGATATGGCCGCACACCTTCCTTCTTTGGCGGCTCCGTCTCCGTCCAGCAAATCGCTCAGAATGTAGACCCCATACTCCATCCTCGCGTCAACACATCAGTGCATCAAGATCAGAAACGAAACCCAGCAAATCCGCTTCATCCATGATACGCGCATCGCAGCGATCCCCATGGTACTCGCCCAAGCTGTAGGCACCCAAATGCTCCTACCCAAATCCAAATCCAAAACTCCCAGCTGGCAACCAAGTAGTAATTAGTAACCAGCAACTCCCCATCGCGGCACAATCACCATCGTGGAAACTTACTTGCGGCTATGGACTACCACTTGAATAAACATCAAAGCCTCAGGCCTCATTCCCCATCCGTCGGTGTCGACGAACACGCCGCACCATACTCTTTAATTTCCCGTTTCCACCACATGGCGCATGAACGCACGAGCGTCGTAGGGACGTCGTAAGGAACATATGCCGTATGCCATACTACCTACTTCCCACCAACGAGCTCCGGTGCGCCCTTCAGCTTCCCTCCCAAGATCCCACCTCCAACTGGCAGTTATGATGTAGCGCCACTCCGCCACCGCTGATATAACTATAACTCTCTACGCGCTGCTAATACCGTATCCGCGGAGCAACCACGCTAGCACATACGCATGCCCACATAGCCAAGTCCACCCACGCACAACGGCACTACGGAAATACACGCAAAGCACCGAGCGCACATAGTACGCAAAGCGACATGGCCCACGCGGCGACCGATCAGACATCAAAACACGTTTTTTGAGTGAATAGAGTTCGGGTGATGCTGTGATGTGATCAGCCGAGGGAAGTAAGTTCGCAGCTATGTTTTATAAGTTGGTGCGGTGTGGCGCACGGCGTGTTGGCTGAGGAGGCCTCGTATAGCTCGATCCTCTCATACTCCTTCCGTGCTCGATCCTCCCATCCGGTGCCATTGATGTTAATGTATGAAGCATGAAGCGTCATCATCGGCTTCTTCCCTTTCCTCCTATGGAGAGCAGTGCTGGTGAGTGTTACGTCCCTCTAACGTTAAAACCCTTTACGTCCCCTATCCCCATCCCTGTTCCCCTGGCTCCCCTGCTCCCACTGCTGCTCCTTCCGCTGGCGATATATTGATAACGAAACGTGTTGAGGTTATTATCAGGTTGCTGCCTACTCGGCGCGAAGCTGTCGTTGCGCTGCGAACAATCGATCAAGCTTCATGAATCGTGGGTGGATCATTGCGCATGCTGCGAGGCTGTTGTTTGTGCGATTCGAGCTCTAGTACGGGTTTGGAGGACTCAGGCCTCAGGCTTCGTACTGGCACCTACTTACCAGCACCTCGTCCCGATGCTTTCGCCATCCTGTTCAATAAGCAGTGGTCTGCGGCTATCTTCAGTACTCGGGTGCATCTGAATCGGACGTTAGATCGTTTGCGCGCCGCCGGAGGTCCTGTTGCCTGTGTCCAGCCCAACGGCAAGTCGAAGATTCAAGAAGCTGTACCTAGGCTAGCACTAGCTGCCGCTGATAAGATAACTTCGGAAGCTACGTGATGTGATGTGTGATGCTGGGATCCGGGGTGGTTACGTCCGGCCCTCTGCCTCTCTTTCGAACAATCTTCTCAAAAATCAAAAATCAACGATCAACGATCAACGAACCGGCGTACTCCACGGTTCTCGAGCGCTCCTCGTACGTCGGCCAGCCTCCCAACACCCAACGTTCAACACCCAATATTCCCAACACCCAATATTCCCAACGCCCATTCCCAACACCCATTCCCAACGCCCAATATTCCTATTCCTCAGAGATACCAGTCTAGTACCGTACAGTACCTGCATCTGCACCTGCATCTGCATCAGTCAATCAGCCATCCCGGAAGGCTGGGCGGTCGAACTCCTTTCTTCCATTCCCTCGCGCCCCATCCCGCGCCACCCAGCGTGCCGTATGTGCTGGTATTCTTAATAGCCGTAGAGCGCCCGCCCGCCCCCCGGATCCCTTCCGCCCGTCCGTGGGGCGCGTCCCACGCTCATATACGCGATCAGAATCAGATACTTACGAGAACATAGCAATAGCATGCCATCCGTACCTACCATACAACGGAATACCAATACCAATACCAATACCAATACCAATCTCGGTGTTCAAGGTAATCATAAGGCGGGTGGGTGGGTGGTGAATCGCTCGAGCTGCAGCCCTCCGAGCAGGCCTTAGGAAGGGAAGTATCCGCCTCGCGTGTGTGGTAAGAACGCCGGCGTGTTCCCATATTCCTATGTTCCTATATTCTGTCTTTCCTCCCCTCCTCAGGCTGTAAGTGGACGCTATATGTATGATTCCAGGGAGTATAAGAGCATAACGTATAATCTATCTAGACTTTATAGTTGGCATCCGCAATTTCATGTGGGGATAGCGATAGCAATAGGCAATAGGCAATAGGCATTGCGTCGGTACAGCCATTGTATTTATTCAATATTCAATGCTCATTGTATTGAGATCGAGGAGGGTGATACAATGGAGAATGGGTGATCGCCGGGCAGATACTCTTTCGTCTCCCTCTCCCTCTCCCTCTGATACAAACCCATCACAGGCTCTGTGATACCTCAACTTGAATTCGAACTCGAACACCTGAACTAGTACTTAGTACTGTACGAGGAGTATCGATTCTGCTCCATATTCAGGATTCGAGTCGGCGCTCGAGTGGTTGGCTTGGGATTACGACGGAAGAAAAATAAAAATAAAGATAAAGATGAAGATGAAGATAAATATAAATATAAAGATGAAGATAAAGATGAAGATGAAGATAGATAAAGTCCGTGCTTTGGGGTACTTACAGTTACAGCACGCTGAGTGGAGGTCTGTGGAGGTGGTAGCAGGGAGGTGGGGTAGACGAATGGGAGGTGGAAGGATGGATGGATGGAGGTGGGGTGGTTAGATGAACGGGTGGAAGGATGCGTATGCGTAGAGCGTTTGGCGTTTGGCGTTTGGCGTTTGGCGTTTGGACGCGCGGGGGCGTCGCTCGAGACTCGGTCGATATGTTGTTGGTCTCTTGATATGTTTTGGTTTTGGTTTTGGTTCGTCTCACACAGGGTCTTCCAAGCTCTAAAGCTCGGAGGGCGACATGGGCAGCTTGAATGCAATATGTCATAACTGCATAACTGCATAACTGCCATAACTGCCGTAATCGTCACGGTCGTGCATGTCAGTCGGACGGGTACCGTGGATAAGATAACACGCACTTGAACTTGAACATGCACTTGAATGAAGATGTCACGGATGTCATATATTTATTATTAGATGGGTAAACACCGAATTCGATGACCGTTTGAACGTTGGATATCTGGATGGCCACAACACCACAATTCATGCGCGCAGGGAGACGCATCTAGACGATAAACCACAAACCACAAACCACAAACGATAAACCACAATCGATAAACATTTAAATGAACATTCAATATTCAATACTCAAGTACTCAATGTTCAGTGATAAGTAATAAGTAATAAGTATACCGAGCCACGATACCACATGTACACTCAGCGAAACTATCGAACACGCCGAGCTCGCACTCTCACCGTGACAATACCCACCAACCACCAACCACCAACACCAACTAAGTATGCACAATACGATATATACGATATCCTACGAGCGTTGTTGCAATTACTCTATATCCGGGATTCAATATTCAATAGTCATATCCGTGCGCAACTTTGAACATATCTGAATCGTACCGCGTACCGCGTAATCATTCAGTCACTCATTCACTCCCACAGGACTACTCGTTCGAACGGATTCAACGTCTACTACTAGAGTACGGAGGGTAACAACAAAACCAGGTATATACACATCACCCAACCTACCCAACCTCACCTAACCCCTAGGCACGAATTACAGATAATACAAATGACAAATGACGGCGCGCATGTGTGTGAGTGTAAGAGAGCATGAGTGTAAGAGAGCATGGGTGTAATGACAGAGGAAATGAGAGAGGAAGGGGAATGGGAGGAAATGGGGGGGAAGGGGAGATGGGGGGGGGGAGTGGTGTACAGCAATAAGAATAAGTAATATAGACGTATAGAACGTATGAAAAGTATAGACGGGGTGGCGCGGTCGAGGCAAGGAGTCGAGTGTTCGAGTGGCACTGTCCTCCTCGAGTACAGAGAGAGTATCAAGTCAGGAGGGATATCGCAGCGAATAACAGCAAGCAAGAGCAGGAGAAAAAGCCGGAAGAGAGGGTTGGTGCTTCAGAAAGGCCGGACCCCCTCCTCTGCCTCCACCTCCTCCCGCATTTGCACATGCAGCACGCGCCGGTACCTAAACCCCGCCTCGTCGCTCACGATCTCGCCCAGATCAAAATAGCCCCTCCTCTCCGCCTTCTCGCTCCACGCGGGATGGCCCAGCGGCGAATGCAGCGGCGAGGTGTGCAGCGGAGAAGGAGAGTGGAGGGGCGAGAGCGGGGAGGTATGCGAGGGCGAGGACGGCGTGGGCGTCCAGCGCCCGCCGCCCATGGCCTTGCACACCGCCGAGTGGCGCGTGAGCGGGTACACGGAGAGCGGGTCCTCGGACGCCGGGGACACGGCCCCGCTCCCGCGCCCGGTGTTGGGGGTATTGAGGGCGCGGACGGTGTGGTGGGGGTGCTGCGAGAGCGAGGAGAGGGCCGCGAGGACGTCCGCGGGGAGGGTGGGCTGCGTGGATGTGAGGAGCGAGATGCGGCGCTTGCTCCGCGTGCGCGTGCGTGTATGCGGAGTGGGAGGGGAGGGGGCGAGCGAGGGGGAGGGGGAGAGCGATGGCGACGTCGGTGTTGCGGGGGCGTCCGCGGAGGCGGATGAGGAGGCGCTGGAGCGGGAGGAGGACGACGTGAGCGAGGAGATGGAGGGCTTGCCCTTGACGGACTTGACGAGCTCGGGGGTGCGCTGGCGCTGCGGGATGCCGTGTATCTGGTCGAAGCAGGCGGTGCACACGCGGGCGTTCTCGACGACGGGGCTGTCCTTGGAGGCGTAGACGGCGATGGGGGTGCGGTGCGGGGGGTGGGTGAAGGGGAGGAAGGGGGAGGAGGTGTCGAGGAGGGCGGTGGTGTGGGACGTGCAGGCGGCGCAGAAGACGGAGCCGCACTTGCGGCAGTGCTGCATAGAGAAACGCGAGGTGAGAAGGGGAGAGAAAGAGCAGGAGATGGGGTACTCACGTGTCTGCGCTCGAAGATGGAAAAGCGGACGCGGCAGTAGAAGTTGTCGCACGCGGATGCGAGGGCGTCTTCTTTCCACAGGTGTTTCGGGAGGAGGACTGCGAGGTGCTCGTTTGCGCGCAGGTCCATCGAGCTGGAGCTGGAGGTGGAGGAGTCCGCGGAGGACGAGGAGGTGGAGGCTGTGAGGGTGGACAGCTGCGACGACGAGGGCGATGACGAGGGCGGGGGCGATGCGGCGTCGGCGTCGATGTCGTCGAGCACGGGTAGAGTGGGGAGCACCGCGGAGGGCGGGGACGGGGGATGCTGGGCGTCGTATGCGGCGAGGGACACGGTTAGAGCAGACATGGTGATGGTCCCGTGATGTTGGTTGATTATCAGTGGAAGGGAGGGGGACGGGCGAACGGAGGGGTGATCAATGGGACGAGTGGCCTTATGAATGCGACGTCCCTCCGCGCGTCACAATCCATATCCCAATCCATCCACCCAACACATCTCCCATCTCAGATCTGCCCTCCCACCCAGATCCCATCGGGCTCCTTGTTTGCACATGTAGCCGCTTGTTTGCGCACTGAGCGAGGGTCGTTTTTTCGATTTTTCTTCGGAAGAATCGATGGCTTTGGCGATGGCCCGTGTTTGGTGTCGCCGTTTTGTTTTGGGATTACTTCCGTGCTTTCCACGTGTCGGCCTCTTTTCTCCCCTCTCCTTTTCTCCTGACAGGCCTCTCCCCGGCGCTTCCTCGCCTCGCCTCTCCTCACTCCCATTCCCACACCCAGCTGCATACGGTCCGGTCTGCACACCGCACACTACGACCCCCCCTCCATCACCCCTTCGACGCTGCCCACCGTCCCCACCGCCTACCCCCACCCAATCCACCCATCCCGCTTACCGTTTCCACCTTCTCCAGCGAATCCGATGCAACCCATCACCGATTCACCGACACAGCATATTCGGCGCACGCTATTGGCTGGCTCCCTCTCCCAGCCTTCCACCGAGTACGTACACCTCTCTACGCCCACGCATGTCCTGTACGTCTGTACGTGTGCACATGTAATAGCCTCTGCTCCCTTTACCTCACCGCCCCCCTTCTCGGGTCACCCTGTGCATTTGGATTTGAATCCGAATCCGAATTTGATTTTGAATTATGAATTATGCATCTCTTTAACTTTACGCCGTTGCCGTGGACGCTGACGTTAACGTTAACGTTGTGGTGCATGCCGCGGTTCGCGCTTGCCGACGGTAGCAAGTGCGCGAACTCTAAGTGTGAACAGCGAACAGCGAACGCTGAATGTGAAGTGCTGCTCGCGTGCTCCCATACATGGGAGCGGTTGTCGTGTGCACAGCGACCGCCTAATGCTCGCGCTCATTCAGGAATTCGGGAATGGCAACGGCGGCGGGCAACGCTAATGCAAACCCTAAAAACGTGAAGAGTCCTCGTCGTACCCTTGTGCATCATGGCATGCGTGGCTGGTCGCACTCCGATTACGCGACCAAGTGTCCCCGCTTGCCGACAGTGAGTTCCGACGACGACGTTGATGCAAAGGCTAAATGTGAAAGTGAAAGCACCCGTCGTCGCCGTCGTTGTCGTCGCCGTCGTCGCGTGCACCCGTGAGTAGTAACTAGTAACTAGTGAGTACCGGCCTCGTGGATTCTGGTTGTCGTCGTCGTCGTCGTCGTATAAACACCCGGACGGTGATTAAAGCGTTAAACATTGAACAGTAAACATTAACGCTATGCGAATGTTGGTTGTAGATGTGTAGCCCGTGGTCGTGGGTCGTCGTGGGTCGTCGTCGTCGTCGCGCGCACATGGATATGCGCGTCGTCAAGGCACGTCCGACATCGCACGTCCGACATACGTGCACATGCACGTGTGGCACCGTGCGCCTCCAAGTCCAAGTCCAAGTGAAAGTGAAAGTGAAAGTGAAAGTGAAAGTAACGTTGATTCCGCATCCGCATACCCATACCCGCCCGCCTGAGTGATGTACATATGTACATCTATCCATACGTACGTGTGTTGGGCACGGGTACGGACACGGATGTGCGAGAAAAGAGCAAAGAGCAAAATCCGGAGCTGCGGAAAAGGAAAAGGTACCGCAAGCATAGCACGGAGAAAAGGAGGTAAGTAATACTAAGTGGAACGGCGGGAGGCGCGTGCTTCGCCCCTTCGCTCCCGAGCATTCAATATTCAAGTTTACGCATTATTGGTACGCCGACCAATTTTCAAAGGCATGTGCCCTGCCACCTGATTCTGCGATTCTACGCTCCTACGCTCCTATGCTCCTAGTTACATCTGCATGCACTCCTTCCAGCGCCGAGCCAATGAACAGGCGTGCATTGCGCAGTGCGCATCATGTGTATGAATGGATGTGATTGGATACTCTGGGAGACGCGTCGGTGGAATGAGACTGGGATCGGGTTTGGGATTGGGATTGTGAATGGGCGGAAAGACGGAGTGTACGCGTCGAATAAAGTCGGACTAACGAACAACGAATAACGAACAACGAATAACGAATACCGTCGGAATTCAAATAACCTTGATATACTTTATACTTCATACTTTACACTCCATACTCCATACAGTCGACTCTCTTATAACCCATGGCCCTCGTAACCCATAATCCCCCATAACCCATACATTTTGGCGTCCACCGGCTTGGTTACCAGGGAAATTAGCAAAATCCCCCATACTCCATAATCCATACCTTTTTGGAGGTACCAAAACCCATAAACTCTCGAATATACCGAAATTCATACCTCTTTTAGAAGGCCATAATACATATTTGTACTGATATTTACGGTAAAACTTTAAGCTATGCATTGAAAAGTTAAACCACTGCCCAAGTTGCACCCCTGAGCTCCGCAACCGATACGTTGCAACCCTTTTGTAATCCGTTACACTTTTATAATGTTTTCCAAGCAATCTTGTATCATTTCTTGCTCTCATATACTTGATTGTGGATGCTTTTTGCTACCATACATTAATTGTAGATACATCTTAATAGGCTGTAGAATAGCGTACATAATGTCCTTAATTTTTTCGTTGTATATTTGGCATAGACGCCCAATAAGCACTCTCAAGCAACCCATACTCTCTAATAACCCATACTTTTTTGTGTCCACCGACAGGTATGGGTTATAAGAGAGTCGACTGTACTCCATACCCCCCTCGCACGCGAGCCGCACAGTCGCAGAGCCGCATAGTCACACAGTCGCGTAGTGGCCATGGCGACCGTATAGTTATAGTTCGGCGTAGGGGAGGAGATGGTGGATCCGAATGAGTGTGACGGATTCGATGACGGATGATGCATTGATGTATCAAGCTCGAGTCCGAAGTACGGCGAAAGTATATTCTCGAGCATACGCCGTACGTCGTACGTATACACCGCGGCTAGAACGCGCTGGTTCAAGTACGCGTCTACTCCGGAGTCCGAGAGTATGTACGATCACCGTAGTGCCGTAGCACCGTAGCGCCGTAACACTCGGACGGATGTAGTCAACAGGATCCACTAGGATTCAAGAATAACGCGTACACTTGCACACAAGGAGCACGACCACGGGCACCGCCTATCCATGCCTTTACATATTACATTATATATATATAGTCTGCGTGCTGTGTACTGCCAGTGAGGCCGGCACCTACGCGTGCTCGGCGTACATACGATTGCAGGAGCACCGTGAGCCGTGTGTCGAGACCTAGACCACCGAGGCTACCCCATCAATACTGTTAATGTTAATGATCCCCGACACCGACACCGATATATTTACTTATATATTTATGTGAAGATGTAAAGTACGTTGTACGCCTACGCGTGCACAGAATGCCAACACCGAAACCGAAACCGATAGTACGCGTGCATATGCATATGCATATGCATATGCCTCCATGTCCACCGACACCGACACCGACACCGAGTTGGGTCAGCACGATCACGATCACGATCACGACCACCGAGTGCCCGAGTGACCGAGTCTCCCGCCCTAGCCCGCCCTCCCAATTCCGCCCAATTCGCGCGCACCATCCGAGTCCTTGTTCCGTCAAATTGACTGCCGGATCTATCGCACTGATGACTCCGTAAGCGTATTTATATACATCATATTATATATTGTACTCACCAGTCGCCGAGTCCCGTACACCCAGCTCGTCCGCGGCCCCACAGCACCGACTCCAATACTCAGAACTCAATATTCACCATTCACTACTCATTACTCAATATTCAATATTCCCCATTCAATAATCACCATTCGATAATCAATATTCAATACTCAATACTCAATATGCAATATGCAATATTCAGACTTCGATGGTAGTTGCACAGTGCCATAGTGGTGGTGGTGGTGGTGGTGGTGGATCCGTCTATCGAGTCTATTCGAACCGTCGTGCATCAGGGTTAAGTTAAGATAGTGAGATGGTGAGATGGTGAGCATGTACCGCGGGCGTACCTACGGCCTTAGGCCTTAGGTAGGACGTACGTACGTATTATAACGATAAATGATGAATGATATAGTATACTATACGTACGTACGTACAGGCTTGCATGCAAGATCCCAAGGTACCAAGGTACGGTACATACGATCTCCCATCTCCCACCTGCTTCCGTTCCTCTGTCCAGCAATCATCAATCATCTAACAGTCCGTAGTGATCACCGCTTTCCGAATCGGCGTCTCCACCAACTCCACTCCTCCCCCTCCTCCTCCTCCTGCTCCTCCTCCTGCTCCTCCTCCGGGTTCAATATACAATATCCGGCCTCCACTCTAGAATATATCAGTGGATATCAGTGTTTATCGTGATCTGCGCCCTCCTCCCTACCCCCAAAGGACCCAAAGCAGGAAGGCGCTCTCCACCGAGTCCACTCCCCGTCTCCCCTACTCGTTTCCCTCTTCCCCTTATTTTCTATCCGTGCGGTCACTTTACATCATATCAGCCTTTCCGCATCAACCTTTCCCCACCCCGACGCCTCCTCGGCGCCCCCGGGTATCCTCTTTTCTCTTTCTCTTGCTAGTTTTCAGTGCACACCACCGCGCCTCCACCGCGCCCGATCGTGCCGCGACCGCTGATCGCCTCCCGATCGACCCCCGGAACCAAAATCCGTGCAAGATCCCTGGGAGTGTGTAGTGCGTCCCGCGTAGTGTGGGTGTGCTGTCTAGAGTATATATGTAGTATGTATGTAGTATGGAGTATGGAGTATGTACTAGTAGTACGTGACCGGCGGTATCACTAAATACATTTTCTTCGTTTAGCTTTTCTGACATTGACACCTCCCCCATATTCCAAATCCCAAATTCCAAATTACCGCCGCCGAGTCGCCTTCAGCAACACCCCCGTGGGTGAGTGGTGGCGGCGCGTGGG